AGCCAGACACATGTGTAAGCATTCTACACAGACTTAATACATTCAAGCTACAGCTTGGTCAAAGGAGATAGTGTGTGTCTTCCACTTAGTGTAGGTAACTAGTTCTAGTATCATTCTGAGAATCTTATTGACTAGTTCTGAGTGAAGAGCTTTTTCAAGCATTCTAATGAGGACATTATTGAACTCAAGTATGAATCCTGCCTTCTAGGCCAGGATATTGAACTTCTGAAAGAAGGCATTAGCAGAATGTTTGCCCTGTCACAGAGACACAAGCTTGTTCTGCACATTGTGCTTCTCATTCAGATTGATGAAGGAAGTATAGAGCTGCCCTATGAATTCCAAGTACAACTTATTGTTCTAAAGTCAGATCAGGCTTCTGATCTAATGACCTTTGATCCAGTTCTGAGCCTAGGTGGCCACATTGCCTTCCTTTATGAAGGAGAGGACAAATAGGACACAATCAAGATCTAAGGATAGATCAGTTGAAGCAGCAGTCATGTATAGTTCAACTTGACACTAGAAGTCCTTAAAGTACTACTTATTAAAGTCTGAAGGGTAGGCTACATACACTTTCTTTCTAGAACAGGTTGCAACTTCTAGAACAATCAGAACAGGTTCTGAAGGGGCTGGGGGCACATGGTTGGCAAAGGCCTCTTGGATGGAGGTCTACACATATTAAGCTAGTTCTGCTCATAACTACTGATCTAGCAGGACAGTAGGGGTAGTAGTTAGTGTAGTAGAGTCTATGTCTACACTATAAAGGGATCAGCACTAAACTAAAAGGGGTAATGAATAGAAGAAGGGTGGCAAAAGTTTAAAAGGGTTTAGAAAGTTTAAAATTTAAGAATGCACGTTCACGACGTGGATGGAGGATAAGAGAAGGAGACGCGGACCTAAAAGGTTAGAGACTGTGCTGAACGGAGCACGTTACCTGCACTACGACGCGCCACACACATGGGGCATTTCACAATTCCTTACCTTAAAAAATAACTTACATAATGATAAACATTATTTGAAATTTATTTTCCCATTTTTGACCAGCAAAAATTATAAACAAAATTTAAAACTTTCTTTATACAAAAACTAGAAATTATTGTTAACATTTCTTCATTTGTGAAATCTTAAAATAAATAGAGATAATAATCTAAAACTGTTACAGTTCTCCACTCTTGTACCTTCAGTTCCAAGGGTTCCACACCCTTCTGTACTGGAACTCAGGACTTCTGTCCCTCAGAGGTACTGTCTATGGACTATATGTGTACTGACTCTTACTACTACCCTTCCTTACTTTATCATTCTATTCCTTTGACCACCCCTTCATTCTTTGTTCATTCTATAGTCTCTTACCCTTTGTCTATCCCTTCATTCTTTGTACCTTTATCTTTGACATTCCTTTCTTTCATTCTTTATAGCTTATCATTCTTAAGTGGCTCATACTCCCTGAGTGCTCTTGTGTAGTTTAGTATATATAAGCATACAAGATCAGACTAGTCTAGTAGTCTTAATCTTGTCTACTCTAGGTAGTCCTGTACTCTTAGACTCACTCTATATACTCTACTCTTGTCTTACTCTCTCTCTCTGCCTGTTCTACAAGTTCTGACTATGTTCTAGTGCTTACATTCTGTATTTCTGTTGTGTAGGATAGTTGTAGCCTGAGTCCCCTTACTAAGCCTTTAGGTTCCTTCTACACTGTTACTAACATCAGATTAAGACTACCTATTACTACTCTACAACTCTCCTACATTTCAAGCATTAGTACTTACTATTGTGTTAATCTCTTTTCTTTGTCCTGACCCTTTTACATTTTTAAATTTTAAACTTTCTAAACTCTTTTAAACTTTTGTCACCCTTCTTCTATTCATTACCCCTTTTAGTTTAGTGCTAATTCCTTTGTAGTGTAAACATGAACCCTCCTACACTAACTGCCACCCCTACTGTCCTACTAGATTAGTAGTTACAAGTAGAACTAGCTTAATATGTGTAGACCTTTATTTAAGAGGCTTTTACCAACTATGTACCTCTAACCCCTTTAGAACCTGTTCCAATTGTTCTAGAAGTTACAACCTGTTTTAGAAAGAAAGTACATGTAGCCTACCCTTCAGACTTTAATGAGTAGCACTTTAAGGACTTCTAGTACTAAGTTGAACTATACATAGCTGCTACTTTGACCAATCTATCCTCAGATCTTAATTACATTCTATTTGTCCTCTCCTTTATGAAGGAAGGTAATACAGCCACCTAGGCCTAGAACTAGATTGAAGACTATTAGATTAGAAGTCTGATCTGACTTCAGAATAATGAGTTGTATTTAGAATTTATAGGACAGCTCTGTACTTCCTTTATCAATCTGAATAAGAAGTACAATGTGTAGAACAAGCTTGTGTCTCTGTAACAGGGTAAACATTCTACTAATACCTTCTTTCAGGAGTTTGATATTCTAGCCTAGAAGGTAGGATTCATACTTGAGTTTAATAATGTCCTTATTAGAATGCTTGAAAAAGCTCTTCACCCAGAACTGGTTAATAAGATCCTTAGAATAATACTAGAACTGGTCACTTACACTAAGTAGAAGATACACACCATTTCCTTCAACTAAGCTGTGACTCAGATGTGTCAAGTCTATATAAAATACTTGTACATGTATCCAGCTCTGACAGTTCTGAGCTCTTAGATTGATCCACCTATAATTCATAATCAATCTATTCTGATAGACATTAGAGAAGCCTAAAAGTAAAGAGTATACTTTACTTATAGAAAGTCAGGGCACTAAATTAAGGACTGTCTGTAGAAGTAACAGTACATCTGTTAGGTCATTAGAGTAATAACAAGTGACAAACAGGATTTGTAGTGAGAAGCCTTTTCTACAAATCCAAAAGTCACCTTAGAACTTCTAGACTCTAACTATATACTCTAGAATTTTGTAAAGGCCTAACAGTAAATATAGTACTGAAGAGTTATAACTTGGATTTTTTAATGGCTACTTTTGATTTAATAGACACTATAGGATTAGAAGTAAATAAAGTAGAAAAAGCAGAAAAAGTAGAAAAAATAAATTAACAAAATTATTTATTAGAAAGAAAAAAGTCAAAAACAAAAGTAGATAGTTCTCCTATTTCTCCTAATTCTTTTGATTCTTCTCTTTGTACTTCATCTGAGTCTAAATCTACACAATCCAACCTACTACTTCTACATTCTAAAATCTTAGAACATTCAGAATGCTACCTAGCCCTGTTTACTACTTAGTAGTTTGTTTATAGTATTAAGTAGGGATAGTCTCAGCTGAGTTTACAACTGAGAACATAAGTCCATCCTTGTTGAAAGAGAGAGGTTAATAAGGAAATGTTAGTGTATATACTTACTCTCTTAGATAATAAGACTGTACAAGCTGTACATTCCCTTCAGAACAAGTAGTAGTTTATCTAAGGACATTCTGAGTACTAGCTCTAAGTCCCTGTCCTCTTAGCTCCCTTCTTAGAATCCCTCCAGATCTAAACAATAGTTCTAGTAAACAGTAAATACACTAGTTTGTACATTAATAAGGCCTTTGTGTAGGAACACTACCTCCCTACTTAATGTGTTCTACTTCTAATCCTAGTATACAATGTAGACAGAACTCTAAACTGGAATGGTCAGATTACTAAGTTTGTCTAACTACAGATGACTATTTAGGATCATAAGGAAAGTATTGAGTTTAGAGTCACTAACCTTAGAAAGACAGATGTCTTCATTAGATTCAAATAACTTAAGGCTTACAACCCTACTATTAACTAGTTAGAGTAAACACTTGTGTTCAATCAGTGTTCTGAGTCTTACAACTACCTTGTACTACTGTTCTGAGTAAATGTGAATGCTTCTAATATTACTAACAGTTCTAATAAAGGTGACTAGTTGTTCTTCTTTAACTAGGATAAATATGTAGATACATATTCTAGTCAAGGTAGAACAGAGTCAATCTGAAGAATGTCTGAAATAGAACCAGTCTGAAACCCTCTCAGAATAACTCTACTCTAGAATGTATATAGACCTAGCCTGCCAGATTTTGTCTGAGAGTTCCCTAAAGTCTTTAGTAAAGAGGAATTTGACTAGCTTCCTAAACACTGTCTCTAAAACTATACAATTAAATTGACTAAGGGTTTCTAACCTAAGAATTGTAAGGTCTACCTATTTAACAGAGACAAGTAGGAGGCACTTGATGAGTTTCTTTAGGAAAATCTTTAGAACAACTGGATCCAACCCTTAAAGTCCTCTATAGTCTCCCCTTTCTTCTTTGTTAAAAAGAAAGATGAGAAGCTCTACCTAGTCTAGAATTATTATTGTCTTAATAAGGGTACTGTCAAAAACAAGTACCTACTGTTACAATTCTCTACTCTCTTACCTTCAGTTCTGAGGGTTCTACACCCTTCTGTACTAGAACTCAGGACTTCTGTCCCTCAGAGGTACTGTCTATAGACTATATGTGTGCTGACTCTTACTACTACCCTTCCTTACTTCATCATTCCATTCCTTTGACTACTCCTTCATTCTCTGTTCATTCTATAGTCTCTTACCCTTTGTCCATCCCTTCATTCTTTGTACCTTTATCTTTGACATTCCTTTCTTTTATTCTTTGTGGCTTATTATTCTTAGTGGCTCATACTCCCTGAGTACTCTTGTGTAGTTTAGTATATATAGGTATACAAGATCAGACTAGTCCTATAGTCTTGATCTTGTCTACTCTAGGTAGTCCTGTACTCTTAGGCTCACTCTATATACTCTACCCTTGTCCTACTCTCTCTCTCCACCTGTTCTGCCTGTTCTGACTATGTTCTAGTGCTTACATTCTGTATTTCTGTTGTGTAGGATAGTTGTAGCCTGGGTCCTCTTGCTGAGCCTTCAGGTCCCCTCTACACTGTTACTAACATCAGATTAAGACTACCCATTACTACTCTACAACTCTCCTACATTTCAGGCATTAGTACTTACTATTGTGTTGATCTCTTTCCTTTGTCCTAACCCTTTTATCTTTTTCCTCTACTTATCATTATCAGTCCCAAGCCAGATTCATCTCCAATAGTAAATAGTATCTAGTACACGTATTCTCGTCTCTTGGCCATGGCTACCGTAGAAGAAATAACCGATGAAAATGCCACGCGCGCACCACTGCATCGGGCTTTATCCAATGCAAGGCCGAAAGGTATCCTGAAGAATACGCCTGCAGCGACACCTGGCCCTCCCACTCCAGCAGCTGGACAACAGTATGTATCGATCATGTTATATCGGCGACATCCATGTATCACTCATGTCTCCGAATGCATACAGCCTGCAGTGGGATGAGCAGAACATCGCGGAGACAGAGATTCAGAAGGATAGTTTGATGAAGATCACAGAACCCAAGACTCCTTTTGTCCGATCTTACACTGTCGAAGATGATGAGATCGAAGGAGGTTCGCGTTGTTCGCTCCCGATCAAGCGCGTAGAGCATGTCTTACTTAGAAGCACTGCTTTCAGATATACCCAACTTCGACCTTGACGGTCGAGCCGGATCCTCCTCAGGTGCATCGCCAATCGATGCCAAACACTCCTCTCGTGGCACTACACCAGATGCTAGCGAACACGGTTCCCGTCGGACGTCGTTCTCGAGCTCTGGAAGGCCATCGATCTCCGGCAGACCCGGAAGTGGAGCTTCTAGTCGAAGCACTAGCTTCAGCCTTCCAAGTGAGACGATCAGGAAGGAGCTACGGGGAGAACCCGATGAAAGAGGGGAGATAGAGGAAGAGGAAATGGATGAAGAAGGTGCGTCATCTGTGGCGATTGAAGAAAGATTGACTGTAATCGGTGTGCTACTGTAGCATTAATGAAGCATAAGGCATTCTTACAAGCACGAGAAAGGCATTATTCTAATGAGGCTGAAGCGATGAAGGTTAGTTTCACCACATTGCCCTTATGATTGTCTATTGTTAATATTTCCTCTAAATGAACAGAGAGCTCAAGCGCTACTAGCAGCTGAGGACGACGATGCCAACGGCGATGACAAGGATGCATCCATGGAAGGCGAAGAGGAGGAGGAAGGCGAAGCCAGAGAAGTCAGAGAAGTCAGAGAAAGAAACGGTCCTCGAACGAATGGCATTGTATAACTGTTTGTTGGATATGGATAGTTGCACCGTAAGGATATTTGAAGACAATTATATGCTCGAAGTTTGTCCTGTTTTTGTATGCAATTCTTTTCAACACGTAAATAGCTTGTGATTCCCGTTCCGTTGGTTATGAATGAACTGAAGCATGTGAGCTTTCTCTACACGTTCCGTTGAGAAAATCCTACACACGAGGCGTAAGCATTTGATCTTCTCCGAAGGTAAATCCCTCAAAGGAAAATTTTAGCAACGTACTTTCCATTCGCTCTTCTTCTCCCGTCATCTCATTTGTACCGCGTCCTATTGTTAAAATGATATCAAATCAGGATTCTTTAGATGATACAACGGGAAAGGGTATCTTGCTGAAGGCAGACGGTATCGCAGATACATTCCGTGCCGAAGTTAAGGTTGGACTCGCTGCATGCTCTCATCCGCCAAAGCTTGTTGGCATTCTCTCGACATCATCACAGCCGAGCAGGATGTATGCCATGTTCACGAAGAAGCAATGTGAGGAGCTTGGATTTGAGTTCGTCTTACGAACGGTTGGCGCTGCTGAGTCGTCGGAGTTGGGAGAAGGGGAGGGTGTGGAGGAGGCGATTATTGAAGCGAATGAGGATGAGAGTGTGGATGGTATCATGGTAAGCTTGTGCTACAGAAATGAAATCTACCGTAGATTCACTATAAGAGATGTGTGTATGTAGGTGTATTACCCGATTTTCGGGGTGCAGCAGGTCTGTGTTCGTGTCAAATATCGAAAGAACTTTATTTTTTCATCAAAATACATAGGATCATTATCTGCAGCAGGTGCGCAGGAACCAACTATTATTCCATCTTCTATCTAGCTACTGAATATTAATAACATAGGTTGCCAGTCCGATCAAGGATGTCGAAGGCCTCAACGTCAAATTCCATTACAACTTATACCACAAGTACGTCTATGAGCCCCGCATATATGCGCACGCGTTAATATTCTAACACCGAGTGGAACATATCAAGCATCCGTTACATCGAACCTGCATCCGTTCTCTCTGCTGTAACACAGCAATCAGCATCCAACGCAGCTCTACCTGCAGTCTCAGATGACCCTCCTCCAGGAACTGTCAAGTCAATTCTCCCATGCACGCCCCTTGCGATCGTCAAATGCCTCGAGAACATCGGTGTGTATAATACGATCTTGAAATATGGAGACCGTGCGTATGGTAAGATTATCACGGTCGTTAACCGGTATGTTGGATCCTCCATCTTCATCTCGAAGTTATTATTATGAGTTCCTCGAGACTTATATCAAAAAAAAAACTCTTTTTTCTATTCTTTGAAATTTATTGATTGATAGATCGGAAGTTGTCGGTCGCCCACTCGCTGCACTCCTCGCGAACGACGGTGCGCGAGTCTTCTCCGTGGATATTGACTCTATCCAAGAATACACGAAACGTCCCTCTATACCAACCGACTCTGAAACCGGTGCAGCAGCCAGTATAAAAAGACGATATCATCCACACCACGTCGTCCGACCCAGTACAAAGTCCCTCGAAGACTGCCTCGCGATCTCAGACGTAGTAATCAGCGCTGTACCAAGCCCTTCATACAAGATCAAAACCGCATGGCTAAAAGACGGATGTGTTTGCGTCAACGTTGCGTCGGAGAAGAACTTTGAGAAAGATGTTCGGGAGAAGGTACGTATACGTATACGTTATACGTTTTGTGTTTTTGTGTTCTCGAAATGCCGCCGGCACTCAATCCATTTTGGGTTATTTAACTTCCCCTCCGAATCTCAATGAACATCATGCAACTCACTCATGCAACTCACTCATATATGAAACCTCGTTCTTGTTGTCGGTCTCAAATGGGTCTCACGTAAACGTAAACACAGGCTTCCATATATCTACCCGCGGTAGGGAAAGTCACAATCTTGATGTTGCTGCGGAATCTGTAAGCCTGTTTCATTCATTACAATACGTTGGGGAGATTGATCTCGGTCCACTTTGTAGGCTGCGCTTACGCCATTACCGGGAGCTCTTGAAGGAGTCTGGAAGTCAGGCCACCTAAGTGTGTGCTCACTATCAAAATGAAGTCCGGAAGGTAGATGTATCTCTATTGTCACTATATTTCGCGATCGTGTAGAGCTCGCATACGAGGATGAACAGGGTGGTGCATTAAATAAGTAGTATCTGTTGTAAATATTAGATTCGTTTGTGTGCATGGTCATCCAGGAACGAGAAGTAAGCGGAGAGAAGCAAATAGTCCGACGAGTCTCACGGAATCGGAGACAGCAAACATAATTATATCTAATTCTTTTTATGCGACAGTGTCTCGCTGTTGTCCGGCGTCGGCGTTCGACTTGGTGGGAAACTTGCAGAGACCGGAGTAGCTGCGCTAGAGCTCGGATCATTGGGGAACAAGTGTAGACGCTTGCGATGAAACTGGAATGACCGATGAGTAAGAATACGGTCCAAAGAGAACATTGAGATCTGCGAAGACGTACCATGGGAAGCTTGGGCAGTAGGTTGAAGATAAGAGCCGTCAAATTAATTGCGAAGATCCATGGATCATAATGGGTATAGTGCGTCGAAAGTAGAAACCTGGCGGACATTCAGATTGACTGTGGAAAGTAAAGAAAGGTGTGTTCCACGTACACAGCAATAGGGAAACAGAAGAGCCATTTCTTTGCCGGCGTATATTGCGCTCCATCGTCGATCTGTTCCCATAGTGTTAAATCATCGTAGGCACCGCTATGCAACTCGCTTTGGAAGGGAATTCCGGTGACACCGTGAAACATTAAGTATGTCAACTGCGGAATAGAATTCTGTGAGTCTGAGGCTCAGAGTCATAAGTCGGCAACAGACGTACTGCATTGTAGAGCAGATTGACTGAAGTCCAGCTTATTTGCGGAGTCATTCCAGGTATGCTATCTATCATGGCCTTGCCCAGTAATGATAGTAAAGGGTGCATCGCCCAAGCGCCTATATCCGTTCGTCAGCAGACGTAGTGACGAGTAAGTGGTGACGGATGGGGAGAACACACCCTTGCGGTTGACCCATTCTACATTAACGTTGACATACATGCTCTGGTCGAGCATCTGCTCCTGAGTATCTTGGACCTTCTCGACCTTGACGAGACTGTTGGAGCGGGGACGCCCCTTTAAGCGGACGCCATGGCGTGATGGGGAAAGAGAGCCTGTGATCTGAATGGGCGACAGTTTGACTGCCGGCGACATTGGCATTGCAGTAAAGGAGAAGAAGAGATGCTCAGTGTATGTGGTCAAGATATGCGCAGTAGGGTGGCGAATGGGGGAAACGTGTACACCGAGGCCGAGAGAAAGATGTCTGGCTCCTCCTCGTCAGAAATATATCCGTCACGTGCCACTAAAGCTCTCTCGCGCGTCATACTCAGCACCGCGTCTCACTCAACCGTGTTTCAGCCCACAGCTACTGCGACGATGCTGCTGCAATGGGTCGTGCTAGAGCCACAGGGACCCGGAAACCTTGCTTCCGTACGCTTCTCATGTCCTGTTCGGGTATACTCACTTCGAATTTTCCCCACTGGCGCCCGTCCTTTCAAACTCCAGGAGGACATCGTAGCGTATGCCAGCTTCCCATCTCCAAGTCCTTGAACTGAAGCTTCACCAGGGAAACTGAACCGAGCTCGCTATATCTCGATGTCTACTTCAATGCCATTCCCATTAGTACAGACGGGAAGCCTAGACCCAAGCCGAGTAATGCGCTTGTACCAACCTCCATTGCCTACCAAGGAGGTCAAGTCGAATTCAAGATCGACTCTGACAACGCAGAGGTGTGATATATGATTTTCATTTTATTTTGGCATACGCACTCACGAGATCCATTACAAGTTTTCGACACGTCTCATGATTGTACGGGGCAACTTCCAGAAACTATCCCTCGCAATTTATGGCGAAATAGTTTCTGATGAGCAGAGCTCCCCACAATCTTATGTTCCCAAGCAGGTCCCTCAAATATCTTACAGCACGCTTCCTCCAGCATTAGATCCAGCGAATAACAGTAATCCAACCGAACTTGCTCAGAGTCTACTGACTTTAATACCGCTGGAGCAGAGGCCGAGTTTATCCCTAATCATCCGGCTCATGTTTTGTTTAAAGCCATCAAATGAAGATTGGGAGGAAAAAGAATTTCCGCATTTGTATACCGTATTAGACCAGGAGGTGGAAGACATGAACCTTGAAAAGGCAGTGGAGATGACATCTCGTCCGGTATCAGATGCAGTGGATGAGAAGGTCTTGCTGGATTTTGCTGCGAAACTTGGGGATTCTGTTGATGAATATGTTAGTACCAGACCCAGACAATGTGCGGTAAGGATGACAATGTCATTTTTCTTTGCTTTAGAACGACGACCAGGCATACTTTTTGGCAAAATTACTTTCTCAATGCGCACCTCAGCATCCCCTATTGGTCCAATCCATAACAGTCAGTTGACTAGATAACTTCACATAGCGCTGTATGACTAACACGTCCGCAGGAGAATATCGACCTAGTTCGAATGTACACGGAACCAAACCTGGATCGACCAACTCTCCTATACCTTCTTGACGCTGCCGCGAACCTGGATGTATCTCGGCGGCTGAACGATGAACAAACTCTTAACGCGATTCTGCACATTCGAGATAATCCTTCGCAGGAGGAGGGTGCGCGGCGTGCCGCTAATAGACTGTTTAATAGGATAAAAGGATGGGAAGTCCTTGAAGATTCTCTCTTGAATACTCAGGCTGCCTTCGGTGTCGCCGCACATCTCATTAGAGAGATCGCTGCTGAAGAAAACTCTTTTGGTATTTGGCTTGAAAACATGACGTCAAACCATGAGGTGCTAGACCGGCTGCAGGAAACTCCACCTACGCAAGCGATTTCCCATCCACCGGTTATGTGGCAGGACGTTCAGACAGTATCTCACGACGACTTCATTGCTTTCATCAGGGCCGCGGTGGGCGTAGCGGCGGCAGTCGCCGTATATGCATGGGCAGATAGCGTGCCAGTGGAAGTGTGCCGTGAGCGAACTCTGGCTGTCCTCCGTTTATGGCAGAATGTGCATGGCTACAGAGAAGTAGGGTCTTTTAGTCTGTTGACTGTCGTCGGACACTCGCTCATTCTGTCATCCAGATTGTGAATCACTTCATGCTTATGAGGCAAATGGGTTATCGCTTAGAGTGCATGTTACCACTTGACGACGATTTACCCTCCCAGGCCGGTATTGACGCAGAACATATTCTGAAGATATTGGCACAACAACCAAACTCAATGCTGCGCCCAGACTTCGTTAAGGTCATGCAGAACCTGCAAGTACCGCTAAATTACATAACGGACAATGAAGTGATGGAGTTCAAGCGCGCGTCTCGTATAGCGAAAGATGGGCTATACGGCGCGGTTAGTTTATTGACGAGAACACCTGACGAACTCGACCCCATGGAGAGACGACTTGACATTCGAGTAGCCATCTCCGTTGTCATTGATGTACTTGAGAAGCGTTTTACAGGCGAAAAGGAGCTACTCGAAACCGTCTGGGATCACGGGCTAAACGGACTTCCAGTATACCTCATCCAACACCTCATAAAGTCCAGCACGGAGTTGCGGACGCAGTTTGATCTGACTGTCCCTCATGGAAGGTCCCAGCCGGAAATAGCTGCGGAGTTCCTCAACTGTCATGACCTCCTACGGCTGCTCACTCGCCTACTTCCGAGCTATCCACCCCCAACGCGGGACATTGCGTTACTCGCCAAAGCCGTTGCCGATATATTCGTGTGCACAGATGCAGCTGATTTGATCTACACACAAGAAAGTGCTGTCTGTGCAGCGTCGCATTCCGTGCGCCAGATGTGCATTGATACACTTATCACGCTTGTGGTACCTGCTACGTTGGACGTACAAAGCTCAATTGGATCGAAGACCGTCCTTAAAACGCTCCTTACGTACGCAGCCAGCCCCAGGGGTCATGATGCTTCTCACCACATGACGCAATCCTTCTGGCTTCTAGACCATGTCCTACCATCCGCACTTTCATCTAACTGGCAATCGGTTCCCGAAAATGGACGAAGGAGATGGGTCCGGGAGGTCATTCCCGCTATTTTATCCGAGCTACAAGCATTCTACGGGTTACAAGAGGTGGATAACAAACTACATCTTATCAGACGTTTCAGGGATCTCGATGATGGTTGTACCGGTGTTGCGGAATGGCTCCTACGGGATGAAGTCAAGCGTTTGCGGAAGACTGTAACATTTGTGCAGCAGACAACATCCACCGACTCACTCGAGCAGCGCATGGCACTTTGGAGCGTAGTGAGCTCTGGAAACGTTCTCTCCTCGCTGATGCAAAGTGCATCCGATACTTCCCAATGGGCGATCAGGACGCTTTTACGAGAAGAGAGTATGAGATTACTTTATTCGACTCTGAGCGAACTTTTGGATGTAAATATCTTTTTCGAGGCTATTGGGATTGTAGCCGTTGCACTGAGCTCGCATGCAACAGAAGAGGATCATCTGTTACGAACCTCGATCATGTCAACCTTACTTCGAGCAACTCGATGTGGCAAATTCGACGCTTTCACATCGCTTCTTAGCCTCTTGTCCGATAGCGAAGAATCACTGTTCGACGAAAAGGCTGGGCAGGAATTTGGCGAAGCACTCGAACGAATCGCTTTAGCTATTCATGATAATAGAGAAAACCTACCTTCAGACTTTGCAAAATCAGTCTTTGGTGTCTTAGAAAAGGTCACTCCAATGAACAGGAGCAGCGGTGTTTTCGTCCTCCTCGGGCTCACGAACGAATCATTCAACGCACTCACCCAATGGCTCTCCGACTCTCTCCCAATCGTCCAAAAGACGAAAATGGAAGCAATGAAGCTCAGGTGGAGCGTAACCGGTCATCCTCGAGATTCTTCTTCTCCACCTCTATACATACCAACCACCTACACACCCAGCTTATCCATCGAGAACTGGGAAACACTCCTCTCACCACCCCTACCCATTCCATCAACACCTACCCGTCGTTCGCCTCTTCATTCCGCAGAGATGTTAGGCATGATAACCGTCTCACCACCAAACGCCCTTCTTCGCTCACCAGAAGTCAAAGGTCTCACGAAGACGTACTCGAATAATGATTTTCGAAGTCTACGTCAGCAGTCTTCTGCGAGACAGAATACGAGTCGGCTTCCTAGTAGACATGTTGATGTATGTTTATTACTTACTTACTAAAAATCCTTTGGATTATAGCAATGTTCTTATTTTATTTATTTTTAACGCAGGATTTCGAACAAGGATCATCCGTCTCCCCCATCGCTCCCTTGAACCTCGGCATATCAGCCTCCCCACCTCCACCCATAGCTTACCCCGTTCCTGTTTCCGTCTCACTCCCGCATCGTCCTACGATGCCTATCGACCCGAGTCTGCCTATGAACCCGATGTATTACCAGCAATAATGTTCTGTTCATAATGTAATGGAATGTAAGATAAAATATAATGCCGAAGCGGTGTACCTGGTTTGATCTTGCACTCTTCATTGATTTTTGATTTTTCTTCTTCTATTGAGCGTGAAGAGGTTCTCAAAAGCTATGTACTATTGGTGTGAAACCCACCTCATCCATCATTCACAATAAGACAGGCATTTTCATACGCCTACCATCGATTCATCATGAAAGTAAAAAGGAAAGAAAGCTACATGCATACATACATAAAAACACAGTACGCTCATCACCATCACAAAATAAGATTAAACTTCGAACGTTAAGTGTTAGTTCGAAAGTAAGAGGAGGAAGAGAGGCACCTTCATAAGTAACTACGCAGCAAGCCGTTTTTTTATTCCAGCATACATCGAAAGGGAAAAAGAAAGAAAGAAAGACAGCAGAGGAGGGGAGGGAAGAGGAGGGGAAGGAAAGATGCAATAAAAAAGGGCACCATAGGAAAAGAGACAAGAAAAATATAAAAATATTTTATTTTACTGAGAGGAAACGAGGACGCATAGCTGCTAGCTACTCAATCCACCAACCAACCCTGTTTCACTCATTTCTATTTATTACGCGGTACCACTCGAGTTATTGGTAACACTAGGTACGTTATCGTCAGTCGGCGATACAGACCGTGGCGTAGGTAAACTCGCAGGTGTCTCTTGCACTTCCCTTTCTCGAGGTGGCATCGTCGCCGCCGCTGCCGGAGGCCGATCCAACAACTCGTGCCGGAACCACGGGTCAAACTCCATAGACTGTTCGAAATCAGTCAGAGTCCCACCACCAGTGGCACTACTGTTACCGCTTCCTTCAGGACGAAGCAGCGTCGACGTCGCAGCAGTACCAGTACTACCAGTAGAAACGGGAGGCGGCGAATGCGAATCCCCAATCAACGCTCTCGCCAACATCTCAGGAACAGAAGAAGAGGGTTCAGGCGGGAGTATCGAGTCTGCAGGAGGGAGAGGTAAGATCGTCTCAGGTGGTTGAATACCACCACGACGTAATAAATGTGGAATCCTCGGAGCCCCAGGAACGGGAGGGAGGGTTCGCCAATCCGCAATTATATCCCCAGATGCCTGACCAACGGTGTTATCGTTCTCTCGTGACTCGCGCAATAAGGTGTTACGTGCAGATCGTAAAGAAGGACGTCTCGAATCTGCTGCTACACCCGAAGCTTCTCCATCAACAGAAGAAGAAGGCGAAGAAGTTCGAGTCCCGTTGTCCCTCCCAGTCGGACTAGGCGGGTCAAATAAAGCGGCTCGGGGCAGATTTTCATACGAAGTAGACGTCGGCAGAGGCGGCGGTCTCGGAGCCATCGTGCCTAGTCTATGGCTCAACCTTCTACGCGTCGTAAATTCCGCAAACTCCGAAGAGGGCAAACTAGACGCAGAAGACGTCGGCGGTCTAATGATCGCTCTACGATTCGGCCTGTAAATACTATTCCTTCGCACAAGCGACGTAGCATTTCCACCATTCCCACTCTGACTCCCTTCATTAGTGCTTCCGCCTCCGGAACCGAATACGGACGACCACCGGGGACGACTCCCAGGTGGCCCAAAATGATTATGTGGGACAGGCAGCTGGCGTCCAGGAATCGACGCAGTATCAAATGGATAAGGACGATATAGAGCAGACATATCGTTCTCGCGTGTCGACGGCGGAGAGAAAGCTGGTCCTGGTGGATACGCACGTGGATTCCCCAATTGCCCTCCTCCTCCACTATAAACATCATACAGCGCCGAGTCAATACGTGCACCCTCCATCACACCCATCCCATCTGACATCCCGAAATCATCTTCATCCTCGTCTGAGAGTATCCCTGATGTATGGACGTGCGTTGTCGACCTGTTCCTCGAGCGGCTGTAAAGTTGGCCCTGGTACGTCCCGGTCATGGACAAATTATGCAAGTTTTCGACAGTACGCATGGATATTAGTCGTCTGTCCTCTGGCGTTGGCCGGGTCCGGCGGTCTGTAAGCTCCTGCTGCGCGGTCAGAAGACATGACTGGTCTACATATGCACCCGACACACACCTTCAAGAGAATCTCAATAAGCGTCGTCGTAAACGAGTCGTCCTCGTCGAGGCTCTCTACAAAGGCCTCGTACGTCATCAAGGGCTTGCTCTTCTCATCTGCCCCCTCCTTAGACCGCCTAATTGCGCCGTTGCTAGAAGTGAAGGGAGAGAGGCGGTAAGGTAAGTGGCCCAGAGACGGAAATGCTAACACCGAAGACGATTTTCTCACATAATGGCCTCAATCTTGGCGACGAGTACTTCATCTGTGTGTCTGAGCGTCCTGAGGAGGGAATGAGGGAGTGTGAGAGGAGAGGGAGAGGAAACGCGCACCAGCGACCCATGGGTAGTAGTTAAGTATATAGCGGTAGGAAGCAAGTCGTCAATCTCCCAGATCAGACAGGCCCCCGCTACCTAGACCCTGACCGCCCCGGGGCGTGGGAACTCTCAGCTCTATTTCAGTGTTTGCTTCCCTTTGGCGAAGGACCCACAATTCAACTCACATTGGCCTTGATTCAATGATTGCAAAACAAAAACGACTCATATTATCACAAAAGGGTAATGAACACTACATTGGTATCCGAAAAGGAAGAAAAGTAAAAGAAAAGAACACCGCTCATTATTATTCTGTACCACTCCCTGAGCCATTCAACTCTCCCGTCTCTGAGCCCGTCCCATTCTGCCCTTGTGTGCTTTGGCCGTTCTGACCATTCGTAGGGGCAGCTCCTGCTCGAGGAGCGGAAGGCGCGGCAGTACCACGGTCCCCTCGTGAGCTCAGCAAGCTCTGGAAGAAGTTCTGCAGAACTTCGTGTTGACTTTGTCCAGGTGGTGGACTTGGCCCACCTAATGGTCGGCTGGACGTCGACTGGCCCAGAGTGGAGTTAGCCAGTCCGCTTGACGCCCGTGCAGGCACATCCTACATCACAATCAATTAACAAATCACAACTTTCCTTTGATCAAAGTCCTGTTACTCACCCTCCTTCCTCCTCCTACTTTCCTATCCCCACCAGCACCAACACCAGCACCCGCAGTAGCGAACCCACCCTCCATCTCCGTAAGTGCCTTCTCAACATTCGGCAGGTTAAACGAACTACTACCCATCGGACCCACAATACCCGCAGCGATCTGTCCAGGCATCTCGTTCTGATTCCGGAATGCCGCTCGCGGATCCCGATCACCCTTCTTCGCATTCTCGTCATAGTTCTTCGCAAGGAAGGCTTGTTCCGGCATAGGCTCGTTGAACGGCGGAAGTGGATGAGGCTAAGAATAAGAATACCATCAGACAAATTCATTTACTCGTAGTGAAACCGGAAAAAGACAGCAAACTTACCTTGATACCTCGATCCGGTACAAGGTCAGAGTATAGAGACCGTGCCCCACGCTCCGCACCCTTACCCTCAGCGTCAACATCGGACTGCAAGTCATTATCCCACGCTTCTCCCCACATCTTGGCATCAAACCCATCTCTAAGAACCGCGATCTTTCCCCAGCTGTCCCAACCAATAGGTACGAGGATCCTGTCACGATCCAGTATATTAGGCTTTTCTGTGAACGGGAATGGATTCCGATAGTGTGCGGCGGACTCTGTTGCGAGTCCTGGTGACGGCGCTGCGGGTACGAAGAGCATGTGTAGTGAGTATTGTCGGAGGTTGTGTAGTGTTTGAGGCGTTTGGGTGGTATAGAACAAAGCAGCACCATCTAAAATTAAAATCGCGGTTAACATAGATACAGAGTCAAGGAGTAAAAGCCTGTCTGCAATAACCACTTACACTTCAAACATATCACCCGCAACACCTGCATAATCCCATCTGTCTGTTCTTCCCACTCACTTCCCTTCCCTTTCACCATACCACCCATCCCAGCAGAGCCGCCCACAAGAGGATCTGCCTGGTCGTCAATCAAGTCTGCTTTTGCACACACCACAATAATCGGTACGCCAGACGTATTGTGCGTTAACGTCCCAGGACCAAGGGGAAGGAGTGTATCGCCCATAGTAGATGACGTAGGTAGGGTATCCGACATAGGTTCGGTATACCGTTGTATATATGATTGTACTTGTCAAAACACAGGTCGTCAGATCATTAGAACAACCGGGCTCTCAAAGGAAACAACTCACATCTCTCCCTATTTTCCTCCCGTAACACATCAAGATCGCGTGAACCATCCCCTTTTACCCATGCCTCGACCCAAGCAAGCCACGACTGAAGCTGTGACACGAAAGTCCAAGGTTTAGTCCAGTCCAGTACGATCATAACCGCTGAGTGCGGTAGTGCCGCTCGCGGAGGTACGAAATGCGGAAGGAGGGCAAGATGTGCAGAGGCTGAGCTGGGAACAGCGTATACGCTTAGTCGCGCCAGGGTATCTATTCAAATCATGTAAAAAAACAATTGGCACAAAACGAATTACACAGGACAGGAGAACGCGAAAACGCACCCTCATCCGCATCATCCCTCACATCTGCCCAATCATACCCAACAGCAAAGTCATAACCCTCTTGCTTATCTTCAGCAACGGGTTTCCTTAAAAGTGCTGCTGTAATTGTAGATTTGCCCGAGGAAGATTCTCCGAGGAGGAGAACTTGCTTTGAAGGGATTGAACGTGAGGAAGAGACTGAGTCGAGGATAGATGACCAGAGGTCCTGTGGTGGTTCCTCTGGGGAGCTTGGACGAGAGTCTTCCATGATACCAGTTAAGTTATAGCGTGCACTTTATTGGTGTGATTGCAAGGGTCGTGTCTGAGGTGTGCAGTCAGAAGCAGAGTAAAGGAAAGGAGAATGAATGAAAGTGACCGAGACGCGTTGCGTTGTTCACTGTTCCACTAGTGCTACCGTTCCATCACTCGCCATTTGAACCTTGTATCAAACATACACAATGAACACAGCAGCAGCAGACCTCCCAAAACACACTCTCTACGAAGAAACCGGCTTTAGGAGCATCGAGATATTCAACTGGCGTATCTCAGTAACCACCAAACCAATCGTCTCCGCCTCAGAAGCCGACAATCTCCAAAAATCACTCGGGATCCCTTTACCTGAAATGACCTTTGGGCAAAACAAATTAGAACTATTCCATATTCCGAGCGGTTGGAAATATGCGTTTGATACGACCAATGCGTTGAGGGGTGTACGAAATGGTGAATTAGGACCTGGGGATGGGGCGGTTAAGGTTGGTTATGCAGATGCGTGGATTAAGAGTCGGTGAGCGTGCGTCTCCCGCCGCCTAGTACTGAACGAGCCAAATGCTAAAAGAACTACAGGACAGAACCTGGTACTCTACTCCCGATGCCGAAGACTGTACCTACAAAGCCATATGATTGGACGTACACCACAGTATATGCGGGCCATGAAGGCGAGGCAAACGCGGGGCACGATATCAAGACTTTCGTGCCTGCGGATACGGAGAACCCAGCGCATACGATCCCCATAGCTGAATTGACAAGACCAGATCCGATACTATTTTATGCTGAGGTTCCTCTATTTGAGGATGAACTGCATGATAACGGATCATCACATCTACTCGTACGAATCGTAAGTAATCTCTCTTCATGTCTTATCCTCCCTGGATGTATTCAACAGCAATAATTAATGATTTCGCTTGTGATCTAGCGCGTAATGCCAGGATGTATATTCATCCTCTCACGTTTCACCCTCCGAGTAGATAACGTCCTCTTCCGCACGTTCGACACCAGGATATACCATTCATTCATCAGCTCACCTCCACTCGTTATCAGGGAGTCAAGTGGATGGGAAGCACCTTACGATGATGTTAAAAGGGTGAGTCTTCTACCTTCATCTTCATCTTCGTCCTCGTCCTCATTATTTATTTTCGAATTCTCAATTCACGAATCTTTGTTGACATCAGTTCCTACCGAAGAAGACCGACCTTAGTCCTTTAACGGACGCAAACTTCATCGCGAAGACTCTTAGCTCACTTCCGAAGAGTAAATCACAGGGAGAAGGAGCTGGGACAGGTTGGAGGGCGCTAGGGACAACTAATGAAGTTGCCGTTTTGAAGACAGCCCCAGCCACTGCTTAGTATTTGTCTTTGTATTAGAGTCAGAGTAGTCTGTACGAAATTATGTACTTTTATCTCAATAGAAGAGGAAGTCCTTTTATGGAAGTGATCGACGTAATTCCGTCCTGCCCTTCTTCTGCTCTGCTTCTTCTCAACCCGCCAGTTGATATCTTGAAAATGGACGTCTCAGACATCCTAACCGCTCAAGCGGAACGACAGTAAGTGAAAACAACATAGGACCGGTAGTCTTGAGAAAAACTTACAGAGACGGTCCTGCAGTAACGCTATAACCGTCGAGAAGGACATAGACCTCCAACTCGACATTGGTTATTTAACGGTCACAGACCCAAATCCCATCGACAAGGACGAGTACACGTACGCCCTCATCTTTTAACCTATTACAATACTGATTTATGAACGCGAACACATACAGCCGCGACCTCGAAGCCCACCTCCACCAAACCGCCCGCGATAGCATCCAATCCCTCCTCACCTCCCTCCTCCAACTCCCCACCCAACAAACTCCCGACGGTCCCCTCACACTCCTCCCACCACCAACCACCCTCCTCCCTCGCTCCAAACCCCTCCCCAAACCCAAACCTCCAACCAAATGGGAGAAGTTCGCAGCTGCGAAGGGTATCACCAAGAAACGTAAAGACAAGAAGGTATGGGATGAAGAGAGGGGAGAATGGGTTGATAGGTGGGGTTCGAGGAGTGCGAAGAATAAGGAGGGAGAGGGGGAGTGGGCGACGGAGGTTAAGGCTAATGCTGGTATGCTTTTCTTACTTGAGGTTTTTCTGATCCTTGTGTCTCGAGTTCTTTTCTTTTCTGTTGTCATTTCTTCACTGACGCTCATTCACCTACTCACCTATCTTCCCCTAGATGTAAACGCCAACCCAGAAAAAGACCTCCGCGACGCACGCAACGCCCGAATCTCCAAAAACAAACGCCAACAACTCCAAAACCTCGCCTCTACCACCCGCGACCAACGTAAATCAGAAATCGAGCGCACACTCGCTACGACGCGCGCTAGTACAGCTAGTATGGGCAAGTTCGACCGTACCCTGGAGGGAGAGAAGAAGTTGAGGGGTGTTAAGCGGAAGGTACGTTACTTTTTTTTAATTTTTTAATTTGTATTTTATGAATATGATACTCATTGTTTTGTTTCTCCTCCAGTTCGACCCTACAGAGCGCTCTGTAGAAGACGAAAAAGCAGCTTCGTTAGCTCTCATCTCAAAACTCGACTCCTCAGGAAAGAAGAGCAAGAAAGAAGGCGACGACGTCTTGAATGTTCGCAAAGCGATTCGTCATGCAAGCAAAGGCAAAGGCAGCATCTCCCTAGCTCAGGGCGCTTCGTCGAAGAAAGGTTCAAAGTCGAAATCAAGAGCGGGAGGAAAACGTTGATTCATCTTGTCTTAACCTTCCTTTTATCCCATGTACCTGTCTTTTGCAAAAGCTGTCTATTTTGTCTGGCAACGTACTTTGTATTGCTCGACTAAAAAATACTATTACTACTACTACTACTAAATACATAACAACAATGCCCGTAGACGAAAAACCGAAAGTTCCATGAAACCCATCTCTACGACGACGACGGAGGCAGCCTATCAAGCTTAGCCTTGCCAGAATCCAACCACTCCTGCTTCACAACCACATCTCTATTCTCACAATATATCTTGAATACCAGCTTAACGGTACTCTCGCTAACACCAGCATTCTCACAGAGGTCCTTCATCGTCATCGGTACCCCGAGGAGCTGCGTAGTGAAATAAATCGAGCCACTAGCAATCGAGATAGGACTCCGCCCATCCGTGAATGCATGCTCCTTTCCGATCGAAATGATCTCCGAAGCAGTCGACTGCACCAAGTGCGGCAGACCAAGATGATTGCAATAACGTGCAAGAAGATCCTGCGGGTTCGTCGTCGTTGCCGCTGGATCAGGACGTGAATTCTGCGTGGTATTATTCGAACCCGCAGCAGCAAGGTTAAACGCTTTCTCGAGCGTCTTATAACACTGTCCCAAAGTTTTCTTCGGTACATGTGTAAGTGTACACATCTCGCGAAAAGTGCGCGGTACGTGTGCCTGCCGACATGCAATAAAGATGCACGCTGCAATGACTGCATCGAGACTTTTCCCCCGCAGAAGCTTCTCCTCATCCGCACGTTTATACAGCTGCTTCGCGATATCGCTAATCGTTTTCGGCAACGAGAATTGGTCACACCAACTCGAGATGTCGCGGAATGCCTGTAGCATGTTACGCTCTGATCGCGTATTTTGCGACCGCGACGCTGCCCTTTGCAATTCGCGAGCCACTCCTGATCCACCGTCTTTGTAGCTGATAACTGTGTCCATCTGCTCCATACCTTCCATTAGTGGATCAATGGCAGCACCGACACGTGAGGGGTCATCACCCTCGTCGTTCGCGAATGTCTAATACAATGAAAAGTAGAAAGTAGGGGTCAAGCGTGTCTAGATAACAGACACCGCAAAACAAATACTTACACGCCACTCGCTGCGCGTGTCAACGACACGGTCGCCCAGGATTAGACCGCAAGTCCCACACACGAGGTCGCCACTGCCAAACTCCTCAATGATGTTCGGATTAGGGTCTCGACACTCCGGACAGACGAGGCGAACGGCCAGATCAGGGCCAAAGACATTCTTAGGCAGCTGGTTTGCCTGCGGGGACGCGAGCGGGAAGGGCTGGGCGTAGGCCATTGCAGGGTTTGCTGACTTAGTAAATGAGGTGGCTGAGGTGGCTGGCGGCGGCGGCGACTCTGCGTGTGCAGGCAGACGGACAAATTCTGGGCGCCCGGTCGAACAAACGAGTGCAAGGCGAGCTGAAGCTAACTGAAAGGTTCAATGCATATTCTGACGACGTTCTGGACGTCGCCAGACACTTACCAGTTCACCTGAGAGGTTGAGAGACAACAAACGAGAAAGACCAGAGAAAGGAGGATGGTGGTGGTCGCTGACGAAGAGAGACGGCGCAAACAAAGCGCGAGTCACTCCTTCGTTATAGCCTCGGAGCCTTACGTAAGTGCAAACATATACTCAGCAGCGACACAGGCAACACCAATTTTATTCACATTTTTTTTACTAAAACACCCCCAAACGAGCTCGCAGCGAAGGGACAATAAACAAAGCATATTGCGATACAACTGATCTGCAGTCGAATACAAACCGTAGTGGATTAGAATCCAAGAGAGCACAAGCATCAGAAGCAGGGTACTCGAGAAATGAAGCAAATATCAGAAGACGGAAACAAAGCATCGTGGATATGAGTATCATGTCATGATAAAAAAAATGAGATGAGTATTGGCTGAAAGTGGATGATTGGACTGTATGAATGGTTGTATGTATGTATAAGCATGTGTGAATGTCAGAACAGAGCCCAAACCTGAATGCAAAACGAGAAACGACATAAGCCGCCAAGATGAAACAAAAAACAACACAGCGCAACGGTTCAGAGAAAAAACAAAAATTAAAATCGCAATGAGAAGGGAAGGAGAAAATAAGAAGAAAGTAACAGTGATTGAAACGGGAACGAAATCACTCGACTAGGCTAGTAGTACACTGGTGGCTGTTGGTGCGGGTCCGTATGATACGGGTCATACTGTCCATGTTGCTGCGGCATCTCCACATACGCAGGGTAGTACTGCTCCGGATAGTAGTACTGCTGTTGGTACGGTGCGTATCCCATCATGCTTGGATCCATACCAGCCGGTTGAACATGAGGAGGCTCCTCGCTTCCAGGAGACAATGACGCAGCGCCTTCCGATACTTGATAGGTGGGTTGTGGTCCCATACCGTTCATCATCTCTGGCTGATAGTATACCGGGCCAGGAGGATATTGCTGGGCACCATACGACATCGAAGCAGACTGCTGGTGGTGGGTCTCACCATTCACCCCTGCAGTCGTCGAGCTACGCAGGCTTGATGGACGGCGCTCCATCTGTTTTACGCGGAACTGTCCATCGCTTGTATCAGTGGGCGCACGTATCTCAATGCGACTGTTCTGGCGCGGCAACGCGAAAATCGGCTGTCCAGTAGACGGGTCAACGATGCCACCAAGCGTTGGAGTTGGCGGCGCCTGCATGTACTCTCCTGAAAGGGAATGGTGGTGCATATGTCCGGGGACAAAGGGTATAGGACGTGGATTGAAGATATGCATTTGCGGAGGCGGAGGAGTAGGTTGTAAGTACACAGGACGTCCGCTAGCAACTTCATACGCATAGCCTTGCTGGTTGAGTGCAATACCAGGTGGCAAAGAGGGCGGATATGCGTAAGGTGAAGAGGCGTAAGCAGGTGTCGGTTGAACAGGCGGTGGGAAGGACGTCTGGATGCGAGGGGGCATAGGGCCTGGCATTGCAGGTGCCATATCAGGAGCGGCCTTTTCTTCCTCCAAAGTGAGCTGTGCAGTTCCATCCGTGATTCCAGACGCGTCCGCGACGGATCTGTCACTTAAAGAACTTTCCCTGGTGAGAGCGGGAGTCGAAACCGCATTATCTTGAGTAGGCGGTTGAGGTAAAGTGATAGAGCTTTCCAGCCCTGAAGGTTGGGGATCCGGAACGGCCGGTTGCTCAACGGAGGGCGGCTCCGGTATCGGTGCAGCGTCAGAAGGAAGATCTTCAACAGTAGTGATCGGTTCCGGTTGAACGAATGATTCCTCCGCGTCTTTCCCTGCTGAAGGCCTCGGTAGATTAACAACGACCATTCTCGAACCGGCATCGGTAGATGCAGTCATCTCCGAAGGTGGCTGAGAACGCAAGCCCGAAACTTCGTCCATCGCTTTCTGCGGAGCAGGAACGCGAACGATCTCTGAGCCTTTCCCGGGCAGACTCACACGGAAACCGGCAGGTTTACCATGCTTCGGTCTAAGAGACGGCTCGGCGTATAAGAATCCCTCGAATTGCTTTGTCCAGACGTGCTCAGGTTTCATCGTGTACCATGGTCTGTCGGGCTGAGAACGAAGTCGCTGCGCAAAGGATGATCCGCCCCGAGACGAGGTTGGTGAAGACACATTTCGGAAGGAGCCACGGCCGCGAGGGACAAATCCACCACGAGATGGTCCTGCTGTTGCGTTGATTGCGCTGTTCCGTGATGCAGGCCGATTCTTAGCCTTGCGTTGTTCTAATGCACGTCGACGTTCTTCTCTAGCCTTCATCTCCTCAAATCCGTCGTGCGTCCAAGCCTTCTCAATTGGTGGTAGTTCAGGATTGACATTTGGTACACCCTCAACAGCGTTGGAGGAATCTTCTGGTTCTGCTGGTGCCTCTTCGTCTTTGGGTGCAGGCCTATAGCCGCCGAAAAACCCACCTCGGCCGCGACCACGCATGCCCCTTCCGATGAATCCACCACGACCCCGCCCTCTTCCTTGCCATCGCCCTCTCCACCAACCACTCAGACTGCGCAAATTCCTGTCCAATAGCCGATCATCATGGCCCCAGAATTCGCCTACGGTCGGCACAAATGACGGATCATTTTGCAACCGTTCCTGATATGCTTGCCTAGCAGCTTGACCGGTCAGTCGAGGTGCACCACGAGAACGTACTGGCCCGCCACGGGAAGGACGCTCGTTGCCTTGTTGAGTGCTAGAGTCGTCTTCCTTTTCCTTGCCAGTGCCAGACGCAACGGAACCAGTCGCGTCCTCTTGATTTGTAAGGTGTGGCGGTTCACTAGTTGCGTGTTCGTGCAATTCCGTGAAGTCGATGACAGGCAATTGCGCATCACCATTAACGCCCTCACTTGTTACCATGTCAGACCAGGTGACTGCCGGATCGAGGAATGCAGGCGCCGAACGCGGATGCTGAAGAGCCTCATTGGCGTCTCCGTCTGGTTTCAAAGCCGCAAATCCATTAAGCGCCGCTGCCGATTCGACCTCGCCAGGAGGCGGGCTCTGAGTCGTACTCGGTGTATCAAGATGGTGTCGCCCGTTGCGTAATGCCAGCGACTCAGACTCGCTTTCCACTTCTGAATCGGAGGCCGAATCCATCAACGAAGGTTCTGAGTCGGACGCATCGCTCATCGTCTCCCGCTCAATCTCGTCATCGCTCCCCATGCTATCCCTGCGCCCACGTCCACGCCTCCTAACAACCCTCCTGCGCGGACGAGGCTGAGCATGTGCTGCATCTGCATGACGCGTTGATTTTGTTGCGTCCTTAGAGGAGCTCTGTGACGACGAAGCGGCGACAACGGCTGGAGACATGGAAAAATATCAAAACTAGAAAAATTATCAAAAAAAGGCGTCAACAAGGCGACAGTAATCGACTGCAAAGATGACCCACAATTTGGACAAGACAACGAAGTCAGATGGCAAGAACTGTGGCGGAAACCGATCTGAAAAGAGTGCACGGCGAACTACTATGAAAAGCAGGTAAGCGCGAAAAATGTCGGAAGTGAAGTCGCTTGGCTGTGTTATAAGAAAATATAAAGTATCGTTGGAGATCAACAGCAAGACGCTGTATGAAAGAGGTAGAGGAGGAGGAGGAGCAGGGACCAAGGCGCTGCTGCGAAAGGAGGCCCATGTCACAAACACCACTCCGCCCAAAACAGCCATATCTTCTCACACTTTTTCGAACTTAGTCTTCCAGACTGTTCTTGTCTTTTTCCCCTTTCTCTCCTTTGCAGCCCGTCTCTCAGCTGAGCATACATCAAAGTTCTGTCTTGCTTTCAAGCTTTCTCCTTTCCTGTATTTTCTTCCGAATTGCTTCCTGGCGGTGGCGGCTGTGGTATAGGGTTTGCTCTCGGTTACCTCATCGCCTCCATGGACTGTCTACTTTTACCCGTGCACGAGTGGAAGGCGCCTCCTGAAGTATTTGCGTTTAATCATTTTTGGAAGGACTCATTCTCCTTCCTACTAACTTCATGCTACCCTGTATGTCTGTGCTCGTCTTGTGAAACCAGCTTCAGCTCTTGATCATACACTACTGATTCTGTCAACGTGATCAATAATGCTTTACTGCTCACGAAAATGAGTATTCAAATGCGTCTCCTTGTGCATACTCATACTCCTATAGATTAATATTCCTAAAGATTGATATTTAACAACAGTTCATCAGTTTCATCCACTTCTCAATGGCACTGCAATACATGCGTTTGTATCTTGCAAATAAATCAATTCTTGAGTACCAGTCTCAACTCACCTGTCCAACACGAACGAAAGTTCAAACCAGCATGATTGCTTCACAGCACCCTCCTCGAGCATCCCTCGTGCATACAAGGCCGAACATGATCTCGCATGTATATTAAGGTACACACGATGTCATAAAGCATGTTTGCCATAATGTCGTATTACCTGAAGCAATGCAAAATGGGCGCTTACTGACAATACTCACCGTCTGCAATACAGACGTTTATGTAAAGCAATACGTCCGTCATATGCATATGCATAAAGCTGGATAATATGTATATATGCATTGTAATACAACTTATCAAGCATATACCCATATTTTATTGGACAGTAAATGGTAATTATACAGTGGGGAAAAGGTCTAGTCATGGCACTTTTGCAATTTGCTGACAAGACAACATATTCACGATTAAGGTTTATAATAATCAAATATAGGACCTTATATTCCTGCAATATGCTTAATCTGTGTCTTAGACGTAAATTCAAATACATTTCTGTTCACGTTTTGGTCATGACTACACTTATATAAATCCGGCATGTTACTATTTTAGAATCAACAGAGTCATCTCCTGACTCAGTTTCATTTTTTACTCCCGGAGCCGCTGCGTTTTGACTAAGTATCGGGATCGGAATAGGGGCACAAGTGTCTCAGAACCAGCCATTTCCTTTAGTCATGCTCCCGTGTCCCCATTTGGCCTTGTTTACTTGTGTGTAAATGAAACAGTTGGGTAGATTCAAAGAACGCGGCCGCTCTTCCGAGTTCGCCTGCAGAGTCGGAATAAACTACCTTCAATGAGGAAAAGCACAAAGCACGTGGACTCTTGGCACTCGCAACGGAATAAGCTGATCCAATCTTTAACTCCGGAAAACTACACACTACATTCGATTCGCAAACGTCAGCAAGTAAAGTATCAATATCGCTGAATACTACAGAAAAAGCTCCAGACAAAATCACCTTGAGGATTGAGGAAGAGAACAGGATTGCATATTGAATAATCATACAAAGTGCCGACTGCACCACTTGAGATAATCGGGGGATTGGGGTGGGTGCCATTGAGGGGTTAAAAAGGAAGCGGGAAAAGAAGGACAATATGTCAGGATACACAGATGGTATACAAACAGGGAGTGAATTGAAAGTGAAAAAGGAAGGTTTGCCGAAAACGACGGATGAAGTGTGTGAATAAGCAGTTGCAACGGCATCTAGTTGTTTAGAAGCCCGTCGAGGTGTCGCAGTTGAGGCGCGCGCGAGCGACTCGGTGCAGAAACGATCAACAGAGAACACCCTTGGACGCTCTGCTTCTTCATTCATAATTTACCAAGAACCCAAATACTTTCCGAACAAGAATGGAATTTGAATGGTGTTGCTTCCCAGCATCACATCTTCGAATCGGGCTCATCGGTATACGACGGGAGCAGATTCTCCTCGGATAGAGATGGCAGGTCAAAACGTCCGTACGACGTTACGTGGCCATAGCCGAGGCGATGGCTCCTTGAGTGAGAATGGGAGCGAGAATGTGACGACCCATGCGAGTGTCTCCGCGTGTGAGAGTGCGACGGAGTCCGCGAAACCCACGCCTCATTCGACGCCAAGCCTCGCGCTTCGGCTTCCGACAACGAATCGAGAGATACAGGCGCATACACGAGCATTGACCCCTCTGCTACGGGCACGCTAGTTGATCCCATGTACATGTCTTGAGGTGTGCGTGCAGGAAGGAGGAAAACTCTTTGGGGTTTGCCATCCGGATTGTCAACGGAGCCAAGCGGAACATCTGAGTCATCTAGTTCAATGCAGCCATACATGCGCTGGCGCAAGAGTTGCTTGTAGAAGTGCGAGACGGTGAAAATGAATTGTAACTGATTGTTTATCGAACCATAAAGTTCATCAGGGACACGGGCGCGATCGGTGGATTGATCAGCGGAATTTGAGGAGTCAGGATGTGCATAAATGGAGTTACGTCAGAAACATAGCGTATGCGAGCCGTGCGGCATGAGTGTGGTGCGACTTACGCGGACGACGAGCAGAATGGCAGTAATTGCCACAAAACCGAGTACGGCGTGCTCAAACCATTGCTCACAGTTCTCCGGGTTCAGGCCGGCCTCCGCGAGGTCGCGCAGCAGCTCCGGTTGCCCAGAAATTTCCTCGCAGACAGTGGCGCGTGCGGACGGCCGGAAAGAGGCAAGTGCCGCAGCGACAGTTAGGAGTCCGCAGAAGCAGATGTCTGCGAGCGAGTAGTCTCGATATAGGCGCACGAGAGCAGGCGTGCGCTATTGGGGAATGCTCAGAAACGACGGAACCAAGGGAGCTGGCAATGCCACACACCTTAATGACACCTATTGCCCCAATCACGCACACTACGCTGGCAGTGGTAAAGTACGCGGAAACAAGCAACCACACAAGCTTGAGGCTATCGACTCGCCAGCCATCTGCAGAACCCTCCCACTCGCTCTCTGACTCCCACCTGAGCACACGCCAGAAAGAGAGGACGCGGATAGCGACAGCCGAATTAATGACGGCGCCGACGAGGGACAGGACAAGCGCTGCGACTCTGGTTTTTATTCGCATCATGTGTGCAGCGCCAGAGGACGGCAGTCAGCGACGGAAAGAGTGGTGGAACAAAGGAAAGGGGGATACTAACCTAGCAAAACGACTCATAAGTAATTGTGTGGTAGCTGACCTGAGCGGTCAGAGTCCGTCCGGAGGATATGTATCGCAAGTAAGGAATGATGTGTCACGCGCATCTGCGACACTTGCCGTCTTCGGATCTCGGCCAGCCTGATGAACAACAACACAACACGACATCAGTCTGCTTTTTTTGTGTAATTCTTGTATTTATTCAACTTCTCGGCTCTGGAGAGTTCCCGTTGCAAGAAGGCTAAAGACTATAATTATACTCATTTCTTCTCTGTTGTTAACCAGTGTGTCCAACTTCACAGGCCACTTTGGACTCGTTTTAGGTACTTCGAGCAGTGACGATGCATTGGGGTCCGGCCATGGCCGAAGTGGTGGTCTTGGCTTGGCATGTCGAGACTCGACGCTGCCGTCCGGAGGTTGAACAAATTCAGTGTAGAGACTGATCCAGGCAAGGCTAATCTTGATCACACAGACAGGAATCAAAACTTTCGCCGATGTCACTGTGACGTGACCTCAATTGCCCCTTTCGAACTCTACGTCTTACGAAGTTCTTCCTGACTTTCGCGTTACACAACGTTTCTACCCACAAGCCCGCAACTTGTCTTCCGACTCACGCGCGATTGCTACTCGATTACAAGAAAGATGATCACTGGGAAATCTGACTCTCCTCCTCCAGCATACTCTGCAATTCCCTCCATCGACTCAACTGAACCTTCTGCCGAGCAACAATCCGCGTCAACGTCTCATTTGCATCTTGCGACGACTTCATGCGCCAATGAGGCCGCTATATTAAATGCTACGTTTCCGCAACAGCATCCACACAGGGCCTATGGGCCAACACCCATACCTCAGCAGTTGGAGCGAGGCGTTCTTTTACCCTATTATGACCCACAGTCGCCGTACGCCATGCAGCAGGCGGTTTCTCGTGCTCGGTGGCGGTTCTTTGGTGCATTTCTCTGGGCACTTGGGATATGGGTTGCATTCGGGCTCGTGACGGGTGGAATTGTAATTGATATTCGACGACCTTGACAGTTCGCTTGAGTAGAGCTTTTAACCCTTTTCTGTGCGTCGTGCGGAAAACGAGGCGATATATTTGATATCCAGGATACGCACTTGTGAGTGCTGGAAGCGTCATCATTGCCTCTGTATTATGTGAATTTACGTTGTCCACGATCTGCACAGACGGGGACACCTCTTGTATTAATTCGCATATATGGACAGATTATGTACATTAAATTGTGATTGTAGTGGCTAGATCGGTTTGAACAGTAGCTAGAAGAATGGGAGATCGCCTGGACATAAATGACAATAAATGCGTGAAAGGGAAAACATCGCAAATCGTGGGCCTTGCCGCGGAGAGAACCTGTGACTAGTGAATTGTGAGGAGAGCACCGATGATGGCTTGTCTTTTCTTTCCTTGTACTCTCTACTGAACTGTCTTTCCGTCTCTTACCTCCACCCCTCCATCTCTTAGACACCCATCGTCGTCGTGGGGTGCTAATGATGCCTCGGAACACTTGGTTGGTACTGGACTCAGCCAGCCCGCAACATGCTGTGCCTTGAACGGTCGTGTTGCCCGTCGCCGTCGGTGAGGCCGCCAAACGCGGGCGTCAATGGGGAAGAGGTGGTCCGTGCGTGAGAAAGCTAGTGACGGATATGGCAAGCCCGGCTTAGCAATCTCCCCTAAACAACGTCTGGTCAGACTCGGCCATAGCACACGCGACTGTCGACTTTCTCCCGAACCCCGCCAACAACGGCAACAGCGGTCGCGCCCCCCGCCCATTGTCCGTCACTGTCACAACTTTTTGTCATCTGCTCGCACCTTCTTCTGCTCTACCCCGTTCTGTCAACCTCGACACATCTCTCTGTCATCGCGGCTTCAGCTCTTGCGCGTCTCCATCAATTCCCGTCGTCGTTGTCGTCGCCGACGAGCACGTCGACACTCGCCATCCCTTCGCCGTCCTCTGCGCTACCCAACGAGTCTTGGCGTCATAGGACGCCCCTGTCTCTCTCCGTAGAGCGTGTTTTGACGCGTTTGACGCGATAGTTCGCTGGTGTTCCGACCTACCGACATCGTCGTCCAACAACGACCTCGCGCTCGCACATTCAACCCATACCCCGCAATTTTGTTACCAGGCCCTCCGCTAGTCACCGTGGCGTCGTCTATCGTGCAGCCGCGTTCCATTCCGGCCTCCGTGCACCAGCACGTCCGCACCGACGAGGACTTCATCAATCGCTCCTTGTTGGATCAGATTGACACCGACGCGGACACAGATCCTGTCTTTTCATCCGATTCTGAGGCAACGGGCGCCAGCAGGAGCGGTGGTACAGTCGGGGGACGTCATCTGGGCTCCTCATCGTCGCAGTCGTCAGTTGAGTCTTCAGGAGTAGCTTATCCCTATCAGATGCACGTCGCTTCGCAGCCACCCCCGCGAAGCGACTCGCCCAATGGCCAGCGAGCCAGCCTAGCCTATGCCTCACACGGTGAACACTTCATACATACCCCTCAGCAATCATTGTACAATAACTCAAGTGCCGAGCCTGAGTTCTCTCCCTTCCCCGAAAGCGATTCCCAGCCCTCTACAGCTCCCTATGATAATACCACCTTCCGGAACAACACAGTCTTCAGCTCTTTTCTCCCACCACGAGCTCGACCTTCAGTTGCAGGGCCGCCATCGGCTGGGTTTAATCACGACGTAAACGCTATTAATTACAATCAGTTTAGTGGCTTGTCTGCAGCCGACGTATTTGGTACACAGCAACCTCTCGCGCAACTGGCGGCTCAACAGCAGCAGCAGGCTGGCGGTACTCGTGGGTATGACTACATCAACGATAGCCAGGCGATGAAGCCCAATGGCAAGCCTGTTTTCACTAATATGGATCCGTTCAATGCGTCCGTTGGAGGAGCTACTGCTGCAGGCATGTTGCAGAATCATCAAATGACTAAGCCTGCGCCGAACCAGGCGCAGCAGCAGCATGCTCATAACTTTGCCAATCAGCCCTTCGCAAACGGACTATTACAAACACAACAGCCTCAGCCTCAGGCTCCTTATGGTCCACATATTTCGACAAGTCACGGTGCTCCTATGCCAGGATCGGGGGTCTCTCACTTGAACGGATTAACAAATGTTCCCATTACAACTCAACAAGAAGAAATTTCGACAATATTTGTTGTTGGATTCCCTGATGATATGCAGGTATGATCAATTGTGGACTTGATAATGGCGCTTGTTTATTGATTACTTTGTTGCAGGAACGCGAATTTCAGAATATGTTTACCTTCTCTTCGGGATTCGAGGCTGCGACTCTGAAGATTCCCAACAAAGATTCAACAGCATACGGATCGAATGCACCCTCATCAGCGGCTAATGCTTCTGGTCGTGGACCATATCAGACTGGCTATCCTTTCTCTGGAGCGAACGACCCGTACAATCTATTAGCGGCAAATCAAAGTGGTGTTGTTATTGACGGCCGGGACGGCACGAACGCGTCTTGGCCATCAGTCGACCCGAATGATCTTGCAGGTGGTAGTAATGCGAACAACCAACAGACGAATAATCCTGCCCCACCACGCAAGCAGATCATAGGCTTCGCGAAGTTCCGCACACGTAGCGAGGCGCTTAGTGCTCGTGATTTGTTGCAAGGTCGACGCATTGATATTGAGAAAGGCGCAGTATTGAAGGCAGAAATGGCCAAGAAGAACTTGCATACGAAACGAGGAGTCGGTCCGCTTGGTCCTCCGTTGAGCGTGAATGTTGGAGGAACTAATATGGGTGGTAGCTCAGGGAACACAATGGGTGGAGGACCTGGTGGAAACCTAAGCAGTATCGCGGAAAACATTTCCGCAATGACAGGCTTGCTTTCTCCAGGAGTCCCTCCTGGCCCGGAAAATCTGTCTGCGCGAGAACGTGAACTCGGAACGTTAGGCGCAATGGGACTTGCTAACCTGGCAAGACGTGATCAGCGAATGGACCCGCAGGACGAAGATCGTGATAGCCGCCGCAGGCGTGACTTTGGGTCCATGAGTACTTTGGCCAATAATTTGAATTCGCTGAATATCCAATCATCTCGTGGACCACGAGAACGTCTTGAAGAAGATGAACGAGAGCGTGAGAAACGGAGGAGGGAGAAAGAAGCAGAACGAAACGGTCGACTGCGTAATCAGGCAGCATACGACGCGTTTCACTCTGTGGGGCCTGGCCAGCGCAATCCGTCGCTTTCTACTGTCTTATCGCCTTCAGAGAGCCTTGGCGGATACCCTTTTCCAGGAACACAAATGTTCTCCCCGCAGGAGAGCGTGAGCGCACAGAGTTTGGATACTTGGCCAATCGGACCGTCAGCAAACTCTCAAAGGCTGGGTAATCTGGGTGGTGGTTTAGGTGCGGTTGGTTCGAAGCGGTCGGTACCTCTCGGAATATCAACGAACCTAGGCGGTGCTAATGCCTCGTCATCGCGAGAGAATAGTCCGATAGAGCCGACTACGGCGCCAGCATCAGTCTCTTCTCGTAGTGGAAATTCCGAGCATACACCATCACACGAAGCAGAGATGTTCTCGCCAACACCTGCAACAACACTCTCATCTCATCCTTCCTTGTCTTCGCTCGGTTCTCGATCTCGGCCATACTCTCCGCCGGCAGATGCTCCACCATCGACTTCAGGCGCTCTGTCTTCTGTTCCGGAACAACAACAGGCTCCGCAAACGCAAATACAAAGTCAAGGCCTCCCACCACTCCCAGCATCCAGCTCTTCTAGTGTCTCCGGTTCTCGAAGTAGCACTGGGAGTGTTGACGAAGATATATCGCGCACAGTAGGCAATATTGACGTCAATGCACAACAAGGGACAATGTCGCCTCAACTACCTTCACCCAATTCGGGGTCGAGTTCTGGCGTACCATCCCGAGGGAATGCATCTGATCAGAATCCTCCTGTACGTATTTAACGCATTGCATTGCAAATCGCGCTTGTTATTCACATAGATGCTTCTTGCAGATCAACACACTTTACGTGGGAAATTTACCGACGTCACCGATTCCGGGCAACCAGCCGAACTATCTTGAAGATAGCCTTCGTAGTCTCTTCGCTCGTTGCCCGGGTTACCGTAAGCTGTGCTTCCGTCAGAAGAGCAACGGGCCGATGTGCTTTGTAGAGGTATGTTGCATCTATATTTGACAACTTGGTCATATTCTTACGCTATTCAATAGTTTGAAGACGTAAACTATGCAACAAGAGCTTTGAGTGAGCTTTACGGCAACACGTTGAACGGATTGGTTAAGGGCGGCATCAGACTATCTTATAGCAAGAACCCTCTGGGAGTTCGCACTCCCACGAATGTGGCTAATGGTAGCGGACTCCACCAAAGCTTACAGTCCATCGGATCTGGATCTTTCTCGAGCCTCCAAGATGCCTTCTCGCGTCATTCAACCGCTGGCATCTTATCTATCGATATGAACGCTATCAGAGGAATGCGCCGAGACACAGGCGAAGTAACATCGCCTTCACAATATTTCGCGTCTTCGCCTCCACCACCGCGATTCTTCTCTCCGCCGCCGTCTTCTGGCTTCGGATTCCCTGGCCAAGCCAGTGCACCGGGTTTGGTGAGGTCTAATAACTCAAGTTTTACTTCCACTTTTTCGCCATTCGGGTCCTCAACACCTCCAGAGATGACACCACAGCTGGCTACCTCTGAATCGGCCGAAACTTTCAAGTCCACTAATGATTCTTCAAGCACTCCAAGTCTAGAAGCGGCTCGCCGAGTTGATAATCTCTGATCGAACTTATTCCTTTTATGTTGTCCGTCACACAAACATCTTGCAATCTGTATGTATTTGTCAAGCAATTCCGCCTGCATTTTGTGTTTCTTTACCTGGTCATACTCTATTTGTGTTTCGTTGGACCTTTTTGATCGCTATATCTCGTCTTCTTCCGCGATTTCGAGTTTCTTCGTCTCCTTCCCTTCCACAAATTCAAGACGCATTGTAATCCCCACCATAGTTTTTGCGCTACCCCAACCATACCTGCTCTGTCAAATCCCTCTCCCAGGTTGTCTCCTTTGTCGTACTAACTGCAATTTACTGTCCACTACTGACATAGCTCGTGTTGTTTTTATTCCAACTCGTCCCTTTTATTATTACTCGTAGCGTTTGCATAGCATCTATACATCCACGTTTACCCCTTTGTCTGTCTTCTTTTCTGGGTCTACTTCGTCTCGTTTACAACCCATTCATATCAATGCCACCCAGTCCAATCCAATCCAAATCAATTTGTCTTTAAACCAAGTCTCCACATCATGATTCACCTCATTATATCGCTGCGCACGCTTTTAACGTACTCTCTGCTTATATAGCTATGTATGTATATGTTTCCCTCCATCTCTATTTCTTCGTTAAACCCTCATTAGCGAGCATAAATATGGATGTGAACAATTTTTCATTATTTTCTTTTTTTTACCCCAGTAACCAAGCTTCTTTTGTATCGGATAGTTTGTCGTGCGCTGTCTAGCTGTAATATGAAGTGATTTTCTGCTTTATGCGAATGCAAATAATGACCATGCCTTTCGTTTTCGTTTCGTTTCTGGGTGTTTTGTACATATTTGGAAGGTGAGCTGCCATTTTAGGCAAACAAAAGGCAATGAGCACGAATAAAGACAAGTCGTTTCATGCACGTATTTGATGAGATCTAATCTTCATCCAGACGTTTTTAGTCGACTCACGGGTTTTTATACCCTCAACGACATCCTTCTACCTCTTGCGGCATTTATTTACAAATTTGGTGAGCGGAAGGGCATTCAATTCATTAATATTCTTGCAAAAACAGTTACACAATTGCCGATCTGTTACAAAACACTTGAACTATTCAAACCCAAGAAAAGCATACGGTGGAATTCATTGAAAAAAGAAACAGAAAATAGGACATATTTCACAACGAGCTTGGTTCGTCAGCCTGTGGCTCGCCGACGCCAAGGAAATCCTGGTACACGCTAGACGTGTCCTGTGAAGGAGTGCCAGGCACTAGCATCACTGGTGATGCTGAAGAACGAAGTTCATCTATCTCGATATCGGGCTCTTCTTCTTTTATCTCCGCAGCAGGCTCCTCAGACTCCTCCGAATGACGCTCCGACTTGATGATATATGTATCGTCGTGTTTGATACGATCCGCTCTGGAGGTCAGAAGCTGCTCTTCCAGCGGGCCACTCGGACCAGCCAGATCAGGAGCGAGGAGTAACCCAGCCTCGATTTCTTGCGTGGCCTTTGATGATTCCAGGTCCGCTAAGTTTGAAGGATACGTCGCACCCTCCGGCTCCACGAAGTCGTATCGATCGTGCCAGTCACCCAGCACCTTCTGCTCGACGTCTCCGGGCCGACGTCCCTGAGGTTGGTTGCGAGCATTAAGCTTAAGACCTCCAAGGCTGACGGAACCAAAGCAGTTCTTCAATACCTGCGAATCGAAACATGATTCAGTATTCGGTATACAATATTGTATACTACGGCATGTAAAGAACCAAATGACGTACCCAAGGACCCAGCCTATACCTCCGCTCCTTCGACATTCGCGCCATCTGTACGGGTGTGTCCACGGCCTGGTACGCAAGCATACTCCTAAGAGGCGGAAGTTTTGACCTCGGCGACGGTCGAAACGGCTGGGTGGTTGGTCGTAGTTCGCTACTTTCCGATACGTGTCTGCCCTTAATGTGCGCTAGAAGCTCCAGCTGATGCGCAAATTGATTTTCACATCCTAGGATAACATTCGTCATTATCATTATCATGATACCTCTCAATTTCAAATAAACCGGGACCGACCTTGATATGGGCAATAAATGGACTTCTTCACATGATTCTGAAGGTGCTGAGCCAATGCATCTCGTTTGTTGAACCGGCGAATACAGTCATCCCACCAACACGGGAATATCTTCTCCTATGACATTACGTCAGATCGAATATACGAAGAAACTGTCGAGTGCCTGACCTTTTCTGGAATTGAAGTAACATGATCCTGAACGTGTGCTATTAGAGTCTTCGCACTATTCGCGACGTGGGAACAATCGATCCAGAGACATGGACGTTCCCGAAGGCGCGATGAAGAAATTTCGCTAGCTTGTTGGGCTGACAGCGATTACTCAGCGATGAAGTGAAAGAACCTATTTGAATTGCATACCTAACTTGAGAGTGACCTCTGCAGACAGACAAGGGTTTACATTAGCAAAGGCTCGTAAATGGAGGAAATTTTACATACCATCGACGGGCGCTGTGACGTCAACTGTACTCTTAGTCTCTCGACGGCTCGCCCGTTGCTGCACCACCGATGGATTAGTTCTCCGCTTAAAGAACAATAATCGTTGCTCTTCTGTTAACTTTGGGACTTCCACGAAGACTTGCGAGCGCTGCGTTGGATATTTCGCCGGTTTCCGAGACGAGGTGGGACTTGATGAAGGACCACTGGTCTCCCGTCTGGTCCTTCGTACAGCCAAAGGAGGCGAAGACGAACTTTGCGGTGAATCCGGAGAGGGTAAGAATAAAGGATTAGAGGAATCCTCAGGGGGATGTTGCAGCACCGTGTCTACGAGCATAACATCCTCACTAGAAGCATGTGATTCCACCGCAGATACAGGAGGCGGCTGATCGGTATGAGGATTTGCATCCGATGCGCCAGTTGTATCCGAATTTGATACTGGAACCAACTCCACATGATCGTCGATTGTAGTATAATCAGCTAAAGGATTTGACACGGCTGATCCAGGATTGTCGTCGTCTTCAGCTTCGCTATCAGGAACTTCTTCAATCCTAGCGCTACCTGGATTCGTTTCAAAGGTCATAACGGGCGGGTCGTCGGTTAAATCTTGCATCATCACAGTTACGGGTTCCACAGCCTGCCTTTTCAGCGGTGGCTGTAGTTCGTCCTCAGAAGACGTCGATGATGGTTCGGAAGCACTCCGTTTTGCTGGTATAATTCCAAAAGCCCAAAGTATGTCCTTGGCAAGTGTCTTTTTGTTTGCAGAGTCGGGTGTTATCGGGATCGGTGGTCTATTATCATGCGGTGGTGGTGTGGTCATACGAATCTCTTTCTGACCATTCGAAACCGAAGGACTTTGCATAGTTTGCGTGGCGGGAGGTGGATGTACAGAAGTGTCAGAGTGGGACGTTGCAGAAGTGTACGGGGGGACGGGCATTTTGATCTCAGGAGGAGGAAAGAATTTCTACGTGTATTATGAAGGTCAACTCACATTAATAGTTGAAGAAAGCAGTTTTGTCAAGTTCAAACTTACTGAAGTGTCTGAAGTGTGTGGGCCAGGTGATACTGGAATCTTCTGCTGGAGGAGTGCAGGATTCACAGTGCTTGCCAAAGCAGCCGGATTTGCATTGAAAAATGGCGGAACGGAGTTATTTGAACTAGTTCCCGAAGGTGGTGGAGCCGTAGAGTTGACCTATGTTAATTTTTTAAGAAAAAGTAGACCAACCTTGTGATTTGTATGTAGGCAATTGACTTACATGTTGTTGGGAAACAGGTTCAGCTCCTGTTGCTTGCGGGCTTCTAACCGAATGTACGTTTGATAAGCCCTGGTATTCGGACGTAGCACTGCGTGAATCGGCATTCTGATTCTCGGCGATAAGCTGTGTGGGACCCTCAGTGCGGAGGTATGCCCTATCATCGCCGTGGACGATGGATACCGTGTCTTTAATGGGATAAGTCTGGACTCGATCTTGCAGCTTGATTATATTATCGAGCTCATTCTGCCTCTGTAGTAGTTCCTCAGGTGACATGGGAGGAAGGTCAAGGAAGTCCTTTACCGTTGGCAGGGGCTGCCGCTGTGATACAGTACTACTGAAAGTAGGCTCATGATGATGATCGTCTCGCCTCACATGACCTTCTCCCGCCTGTCCCTGTGTTTGGCTCGGAAGTGACCTTTGAGTTGCACCAGCTTCTCTTGCGTTTCTAGTCCGAGAGTCAAATTGCAGCGATCGATCGCTGTTCGGCTGATAACCACCAGTGCCTATGGGCTGCTGCTGTGTTAGGGTAGTGTTGAGCACCGTCTCAAGAAGGCGAATGTCTCGCCTCGCGTGATCTTCTCCGGCCTGTACCTGTACTTGGCTTGGAAGGGTCCTTTGAGTTGCACCAGCTTCTCTTGCGTCTCTCGTCCGAGGGTCAAATTGCAACGACTGATCCCTACTTGGTTGATAACCACTAGCGTCCAGGGGCTGCTGCTGTGCTAGAGTAGCGTTGAATACTGGTTCATGAAGACGGCTATCTCGCCTCGCATGATCTTCTCCGGCTGGTACCTGTACCTGGTTTGGAAGTGTCCTCTGGGTTTCACGAGGTTCACTAAGTCTCGTCTGAGAGTCGAGATGCAACGGTTGGTCCATGTTCAATTGATAACCACTGGCGTTTCCCCGTAAGTGCGCATTCGCATAATCTCCTAAAGCACCTGCAAGGGAGGAGCTAGTGCTAGCCGCTGGAACATGATGCCCTCGCCCTGATCCTTCGCCAGACATTCGCATTGATTCCGGAATAGAGCGTTCTCTTGCGTATATCCGCTGAAAGATAGCTTGTGGGATGCCCGATTGTGGGATGCCCGATTGCGGGATGCTCGATTGTCCCGAAGCTCGTCGCCCGCCAACATTCGATGGGGCGTAACTAGTCCTAAAACGCGATTGCTCGTTCGCAGTCTGCCTTTCAGCTACTTGTTGAATTGGATCTATGCTCGAAGGCGTTTGTCTCGATCGGACGTATTCCGTCTGTGTATTTTGTTGCTGATGTTGAGTCACGTCAGGGTATGGTTCTTTCAAATAGATCTCCCCATTGGTGACCCGCGAGGAACCTTGTTGAAACACATTATTATAGTCCCGATCAGGTGATAAAGGCATCTGAGCCCCAATCGTGTAATTCTTTCGAGGTCAATCGCAGTTAATTATCCAAACGCATTGAAGCAGAGCATTGAATTACACACATTGGCAGAGATTCCATTCGTTGTGTACGCCGCCTGACTGTTCATCGAAACATTCGTTGGATTTACGAGGTTGGTAGGGGACAGAACAGGTTGGCGTTGATTCGCTAAGTGGCTGGGACCTGCATACTGAGAAACGTCATTCGCAAAAATGTTCGGCCTCTCCGTGATTGGCCTCATGTTTGAAATACGCTGCAAGTCCTCCAACTGTTGTCTAGGTATAAAGTCAGACGATAGCATTGGAATGAGGAGCTATTGACATACCTAGCTATATCGCCCTCGGCAATCCTTCTCTGCAATGACTGCTGTGCCCTTAGATACGTCTCCACTCCTCTTCTGTTAAAATCGCTGAGCAACTCCACCTGCCGCTGTATCCATCGCTGATTCTCCACGAATTGTTCAGGGGTAATGACAAATGGTACTCGAGGTTGCAGAGCATTGTTGTTATTGTTATTGAAGTTGTTCCCCGGAGCCATTGCACATAGGATGACTCCGTCGCGTTTCTCCCTAAGTGATACGACTGGGTAGGAGATTAGGCAGACAACCGCGTGTGGAAGCAAAGGGATGTTTTACGTTTCTTAAATTCTTTGAATGCGCCGCGTGCGCGAATGAGTCACGGACATGGCACGTGCAAACGCTGGCTGCTAACTTAACTCTCATGAATACGCTCACAGTCCACGGTTTCCTCCACTCGCTGCGTCGTTCCTGCACACGTTCTTATGCCGCAGCTGTGGCAGGATCAAGCCCAGTTAATCCTTATACAGTTGGTCCGTTCCAAGTCTTTGACCGAAATGCAAAACGTATGCAGAAGGACCGTGCTGCTATTCGAGATGGCGGTGAACGGAGCCGGACAGTTGACTATATTCGAGATGAAATTGCAGACAGGATGGTTGAACGATTCTTAGTGAGAAAATTCTCTGCGTGCTCTTGTGATACTTTGCACCAACAACGTTTAAAGGACATTAAACGCTCCTTCGAGAGCATTGTCGACCTTGGCGCTGGTCCCGGTCACTTCACCAAACTATTAGAACCGGAGAACGCCCAGAAGTGTATAATGCTTGACCTTAGTCGTGAGTTCTCTATTTCATATTTCATACGAAGTGTTTTTTCAATTCCAACGTGTCTCGTAGGCAAAATGCTTGAACGGGATAATGACGAAGAATACGCAAGTTTGTCCTTTCGTATATTTGACTGTGTCCAATTGACCTATGCCCAATGAATCCAGTTGAGATAGAAAGAATTGCTTGTGATGAAGAAACGCTTCTTCAGACCATACCGTCGAACTCTCGAGAAGCCATTGTATCTTGCCTGAGCCTCCATTGGGTGAATGATCTTCCTGGTTAGTGCATTGGCCGTTGAAAGCGCACTTGTAATTGACCAGAATCGGTACAGGTACACTAATTCAGATTAGAGAAGCTCTGAAACCCGACGGCGTTTTCCTTGGGGCTTTATTCGGAGGTGATACACTATTTGAACTTAGGTGACAAGCCCAGCTTCCGGACCTGTTATCACGTACTGAACTTTTGTCTAGAACATCACTTCAGCTCGCAGAGGCCGAGCGAGAAGGTGGAATATCACCTCATGTGTCTCCGATGACTAGTAAATTCCTTCCTCATCACTAATCAATAATTTCTGATCACCGATTACCTGCAGACAACAGTGACATGTCCAATCTCATGGGACGTGCCGGCTTTACGTTACTTACCATCGACGTTGACGAAGTGAAAGTAACTTATCCGAGTATATGGGAACTTATGGATGACTTGAGAGATATGGGAGAAAGTAATGCAGTACTAGGCAGGTCAGACGATTCTGTTTTTCATAACGAAGACCGTTTTGAATAAAACTTTTTTCAGGCGGAATATCATTCATCGGGATACGTTGGCAGCAGCATCTGCCATCTACAAAGGTATGTGTTCATGATCGCCAATCAATACGAAATATCTAAGATCAACGATAGCAATGCATGGGAATGATGATGGTACGATCCCCGCAACATTCCAAGTGATCTTTGTTGTAAGTTCGCTTTGTGTTCCATATATACGAATACTCTAACAGATGCATATAAAGATCGGCTGGAAGCCGTCACCCAACCAGCCGAAACCTCTTGAGCGAGGGACAGGGCAAGCAAACCTTAAAGATGTTCTGTAAATTACCATAATGTCTTTCAGTATGCGTGCCAACTGGAAATTATCATGATAAATCTACATTCCGTATAATTTCTGCCTTTTCACGCGACTTGCCAAGTCCCGGTGCACTCTCATCGTCACAATTAACAACTTCAGCCCCGTCCAATGCAAGGGTCTCATCTTGCAGTTTGAGGGGTACAAGAGTAAGGTGGCCGGATACATTTGCTTTTACGCATCAAGCTGTAAATCGCCTCCTCCCAACCCCTATTCTCCGTCTGGTGCACTAAAACTTCAAAAACATGTTCTACCGTAAGGACTTTTACGGGCCTTCACCTTTGCGAGGCATTTCCCTATTGGAAGACGAACGAAGAAGTTTTTTTAGTAGGGACGTGTCCAGATTGAATATATTAGTATGGTAATGTATTTGTTTAAATTGTATATGGAACGGTTTAGAATATTTTATTTACAATCAATCACAAAATAGAAAAAGCGAGGTTGGTACACTTCTTAGCCTGCTACAGAGCTCTCGAACGACCCAGTCCAGGAATCGAGAAGAAAAGTAACTTAGTAAGATCAATTGGAATGGGTAGGAAGAAAAGTCTTATAACAAGTTCAGCTTTGATATTCAGTGACTCGCTGGTATAAGGAAATCCTGATAAGTACTAAATGTATCTTATGGTGGAATTCTGGACAGTAGTATCAATGTCATGGCTGCGCGGCAGGTGGCGTTTAAGTAAGAAAGCAGGGCAAACAAAAAGCTCGAAGACGTTCTGTAGATTAAATTACTTCTCGTGCCATTGCATTTTTAATTGACAATGCACTGGATGAAAATCATCATGATAAACTCTACAGCCTTACTGCAATACACCGTCTCCTTGTTACGGCTCTGCTATGGCAGGTTCTGATGCACCCTCATCATCGTCCTCAACACCTTCAACCTCCTCTAGTCCAACAGCCTCTTTGCTGTCAATTTGAGTAGCGCCAGAATTCGAGGGTTGAATAAATTTTCGTTTAGGCATGACGCTGTAAATTGCCGCTTTCCAATCCCTATTCTCTGTCCAATGTACCAAGATCTCAAAGACTTGATTCACTGTAAGGACTTTACGAGTCTTCATCTCTGCAAGATATTTCCCTATTGGAAGCCGAGCGGTGCGGATGCCAGATTCTTTGGCTTTCTTTTGGCACAGGAACTTGATGGAAAGGGGTGGATATTTGCCAGGTTGAGCTTATATAAACGAAGTTGAAAGGTGCATTAAGAGCTTACTTTATGTCTGTTGCGATCGACGATTCCTCCGAGAATGTAAGTTTCGCTTTCTCTTAGCTCTTCTAGCTCATCGTCTGCATCTGCTGTAAGATAGACGACTGCTTCCTTCGAGCTTCTCGACCGTTTCCCTTTATCCACCTCTACTTCATCATCTTCGCTCGTGTTTTCCGTAGTCGATTCATCTCTCCATAGGCGTTCATATCCTTCATCCCACCACTCGCAACTCGTCCATCGTTTATACCCTGCATTGTTCTGCTCTTCGAGTCGAGTACGGAGTCGTCCACTGAGAGAAGTGAATAATAGTGTTTCGAAGGGGCATGTGGCATGTCGATTTGCGGAGTAGCAAAAGGCAAGTTGGGAGTTCATAGAGGCTACTTCCTGCGATCCAAAACGCATAAGTCAGAACTTAATGCGAGTCGAGAAGCATATAAGTAGCTGTATGCGCACCCTGTCCGTCATATAACTATCAAACCCAAGGTCTATAACTACGCGCGCTTTGAACGTTCGAACAGGCCCACTTGGCTTGACTTTCTTCCTCGCCGGTTCATTAATATGGTCCACATCCTCAGCATCCTCGTCGCCTGTTCGAGTAGCAGCGGCGCGTTCCCTCTGAGCGCGTTTCTTCTCCTTCTTCACGGCCTTCTCTCGTTTTCGTCTCTCGAGCTTCTTTTCTTGTAAGTACGCGGCTTTTGCGGCGCGTTTTTGGGCGTTTTTGGAGAGTGGTTGTGTTATGGTGGTAGAGGTGTTGTCCTTGGTCATATTTGTAGATGTAGAGTTTGAGTCATCTTGTTGAGGCTCTGGTACGATGACGATTGGTGCGGAGCTGCTTGAGGTGGATGGATCGTCTGCTTTTAACGAGGTTGACGTGTCCGCGATGGTTTGATCGGGTATGTTGGTTGTGTCGGCCATTGCTGGGTGACGGAACGGAATAAAATAAGAAAGCTGTGCTGCTACTCGTCCCTCTCTGAAATTCTTCTCTTTCTCTTTTCTTTACGGCCCGAGTGCTTTGCGTGATCGACGGTAACTTCAATTCAACGCGACTCGTCACTCACATCACACTTCACCTTGATTTTCAACAGCCATTCAGTACTCTCTCGCGGCTCTAGTTGCCGCCCTCCTGGCTGTCTTTGTCTATTTCTATTTATCACTTGATCTACGAGATATCAAAGACGCTTTGAAGATGGCTGCGATACAGAAACTTGAACATCTCGTCGTGAAGGCGGCTTCGAAGCATACTGCTACTGTTATCTTTGTTCATGGACTTGGTGACACGGGAGAAGGTTATTTTGTTGCACGTTTCACGTTGACAGAATCAATCACTTATTTGTGAGTTCAGGATGGGAACCAGTAGCTAAGATGCTTTCCAAGGACGAGGGTTTGAAGCATGTTAAATGGGTTCTACCTCATGCGTAGGTTATCTTTCGCATCGTGGTTTCCTGTTTTGATTATGGAGTCTTCCAGACCCATTAAGCCCGTCACTGCAAACATGGGCATGTCAATGCCATCGTGGTGCGTTTCCATTCTCGAATCTAAGCATTGTCACATGCTTATGAGTAAAGAAGGTTTGACATTTATGACTTCGGCTTTAACGCCAGAGAAGACGAGAAGGGCATGCTCGAGACTACAGTTTCGCTCAACGCGCTTATCACCGACGAGGTTGACAATGGAATACCTGCGTCGCGTGTCGTGCTTGGTGGATTCAGTCAAGGAGGCGCAATGAGCCTTTTGACGGGCCTGACGAGTGAACGGAAGCTGACTGGGATCGCCGTGCTGAGCGGTTGGTTACCGTTGCGATCCAAATTCGTATCTGTGAGGACGCTGTTCCTTGGCCAACGACCGCATTGTGCTCATTGGATTTTCGTTGAAATAGATGATGTCAGACCACGCAAAGAAACTACCGATTTTCTGGGGCCATGGAACGAATGACCCACTTGTTCGACCCGAAATTGCGAACGCCTCAAGACAATTCCTCGAGGACCAAATGGGTATTAAGGGGGCTTCGAAAGAAGATCCCACTGGATTGGAGTTCCATCCATATCCAGGACTCGAACACTCGGCGGCGCCTGAAGAGATCGGGGACTTGGGAAGCTGGTTGAAACGGGTCGTTCCCCAGACAGAGTGAAATCAAAGTTTCTGTATTTATAGTACATTTCGGGAATCACGACGACGATGGGGTAGGTAAGCGAGGGCGTGAATTGTATACGTGACGTTTTGTAGAATGTAGAATACACAAACGGGTGATCAATCTGTAGTGCTAGTTTTCTTCCGAGCCGAGGATGTGTCGATCTGTTACTTGGATCGACGGTTTGCGGACATAGCATTTTGGCTGATGACTTCGCGTGACACCCGTGGATACCAAAAAAGGCAAGGCTTCACGTTGAAATGCTTTGAGTGTTACACAAGCACCGCTCTTTCCACACCACACGTTCCCGACGCATAGAACTCCCTTTCTCTCACACACAATCGCGCCGCCGCTCACCCAACGCGCCAGAGCTGGCATCCTTGTCGTTCACTAGTTCACCGAGGGGAGCTTCGTATCCCCTAGCTTGTCATGAGCCGGGGTGTCGCCGACAATAGAGACCCAGACGACGCCAATCTCCCCTCCCAGTCCGGTCCGATCACATCACAGGGCCGCGCCAATGGCATCTCCGTGCCACCACCGCCGTCTACCGACATGCTCGCACAGAATCCCCAGTCGTCTGCGCCTAATGGTGCACCATCCTCGCCCAACGGCATCCAGCAGCCAAACGAGCCTCGCGAGCGCTCACCCGGCCCGCGCCTCGAGGAAATGGCGACCACCTCGGAAAGCGATATGGAGTTCCCGGACGTGGAGGATATGAGCAGGTTTATTAGATTAAGTGGAGATTTTGGGTTTGGACATGGTCGTTCACACGATTCGAATGAAGTATTTGATCCCGACCTGCGTCGTGTCAAGGTACGCGTCCGGTTTTCATGTTTGTTTTTCACTCAGGAATTGCTTGTTTTGTGAACTCGGGATGGAAAAAGCAAAAACCAGTGCGGGTATGACTAGTTTTTTCAAGACGTGTGCAGTACCACTAGTTGACTCGCTGATTCATCACTTATCATGGCTTCGGGACAGCGTGTTATCACTATTTGCATTTTTCCTACTTTCTAAAAGTGTGTGGCCGGTAGGAATGCTGATTTTGGTACTGCATTCTAGGTGTACGAACTAATAGGTTCTCGTTGGACCGACCGTGGAACCGCGTTTTGTTCGGGTGAATATGACAACGAGACTGAAGAAGCGCGTCTTATTGCGAGAGCAGAGGGAACGCACGAGGTCATTTTGTGCTGTATGATTCGCACAGCGGACATCTACCAAAGGCAGCAAGATACGTTAATTGTGTGGACCGAACTAGATGGCACAGATTTCGCGCTCAGCTTTCAGGATGTTGAGGGTTGTTCAGAAGTTTGGGAATTCATCACCGAGGTGCAGAAGCATCTCAATTGCAGAGGTATGACTGAAATATATGACTTTGAAGTCTATCCTTCGCTCCGCGACAGTGATGACTCCATCATTTTATCCCCCGTAATCTCGAACTTTGATCATGGTTCTCATTTTCTCGTCGAGCCTTGCAATTCCTTCAATGATTCTGACTTGTTCCCATTGTCAGTCCCAACCACCGCTGCTCAGATCGTCCAGTCTGGCCACCTTCCTCCTCCCAGTCCTGATGCCGGTTTTATCACAGAAATCGAGAAGGCAATGCGGAACATGGCGCGTTCGCCGAAATCTCGAGAGCAGATATGCAATTACATCCAGGAGAATAGATATATCCACCAGTTACTTGAAGTGTTTGAAGCTGCGGAGAAGGCTGAAAACTTGGACGCGTTGCATGCATTATGCAGCTGCATGCAAACTATCCGTGAGTAAAACGTTGGCATAATGAATCTGTGTTGATTGGTTTCTATTTTCCACTGTTAGTTCTTCTCAACGAGCACACGATGTACGAACATATTCTTTCTGACGAGTTATGGATGGGAGTAGTGGGCATGCTTGAATGTAGGCTTTCGCAGTTCCAACCCGGTGGCCTTGAATTTATCCTCGCGATATAGATGATCCAGAATTTCCCAAGTTCAAAGCGAACTATCGGGAGTTTCTTCTCCAGCGGTCTCATTTTGTCCAGCCCATTACGATCCGAGATGAAGCCATTCAGCGAAAGATTCATGCCACGTATCGACTGCAGTATCTAAAGGACGTGATCCTTGGCCGTGCGCTTGATGATTCGACCTTCAACGTGCTCAACTCGTGCATTATATTCAATCAGATGGACATCATCAATCACATAATGCGGGACGAGCCCTTCCTAGCCGAACTTGTCTTTTTATTCATCAAGCCCACAGGGACGAAGGGGAAGGAGAGGGAGAAAGACAGTGATATGGAGATTGACAAGCCTTCCGAGGCTACAACTGTGAATGGTGTAGTAGCCTCCTCCGCTGGCCCTTCATCCTCTCCGCAAGCGAGTCATTCGGACGAGTCTACTGATGTAGAGCGGAAGAAGGAAGTCATTCTTCTCCTTCAACAGCTCTGCATCATGGGCAAAAACGTGCAACTCCCTACCAGAATCAACCTCTTCCGAACCTTGGTAGAGCGTGGGGTACTCTATGCGGTCCAGTGGGCATTATGTAGGACAGAGAAGCATATCATTTTTTCGGCCGGGGAAATTCTCTCGGTCTTACTAGACCACCACGCGCTGAGCATACGAAATCACATACTGACTCAGGGTGTAGCTCTCAAACAGCCAACGGGGAACTTCGAGACCTTGATGAATCAGGAAAACTCCGAGATTCCAGATGTCACGGGAGGGAGTCCGCCACCGTTCAAGGAAACGCTCTCACAGGTCTTATGTCGAATGATGGCAAATAGCCAGGATCTTGCTCTCCAAACACAATTCGCAGATGCCCTTAGATTGCTTGTTGATGTACCAGCTATGGAACCGCAACGTCCTCCAGAAGTCCAGGTGTGTTTTTGTTTTACTTGACAAACTGACCATCTAACATACGATGGCACTCAGAACGGTGTTGTTGGGCTGCCTATGCAAAACACGTACTTAAATCGACCGCTAAGGGACGACCACGCCATTGAACGCTTCCTAGACAACTTCTATAAAACTTGCATTGAAACATTAATGCGACCACTCACTCACGACGTTCCTGATCACCACGAGCTGAAAGGTGAGGTTCCATTGCTAATCTCACGCTTCTTTCACTTAAGGGCAATTTAGATGAACCCTATTCACCGTCACGGGAGCGAGGCAACTTATATCTTTATTTGTGTGACCTCCTATGTAGCTTTGCCATCCAGCATTCATTTCGGATTTACTTCTTCATCCTCTCATCCAATGTCTTTTCCCGCATTGCTTCGTTATTAAGCGTAAAAGACAAGCATTTATGTCTTGGTAAGCATGCATCGTCCTGTCATGTTCTTTCGTCCTTTGACAGTGCTCAATGATGATCTAGCTGCACTCCGATTTTTTCGAATATGTCTCAAGATGAACAACCGCAATCTCTTCATTCACATGCACAAGCACGATTGTTTCACTCCTATATGCAAGCTGACCATACGAGAGGCGAGGCGAGAGAACTTACTTAGTTGTACTTGTCAAGAGTTCTTTGAATTTATGCGGAGGGTGAGTTTGAATTCATTTGTTCGTATATCGGTTCGTAATGGACGACGGCTCTTCTTCTACAGGAAAATCTAAGGGAACCTATTAATTTCGTAATGGAGAAGCACGAAAGCGACGTTCGAGAACTTGCGAAGTCGGCTCTTGGTTCTGCTACGTTCCAGGGCTTCGTCGCTCGTTGGGAGATCAACAAGGAACCGCTTCCGCCAGAAGTTGTTCCTGAAAAGAGGCAACAGTGAGTCATTTCATACTTAGCCGCAGGACACCCCTTACTTATCTCAAGGTACAGCATAATGATTCCTCGCATTCCGGGTCAACGTGTTATGGAATCAGAGGAAGACGATTCGTATTTCAACAGTGATGACAACGAGGAGGACAACATCGTACCTGTTCCTAGAGTCGATTCTTCGCTCTTCGGCTTGTTCCGGCGGAAACGACAACGTATAAGCACTCCTGGTCCTCATGCTCAGATGAACAAGGGTCAACGATTGATGAGCGTACCTTCGCAAAATCGACCTGTTTCGCCGTTATCATCGTTATTAGAGTATGACGACGATGAAGAAATGCCGCCCTTGTCTGAACAAATCCGATCGGAGAAAGAGCCTCCGGCACCTCGACCACCTATACTTCCGCCTAGGCAGATCCAGATCTTGCCATACGAGCCTAACGCTAACGATTCTGAACCTTCGGATCCGGAAGATGAGTTGTTAGAGTCGCTGGTTTCGAAAGACGTTGATGAGAAGCCGCCACCACCCGATGTTCAAAAGGGACCGCCAGCGACGACACAGGCTCAGGTACCAGAGAAGCGACGTCGTGGAGAGGAAGAGGAAGATGCGTTTGAGAGACTTGCACCGAAGAATCGGAGACTAAGCAACGCGTCGGACGAGGCCTCGCAAGTTGCTGCTGCGAAAGTACGGGCTGCTGCCGCTGCCGAGACGACCAGGAAGGCAGGTGAGGAAGGAGGACCGAAGAAGTTGAAACTCAAGTTCAGCGCTGCTTCTAAATCATCTCCTTTGTCGGAAACGAGGACATCCGTAGCAGCCAAGAAAACTGAGGTGAAGGATGGCACTGGGAACGGCTAGAAACTATGTTGTTGTTGTCGATTGATTGGGGCTTGTAACTTATACAATTTTTCCCTGTTTCTGTTTTCGCTTTTTTCTTCATTTTCGTTCGTTTGTTGAGTTTTTGTTGATGTGTTTTCTTCTAACTGTACATACGCTGTCTGTCTCTGAGGCATACATATATATTAACACCCTCACTCTCGTTTCTTATTCTGTCTTTTTTTCACAGCTTTTCCATGTCTGTTAGAATGCATGCAATCTTAATCTGCTAATATACTCATCTGCATGGACATCACTCGCTCGATATCTTGGACCTCGGTTTTGAGTTCATCTGTTTAGCGGTTCTTCAAGTACACTTTGTGAGAATATCCTTGCAACAATGACTGTTAACAAAGTAGCTGTGAGCCACAAGCCCACTTACAACCCACAACCCTCCCTTTGCTGTTATGACCATCAGTGAAACTCACAATTTCTTCTAAATTTATCGGGATGGGATCGGGACCTCAACTTATAATTAAATTGCATTTGTACATGTATGCACGCAAACTACACTATAAATATAATTTTCGCCAGGAGCAAAGGAGATACCCGAGACGAGTTTCACGAGTTTCAAACGCTATTACAGAGCCTAAATAACATCTAACAATATAACTGTCTAGGGAATTGGAAGAGGTAAAGCATGTTCAATGGTCTTAGGGTCCACGAAGGCCTGTTGATGAATTCGGCATGTCGATCATTCTGGACACGCGTGGGGCGAAGCGCGTCGATCAGATCCAACTTGGACGCGTGCTGCTCTTCATTCAGTCTCCATTCAACCACCATGAGCCTTAAACTAAAGCCAGACAGCACGTCTTCCCCCGGTGCACCATTCTCATGGGATACCCTTCCTACGTCACCCTCTGTAGCGTCACCCTCCGAACCGCCACTGTCTCCTCCGACATTATGGCTTGACGCGAAACAAATGAGGATCTTTGGTGCTGAGCCGCTCAGGCCTGAATTCGGTGTTGTTAGGTGTAAAGATTGTGATAAGCCGATACAGAAGAGTGCCTTTGCAGATCACGTCGGTAAGTGTATGGCCAAAGCCTTTTTGGGATGGTCGTTCAAGGTCCACTAACGCATACGTTCCATCAGAACGATGTCGGACAATTCGCGCTGGGGGCAAGAAGGGCAGCGCGAAAGTAGACGGTAAGGAGTGAACGATTTTTCTGCCTGGTTCATCGTATATATATGATGCTCAGACAAGAAGGGAAAGAAACGGAAAGCTGATGATAACGATACCATAGAAGATGAAGGTGGTGTGAAGAAAAAGAAACCCGCGACGAAGATCACGAAGGGGCGTCTCAAGGGGCCTGTGGACTTAGACAGACAATGTGGGGTTATAAATGACAAGGGTTTGCCATGCTCTCGTGCCCTTACCTGCAAGAGTCATTCTATGGGCGCGAAACGCGCGGTTCAGGGACGGTCGAAGAAATACGACGAGCTGTTGAGTGACTTCAATAAGGAGCGGAATCCCAATTACGTCGAACCACCCAAGCGCCAGACGAAGGCGGAGCGGAAGGAGAAGAAAGAGAAAGAGAAGGCCGAGAAGAAGCGGTTAGCAGTCGAAGCTGCAGCCGTAAGTGCCGCCGTCAAGCAAACGACTGGAGGATTGCAAAAGAAAAAGAAGACGACTACCACTGCTGCACCAGTCGCGACCGTCCCGCAGGATGACGACGAGGACGAGAATATGGATGATGTCGATTCGGAAGCAGAACTTGACTCAATGGTGAAAGCTGTGCGCAATGCTCAGACCACTGGCGTTATTGGCGTTCCTCTTGCTGTTCCTTGTGATGCCGGGAGCTGGTTCGTTGGGCGTCGGGAACGTTTACGGAATTGCAGAGACTTGATTGCGAGTGCCCTCATGCCTAGGGGCGCTATGAATGGCACTATGAATGGACCAATGACCAGTGTTATGAATGGAACGATGAACGGCAATGTGGGCGGGGCACCAGCTCGACTCCCACCTTGATTTCTATCACAGTAAGCTCAGAAACAGTATTAGCCTGTATGTATGCTCACAAGCTCCAATAAGCTCCAATAAGTGGCAAACGTCTTCACATATGTTTTAACTTTGCATTCCTTCTCTGTACTATTGACTCTTAAGTTTATATTTTATTGATCGCATCATGACATCACGGACTGCTTTGCAATAGGTACGTATGTCGTAGATTTGCAATTGATGGAATTACTGACGAGATAACATATCTTCTCTTCTATGGATCATGAAGATTCATACATGAATGTCTCTCGTCGTGGCGACAGCGCTGGTGTACTCGTCAACATTTTGTAATAAACTGTTTAATAATAAGCCATAGTGCAAAGCGGGGTCTGGAGATCGCAAAGTAGGTCCCCAAGAGACCTGGCGGAGAATAGGCTTGACCGGCAAGACTGCTCAATTTGTATGGGACATGCTCGGGCTACTTTGCTTGCTTACAAATTCTTATTTGATGCAACTTTGCGTAGTAAGTACCTCCCTTTGTGGTTCTCCATGGCTTGTCTGCTGATGTTGTATTGTGGCCAGCTTCGAAGGTCTATACTCGCTAGTAACATAGAAACCGGAATCCGGATGAAAGTCAGTGGCGTTTGGCTAAAAGTTACGAGAGAAAGCTAAGTATTGATGGTCGAACATTCGTTCTGTTAGGTTTTTATGTACAGCCATACCTCCATGGGTATCTTTGCTCACTGCAACTTCTCGTTTGCGGAGAGCTTCCAGTCAGACTCAAAGTAGTGTCCCGTGCTGGTCCCGTACGTTTTGCTCCATACGGGCTTAGAAGTTTGCCCTCTGCAACCAGTCTGTGGCCACACTTTGCAACACAATTAGAGAGATAAATAACCATTCATTTGCTACATATGCTCTACTGCTTTGCTGCGTCGTCTCTCCCACTTCTCTCTAGTCATACGGACCCCAACATATCGTCACCTCCACTCTAAAGTGCTTCTATCACAACTGCTCTATCCGGGTAAGAAAGAAGAACCATCTGAAGACCAGCTTATATGGCAGACCCTAGATACGGTCGAGGACCACCTTCGCGTTCGCACGATGTCGAAAACCGGCTCAAAGATTGGGACAGAGCCTTACGTGCGGATATTTTAGCAAAAGCACAGAGACAATATGAGTCGGCAGCGCATGAGCTACGAGTTAGAGCACAGCGAGAAGCACAAGCAGTTGCGAAATTACAAGCGCAACAGGCTCAATATCGTGCTCTAACGCGTCCTCCACCTCGAATTCAGGTCCAAGCCCCAATACAGACTCGGATGCAAGCGCAACCGAGATACGCACAACCTCCCCAGTAAGTTATCCGCCCGATGTTCTACTGCTCATCTCTGATTTTCTACTTGCCAGGAGCTCTTATAGGCCTGTCTCGAGAACCTCGGCATACATAGGAAGACCCGCCCCCGCCCCTGCCTCTGCTCCGACCTCTGCACCCGGCCCGAGTCCAGTCACTCCTCAGCCAAGGCAGAGCTATGCTGCACCTCGTGAAATCCCGCCGCGATCAAGCACACCCACAGCAAGAACTATGAGAGTGACCCCTCCAGCTGAGTCGAACGCTTTAGAACTTGAAGAACTCAAACGGCGTTATTTTGCACAATTAGCTGACGCGCAGTCTCCAGAAGCACGCGAGCCTCAGCCCCGGCATCATATCAGACACTTGGCTAGTGACAGTGCTCATGCGCATTATACTCGCGCAAGTGCCGTCGGACACCCTCGGGGACAAGTTCGCTCGCTTGCAGATGAATATCTGGACTTTTATATGCCTGCAAAACGTGGACCACAGTCTTCTAGTTTCTACAATGCACCTCAAATGGCTTCACCAAGACAATATGAACGGAGGAGCCCAGAGAGGTATTACCAAGAATTACGGGATGAAAGATCCCATGCATACTCTGCTGAAGTTGCTCGTCGTTCTGTTCTACCTGAGAGACCACTACCGCAGCCTGTTGAGCAGCGGCACCATCAACAAAGTAGAACGCCTGCACCTGCAGCTAAAGAGTCACCCTCACCACCTCAAGCATCTAAGTCAAATCTGTCTTTCTTGCTTAATCCGACTCAGGGTGCTTCTCCAAAAGCTAATCAGAACTTTGATGGGCGTGCGCAAAGCAGTGTGCTAGCAAACTGGGGTCCGCATTCGAAAGATGATGTAACAGGTGAACATTCTCCGAGACACTCAACACAGGATGATTATCATGGCACAGCAGCAAGATCGGCGAATAACTACCCAGAAAATGATTCCGATATGGATCGCCGCGATCTTGACGTGAAACCAAGTATAACCCGTGCAGATTCACAGCGGTCTGAAGAAAACAGGAAGCACTGGTGGCTGCGCTCCAAGACTTCTTCGCACTCCCCGCCCCGATCAAGCGAGGCGCAAAAACCGAATGAGCAAGCGGGATCACCTCCGGGGAGTGTTCTGAAGGAACGTCTCCGTTCATCTTACTCGCGTCCAGAAAAGAGAAAAGCTTCACCGCCACCACAGTCCCCAGCAGAGTCTGAAGCGTCTGTGATAGAAGAACCACGACCGAAGAAGCGAGCATACGGACGGCTGCCGCGGACCGTCGAGTCTGATAGCATGTCAGACCTTAGCCCCGAAGAAGAAGAGGGGATGGAGGATCATCACTCTATGCAGCAAGAGTCCGACTCCAGAAAATCCGCGACACTAGACGCCACGCGTTCTAAACATGCTATTAGTAGAACCGAGCAAAGTGATAAGCTTGACGACGCCTCTCGCCACCGTGTCAAACGTTCCGCCACAGATGACGGGACGCGACTTGATGCCAGAAGCAATCGGAGGAGAATATCTACGGACCAAGGAAGCGGTAGTTCGATGAGTTCGATGTCTATTTCGTCAGCGCCGTCTCCAGTTGCGTATCATCCAGAGGCTGCGTCTTTAAAAGCTGAAGAAGTAGATGACGAAATAGCTTCTTCTCCCGTCGACAAAGACGAAGACGCGCAGGTGCCTGGTTCTTCTGGGCTCAAATACAGCACGGAAACGTCCAAGCGGCGACATGCATCGGAACCGTCGCCCGACGAAGGCCACGAGGCTAAAAGACGCCTTCGACCACGCACTAACGCAGCCTAGAGCTGAAACATGGATACCGATTTAGTAATTTATGAGCTTCTTTGTTTAATTTAGTGTTGCCGGAAGGATTTTTTTCGTGTTTTTCTGTCTTATTTTTTCTCTGTTTGTTTCTTGTAACACTAATGACCTAGCTTGGGTATCCTATTTCTATTCATCTGTTCTTGCACTTACATTTGTTCTTGCTCTGTGTAAATGAGTACAATGCGCAAATAAACTCGTTCCTCCAGTATCTCCGTCCGCGAAGAAATGACAAATTTTTCAGGGCCGTAGAAGTTTGGGTTCCGTGCCACAGCTCGCGAGAAGCCGCGTCCAGAGTCGATCCTTACTTGTAGCCGATGAATTGTAACTTCCGTCCCTGGCTTGCTTGACGAATTCGTCACATAGCGATTGCGGGAAAACGGTTGCTAAAAAACGACAGGACCACCTGACTGTGTAGTAAGCGATACCCAATTTGTGCACGTTGCTGAGAACGTGTACTCGTCAAGATGACGGCAATCTTTGAGAAGATGATGTTGCTGCTAACTTACTGATGACGGGAGGTGGGATGGACAAGAGTGTACAAGCTTTTTTGATTTGATTGCAGATGAGTTTTCTCAAGTCAAAGATCAAGATCAGACGGATTCGCTTGAATTATATACCACGGCGGGTTTCTACCGCAATTGCAGCCGTGAAACTGCACAGAAACGACACGTCAAGAAATTCTTTCATCTAGATATTTTTTGAAGATAAGGGACCTTTGTCCGATGATTCCGGTGGGATGATTTATAAAATCCATGTATGGGTGGAGTATCATACAGAAGGGCCCCATTTTAATATGTTGTTGCAAAAAAAGGTCTACATCAAACGGGAACCACCTTGCGTGATGGGTCAACAATACAGTCAAACACAGCCGAGCTACATGCGCAACCTCCAGGCCTTTCGCTGTTGAGTTGTCGCCGCCGATTGTGCGAGGTGCGAGCGACGAACGGCCAAAGGTGAGCGGCAGAAGAGATGAAAGAAAAAACCTGATCGAGTTAAGTAACGTGTGTGCGCGCGTATTGAGTGACGCGGGAGAACTTGGAAGTAGAAAATGGCATCCAAATTAAGAAGCAAGCCCGGCGCTCGCTAAACTCTCCCTCCTTCCCTTGCCTTTCTCTCAGACCACGATCACTCCTTTCTCTCTCGTCTCCTCCCTCGCCTCTCTCGTTCTCTCGGCACCTCAATTACAGACTTTTCTTGAAACACAACTTGGACGGAACTGCTCGCTCCCTAACTTACCCAATTATACGGATATCTAACGAGCGGAGACAATGGCGGGCCTCTCTGATCGCAGTACGCGTTATCTTCTCGCTCTGTACGCGCTCTCTGACCCAATTTACCTTTCGTAGCTCCTCTGTACCTTTCACCACGTTCGGCGGATGTCGTTCTTTCTGAAATTCGTCCCACGAAACTTGCACCGGAGGCTTTGCGCTCCGTTAATGTCCTATTAGATGAACTTCTCTGGATGATCCTCAGCATGGCACGCTCCTTCGCCACCGATCAACTGAAGGGCGCCCTGAGCAAGCTGTTACCCACGTCGCTTGGCAAGGAGGCGTTGCTGGAGGCTGAAGTGGAGTTAAGAGCATACTGGGACCGCACGTCTAATCACCCATCACGACCGTATGCAGAGAATAGCCAGGAATTTCCCATCCAGCCTGCCTTTGAGGTAAGAGTCTATTGCGCTTAATTACTTGCCATCATGCTCATTATCAACTATTGCCACCTTGTTGCATTGTAGCTGCTACGATTAAAATGCGAAGCATTCTCGACATTCAATGATTCGGACGAAGACACCGACTCCGAGAAGCGGTGGCAGGCAAAGGTCACGAGCGCAAACGGTTTCTCATCACACAATGCGCAATTCATAGCCCCCTCCGCGCTTTATCTGACTGCCATACTTGAGTACATATTTATTGCCTTCCCGTAGGGAGCGTGTGACTGACGCATATTTTAGACACGTATGCGAGTGCGTACAGAGTTCACTGCAAGCATGTCAACAAGCTCAAATTTTCTCTATAGACATGTTCTATCGAACACGGGACGCGTCGCGTCTCGAGATAGCAGCCGCTCAACTGCGACCTTGCAGGATCTATTTCTTGCATTGTGCGAAGATGATTCCATATATGGACTATTCAAGGTTATGAAGGGTGCGTCTTCCCGAATACATGTCATTGTCATGGTGATAGCATTCTGACACGGAAGTTTACCTTACCTTGGCTTAAAATAATCTTGCGTGGGGTAGTGCACAACCAAATTGAGTCGCAGTGCAATGCTTTGGCCAAACCAAGAGGTGGCAGGTCCAGCAACCGCAGTGTCAGTGACCTTGGAAAAGGTTCCTCTCATACGAATGGTTCGCCGTTCGGATCGGTTTCGACCTTCAACGGTGACGGCGCGAAACCGCGTGTCTCTTCAGATAGTGCCGGCTCAGGGACCGCAGTTGCCGCTCTGCAGTCATCTGGGTCACGGAGTTCCACGGAGAAATCCAAGGCGAAGAAGCTGTTTGGACGCATGAGCGTAGATAAAGAAAGCGGATCACAAGGGAGCCAGAATTCTCTGGATGGAGCACATAAGCGTTCAGGCTCTGTGATGAGCGGTGGGAAACGGCCCAGCTCGGCTTTGGACGATGGCCCTGGGTCCAGCCCAAGTGAGGTGGGCAGATCTTTTTTTAAAGTTATGATGGATTTCTCTCTAATATAAGGACCATCCAGGTCGAATTCGACGAGTTGATGCGTTCTGGTACCACCATGAAGGTGTCTCTTACGCCTGACCGCCTTAGAACTTTTGATGTTAGCACCTCTTTGCTTCATACGCTCAACTGAATTTTGACTTAAACTGCGTTATGCAGGTATATAACAAGGAGAAAGGACGAGGAGTCAGTAAAATTCTCATTCCGGCCCAACAAGTGGTCAGCAAAGGGCCGCTTCAGGACAGTCCGACTATAAACACTGCTGCGCCAACTCCGCCACAGAAGCCTTCCATCCATGAGCTAGGAGCGCTCAGGAATGGGGATGGCGATGAGCTCAACGGTATACACACGAGGAAGGAACCCAAAAAGGCACCGCCGGTATCTTACGATCAGCCGCACTCACGAGCACGGTCGACATCTGCGTCTCAGGCATCCATCGCATCACTTACGAATCATCACGCCAATGGACGCAAGGCATCATTAGGGACTCTGCCTATTGAATCCATTCATTCGCAATCTCTGCGGGGCACCGGTCCCTTGTCACACCCGCCGAAGTCAGCTGGATTGATATCGAGCAATGCATATTCGATGAGGAAGGTGCATCAATCAAGTAGCCGTGACTCCATAGATGAAATCATGGATGGGACTTCAGACGACGATGCTCCAGTCAAGAAACCGACGAACAGACGCAGGGCGCCAACTGTTGGCGGTGTTACTGCGCAGACAGCTGACTTGATTGATTTCTTGAACAGTGGTCCTCCTGATGAACCAAAGCCATTATCACCCTCGTCAACTGCGGTGTCCTCGCTTGATAAGCAGAAACGGGGTAGGCTTCGCAGCATTGTTTCACGTTTGAAGGGTGGTCAGTCCATGGACAAGTTACCGAGTCAATCATCGTACGAAGACTTCATGTCAGGCAAGAAGTCTCCTGCTCCTCCACCGGCCTTCGTCCCACCTCCTTTATCGGCGAAGAGGTCTCTTCATAGCCTTTCTTCATACAGTCAGAGTCAGACGTCACTGCAGAAAGGTCGACCTCCGCCTGTACCGTCCGTGACAATCCCTCTTTCTCCTCCGCAATCACCTAGCCAGTCCGTGGCTGAGTCAAACTCACTGTCGCCGAATCGACCTAAACCGTCGCCCACCAGTATACGGAAGGCAGTACCTGCGTTCGCGGAAGCAGAAATAAGCAAACATGAAAATGGTACGGCATCATTAGCTGCACCCAAATCGGCCGATGTGTCGCCTCGCACGCCCACAAAGGTGGACACCGAGGCCAATTTCTTGAGGGCTCAGCAGTACTTCAAGGATACGGACAATGCTGAAACCTCAACGACTATAAGCTCTTCTACGACACAGCTAGCGCATAAATCTTCCGATACTCTGCGTACCCCTCCTCCTTCGTTCCCATCAGTGAGACCTTCCTCCAAGCAGTCTCAGCGCCATGCTTTATCGCCACCCTCAACGCCGAAGGCGTTTGCAGTGCATGCGACCGATTTGCGTCGTTTGATGGCCAATGCCACGTCTGCGGATGAATGTCGGCTACTTGTTGACATGTTTCTTGCTCAATCGGGTCTACCGGTAAAGGACGCCGACTTCCCTCCAGACCCGAGGACGCTTCCCAGCGCCCAGCAGGAGCACGCTGTCATTGAAGCGCTGTTGAGTCATGGAGACGCTCCAGCCGAGGAGGCCGAAACGCCATCGGGCAAAGTCAGTCCTGCTCGTGATGCTGGTGGTCCACCAACACCACGTTCCGATGACCAGCACGCCACACCCACGATTCATCGCAAAGCAGTCCCTGTAGTCCATGCATCGCCAGTAATATCAGCCGAAGCTTAACGTATTAATTCCTTTATCACTTATTTGGTTTTTTCTTTCGTTGTATTTATTCATAGCGTACTAAGGTATAGGTATACCCGGCGGATCGTATTATTTTCTCGTGTATTAAAGTTTATTTCTTAGGGTCAGGAGATTTCTGGACTTCCACCACTTTGTTCTTTCACTATTCTTGTTGATTGGTTGATTGTTTCTCGAACTTAATAAGCCGTAGTTGTCTTGTTTGAACGATAAACGGATGAAATGTTACACTACTTTTATGACTCGTGATCTATTGGACTGAGGGAATTGATTGAATTGTGTAACCAATGAGGAAAGCAGGGTGGGTAAATTGTAAGAAACATATGCATGTCGCATCGGGTTGTCACTCTCGGGGTTAGGCATTCACTAATCTAGAAGACCTATCGAACTTCAAGAGACACCGCAATTCCCATAGACGCCAACTCGGCGCACAGATACCTGAAAACATAAGGAACCGCAACGACGTCAAGGTCTCCACCCGCTTTAGTCCCTCCAAGGACGTTCCCTCTTGGAAGCGCAACTCGGACGCCGGTTGCATGTACACCGTTTTGCGTGGTGGGATTGCTATTATTGATATTGATATTGATATTGATGTTATTGGCAAGTGCTGCACGCTCGCGCTCCTCGCGCTCTTCGGACGCCGCGCGGCATGCGCGGCAGTATTCTCCCCCAGGTTGGGAGAGTCCTGCGCGGAGGGAGTCGCTGCCTAATTGGACGTCTTCGTACCCTAGGGAGATGAGACTTCCGCATGTTCTGCAGACCCAGGCTGTTGAGTAGTCTGAGCAGTTCATGAGACGGTCTTGGAGGAGGAAGGAGGTGCCGTGTGCGATGAGTGCGTCGCGTTCCATTTCGCCGAAGCGGATGCCACCTGCTTTCTTTCGGCCCTGTTGTAGTGCAAAGAAAGGATAAGTCAGTGAGTGAAAAAAATAATGCAAATGGATGCATGGATTTAGGTGTCGAGAGTGATGACATTACCTTGACGGGCTGTTGTGTTATCGGGTCTACAGGTCCTGTCGTTCGAACTTGGAACTTATCGAGGACCATGTGTCGAAGACGTTGGTAGAAGACGACACCGAGGTAAATGTCCGCTGCGAATTCCTGACCAGTAATGCCGGAGTACATCGGTTCATTACCGTAATAGTTGTATCCCGCTGCAAGCAACTGCTCGCCGAAATAATTAACTGCGGTATCCTCTTCTGAGAATCTAGCAGAATCAAGTCAATATAGTACCTTGGGGGGAGAAGGTCTCAGGGTATACATACGTGAAAGGCGTAGCATCCTGCGCAATCCCATGCATCGCACCCGCTTTCCCAGCCATACTCTCCACAAGCATACCAATTGTCATTCGTGACGGGAACGCATGCGGGTTGATGATGACATCTGGCTGAATACCACTTTCACTGAACGGCATATCGATCATGGGCCATTTTTGCGAGCAGACACCCTTTTGACCGTGCCGTGAGGAGAACTTGTCGCCGATAACTGGTGAACGTGTTATTCGAAAAGTGATGTTGATTTTTTGGAGTTCTGTGTCGCCTGCATCGGAGCCTATATGCGTGGATTGTTTTAGTACGATAGTGAGAGGAAGAGGAAGGTGCTAAACGAATGCTCACCAAGTAATCGCACCTCGTCGATGATACCGGCTTCGTCGTTTTTATACTTGACAAAACGTGTTCGACCGGTAGTGTCATCGACATAAGCTGCTATAAAATCGTTGAATTTCACTTTCTTCCCGACATGGGGAAGACCATCGAAGTCCAGAATTTCGAGGCATGGATGAGGATTGTTCCCTCTCGTCCTAATATCACGTCCAAATCCAAAATGTAAAGTTGGTGCTGTCGTACTCTTCGATGCACCGTGCATGTCTTTCAGGTCGATGGTTTGCGATTTGTATACGGTACCATACGCAAAGCCACGTTCGTGAGCAGATTTATTGAGAATCATGGCGTCTTCCATGTCGTACCCCGTATACGAGATGACTGCTACTACTGCGTTAGTTCCATTTGGGAAAGAGTCCATGCTGTATGTGTTGTGCAATGCTGGGCGGACAATGGGCGTTTGACCGGTCTGGAGTCGGTATAACTTGTTATCTGTTCGATGCTTTATTGCTGTTGAAGGAGTCCCCATTGTTTGCTTTCCCATCTGCAAAGTAATTAAAGAAAACGCTGAGCCAACTTCTGTGCAAGCAAAATATGTTTTACTGACCTGACATTGATAAATGTTACGTGGACTCTGGTTGAAATCCGAGAAGGGAGTGAGGTTTGCAAGGATAGAGAGGAAGTTTGTCGGTGAATGTTCGACATGAGTCGATACGCCAGATTCGATTTCCTCAGGCTTCACGGCAATGTCCATGTATACCTGCTCGAAAGAGCCAATTTGGTCATCTTTTCCGTTCAGGACGTATTTCACGGGACGCATCATGCGCGACCGTGATGAAAAGAGGTACAAGCCGGGATACTGGCCACCTTGCGAGATAGGAACAAGACCGATTTCGAGGTCGAGTGGGACGTTGTATCTCCCTTCTGTCTTCCAGACGCGCAGGCTCGTCGCGAGTTGTTTCACAAGAGCTGGACTTGCCCACCCTATCATGCGCCCGTCAAGTTGTACCGCAACGTTACGGTGTCTTTTGCCATTTATCGAAGGGGCATGCACTGAGGTCATGCCATTTGAGAGAAGTAGGTTGGTAAGATGTGCGACGGCAAGGGGTGCAGTTACAATTCGGCATGATCGGGAAAGGTGATTGAGCAGACCACAGGGAGAACCATCGGGTGTATGCACTGGACATAAGAAACCCCAAGCTTCTGGCAGCAGTTTACGCACTGTCGTAGTCTTGAGCTCCGCGAAGAAAGCACCACGATGTATGCACCTGAAATGGCTGATGTACCTATACCAGTTCAACTTCTCTGCAACAATTGTGAACCCAGCGGCCTGCTGTAAGTCAAGCCCAGTCGGTGAGACGAGGTTACCCGTTGCAAGGAAATTAGCCAGCCTTGCACCAATGTCGAAGTTTACACGCGATACGGCTTTCATGAAATACTTTTCGTCGAAGAAGTCGACAGCTTTGTCACCGCGTCGTACGTCGTGTGCAATTTGAGCACGAAGTGCGTTTAGGCACTCTTCCATTCGCTCCTTTATGATCATGCCGTACAAGAAACCAGGTAGGAGCACTTCCTGGTGCTGTGGAGAGTCAGGATTATCCGAACAACTGGAAGAGTTGACCGAGGAATATAGTTTCCGTAACATGAATCTGAAACCAGAACATGCGTTAAGTCAGACAAATCACTTAGGAGACTCGTTACGTACAGAAGCATTCTAAACTTGTCTCGTGGATCTTCAAGGTGGACCAAGATGAATTTTCGTACAAGCCAAACACCAAGCGCAGTATTATTCCAATCTTCAGGTTGCCCAAGGACGACACGGAACTTGTCGCCTAAAAATTCTAAGCACTGTTCACCAGTGTAAAGTTTGTAATTCTTAAAACTTCGTAGTAGTAGCTCGACTCGGTCGGTAAGGAACGTATTCTCGTAGTCCTGCATGATGATGCCTTCGAATATCTCCTTATCCGATGCTCCCACAAGTGCCTTTAAGATAAGCATTACAGGAATAACGTATTCCTGTTTTCGCCAACTAAATCGGAACATAGCATTGCCATTGGAGAGATAGTGCAGTGAATTCGTTACAGCAGTCTGGTCGGGTCGTACACATCGAATTTGCACTGCGTATGGAGTGTATGAGGGTCCGCGTTTCTGGAACGATGGTCGGGAGAGAGCAATAACGTGGTGTCTTCGTGAAACAATGAGGTAACGAATGAGTCGCTCGTTCCCGTTAATAATGAAATAACCGCCAAATTCCTCTGGTTCTTCGTGCTTCGCGACAAGTTCTGAAGAGGATAGATTGCGAATGTTACACCGCACTGACTGGATACTTCGCGTAAACCTTGCAAGGGCAAACTGAAGCAAGGAAAGCACATACCCTGACCATAATTGGTACAAGTCCACAATCTTTGACGATTGATCTTTCTTCCTTTCCATGTACTTTCCAGCAAAGCTTAATAGTCATTCGTCCTCGATAAGATGTTAACCGTTCGCGAGCCTAAACAAAACAGCATTTTTCAGCAATCCAGTACGAGCTCAGGATGTAATCCCATTCGCACTTCTGCAGGGTAGACTTTCCGTTCTAACGCAAGTTTATCTCTCTCAGGAACCATAGGCCTTCCTATCGACACCTGCTCGATCCACACTTCCAGATCATAAGTTCTGTGAATAATTGCAAACGAAATAGATAATTCAACTTACTGCTCATTCGATTTCCTAACCTCCGATTTCCCTGCTCATCTTCTCGTCCAGAATAATCAAACACGACCTTTTCTCCAATATCCTTTACAGCAAGAGATAACAACCCACTGCCATCTCCATCGCCTGTTGGTAAACCAGAGTCGTCAAAGAGTGCATTGAAGGATTCTAAATGTGGTGCGACGAGTTCATTAAGGATTGGTACGGAGTGGCCCTTCTTTGGTGGATTTCGGAACCTGGCTTCACGCTTTAGCGTGTCGAATCCATTGTAGGAGCCGTCAGGCATGTTTTGTTTGCAGAAACACGCGCTGCAGAAGACCAGGACCTTGCAAGTTTTGCTACCGTCGATCCTCGAACTTTTTCTGCACGCTCCCAACGGTTCTAAATCCTGAGTCACGTGGCTTACATCAAAGATATGAACTGGAAAGCAATTATAAAGCGAAAAAAATGCATATGCAAGAAGCCGTAATCTACATGTATAATACAGAAGAGCGTCATGCATTATGTTTGATTGGTATGCAGTGTGATTGAGAACAGAAGAGGGTGCGGCGTTTATCCACGAACCCATATAACGATAGCATTTCACAATTGAAGAGTGAAGATAGAATAAATTCATGTACCGTGTACTGCCAATTAAGCTATGGATCGAGGCATATAGAGTGATATTTCAGCCTTGTCCTCAACCAGCAGACCCTCCTTCTGGGATCCGAGAAAGGGAAGAGGCGGCCCGATCGACTCTTATAGCAGGGCCAGTAGTTTTCACTTTCCGTTTCTTAACAGTGCCACCTCCAGTTACGTCCACACCCATCTCATCCGCACTCTCCAATGTATCGTATGGATCAATGTCCACGGACTCTGCGCGTTTCTCTGCCGGTCTCAAAGGAGATCTGGACGATGCAGAAGCTGACTTGAGGGGTCTAGTCGAACCTGTAGGCCGTGATGCAGGTCCCTTTGCTCGTACTGTTCCTGTTCCAACTGAAGTGTTCTCTTTTCCAAGTTCACTTGATCGACTGGCTATCATCCGTTTTGTAGCGGATCCTTCGCCAATCCTCTTTTGCGGTACTTTGATTTGCAGAGGGCGCGGTCTTTTCGTTCCTGCAATCGATCCGGCCTCAGATGTAGCATCCGAAGCAGAGCCAGTACTTGCTTTAGAAGCAAGTGACGGAGCACGCGAGACAGTGCGTACAGAAGAGGCACGTGAACCTGTTGTGAACGATGCTTGGCTGTCCGCTCTGCTTGCACGCGTAGAAGAAAGAGTATAATTTGAGTTTGCGCGTCGACTTCTGGAAGGGACTGTAAGGCCAGAAGGCTCTAATGAGCTCCTTTGCGTCGCTGTCCCAGACTCGAATTCTTCAATGTCATCCACCTGCGATACGCGATGGAATGCACGCAATTCTGGTGGTGGTGAAAGCTCCTGCGAGGGAAAGCGTCCGTGGGTATCCTTAAAAAACCTGGGACGTGGAGGGGTTCGGAGCGTAATATTAAGAGTATCGTCGCCGTCCTCATCCTCGTCAGTATTAAAGCCATGCTCTATAGTCACGTCTAAGTCCATCTCCTCGGTCTCCTCCACCTCCCCAAATTCTTTTCCAATAGTAGTATTAAGACTCCGTTCTGTAAATCCAAATTCGTCGCCCGAACCGCCGTGTGAGCTGGAGTCTTCTAAGTTGGACTCACACGTATCCGCTCGAGCGACAGACCAAAATCCTGCACGCGCACGGGTTCTTCTTCCGCATGCAGCTTCCTACAGCCACTCCTGCTGGGCAAGGACTGGCTCACCGGTGCCTTCGGCTTTAGGGGCCGTTCGCGCGTTTTCGGTTGCAATTGCGCCGTCTCATGAACGCCATATAAGCTAGGCTGATATTGGCTACTAGGCGCAGCGCTAATGGGCCTTGGTTTTACTTGCGGTGTAGTCGGATAGGCGGACGGAAAGGGAGGGTATTGGCCCCATTCACCAACTTCATCCTCGAGGGCGTTGGCTTCTCCTATTTCACTCGGCGTAAGAATTGGGGGTGTAGTTGATTCTACCCTAGAAGCAATCGTCGCTGTGGCAGAATCAGATGCGACGCGTCGTTTTACCTGAGGTCGCTCCTCGGATTGATCTTGATTGCGTGCATTTGCAGGCGGGCGCCATATTTTGTGTTTCTGCTGCAGATAGATAGCATAAATAAGGCGCTTTTTAATGAACTTGCAAAATATATACCTGGTTAAAAGTCGTGTCTGAACGGGAGTGCGGGAAACCGTTCGGCCTGCCAATTTTTGACGGGCCACCAGCAGCATTTCTCCCGGTACTGCTATCTGAAGCCTGTCTGACTCCGCGTGTCCTTGTGCCCACCACACTACCATTAGATACCTGTCTGATGGTACCTCGTTCGCGTCGCACCTCTGTTGCATCCGCAGCAGGCTCACTCGATTCAGTTTCACTCACGGGGGTCGGAGTTTCTGAATAGGTGGGAGCAGCTGGTCTCCACCAGTTAGCAACAAATCCAAACGGTATTGAGACCACCAATATGACAAAGTCGCCAATCATGGCAATATGCTCGAGGGCGTAGTCAAGCGTGGCTACATATGGCTTCACAAGCGGACGCATAACGTGCAAATAAATTGGTTCCGCACCCTGGATACCAAGTCAATTTATGAGTAAACTTAATCGACTACAAGGGGATGCACATAAGGCTTACCCTAGCACGCGTAATGATTTGAAACAGGTATATGATTGCCTTGATCTCGTTGTAAAAGGGCATAACGATGCCGACGGTGCTGTCCGTAATGCCTTCTACTACGGCACACGAGCACTGTACAATGAGTCACACGAGTTTTTACTCATAGTCAGTACACGGCATGTACAGCCAGAAAATAGCTTCCACTCACCCACAGAAGCCAGATGGTCATACAACCTTTCATGTCGCGTTTTCGCTGCGAGATCGCTCGAGGTGTCTGTTCACCCGTGCGAGGCGAACGTCGCGGAGGCTTGAGCGTCTTGAAGGACTCGAAAACATTGAGAAAAAGCAAGAAAATCCGTAGTATTGGCACAACGACCGCCATCGCACGCGATCGTAATCAACCGAGTACCTGCAGGTTTGTCGTGTCGAGTAGCAATCGAGGGTGCTATAGTGAACTTTGCGGGTTTCTGTGAGTATCAAAGTGGACTTGAGGTGGCGGTCGCCTGTAAAGATGCGGGATTTAACAGAATAGGCAGCTCTGAAGCGTGTGGCTGCAGTCTGGACCCTAGCAATTGAGGCCTGAGACAGATGAAGTCACCATGAACGCGCCCTGCGCGTGTTTCGAACTTTCACAGAAGCACATCACGTCACGTGCGCGTTCCAGGTTCAGCAACGTCGATCATTTCAATCAGCCCTTGTTCAGACAGACAAAAGCAGTAAAGTCTTTGAAATGGATTGGCATAAATAGCTACAGTGGGGCATACGACAGCATAAGGACATAGGCGAGGGCATATTGGCGTTACAAAGTGTACAGCGACATGGCAAGGTGTAAAATTAAGTGGAATGTAAGCTGCTTGCACGGTCCAGCGAACCTTGGTGATGAGATGTGAAGAAGTCCGTGATAAAAGATGAAAACAAATAAACAATAAATACAGTAAGAAAAGGAAAAGTCTCGTGAGAAAAATGGTACAAAGGGTCATGAAGTCCATGTATGAAAGTCAGTAATACGGAGGTGCGATGTACGGGCGTAAAGTGTACTGAGGTTGTTGAGATTGAGTTGCGGGACTTGCTACTGGGCTGATAGGAGATGCCGACGAAGCGCGGCTATATGACGAGTGGGGGCTGTAAGAGCCCATGCTTCCTCCGTTCGTATTCCCAGAAGACGAACTCGAGGAGAACATGAACGACGGGTTCGGAGATCCATGTGGTGGCGATGGTGCGGGTGTGAGCGAGATTGTTGGAGCCGCTGATGGAATACCCGCTGGCTGCATGTTTCCGAAAATTTGTCCATCAAAGTAGGTGTCATTTGGACCTCCTGAAGGCATCCAAAAGTTCGTAGGCATAGAGTCGTATGGGGTTGCGTAGTCGCCAAATGTCTGGGTGTAGTGGCTTGTGGGTGTTGCATACGTCGCGTGTACCGACTTGGCTGTCGAATATGGATCGTTGAGCAGCACGGCATCGGCATTATTAGATCCATATACAGCCGGATTCGACGAGTAATATACGCCGCTGTTGATCTGCACAGCGGGCGGTTGAGCCGAATGTATATGTACACTCTGCAGAGCATCTGCAAGCCTCGGCAGTGGGGACAAATTTGAGTGGTAAGCAGCCTTTGAACCGTGAGCTGCCCTCAAGTAAGGTTCAGCGGAGACACGATGAGCGAGAAGCTCTTGGTCGTTGTAGACAATCGAATGCTTATCCTGCATATGCTGCTTGAATACAGGTTTTCGTTTAAAACTAAATCACGGTGGTAAGTCTAATGTACTTGGGGCAGACCCAAGAAATTGAACTAACTGCTTTCCACAACCCACAATAGAGCAAGCAAATACATATTCGAGCTCGTGCTTCTCACGAACATGTCGATTGAAAGTCGGCTTGTCGAAGAAATTCATATTGCACTGATCACACGTGAAAGAAGTATCCCTCTGGCTGAAATATAACTCGTCATTCACCGTTTCTAGCCTATCAAAGAAAATTACTTACTGGTAATTTGAGTGATTCTTCAAAGCTGAAGATTGCCTAAAGGCTTTGCCACAGTCTGGATATGGGCAGACAAAGGGCCTAACAGCAGTACTTGTTAGTCATATGCTGTGCTAATAAACGGACTTGACGCACTTTTCGTTTGTGTGAATGCGCATATGGCGCTGAAGATCGGCTTTGCGATTCCGCTGGAACTCGCGTCCGCACTCCGGGCATGCAATCATGGGGCGTGTTTTAACCTTTCCGGTCAACTGCTGAATATTACATCGAGATAAGCATAAATTATCGATAGAGAGTACCGTGTTACGCACCATTGCAAAGTTCATGGCCAAATAAGGCAATTATGCTGCGTCTAATGTTTCTAATGCGTAACTGAACTGCTTCCAGAGCAGAGCGTTGACAGCTGAATGATCGTGATTCGACGTGAAGTCGTATTACTGTAGCGCAAGAAGGCTGGAGACCACTTCAAGCAGCAATACTTTAAGAATAGATAGCTGGTATTAGTCGAGATATAGTAAGACGCGCCAGGCGTCTTGCTGTTGAGTAGTCTATAGGGAGAAAGAAACGGAAAGCGGAATGACGAGCGGAAAGTGGGTCGTGAAACGAGGCGCAAGACTCACGAGGCCCACAAGGAGGCCTTCATATACGAAACTTGCTGCACACATGGTGAAGAGAATGGAGTTAGGTGGACAAAAACAAGATATGCTCTTGTGGACCTGTTTTTTGTATTCGACGTTTTAGCAGGAGACAAGAACACTGCCGTTGCTAGCTTACCCTGATCGGTGATCGGGAATGATTCTTATCACGTGATGCCATCTTTGAGCCTCTCCCTGACACTCCCGTCTCCCTTTGTCTCGCTTTGTTTCCGGTCTCTCAGACTCTGTTGCTGTTGCTGGGATCAAGAAAATGAACTCCCCACAATAATAACGTTTCTTGTTCTCTATCAACGGAGGTTATCCTGAAATGCCACATTTGGAAGCTCGGAACCAACGGCAGCGCCGTAAAGATTCAAGCGCAAAGAGACATGCACTCTTCGAGTCCTTGCCTGTGGAGCTGATCGCAGAGATTCTCAGCGAGCTTGATCTGGAATCTTTGGCTACGGTATCTTGTCTTTCGAAGAGGCTCCGTAGCATCGCTGGCGACCCTACTTTGAACCCTTGGAAGCGAGCTATCGCGCGGAATCTTCGGCGGCGGGATGGCGACTATGAGCCCTGTTTGGCGCATCTTTCTGAACGCTCCACCTTTCCTCGGACGAATTGGCTGGACGTTCTGAGTTCTGCTCGACCCGATTTCATATTGTTTGAGGTGACGCTGCCCAACCTACTTGACTCGGACTATGCCGAGGCTTTCAGTAGACGGTTCCTTCCCAGCTGGGACAAGTGGAAGAAAGACGGCTGTCGCTGGAGGGAGGCGTACCGAAAGTAAGTGTCATAATCCCGGCAACTGGCGTCAAGGTTGACGCGCGTGTGATTGTTGTTTATTCTGGTCGATGGTGCTTCTCTATCTTTCCGTTGCCAATTGTGAAGGATTCTCTACCGTGTGTGGCATCGTTCGACGACGACCTGCACCGCCGACGAAGCTTGGACCAAGTGGGTTCTATTATGATTGCGGCGTATAACCCTGCTGATTGCTGTGCTTTGCAGGTATATCGTCCTCAATAGGAATGGATCGGTGAACCTTCTTGAGACCTCTTCTCGAAACTTTAATCCACAGCTTCTCTTTAACGAGATGAAGTACGCTCGTGCTGCTCTTATTGTTCAGAATTCCTCGTTGAATATTTTGCTTAAATTCTAGAATACAAAACAATTTGGCTCACTTGGAGACACATATAAGGGTGAGGTGGCTCAATGCTGTGCTTAGCAGTGGTCACTAACGCGAAATATGGACAGCTCGTCGTCGAGCTTGCTGATGTGCGCATTCTTGCGTTCGGCGTGTTGACAAAGCCGAGGAGCCCATTCTCAATCAACGAGAATGCACGCATCCTCCTGCACCCGCCAGGTATACACAGGGACGACTCGGACGAAACAGCAAGTCTTAGTGAAACCTCGAGCCTCCATTCCAGCCGCTTCAGTTTCACTAAGTCAAACGGTATGCATTTATCGACCGCGGAATGATTGATTACCTGATCATGTAATAGCTAACTATGAACCCTTAACGCATCCTCAACCGAGTCCTGGACATGCCAATTATCCGTTTTTCACACCCGGAGGCGAGGATAAACGATGGATTGGATCTGGACTGGATGAAGAAAAAGGAAACTTATGGGTAGGTAGTCTCCTGCTTTGCGCACAATTGTGCACGCAGGAGACACGGATGCGGACTGGCGAAAGGCCTATGTTGCAGGATCTTGACCTGGTAATTGGCCCGGGACGTAACAAGTACGTGTCAATGGGATGGCCGGACCTGGACGCCATCGCCCCGTGGCTTGCGCAGCGAATTACGAAGCGGATCAACGGGCAGGGACTTGGATTGTAGGATTACTTTGAACACGAGCCCGGAGCTCTGGCTAATCGGACAAGTGCTTGATTAACTAACTGATTTACCTATGTTGCGTGGGACACTGGCTCAGGGTGCGCCAATCGTTGTTGGATAACACGGACCGATATGGCATAAGTCGCATAAATCTCTTGTACTGTTAATTGGACAATTTACTCTTTGGCTTTTCGGACTCTGGAATATGTGGCTTCCTTGCCGAGATTTGTCTGTACTGATACTCTTCTTTTTCGTTGTATTTCTTTGGCTAGTATTGTATTGAATAGATTGACTTTCTAAAATTATGACTAAACGTGGTTTACGCGGGTACGCGGATTGGCAGATGCACGTGAATGTCGAATGTCATACAGAATAAACGGAACGTGCGCGGCTCTTGCTCGTCGTTCACCGGGACTCGGGACGCCCACCCACAACTCTCCCGCATTCTCTTATCTGCATACATATACTCCTCGCAACTGGCCTAGAGAGTGGCGGGCAGCATTCGTGGCGAGCCCTCTATCCGACGTCTTCTCTAGTCGCATACCCCAATCCCCACTGGAAGGCTCGTTTAGCGGACTACATATCGGATAGTCTGATCATTCCGACTTGAAAGGACTATGAACTATCTGCGCGGAGCACTTAGCGCCGCCTCGCAGTACTACCGCGACATCAACCCGTCCACACTGACTGGCGCCATCGACGTCATCGTCGTGCGGCGCGAAGTACCTTCTCAAGATGGGGTCGAGGGCAACACTACCGAGGAACTTGTATGCAGTCCATTCCATGTCCGATTTGGCAAATGGCAAGTTCTGCGACCTGTCGACAAGAAGGTCAAGGTCATGGTTAACGGCCACGAGATCCCGTTCAACATGAAGATCGGCGACGCGGGCGAGGCGTTCTTCGTATTCGAGACGGACGATGATGTTCCGGAGGATCTTATCACAAGTCCTATATTGGAGGCGACGCGACCTGGACAATCTAATGTTCATGTTGAAGCAGGCAGATTCGGTGCGAAGGAAGAAGGTGGACAAGGCAAGGAAGTGCAACCATCAGAGTCGGAGAAAGAACTAGGAGTGCGTTTATATTCAGGTTTTGTTCTAATCTCTACCTGACAATATGCTATAAGGAACCAGAACCATTAGATCTTGATTCTCCGTCACCAAGTGCTGCAAAGTCTACTCGTCCATCGGGCCTTACTCTTTCACGACCTCCTGCAACCCCTGAGTCACCTTCTCCCTCCCCAAACGGCCCCAAACCAGAAGATGAGCACGGAACAAGCGACGATGAAAATTCCCTTACTCCTTCAAGACTCATTGGCAAGACTGCAGGGCTCGGAAAGGCCGTAGTAAAAGCAGCGGTTGAAGCGGAACGTGATGAACGCCAGCGTATGCACGATCGCGCAGATGCAGCAAGGTACGCTGCTTCTCATGCGTACGAAAGCCTCAACAACCTAAGAGAAGGAACGGGAATTCCCGGGTTTGGTGACAGTGATAAGGGAGATGAGGCGCTGCCACCTGTGAAGAAAGGCGAAGGCGAGCCACCTGAGGTCGTGTATTCGGATGGTGAGTCGTTTTGTTACTAAAAATAGCATGAATGATTAATCATTTGTTAGGTATGGTCCTTGATGCAGCTGGTTATCACTCAAAGAGTGAGCCTCCTTCGCCGGGCACTCGTCAGCGACCGTCTAGGCATAGTTCGCCCTCCACTGCTGAAGAAACGGACGATTAGTGAGTCCTATCGCTTTCCCTTATTGTATCATTACTTAGTGAGCAAAAGCGATTCTTATGGAGGACGATCAACGCCGAGATCCGGTGACCCATCTACGCAGGCCACACCTACTCAGTCACCTGATACATCAAGTACGTTGCTTCACTAAGTCTTGAATCTCTTGTAAATTAACCCATATACTCAGGGTCTCCTAGTCCGTGCGGTCGTCGCCATTCTATAACAAAGCATGATGGGTAAGTATACGATAGTCTTACTAGGATTTGGAGTTGACTTAGTGTATAGTGATCGACGCACAAACCTTCCTGCTTTCCGCGCGTCCTCGGAACCCCCAGATGCTGACCGAACATCAGAGGGTTCACCACCTCCAGCTTATTCTTGGGAATGGGGCGCTTTCCCCACGCCATCCCCCATGAAGTCTACCTTCTCGCCGGCTTTGCTCGAGTCGTTAGAAACACAGCGCAGTGTCAGCGTCCCGCCCGAGCTTTCACTCGAAATGGATGCTACGCATCCGCCCTCTCCGATCCGCGCTAAGACGACTGATATTTCATCTGTATCCGGCTATGCATCCCTGCCCGACGAGCCAACTTTCTATGGAGAAGGCGCTGAACTCAGTGCGGATGAGACAAACGGTCGGCGATTCCTGCTATCAATTGGCGGGAGGACATATGACTTCGAGCTCAGTATTTCGGAGGAACTAGCTGCAGTAGGTGGCAGAGGCAGCGGTGATGAGCTGCTCGATGCTCGACTATTTCGAGATGGACAAGTTTCGTTTCGCAGGTTCATCAAGTACCCGGCGGTGATACAAGACAGAAATCTTGTAATCAGATGGAACGATAAATACGTAACACGGCAGGATGGTTCGGTGCTGATGGACTGTCTCGTCAAGTGGCGGGAAGCAGCGCTTGCAAAACCAGTAAATGCACGGGCGCTGGAAGAAGAGGAGCCTTTGTCATCTTCCGATGAGCAAGAAATTGAGACTGGGAAGGCACACGCACCGCAGAAGAAATCATCTTCATCTTGGGTACGTTGGTGGAGATCCAGCAGAGCAGATCCACAACCGCAATCTTCCTCTGCAGATGCAACGCCGATCGCAATACGCGCTGGTCAGAGTGAGAAGGTTGACGGGAAGCGTCCTCCGTTCATCCCGTCGAATTCGGCACCTCCAACCTCGGATGGGCCAAGTAGTGCACCCATTCCTTTCCCTACCATGGGTGACTCTAAAAGAGACGTGGATGTGAGGAGTAACGACGAGATAAAGCCATCAAAGCCAAAGAAGCGTTTCGCGAAGACATTACGATTAACTTCCGATCAACTTGTAGGAGGCAATTATCGTCATTCATAACTTAATTCTGACCTTGATTTTGCCAGAAACAACTCGAGCTGAAGCCCGGGATGAATTCCATCACGTTCTCGCTGTCTGCTTCCGGTGCGGCTGCATGCACTGCGAGCATCTTTCTATGGGAATCCACAGACTCGGTTGTTGTATCCGACATTGATGGAACTATCACGAAGTATGTCTTTACCAAACCGCTTGTCCACTGCTGGTCGTCCTCACATCTTTCACTTAAAGATCCGATGCATTGGGTCATGTCTTCACCATGATTGGACGTGATTGGACGCATATAGGCGTGGCAAAGCTGTACACTGACATTTGTCGTAACGGATACAAGGTCATGTATCTGACCTCCCGTGCGATCGGCCAGGCGGACTCGACACGATACTATTTGAAAGGTATCAACCAGAATAACTATCAGCTTCCCGAGGGTCCAGTCATCATGAGTCCTGACCGACTTATGGCATCCTTTCATCGAGAGGTGATCATGAAGAAGCCTGAGGTTTTCAAGATGGCCTGTCTACGGGATATTCAGCGGCTTTTCGGCGAGGATAAGAATCCGTTTTACGCGGGATTTGGCAATCGCATTACTGATGCCCTATCATACCGAAGTGTGAACATCCCGAGTCAACGGATCTTCACAATTGACTCAACAGGTGAAGTGAAGATGGAACTGCTTGAGGTTGCTGGATACAAGTCTTCGTATATCCACCTGACGGACCTCGTCGACCAAATGTTCCCACCCATTCATCGAAAGACGGCTCCTGAATACACGGATTACAATTTCTGGAAGTCTCCGCTACAGGAATTCGCATTACCTGTTCTAACGCCCCCGCCTTCGTCACCCGCTCTGAGTGCCCGTTCAGATGCGTCTATGTTGACGTTCACGCGGCTTCGGAACTTTAGTCTGCGGCAAAGTACAAGTTCGATATTCCAGCAGCCAGGGACTTCACCGACCCGGAATTCAAAGGATGGAGATCGCGGAATGAGGGAGATGAACTCTCTGGAACGGTTAAGCAACCGGCATACACGAAGCACAGAGACGCTTGCCGAGAACGCATGGTCAGAACGGGAACGAGGACGCGGATGGGGCCACTCCGTAGAGGATAGAGAAGAAACAAGTAGAGAGAGGCGCGCGCGCAAGCGTCTGAGCTTGGACAGTATGCCTGGGTCATTGTCGGGCTCGCAAGCAGACTTCGAGTTTGATGAAGAGGAGGAAGATGAGCAAGGATATGACGGTGACGAGAATTACGATGAGCATGAAGGCGGTGATGGACAGGATAAGAGACGACATTACGAAATAGAGACTGAGGATCCGGAGGAAGCCGCTGAAGAGGGCTTTGACGACGACCTTCTGGCGACTGGGGAGATGGAGAGTGTTCCTTTCTTGTAACATTTTTAATTAGCATACCGAAGCCTCACTAACGATTTTCACGCTCGACGTATTCGCATTCTGCATTATCATAGATACGCATTCGTAAACTGCAATGACATGTACGTGTATAAATGTAGATACATACATACAATTTGACACTGCCCTGCTCTGCTTTGTGTATGTATAAATATCGGGATTCTGTAGTGGGCGGTGCAGATCAGTCAATGAATTCTCACGAGTTGGCACGCGTTTGAAAAAACCTAATAAGCGGCTCCGCCTTTGAGATCTCTACACGTGCTCTTAACTAGACTCTCCCCTACATCCTTTCTCCTCCCGCTACGCTGCTTCCCTTCATTGCGTCAGTGAGGCGCGTCTTCTCTGGTTGCTCATCACGCAGGACAAGAGCTACAAATAAACAGGCCACGCTTGCCTTTTCTACACCAAGACGGAGCAACTCAGGAAAGGACGTACCTCCTTCCGCCAACTCCACTCAAAATCACCCTACTACTGTGGTGGACCACTCTGCTCTTCGGCCTGTGCACAACCATACATCGAAAATGGCCACGCTCGTCGCGACTTCGCCTCAGCCGCTCATTATGAACGGCATGTTCAAGTCAGGCCACAAACCACAATCGCCCACGTACTCTACACCCGCTGGTCCGACCTCTGCGCCCGTAGACGAGCCCATGTCGCCCGTGGCTTCCCCAACTTTGAAACCCACCTCAAAGGCGATGGCATCTACGCATGTGACTTCAGAAACTGGGCGATATGACGCGTTGGTGACGCCTCTGTTCCGGGGAGACGCGACTGCTCCACGACAACCCGCGAAAGATCTCGCTGCTTTTAATAGTCTACTCCCTCCTCCTGTTGAATTCGTTGAAGGATCGTCTTCGGGCACGTATGCTGCGAGCTTGGAGGGCCGGTATGAACCTATTAATGCGTCGCCGAAGGCTGCACCGAAAGCACTGAATGAGGTGAGTCGAAGTCTCGCGTTGATCTTTGCTATGTGTTTCCTTGGTGCCTTTCTTCTGCACGGTCACTGCGTTATCGCTCCCTTATATATGGTCTACGCACCTGAGGTGCTTGACATGTATCGGTATTGGCATGTACCATGCGACTGTCTTTCGATTCGCTCGTTTCCGCAGCCGCCGTTCTTCATCTTTACGAACCTCAAGCTAACCACGTCTCTACCCAGTCGCAGACAGCAGCAAAATCAACGCCCACGAAAAAATATCAGTCCGAACTGAAGGTCCAACAATCACTTTACACACGTTCTATAGACCTGTCGTGGCCAGCGGGTATTGTTCATGGCTCGGGCCTGTTCAACCAGGGTAACACCTGCTTTTTGAACAGTGCATTACAATGTCTACTCCATACTCCGCCTCTACTTCGAATCTTAATGGCCCATACAAAAGCTGAATGTAAGGACTTTCTTTCTGTTTACTTTGACTATGCGTAATTTTGACATCGTTCTGTTAGGCAGAGTAAAATCTGGATTCTGCATGAGCTGTGCTATGCAGGAGGTATCAAGCGACAGCTTCAAGAAGGGCAGAGCATTCACACCACTACCGATTACGCGTAATTTAAATTGTATGTCTCTCCTTCATCGTTTTGATGGGTTATGCTTATTTCCAATCAAGCTATTGCGAAGCACTTAAGAAAGGGACGACAAGAAGATGCACATGAATTCCTTCGATACGCGATAGACTCGTTACAAAAATCGTGTCTCGCTGGTTACCCACCGTAAGTAATCTTATTGATTGAAATGCAAAATCGGGTTTACAAAATCCCGTCTACAGGAAAATAGATCACAAACTGGCAGAGACAACTTGGGTGCACAAGATCTTTGGCGGCCAGTTACGATCACGAGTAACTTGCCAGCAGTGCGGCTATAATAGCGATACGTTTGACAGCATATTGGACTTAAGTATAGACATATACAACATAAGCGGACTAAAGGAAGCTTTGAAGAAGTTCACGGCTAAGGATTATCTCAAAGGAGCAGACAAATACAAGTGCGAGAAGTACGTTGGTGTCTTATTCCTTTCGAGAAGCGGGTTCTTATTAGATTATTTTATAAAGATGCAAGCGACCCGTGAACGCAGAGAAGCAGTTTACGATTCACGAGGCTCCGGCGGTGCTCACGGTACACCTAAAACGTTTCACTCCAATGGGACGAAAGCTACAGCATCCCATACGATATGACGAGGTTCTGAGCCTCCAACCAGCAATGAGCGAAGGGCAACACGGGCCGACATACAAGTTATACGGCGTCATTTCGCACATGGGTGGCGGGCCGAATTCAGGTCATTACTTCGCACATGTCCGTGGTGGAGACGGACAGTGGTACGAGATGAACGATGATTCGGTCGAGAGGGTTCACAAACCTGAACCTCTTAATATGAAGAATGCGTATATGCTCTTCTATATCCGCCAGAAGGGCGAGGCGCTCGCTGCTGCTGTGCATGGAGGCGGATTTGTGAACGGCATTTCTCTTTCCAAGAAACGCAAGGAGCTGAGCGATGAGGCAGATAAGATGGACGAGGACGAAAAGGAGAAAACGGGATCTCGGTCGTTCATTGGTCCCATCATCCCTCCACACCTCGTTTCCCGTAAGAGTAATCCACATTCGGAGACACTACAAAGGAAGATCGAGGCTCTGGAGAGAGAGAAGGAGAAGAGGGTGGAGGTGCAACGTGCTGAATCGCGGCCGCTCAAGCCTCTTGTAGATTATGAGGATGAAGAAGACGACGAAAGAGGCGAGCCTGTCGAGAGGCTCAATAGCGACATGACTCGAAACAATAACATAAATGAAAGAGCGCCACCACGCGCCAGCACCTCCCCTGTCATGGCATCTTCATCTCCAACATCGGCACGAAGTCCCGTGTTACGGAAGGATCTCAATGGCGATCTACGAAGTATTGCTAGTAGTGATCGGATCGAGGGCGGTGCTTCGTCTCCCAGTCGTCCACCGCCTACGTCACCTTTACCAACAACATCACCTGCTACTGAGACGATACCTGCTTCAAGCTTCTACGGGGGCTCGGGTTCTGCTGCGAAACGTAAATCTCCTGATGACCATGATGATGGTGTGCGAAGAAGCAGTAGTAGTATCACGGCGGGGCGGCGTTCGTCTGTTATCCCGACGGGTCCATCAGCGGCGAGACGGTCGTTCGGTGGTGGTGGTCTGGGTGCAGGAAACCCATACGGCAAGTCACGCATTGGAGGTAATTTGAATTCGGACCGGGATCGTAATGAGTTTGAGCAACTGAGACCGCGAAAGATGCATAAGAAGCAGTTTGGGTCGCGGCGGAAGATGTTGTTCTGAGTGTGGTACTACTTTGTAATGGTGTTGTTTGGACAGCTGTAGGATCATTCGTTCTGTACTGTGCTTACTGACTGGTATCTTTGATGACAAGAAACCCCTTCGTTCTTCACTTCGTTTTTCTTTATTCTTGTTATCATTCATTTGACTGTTTCTTTCGACCTTCTCTTTTGGTACTGTAGCAGCGATGTGGTAGTGTATTTCTTTGCCCCTTCTTGGGGTGTTGTTTGTAGGATAATAGGAACTAAATATTCGATAGTAGAAGCTAATAAGAAGCCATGTTTGGCACTTCATAGAATTTATTCTGTCAATGATAGGATCTAGTAAAGTCATTGCATGATTATTACACCAACATCACATTCGTACTTAATGCTGAATCTCAGAAGATGTTTCATTTCATCTCTAACATCCTGGGTTCTTGACAGAAATATCACTATAATGATTATTGTTATTACTTTGTGTTACCTTCACACAGATCTATTCCCGCCAAACTCAAAGCTACAACTTTGCCTGTACTGCACCCTTAGAGGGAGCAACACCAGCAACACCAGTAGCAGCTAGCCTAATATTCTCCAACCTCGCTTCCATAGCCCTTCCATCCTCCCACCAAACAACAGTAACAGTCACATCATCCCTAAAGCGTCTACTTATCGGCGCAGGGAGACTCACAAGTCTCTGTAATTTGTCCTTGTCGGCGCCGCCAAAGGCGTTACGTAGGAGGTGTGTGCCCGGGTGGGAGTCGACGAACGTCCAGTCCAGTCCTCCTTCCTCCTTCCCATTCGTATTTGAGGAGGTGGCGAGTTTGTCTTTGCCTTCTACGCCGACCGAGTCACCTAATTTCGTAGGAGCGTATTGTTGGAGGGAAGAGCGGGAGATGGAAGGTATGCGGAGACCGGAGAGGTGTGCGCCGACGAGGGCGACTGCGTCTTGAGAGGAGAGTTGGTCCCAGAGGCCGTCGGTTGCGAGGATTAGGAAGCGGAGTTTTGATGATGTTGCTGCCTTTTCTCGACGAGGTTGCTCCTTCTCAGATTTTGTGGTTGTTGCTAGGGCTGGGAGGGCGGCTAGTACGCGGGAAGAAGGCACTGAGGTTGATGAAGGTGATGAAGGCGATCCAGGAGAGGGGGAGGAAGAGACGGGAGAGGGAGAAGGGAACGGTGCAGGTGGTTGTTCGGCCAAAGGAAGGAAATCGAGTTTACGATGCGTGATGACGGGCTGGGCAGTAACGTATGGCGGTGTTTTGAAGGCTGGTGGAGGACGACGGACGGGTTTGTCGTTCCCCTCCATGAATACGCGTGATAATCTAGACAATGAACAGGTGTCAGTTGTTTCAATTCACGGTGAGTCATTTTAATCCAATTAGGATAGTAAGGACGAATTAGCGTAAAGAGAGAAGTATCGGGAAATGAATAGGAGTGCTAAACTGAGAAAAAGATACAAAGGAACAAAGGCGAACCAAAGGGAATCAAAATGGAACGTACATCTGTTGAATATGTAACGGCCATTTGTATCGCGAGTCGCCAAAAGCGCGCGATGGCTCAAGCCCGCCAAGGATTCGGCCCCGCTGGACGACTGTCATAGCTTCATCCTTCGGGTGTTCACTCTGCAGTCTAATTCAATATAAGAAAAATCGTACACGTCACTTAACCTGACACAGGGGAATGCTAAACAGGCAGGAATATACCGTTTGAGCTCGCTGGGATTTCGACCTGTTTGATCATCACTAAGCACGTCGACTCGCCAAGTACCATTTCCGGACCCGTCGGGAGATTCCTCCCAGACGCCAGCGACAGCGCGGCAGTCGCCGGTACACGCGACGTACAAGTCACGATGTGCAGTGTCTAACAGAGCAAGGATCGCACAGCTGCCTTGATTCGTTCATCAATCATATTGTCTAAGTGAACAGAGACAAATAGGGGGAATGCAGGTAGGGATGAGACACGTACCGGACAAAGCGGGCACCATGGAAGCGAGCGCCATCGGATGCTGTGAAAGATCGGGCAAAGGGTCGTTCGGCTTCGCGCCGATCTCTTTGAGGTGCTGTTGAATGAGGCGAAGTGGCGCGTTGGCGATTTCTGAGTCGACCATTGCAAATGCGGTTTGAATTGCGAGAGCTACGAATTTGGGGTCGGCGTCAAAAGGAACGGTGTGTGCGCCCGGAGCTTTAGGCGTGGAGGAGTTGAAGAGGGAACGGATACTGTCGAAGAGGCTTGTACGACCTGCTTTGGAGTCGAATGAACTTGGTGATTCGGAAAGCTCGCGGAGCTGGAGTGCAACAGCAGGAATAAGAGTCTTGGAGAGGAGGCGCGAGGTATATGGCCCCGAATGACCGTCCATGACAGCAAAGAACAAGTAATCACCATCTTGTTGGTCGCGTTCTACGATTGCTTCAGCGTGTGCGTCCTCAATAGGATTATTTGACGCGAGTTGCGCGGTCGCGTGCTTCCAAATCAGTCTGCTATGACGCGGGGTGACGCGTAGGTTTGCATATTCTTTAATTCGCGCTTCCACGTCTGTCATTGGGAGAAGTGGGAGCGTCTGAGTTGTCAGACCGCGCTTGCCGTCTGGACCGGCAACGCTCGAGCGAATGCTCACGTCAAAGGTCTCTGGCGCGCTTGATGGGCGCCTCGTGCGATTGTAGAGGTAATAAGAGGAACCAAGGACAGCTGCAGAGGCGATGACGGTACGCCAGGGACGACGCAGCATTGGGGGAGAGACTGCGTTATGCAGCACGGGAGAGGTGGGAGAACGCACGCGACGTTGAGTAGCAGCCAATTCAAAGGTGTACGTACAATCATGGATGCATTTGGCTAGGGACGCGTTTGTGCGTCACAGCCGCTGAATGAGTCACGTGGGCTTGTAATGCAGACAAATACTTACACAAATACTAGCCACCCAAAGTTGAAGCATTTTTCAATCGGCTCTTTGGCCGACGCTCCTCTGTTCACAACTCTCATCTCGACGTCTACATCCGCACCGCACGCCGCAACACCCGCACACGTCGGGGATATTAATTAAGTGGAAAATCCACGCTTCGTCGAGTCATTGTTCGAACTTCACGCTGGAGCAGCACTCCCGGTGATCAGCCACATCCGGTAACTGACGCACGATTTGGAACTACGCCTTTTGTCTTCCCTCTGCGTCCTCCGCCAGCGTCTGTCTGTGTCTGTCATCGTCCCCGAGCCTCAGCTCCCATTTCGTCGCACTCCCGTGCACTGCCCCTCGCCAATAGCTCTTATAGACGTCTATACTACTCTTCTTCCGTCTCGCATCAGAACTCTCTCTTAGGAACGTGCGGCATCCTTGCCGTCTGACGTCGCTGCAGTTGCCTGCCATTCGCACTTTCTCAATATACTTCCGTCGTCCCTCTCCCCTCCGCTGCTTGAACCAATGGAGAGCGTGGGTGTGCTCGCGACAGCGATCGACGTTCGCCACGAAGCCGGTCTTCCCTCAACCTCAATGTCTTCATCCACATCTAAACCCAAGCCACTCAAACCTACTTCAAGTCTAAGGCCAGAGTCTAGATCCAGCCCCGCCATTCGGCCACATGCCTCTAGTAGTTTCAGTCGTCAGATGGTTCGTCGTTGTTGTAGTTGTCTGCTTACTGAGCATTACTCTAATGTGTTTCACCTCACTATTTCTGCTTCAGATTTCATCGCCATTGAGAACTTGTCCTCCTATTACCGCCCGACGAACGCCGCCACCGATAGACACATCTATTTCTCATGTTGGCTCTCAACCACTAGAACGCGTACCAACAGAACCCGCCAGTGCTCCTCCAACGCCGCAGCAACCAACACCTGAACAGCTTGCGACTTTGGGCATCAAGGTCCGGGACTTTGCTTATGAACCGAGTACCCTTCCTCGCGTGCCGACTGTTCGGAAACCATACTTCCGGGACTTGAAGCGGCCGAGAGAAGAGAGTTCCGAAGAACGTGAAGCACGAAAGCGGAATGAGGCACGAAGACTAGAATTTAACGCCCCACGCATCAGGCCTGCAGGCACAAGCGTCAGAAACCCACCTAACATACCCGGAGTTGGTGGACTCAGCTTCATAAAGCCGTATGAGCTACCCTTCAGTAGAGCAAGTTCAAGTTCGAGCTCATCTTACAACGCCAGACCAAGTTCAAGTTCAAGCTCTAGTTCAAGCTCAAATGCGACCTCAATGCAGTTTGACCGGGATTTGAATGACTTGTTACTCTCTGATTCCTTTGGATCGGCAAGGTCATTAATTCCACCAACTGGCGTGTTCTTTGCAAGACCTCAGTCAAGACGGAGATCGCCTTCTCCACCTTCGCGTCCTATTATTCGTGTTCATGATCCATTCGATCTGCATACGCAAGAATTTTTCAGACAACCGGTCCGCCGTTCAGGTTCAGATTCAAGTCCCTTTATCCAACCACCATCCCATTCTGAATCTCAGTCTCAACCCCAGCCTGAATCCCAGCCTGAGTCGCAATCGCAAACTGCTAGCAATAGCCAACCTCCGCTCCCACCACTTACAATATCTCAGACAGACTCGGAAGTGGATTCCGATGCAGACGACGAAGAGCTCATCAAGACACCGCTTCTCACGCCGAATGGCTCGCTTATCTTCGACGACGACGACGGCGATTTCGACGTCAGTCGGGGCAGTGACAACGCCAATAGCAGCGAGTCCCCTTCAGACAGTGTCACGGCCGATGCCGATGCCGACGCCGTTGAGTCGAACAACTCTGTTATTGACACAAGTGCACTGCCCGAGTCCCAGGTCGCTGAGTTACTGGCACCCGCACAGACAGGACCGGACGACGATGTGTCAACGTCTCAGATGGGATTATGCGACTCGCAGGACTTGTCACAAGTACCTTGGCAGCAGCAGTCCCAATCACAACCGTCGCAATTGACACTGTGCAAAAAACAGGAACGGAACTTAGATGTGGAAATGCGGGAGCCTCTAACTGAAAGCAAGGAGGATGAAGATGAAACACGAAAGGAGCCTGCATCATCGGCTTCCTCTGCAGCACGTACCATTGGGTCCAGCTCCCGACTATGCACAAGTGCAAGTTCACATAATGCCGCGTCGTCTCCACAACCGCGACCAATATCGCGACCGGTCTCATTGACATCGCTTTCCCGCCATTCGTCAAGATCTCGTAGTCTAGTTTCCGCATCGTCTCAGTCTTTGCTTAGGAGGAGTTCCATCACCTCTCATGGTTCAAATGGCAAGCGGCGGTCAAGTCGTACGCTGAGCAGGACGAGCTCCAAAGGGGAGAGTAAAGCAAATGTCGTAACAAGCCCGACGAGCAGTTCTACCTCTCTTTCGAGTGATACATCGATTCGTTCGGCAAAGAGGTACAACTTACGTGGTCCGACGGCAAAGAAGGCGAAGTTACTGGGTATGCCTGTTACATTATCAGCCCACAGGATCCGTACGCGAACCATGCCACAACGAGCCGCCAAGGCCGCTGCTGCTGCACGCGTGTCGAAGAGTGCTGCGAAGCAGCGGCCCCGTTCGTCGGCGATTACGCCAGGTGCGGAGATAGATGGAAGTGGTAATGACGTAGAGCCGGAGAGCAAGTCTACCTCACCGACATTGCGTCGTAGCTCGCGAGTCGAGTCTGGATAGGGGAAACTTCATGATCCTGTCTGCCCAGAAGCACGTTTTCTACTCGTGTTTAAGTGAAGAAACAATAGAGTGGGAGCTTCGCGTAACGTCCTGACCAACAATGGAGAGGTCACCAAATTTAATGAGCTGCACACGTTGTCTGACTCGTGAATGAATGAATGAAAGTTAGAGTCTTCGGTTAACGGAATTTCTTAATGTAGCGCAACAACGTCAATGAAGTCTTCTTTCATCCTTTCACGCTTTCATTTCGAACTTCGAACCTCCTTGTGCTTTCTCATTCATTTCTCTTTTCCTTCTTCCGTCTTTGTAACTTTTCCCCTGCTCTTTGTTCGTATACTATCTTATTGCGTTTCAATTCCCCTTTGCTCTCACTGACTGTACCAGTAACTTCCAATTCCCGGTTTCCATACCCGACAAAGTCTTTTCTCCTTCATCCCCATTCCAGCCTTTTATCACCTCCACAAAGCACCGAATACAGTGCTGGTGCTTGTTCCTTTGTTCTTTGTCAATGGACCCAACTTTTGGCCCCTGTCTTTTAGTTTCTTAGTTCTCTTCAAGATGTAGCATCATACATAGAGTCGGAACTCCAGTGACAGTGACATTCTTTGTCTTTTGGAATGATTTGAGAAGTTGGGTAATACGGACTTGTGAAAGTACAGTGTAGATAGTTGTAGATGTGCTGTTGCACGTTAACTGAGGCAGGGGAGTTGCATAATAACAAAAACATACATACAACAGCTTCCAGTAACCAATCCAATTATTCATGAAAATTGGAGCCATAGTGCATGGAGGCAGTGTGGTTTCATATCAGAATAGTAAAATTCATTTAGAAACAACAGGGTTAAGGAATAGAGGCACTCGCGGTGGAGATCCAGTACTGTATATTTACCAGGAATTTACTGGTCAAACATAATTACGGAACGCGCATAATACAAAATACTGCCATACAAGTAAGACTATGTTATGCGTCATTTGAGTTTGAGCAATTTGACCAGAGATGCATTTTTGTGTTATAAATGTAATTCAGAAAGTTACAGTATTCGAGTCCGATATGACATAATCACCTAAACGGTAATACACAGATCGACGTTCATCGTGGACTCTCTGTCGGTTGGTAACATCCAAACTAACAACATTCTTCTTCATCCATCCATATCTACTTCCTCCGCGTCACCTTGGACTTAGATACTCGCGGGTGAGGGAAAGATGTCCTCATCACTCGCCTCACAAGCTGTCTCGCCATTCAGTGCAGCGCACAGATTCTACGTCAAGTCGTTGTACAAACGATACTTGAAGAACGAGCTGGACTGGACGATTAATCGACAGCTCTGGCGGTGGAAGGCGATGAAGATTCGGGCTGAGTTTGAGCGGAATCGGTATGAGAATACTTCTCTGTTTCCTTGGTAGCTTGTGAGGACGAGGTGGTTGATGATCGGTGACTTGGTGTTAACAGGAACGTACACGACCCGCGCGCGCTTGCCGCTATTTTGGAAAAAGCAGAGGCAGACCTTACTGATAGGAAGCATCCGGATCCATACATTTGTGAGCAATTCCTGCGTCTCTATCTCGGTTTTAACTTTAATCAATCTCATGGCTGTTGTCCATCTATCCGATTAGCGCCTGGGTCGCCTGGTGGTTCGAAGTGGTTCGTCCTCTATCCTCGTTCAGTTCCTGTTTATAGATTGATTTCTATTGGACTTGCTCAGGGAACGTAACATTCCGGTGAGTATTTCTGTCTTTAGCTGAAGCGACCACTGAGGATGCTAATTTGTTTCCAGCCGCCCATTGCACCTATCTACGACCACGAAGCGGATCCCCATCACTAGAGTAATCATTGGTATTCGATTCGCGAATCATAAGTAAACTATCACAAGATGGTTATGTGCATAAACAGATCTCAGATATCACAGTTGCAGAACAGGGTGCGAAGTATTCAGCACAATCAAGGACGTATTGAGCGGCACTCCTTTGTGGTCAGAGCTTCGATATCGATATGATAAAGCCGGTTAGAGCGCTAATATCTGAGTTCGTCCTCTTTCGCGATTGCATGTTTAGCGCCTTGTTGTCAATCTTTCTCGCAGGGGGTCTAAGAGTATCTTTCTGCTTGTCATCAGAGTCGCCATAACAATTGGATTTGAGCGGTGCTTGGCCAGACTTGCAGCTTTTGGAGAGAAGAGATATGACGCACATCTGAGCGTCTTTGTTAAAATGATTATCAGAGAGCACCTGCCGTCACTTTACACACTTACCTCACTGAATTTACAGTTCCCAAAACGATCTCGTTCAGTTATTCCCCTGACTATTCCTAGACCATCAGACCAATCCCAAACAGCGCCTCCATCTTGTGTGGTTGCAACCGATCGTGCGCTCAGCAGGCTTCCGAGGACTTCGTTCTTCAACGATCTTGCGGTTGCCTGGGACGTACTGAAAGAAGTAGAAACCATTGATGGGTAGGAAATTGTCACATTGCACGATGGGTGTGGGTTTCACAGAACGTAGCTCGTGGGACTTTAAGTCGCGTTCCGAGATCATCCCCAGTGTTCAGCATAATTCCGATCAGCTTCGTTTGTCTCGTTCTAGCTTGAAGAAGCAAACAATTCTGTGGATGGAATATGCTCTTTACAGGCTATGCATCATTAAAAGAGACTGGCGTTCCGGGAAACGGAGCACCAGGTCGCAGCGTTCAGTTCTACGGTGTGTTTGGTCTGAGTGCACATACTTCTCGCGCGATGGTGTGTTTGATCAAATATCTCCTCCGTATTCTTTTGTTGTCAGGATGAACATTGATCAGTAGCCTTGCCAGAGGATACCATGTGAGACAAAGACCAGTTTTTCGCTGCGTCAGAAATAGTACACGGTAGTTAACGACATGCGAAGGAGCGGTATCCGTTCCAGCCGTCCACATGCATCAGTTCGGCGCGTTCGGTGCAACGTAACAACACCAATGTCTTCTTTCACAGGACACGTATGGCTGAAAATGATTCGAGCGCCGCAGGTGATTCACTGCCATCGCGTGAGTATTGATGAATATATTTCTCAGTCTGAGGTCGGGTTACGTGGAGGAGGACTTGAGATGCTCGTCGTGGTAAGGTTCTCCCTGGTTTGTTTTTCCCGATGACGATGCTTTAAAATTGTACAATGATAGGCATTGATACGCGGGCAAAGAACATCATCAAACAGTGGCTGTCGAAGTCAGCACCGTGGAATCAGCGGACCTAAATGTGGTGTGGATCAAACCGTAATTTGATACGGTCCAAAGAATTCAATTCCGACTATACCGTTCCTGAACCGTACTAGCGTGCCGCGGAAGTGATGGAGAAAAACACGAGAGACACCCTCGTTTCATCGACCACTGTTATACGCGCCATCGGATGCCAGCATCTCCCATTTTAAACTCGAGAATGGTCATGAGCACAGATCCGCATTAAACCCTGACAGTGCAAATCCGCTAAAAACGAGCCAATGAGATGTGCGGAAACTAAACATTTACCCCGCTCAGTATTTCTGGCTAGCTTATGGGTGTCAATCATCTGATCATCTGGGATGCGTCCCACGGATGCTTCCCCATATAACTAACATCCCGGACTTCTTTCTGCCAAGTATCGACCTTCTCGCGCGGTAACATTCAACGCTCAGCCAGGTAGATCCGCATTGATTTCATTTAAAATCAGACTAACGACCCACCCTTCTTGACCATCGCAGTGCGACCCTTCCCCCCATGGACGTTGTAACAATAGTTCGTCATCTGTGAGCATCATGCAGTTTTCCTGCGTAATCTCCAGTGTAACTCAGTGTTCCTGCTCTTACAGAACGGCCGTGAAGCTATACACCACAGGCAGCTATGGTGAGTGCTCTCTGTAGCAGCTTAGACCGATTGTAACTCAACTTTGTCCACATCATAGCGATCGCCCTCTACGAATATATTATCACGTTCGACAGGGAAGTCGAGACGTTTTGGAAGAGACGATTCACGTTCCCGACATTCCTATGGTTTCTCGTGAGCATGATAGCCCCACGCTCATCTCACACACTGACAATCCGGGTTCAGAATCGATACACTCTGTATTGTTCACTCTTTCCGACGCTATTGGGTATGTAGACTTCAGTGCTCGCTTTTACCGTATCTTAGCTTAGAGAATTTATAGGCTTTCATATCCCTCTCTCGGAAGAGGTTGGTTTATTACTTTTGTAAACTTGTGCTCAGTGCATACTTATTCAACCTTTTGCAAATTTCTAGCAGTGCGTCTTTTATGCACTCATACCTCTCCGCTTTGATCATTGACTATGACTAGATGTGTCAACTTTGTCAAGTTCCCGGGTGCTATGCAAATAATTTCAAACGTCGCATCCGGATCGACACTATCACTCCGTGTCTACGCATTGTATGGACGAGCCTGGGTACGTGACTTTGGAGTTTTCCGCCGGTTTCTTAACTCATTGTGATCCAGTGGGTCGTCGCGGTTCTCCTTCCGGTCTTCGTGGCCGAGATCGCATTGGAAGGCGTAAGATACCTTAATGATGTCTTGCGGAAGCATTACTGACGTTCACTAAGTGGGCCGTCGCTGGAGGAGTGCCCGCTCAGCTCCCTCCTGGTACGTGATGGTCAGTAAAGATCAAGTGTTGTTCTGACGTGGGTGTGCTATATAGGCGTTGTTGGCTGTATTTTAACCGGGAAACCGTCAGAGTGCGTTCTATCTTCTACTTGGCATTTCTCTAGCTTATGCAGAAACATGTCCGATGAATAGAGGCGATAGTGAGAACTATTTAATTATTGCATGATCATCGTCACTGACCCTTGCACCAGAATTTGCGGCATTCTGGATTGGACAACTCGTATTCCCTACACTTATTTTTATCATGACGCTCGCGAGAGCGGTCCGACTACAGCGATTCGGCTCTGTTAAAGGTAGCTTGATTAACGTTATGCTTCGCGATGGTATGTTCAGATTGTCTCCCCTTCCGTTCACTTGCTAATCGCGCCACTTCTAATTCTAGGAGTCATGTATTTCCTGTAAGTTGTAATTACTCGTTATGAGCCATAGCTCACATTAGACCGTAAAGCGTCATCTTTTCCGCGAATCTCGCAAATGTCGTCACTTATAGTGTAAGTAGTTACCCGTATTTGAGTGTTTAGTTCTGACCTTGTTATCACTCCTTTATAAAGGTTGCTCCGGTACGTATATGAGGTACTACGACGGATCCAGTGTTTGACATTCCTGAATCCCGTAGGAGGACCTGAAATTTGCAAACGCACCGTTTACGAATGTCATCACAACGTTGATGATATGTCGACTCATGTTAAACTTACGGCGTGATGACGCACCGGATGTCGTCGTTACCAACTACTCGATGGCCCAGAAGTTCGATTTCCGGGCACGACTTACGTACCTTGGAGATCTTGGAGCAGACATCGACATAAACGACTCCAACGACAAGGACAAACGCCGTGAAACTATTCCCCGGTACAAATCGGGATATCCACGCGCATGGGGACAAGAGGAATCTGGCCTCGAGCTGGAAACTTACATCTCTGAAGTGCAGCGAACATAATTGTTTCCTTGGATTTGCTGTAATTTTTTATTCCGCTGCGCGAAGGACTAGGAATTGTATGCTTGACCAATTTCGTTTTCTTTTCACGGATTGTACTTCTGTTTTCGTTATTGCTAGAGACGGGTCTGCTTCGGAAACTAATTAATTGTTGTAAAAGTAAAGGTACCCTCGAATCCACGCATCGCTTTCTTGCCTTATTTACATTGCCTATACATAAACAATCACTTCACCGCCGTCAGCCCTTGATCGAGCTCTTAAAGACTTTCATCCGGTGCTCGCACTATTGCCGCGAGGCCGCGAGAACAGAACCACAGTTCTTACGAATATAATTCCCCTTCTACGAGCCACATATTCACCGTGAAGTTCTTGAGATGAGCGCGCAAGAATTCGAAGTGCGTCGCAATCGGGCATGGCGGAATCGTTGGGTGGGCATTGAGATGGCTGTACAATCAATTTCGTTCCATGTTTCCTTCTACGGGGAAATCAATTAGAGTTCTAGATTTATTGCTGGCTTCCATGCACCGCTCCTCAATCAATCAACAGTTTGTTGAAACCTGATGATATTGACTTTTGATATCCAATAGTTACGGCGATGGCGTAGATGCCGACGTATCAGCCCCGAGACGGATGCGAACGATGTGTACGATGTGTTTTTCAATGCCTAGAGCGTGAAGAATGGTGTTTCAAGGAACTAAGAGCAAACCTCGTAGCAAAGCATTAGCGAATTGAAGACCGACTCGGCCGATCCCTGCCTTGAGATTACATGCATATGATTAGTGAAAATTTGTTGTAGTAGAATCGTCTAGCGTTCCTGAACTGTATACTCCTCTTGTCATCTGACTCGATCGAAATATACGTTGCTGGTCTGCCCTCCGATTCGGTACATTCCTTTGAGCTGTGCTAGTAAGGCGAAGAGGAACCAAACAACTACATCCTGCTCTCCCCGAAACCAAGCTTGTGCCCTGGGTCGGCTGCTATTCACTTTGATGCTAGTCACTGGGAATCACTAACCTTTATAAGTATAACCTCCTTGACACGTGCAGAGTTACACAACTCTTGTCCACAACTCTTCGTATTTTTTCGATCTCGATTGGAATGTTATCTCGCAAACCTGATCTGCATGCCGCAACACACTATAGTTTAATTGGTAAATGTTAGAGCTTTCACATGGTTATCAGATGAAACTATGGTTAGTGGAAGTGGGAATATATGGATCCGCGACAGGGGTCAGTAATGCTTGAATGGTGCGTGTAGGAGAACAGCAGCGGCTTCCACGAGCTCATCCTGCCTGTAAATGCTTATCAATCGTTCGCTCCATAAAATCTTCTAATCATACTGCATTTACAGACTTTCGATGCTATCACACACACGCACGACTTAAAAGAAAGCTCTGAAGAGCCTATTTTTAGACTTTCATAAGCATACGTACATATATGTCATTATCACCTGCGCCATGTTAAATGGAGTAACTGGCGTAACAGCGCCAACAATATGGCTCTTCTAGAGCAGTTCGATCTCTTCTACAAGAAATAAAACTTGCCGCAAGGCTAAGTCGACATACATAGCAGAAGGCAAATACAATTGGGTTGAAATACCGATCCCTGATCTAGACTTCCATCTGGATACTCTGCGATCAACGCTAGTACATACATGCAATTGGTTGAAGGTAATTTTAAGGATTATGCACAAATGGTAGGCATAACCTGACGCCTATTCTTATGCAAGTAAGGAGACGTAAGAAGACAGATGAGAGGAAACTATTCAAGTACTGATACTGTCATCCTCCCCTCGAAGCCAGGATAAAGAGATGACTGTTTTGGAGTCCAGAATATAGGACCAATGGCTCCAGACCTCCAAGATAATGAGCGGGCAAACATTGTCGAGTAGAATTCGCTACGTACGAGCTACACAGTAGCGTATTGGTATATTTTATGACACCTTGAATAAAGTTTAGTACATGTGGGACAAACTACATATAGAGTCCTCATGCGTCTTCCATACTCACAGGAGCACTAGCGTATTGAGTCGCGATTCCAGCCTCTGAGCAACCAACACATGCCACCTTGAACACAATCTGTTAGAAAAAAATTCCACTTCAACAGTAGTCTGAGAGCTCACCGATAGTGTACTCGTCGGGTTATAATCAGTGGTCATGTCTTCAACATATCGAACCGACACTTTCGATGTAGCCTACATATTGGGTCAGATTGCCCATTTCTAAATAAAATACCATCGACGTACTGAAGGATTTTTGAGAGTTGTCGAGAAGGCCTTCACATCTGTCGATGATCTTGAATTAGGCTCGGGACACGAAACATTAGGTGGACAATCGCTGGTTGTTCGTGTACCGGAAGTCTGTAATCGGAACAGCAATTTAGAACAGTGGCTTGTATTGAGTGAAGCAACTGACCTCCGCAAGACTTGTTGCATCGTCTGACGTTGCATTCGGCCCAGGATCTATCACTTTGTCCGATCCGTAAAATATCTGCCAGAAAGATTAGCATACCGTTAGAACACTGCGAGAAAAGGGACCTAACCATGGTGCCTATATCAACGTGGATGTTATGGGCATCATTGAAATCAATATGGATTGGTGATGATTTATCCCCCCTTGGAAGTAGTACGCCATTCCTAGGAGACTGGATATCTTAAGAAAGCTCGGTAAGGCATCAAACTACAACTCGAGTACGCACGGGACACTCCAAACTGATCCCTTCGACCACCTGCGACCTTCTTACGTCCAGTTTATGAATCACATAGAGTGTAAGAAATTACTAACGGGTAGCCTGAGTGGTTGGGCACAGGCCAAGAGTGACAGGGATGCGAATGCGAGAAGGCTGCCTGGGTGAAGCATCATTAGGCCTTGGTCGTGGCTATCAACTCGAATCCAGCTCTCTCAGTGAAGGCTTCACAGGTGTAGCTTTCACAGGAAATCAGAGAAGATATCAAAGAAAGCGACTCGCCGCCTGCCTCTTATAAAGCCTGTTGCGAGGCGCTAAAGTAAGCAGAACAATTGAAAGGACCCTTTCCTTGTCTGAACCTGCCCAAACGCATTGAACTGCCTTCTCTATGCCTAGAACGTCCTTCCGATGTCTGGTTGACTCATTTGAGGTAGGACAGTAGGATCCGTTTTGTGATCGTAACTTTGACTGACCCCCAGCAGGATCGAAGTGACGCGTTCCAACGCCAATTGCGGGATTACGTTCAATCCGGGTCGATAACATGCAAAAGAACTTCTCACCCGAGTTAGATACGAAAGCCGAGTAGCCCTCTTTCTGCTACTCACCAAAATGGCCCTTCGCGTCGTAACTTTGAGAAGCCGGTAAAGTCGCGTCTGACCGTCTTAAATGGAGGAAGAGAATCATATTAGGTCTCCCACCTAATAAGGCAAGTATCCAAACGGCGACAACATTTGCCAGAAGCATCCGTCAGAAATGCATATAATGTACACGACGAACTGTATGTGCCCAATAGGCTGGGTCTAGAGAGTGAGGGGTATGTTACTGTTGACAATATAATGGATGCTATTGTCGAGCGTGTTTTGAGGATACTGTGGAGCATCCAAAAGGCGGCAAGTCTGCTGCTATTCAAGTTACCCTTACACAAGACCTTCTGAAGTTGATGTTGTGCTTGATGAGTGTTTCCAGAGTCCAAATTGTCTTTATACTCGGCCTAGTAGCAGTCAGTACGGAAGAAAAAGATTTGTAACCGCATGTCTTGAATTATATACCCTTCTTGTAATCAGTACCATATTAGAACAATTTTCCGAAGAGCCCTCTTCTGTTCTCTAGACTATGATTAGCTATCTTGGATAGAAACCATTCGAATTAGGTATTGCACCTAAAGAGGGAGGCACCAGAAAAAAAGGATTAGATGAAGAAGCGTCCTCGGGGTTATAAATGAACCAGCATAAGAGCATGTGCGTCCAAAGAACAGAACTTGTAGAACTGGGACGTGGTATTGCTAGGTGACCGAGGTAAACGGCATGTCTCGTTGTGCTTGAAGGAAGATATGCAATTGACCAGAGGACGGAAAATCTAGAGCAATCAACAATGACTGGAAGCAAAGTCTGTCAGCATATCTTCACGCAGATTTCTCGTCATAATCGTGACTGATGACTGTACGGCAGCCGTCAGGAAGCTTTTTATATGCACCCTCCGACAGCTGTTCCCGGAGAGGATGTCTTAATCCGTGTACCTATCTTGTTCCCTTCTTGCATCCAGAGCGATAGTGGAAACAGTTCATTTCTAGAGGCGTCAGTCAGACGGAGGTACTCGAAATCGTCTTGCAACTTGAAGTGGTAGAAGTTCCTAAACGGTTATCGACCCATATTTGGATATGTTGCGAATCTGGCTCGGAGATGAAATAGGATAACTCAGCAGATGCGCCAGCATCAATGCATGCTATTTTTGTATGGTCTAGAACAACACAGCAGTAATACAACACGCGGAGGGATAAGTGCGGAATGGTGCATACTACGAGGTGACGAGCTGCAGGCGAGAGGACACTTCCGCTTGTGATCTGATAAGATTTGCGAGGTAGGAGATCATGAGAGTATCCTAGAATCGGAAACAGCATTCAGTAAATTATATCCAGAGAATTATGAGAAATTGTGGTTACCTGTAAGCTTGTTGCAAAGCTGCCTTGGTCTAGACCTTCTGTGCTTGTAGCGAATGTCTCCAACAAGTAACGTCCGATTGTAGGATCACCCTTTGTTTCCCCAGCAATGACAGATCGGACATAGGCAAGGACCCGGTCCAGCATCTCGGATACCGATTGAACGGAGCGCTCAAGAACCTCAAGATCAGTCGCGGTATTCGTTATTGAGGGAGAAGTCGATGACAATGATCTTGTCAAGAGGTCGACTATATACAATTCCATCAGAACAAGGAGAGATTATAAAAAACCGACGCAACTCACGGCCTCCTCTTTCCGAGTTATTGAACCGAAGTTCGCAGGGAATCGGAACGAAAACACAGTTTTCAGGTTTTGGATAGACGCCCACCGGCGAGCTACATGAATGTAAAAATAAAATAAAGAGCAAGATGCACAACGACAAACCTAATGAAAGCCTTCACACCTGGCTCACTTCCTTCCTCTGTTCCGGTATTCAAAGCCACATGTATAGCGGTATGAGGAGCTGTCTCTTGCGAGTAGAAGTTTTGAATGAGAGCAGAGTAGGTATTGAGGTTCGAGCCAGTCGAGTACCTGCATATATCGATCAACATTGTTAAACCTCTTCATTTTCTGACTTTAACTAAATGTACATACCAGCCGACAATAACTTCCTTCGGATGTACCTTATGATGCAGGTCGTACATTGTACGATGATACTCCATGTCCACCGCAACCCGTTCGCTCGTCTCGCTATGCAAGACCGCAAAGCAATTGTGCACCTCGATCTCCGTCTCGGTACGCGTACCGAGGAGCGTCCCGATCACACGCTCCTGGTCATCTGTTCGTCTCAAATAATGGTCTAGGATCGTGAATAGTACAACCGGGTGGATCGTAACATTTTGGATCGAGCGTCTAGAAAATCGTTCAACAGGACGAGAGCATAACAATGGTCAGTCAAACTCTTCGGCAAGAAAATAAAGCAAGCATACGTTGGATTCGAAACACTTCCAACGTGTAGACTTTGCAAGTGCAGCGCGGACGACGACTGTCCGACCGACATTTTTTTTACGTGAATTGGTCTACTTCGAAGGATTGCAGGAAGTGACGCGTTTCAAAATCTTCTCGTTTCCCAATCAGGAAAGCTGACGTTTTCGTCATAACCGTCCTCGCTCAACTTTTGCGTTTTTTCTACCTGCCGTGCTTAACGACAACCACCATGCCTAGCCTATCTTACTACCTCACGCCATCAGAAGAGTCAAAAGTAATGCATTGTTTTCCTATGATGCGTAGTTTATGCTTATGATGCATTTTAGGAACGAATGGCAAAGGCCATTGACGTCGGTCACGTCCGTCTCTTTTCTTCCATGCATCGTGTTTTCCACAGTTCATGACACTTTCCAACAGACCGTACTTCAGTATGGGTGGATTCCGTTCATTATTTACATTGGATACACGAGGAGTAACCCGCAGCCGTCTTTGATCAAGTGCGTTAGTTGTTCTTCGTTTCTTACCCTTGTGCTAACACCAAAAAATACAGGCTCCTTAGCCCGCTGGCATAGATTGTTCCACAGCTCTCTGCTCATTACATCTTGTTTCACCTGCATGTTCATGTATATCTCAACTACAAAAGTTCTAATTCGATTGCATTAATCCCCGCTTTCTTTCATCTGCCTGACCTGGTGGCATTAGCACTACCACAACTCGGATGTACAAGACAAACGACACTGAAGGTGTTGTCTAGCGACAAGAAGCACAACTGGCCGGCAGAACGAACGTCTGAAAGTGAGTTCTGTTAATTATTTTCACTTTACATGCACTTTGTATTGTGTGATTTAAACTGCGTGGTTGTACTTCCGTACCCAATCGACGCCGTGGATATCCACGGCGCCCAAGCCTGTCTTAACCGCCCAGTACGCTCTGGTTTGACTGGCTTGGCTGAAGTGACGAAAAGCAAGGCCAGATATGACTTCTTTCCTTGTTTTAAGTTTATTTCCGCCAAGAAAGCATGCTAATTATATTCGATATAGTGAATGGCTTGCAAAAACATGAGAAAGCAGAAAACAAAACAAGGTGACAGCAGCAAATCATCACAATTACAAGTACACCCTCCGCAAGTCAGTGGCGGCCGTGATACGTTTGCATATGGGACACAATCTGGTTGAACCAAGACATCGGAGCCAACATCCCCTACAGCAAGTATGCCAGCAACCCGTTGATACCGTGGGCTCATAATACGGATCAAGGCATATTCTGCAAAGCAACGAAGTTGACGAAGAAACACGCATTGTTTCCTAATACAACTTCCATTAGCGCTGAAAACCTCAGTAGCGAGGGGGAACCTACTAATTGCTTGACTTTGTTTTCCAGAGCGGCGATCAATGCTGCAGTATCGCCACTCTTGCGCGCAACTTCGACAGCTTGGTCCATTTGATCCGTTTCGCCCACACCTATGACTTGTTCAACCTCTGCTCGCACACCGTCAAGATTTGGTGTGACTAATTTTCGAGTGGTCACTTTCCCTTCTGCAACCAAGTCCCGCAGTGTCCCCCCTTCGTCATCGTCATCACCTCCGACGTCTATATCTTGACTAGAATTTGGGTCCACAACATCCTGCTCGGTGAACTGTGCAACACCAAATTCGTCATCCCCATCTACATCCACTTCTTCGTCCACGTCCAGCTGCGTTGAATCACGTACATGCACACCCATTCCCCGGAGTCCTCTCACGTCATTCAGATGGACTCGAATTTGGCCGTCTATCTCAATTTCGCTCCAAGGGTCCGTCTGTACCGTCCTCTCTCTATCCAGTCGTTCACGTTCCTCCGCTTCCGCCTGTAGCCGACTAGCATTTGCAACGCATGAATCCACGTGTGCATCAATTACGTCTTGGTCCCCCCGGACAAGCATGAGGCATACTGGACAGACAAGTTCATTACTTAAACCACTCTTCGCTCGCGGCCGCTCGTCCTCGTCTTGTGCGATAATTTCTTTTAGTCGCACGTTCCTGCTTTTCCGATTGCGATGAAGTAGCTTTAGTGTCTTCTCGATTTGTTCAATTGTGCTCATTTCCGGATCTCCGTGCGGATTTATGGTACGTCGAGCTTTCATAGCTGCGCCCCGTCGACCTGCCGTTAGTCTACAGAGGTGAATAGGATACTCGTTGAGAAGGGAAATAGAATAGCTAGCTAGACATACCCTGATGCAGGATCCAGTGTTATCACTGACGGCCCAGCACCTCGGAGTATTTCCTCAACACGATTCATCTCCAGCTTTGCATGCGCTCCCAGCAAACGTATCGGTATCTTTTCATCACATACCGGACATGTTCTTACTTCTGCACGTTTTGCTGTAGTTAAAGTAGATTAGATTAGATCATTGTTTGTAAAAAAACAGTTATTTCGAAAACATACCTCGTTTCGGTTTTGCCTGTTCCTCTGGTGGAGGAGACAATGAAGAAGTAGACGCTCGGCTCGGTGGCGGATCTGGAGTTGAAAGTTCGCGTTTCTTGCCTCTGCCACGAGAATGTCAGGATTTAGCAGCTCTTAAATTACTAGTGTCTTTACGCACTTTATATTGCGAGCCATGCTGTTCTCGCCGTAGAAATAGATGCAAATATTCTGTAGGCGAATATTCTACTATTTTGCCAGCATTTAAAAGGTTGTCGGTTTGAGCGGCTAGTTGGATGGCAGAGCGAAGAGATGGATGGACTCAAGTGCATGCCGCCGGTTCGGGCGCGGCGGACTTGATCTCCGGTGATCCGCTCCTTCCAAACATGGCTTTCACCCTGCATTTGGCACAAAATAAATAAGACCTAGAAAGAGCTTTCCCTTTACAGATTGCTTGTTATCGTATAGAGCCGATTTCAGAGGGCGTTCAAGTGCCATTTAACGGTAACGTTACTTGTGTAGAAGGAGAAAAGAGACATAGAGGAACAAGTCTGTCGGCTAAAGAAGCATCCCCGGCCCGGAAGACATCACGTGCATCCTCCGCTCAATATTCTCCATCCATGAGAGGAACTGAGTAAGACTACGACAATTGCTAGACTTTCAGACGGACTCTTTTCTTGCTTCTGGGATAGAATGGCCTCACGAGTTCCTTCTCGTCTGGCCCAGCTCCATCGTGTAAACTGCTCTCTCAGGTCTAATTCTTCTCGGTTAAGAGCATATCGAGCAGGTCTTGTCTATGCTCGTCGACCGTACTCAGTCGATTCTACTCCGGCGTCGAGCTCACACGGTAGGAATGGTAATTTGGGCCCACCACCTTCTGTAGTTTTTGACCGCAGGACGACCAGCGAAACCACTTCTGAGAGGTGTACGTGAGCACCGTCGGCCCAAGTAAGAGGTTTCTCACTGAGTTATTCTGAAATCCCACAGCGTATCCCACCCCTCGTTCACAATATCGAAAACTAGTCCAATCTGGAATACTTAGACCCGATGAACATCAGGAGCATATTATAGACAAGTTACAGGCTCTCCATGAGCAGCTCGAGAATTATGTCCAAACCCCTATAATAGAGTCGAGACAGTCGTCGTCACTCGTGCGTAAACAATTTACTTACAAAATGTAATGATTCATTCTTACAGTTTTATAGCTTTCTCGACTGTTCTCCAACTCGACTAATGAAACCAGCGATGATGAGCATGTACCGCAGGGTCTCTACCTTTACGGAGACGTAGGGACTGGTAAATCGATGCTTATGGATTTGTTCTACGAGACGCTCCCCCCGCGAATAAAAAAGAAACGACGAGTGCATTTCCATGCGTTCATGGTTGACGTGCATAAACGTGTTCATGCGCTGAAGGCGTCGTGGGGAATGTCAGGCGGGGACCCAATACCTCCTGTGGCGAGAGATCTGGCGAATGAAGTAACTGTTTTGTGCTTTGATGAGTTTCAGGTACTAGCCCGTTCTTGTTCAGGAGTACCGTTTGAGCTGATGTTTATAATAAGGTAACAGATATTGTAGATGCAATGATTCTCCGTCGACTACTAGAAACTTTGCGTAATCATGGCGTGGTTACCGTAATGACTTCCAAGTGAGTTGGCGCATTTCATTCGGATATTCGGGAAAATTTTAGTATAAATCTAGTCGGCACCCGGATGAGTTATATAAGAATGGAATACAGCGATCTAGTTTTATACCATGTATCGAGCTATTAAAGACAAAATACGATGTCATAAATCTGGATTCCGGGACCGGTACGTTTCCATAATCTTCTTACGACCGTTCTGTTCAAATAGAACTCCTTAGATTATCGACGTATACCACGTGCTCTCTCGAATGTCTACTTCCATCCACTCACCCCGGAGAACAGGGACGAAGTCAACAAAATCTTCGTTGGAATTGCAACTCGCGATGGCGAGGAAGTCTCTCGTTCCCGCTACCTGAAAATCTGGGGTCGTAGGCTTCACGTACCGGAGAGCACGAGCCACGTCGCGAAGTTTACCTTTGACGAGCTTTGTGGTCATCCGTTAAGCGCAGCAGACTATCTTGAGGTGACAAAGACTTTTCATACGGTGTTCGTGACGGATGTGCCGAAGATGAACTTAGGGCAGAAAGATAAGGTAGGTTCACGTGTCGAAGTTCGTAGCCATGTAGGGACTGAGCCAAACTTCCCGCAGGCACGACGTTTCATAACGTTCATTGATGGTACGTTTATAGTCAGAATAACCGGCTTCTTGAAGACGCTGATTAATATCGTGATGAACCTAGCGTGCTATGAGAGCAAGGTACGAATTGTCCATTCGTTTTCCCTCCTTATCGGCCTATTTATATTCCGTGACTTAGACTAAGCTCTTTATTACTTCGGAAGTACCAATCTTCCAGGTTTTCTCTGATGATGTCGGCGATAAGTCCATCTCAGACCACCAGCGCAGTATCATGGATGATCTCGTCCGTCTTCTTATTTCTTGATTTATATTGCTCGTAATGATATATGCTCTCTTCATGTAGGGTCTTTCTGATTCGGGGGTAGGCACGAGTTCAATGTTCACTGGAGAAGAGGAAGTTTTCGCATTTGCACGATGTTGTTCTCGACTGGTTCAGATGGGTAGTAAGGAGTGGGCGGAGACGGCAGGCGAGGCATGAACTTTATACTACACTCTGCATTATCTTAAATTATTAAACATTTTAATTCATTAACGTTTCGTATATGGCTGGTACTGGTATGTCATCCAAACATGTCGGGGCGTAAAGTCATTTGCTGATACAACAGGAAATTAGATATGAATAATGGATGGTAAGGCATCACCATGAACACCCCAGCCACTCAGACAAGGACGTCACGTTTTCTTCATGATAGGCCACATCGAGGCTATAACCTTCGCTTCACTGCACCCCAAACAAACCACACTTCCCTCCGCACATCTCTTTAACACCTTCTTCCAATAGTCCCTCCACTCAAGGTCACATTTCGTGCACAATGTCGATGTAGCAGGTTTCATCGACCAGGCATATTGAAGGAATGACCAGACCTTGTTTTGCTCTTCGTCGGTCTTGGTGAGATATCCCTTCTTGCGAAGCAACGCACGTGTGGATGCGTTATCTGCTAGGATATCTGACGATGGGAAGATGGAGTAACACCATATGTGCCTTGTCGTTTCATCAATAACGTGGACGCGCCAGGAGGTTGTGAAGAGCATGGGGTTTGGATTTCCGGAGTTTTGGAGCTGCTGCTTTGAAAGGGCGTTTCGGACGTTCGTCATGACTAGGCTTTCACGATACACGAGATGAGGTGACTCACGTTTATTGGACACGTTGCCTGACCTCTGTTGTGGATTTCTAGACACGGACCAGCTTTTACGACTGCCATTTCCCAATCTCCACATCCAGTATCGACCCAGATTACATTTCGTGGCTAAATAAAGGTAAACATTGTAAGAGTCTGTGTCTTATCTTTCTTTGCGTCCCTTTCTCTCTCTTTTCCCATTTGTTATGGAGGAACGTCTTTGCGGTCCCGGAGAAGAGAAGGAAGGCGGGGTGGACCAATGCTCACCTTCAAATCCTTCAAATAGGGTTTAAAGGAAGCTATCATCTTCTCTAATTCCTCGTCTTTTCCGGGATCGGTTCGAACGGGTTCTATTCGAGAAGAAAGAAGACTAGGACTTGAGTTCGCAGAGCTGGGTGTCATCGGTCCAGACGCTGTAGACGTGGGTGTAGTTAAATCAGACATCGGCGTACTCCCAATGCCACCCGACGATTGAATTTGCGTCTTTATTTGCAATTGCGCACGAGCTTCGGAGAGTCGAGTTTGATATCTATGCTGTACTCTAGCAGTAGAGGTCGTCTTTTCCTGCTTCGATTTACCCATGGTTCAGAAATTGGAAAAATCAGTATCTTATCAGTACTGCTAGTGTCTTGATAGTCAGTGATGGGGGCGAGAAGATGAGAAGCGTGGTTAGGAAGCCGCATCGTCGTTGTGGATTAAAAACTTTATTTCTGTGGCCCCTCAGCAAGGAGCCACAGTCACTGAGTCATACTAGTACTTCGGTAAATTTGACGTGGTCTATTCTGACCTTCCATAAAAGGTAGAAACTGTCATTAACACATAAAATGAGGTATGTTGGTGTCCTTCATGAATCATAGCTACAAAAGTACACTTCATGAAAATTTCTGTATTAATAGAAAACCTAACACTTCTGTTTGATAAAGGTTGTTCTACCAGATTCAAAACAACTGAAAATTAAATTATGGTTATCTTTCTTACCCAGTTTCTGCAAAGGGTTGCCATTATGCACTTTGGTACTTGTGGCCTGTGGCCTGTGGCCGAGAGACAGAGAGAGGCATTTAGTTTAAAAGCATGTGACTTTACCATGCCTCGTGATAAAACTGACCTCTAGATTCAAGCCTGGGAAAATCATGGCTGATACTTCCTTTTCAAATCTTTGAGAGATACTTTTTGGATAAGTCATTATTATTGTGCCACTTTATTCAAATTGTTACTTGTGGCCTGTGGTTGGTTTGCAGGCTTCGGTAAAAAAAACATCATGTGACTTCACCACGCGTCGCGTCCAGAAATTCGGACTCCGACTGAATCACTGTTCCAGCAGACTGAAAAGATCCTTGTCCATTCACTCATGCTACTTACAGAAAGTACACGTTTAGTGACCAAAAAACGCAAAACTGGTCACGTGAAAAGATGGAGTCTGAGCTCAATGTTAACGACAAAACGAGCAGCAGTCAGGTCGTAGTACAGGATTGAGGTGTGGGTAGAGCTTCGTACGTCCATAGATGCGCAGATGAGAAAGGGGGAACGCACGAAAACGAGCGTTAGAAGTGACAAAAAAAACATCACTAAAAACCCAGCCTAAAAATAACCATCAAATATCAAGTCAAAAAATGTAACAAAACAAGTATAAACAGAACCAAGAAACTTAGAAGTGCTCGTCACAAACAAATACTAAGTACATTAATACCCGTCTTCTTCAAATCACGTGTGTAATTCACAACCAGGAGGATAACAAGAGGAATGAAAGGAATAAGACGAAGACGAAACAGGATGACAGAAAAGGAAAGGACAGATGAAGACAGATGAAGCGATGCGGATAGTCATAGCATTGATATGAATAGATTAACGGTGGGACGAAAGGACGAAGTAACAAACATCCCCCGACGATGATGAGTATGTATTGAATGAGCGTCTCATAGATAGTGAATGGTAATGACAGGTTAATGGTGAACAGAGGAGAAGATGGTGATGAGTGAGATGTTGAGGAACAACGTTCAAGAAGTCAGAGTGGCGGCGAACAAGATATGGAAGTATGAGGAAGGGTTGACAGCGGTCATAGCCAATGAGAATTACAGAATAGGGAGGAGTACAGGAGGAGTACAGGGGAAATACAGGAAAATATGGGGCAAGTGGGTCACGTAGGGATCACCGCCGAATATCAAGGTCGGGGGGAGTGTCACGTCGGACCCGGTATCGTTCGTAAGAACATTGTTTTGGTATACGTTACAACGTCGCAGGTTGCACATTGCAGTAGTTTCTCGTCGCAGTTATTCGTCAGGTGTCATGTTATTCTAGGTTAGGAAGGGATCAAGAAGGGAGGGGAGGGGTTAAGACGGTTAAGTAAGCGAGCAACGGATATTGCGGATGCGAGAGACACCTATAAGACCACCCCTAAAGGTGCGTTGAAGATCAAATCGAGGCGGCAATCAAAGAGCAAGAACGAAGGAGGCAGCTGACGAGTACTATAAGACACCCTGCCTAGCACCCAACTCTGCATCATATACCCCTCGATCATAGTAGGGAGTACATGAACAGAGTCGCCTCACATGGAGAATACGCCAACGCTAGAGAAGCGGCCATTTCAACTTGAGACCCTCCAGCCAACGCATATAGAGCAGCTCTGCGATCGGTGATTTCTTAGCAGGCTCATCGCCGCTACCACCGCTCTTTGTCGAAGTGTTCGATGGTGCCACTGTAGGTCCAACAATTGAATGCCCATTCACTCCATTCACCTGCCCATGACCCTCGTCGGACTCTTGTTCTATAACTACCAAACCTCGAGAAGTCATCTCTCCACGCCTTATCACACGCTTCGCAGGGAAGAGCCCACCACGCAGGGTAGACACATGTTGCCGAACCGCGTTGTTGTCGTTGATCCCAGCGAGGATGTCCAAGATGACGGAGTATGCGAGCTCAGGATTTGCTTCGCGCAGGTCAACGAATCCGCGTGCGAGCATGCTAAGCGCCTCAATCTCGTGCGCTTCCATTCCGTCTTGGATCGCCTATGGTTAATCGAGGTTAGCACGGTCTTTGCTCAGGAAAAGTATAGACGCGACGTACATTCTGGACAATGGGAACGACGATCTCATCTACCATTGCCCTACCAGCGCGAGCATTATCGCTAGCCTTCCTTCGATGGTCTTTTCCTTCAAAGTTAGCAGTCCCATTTATCCGCACGCTGCCATCGGTGCCCTCACGTACGGCTCCAACATACTCTGCACTGAGCCTCAGACTCCCGGCGGCATCGACGCGCTTCACCGGTCGGATAGTGTCAATACCATTCCCAATGTCTGCTGGACGTAGGGCTGTGCCGCTCCCCCCTGTTTTTGTGCGCTCCGCATGTGTTGAACGCCGTCGTTCCGATCTCGGGCTCGGGGGTGGTGACGGAGTGGTCCTCGGTGCCCGCTGCTGTTGCTGTTGCTGAGGTAGTTGATCTTGTTGAGATATCCCAGGTTGATCGTATGCAGGAGGTGCACCCAATCCACCAGCATCAGCGTCTACAACAGCCTCGTCAGCAAAATCTTTCCCGTCGAAAGCAGCTCGCCCGTTAGGCGGCAGTGGTGGTCGGATAACGACAGTCGAGTGGGATGCTTCATCGTTCATCCCCAGCCGGGCGCCAGCGCCAGATAGCCGCTCCTCGCTTCCCTTCGTCGCTGCACCAGAGTCATAGGAATCCTCGCTCTCCTCAATCGGTGCAAGACCCTCTATTTCACCTTCATCGTCGTAATACGACGCATCATCATCCGGAATCATCCCTGGTGGCATCGCCGCCCCATTCGCACCGAAATGCACTTGCGCGAGTGAACGATACGTGTTAGTGGCGCTTCCGCCGGATTTGGACCGAACGGTCTCAAATATCCATTCGCTCCTGACGGTGTCATTGCGCCCCCACGTCCCACGTAAACTCTGCTGCGCTGGCGGGATGATGCCTATCCCATTTTGGGCACCCTTCTTCTGCGGCGTGCGCGCGGCGTAGTCCTGATATCGCTCGATGAGTTCGGTAAGACAGCTGGTTCGGCGTGCATTCTTGATGAAGCGGTGCTGTAAGAGTTCCTTTGTTGATGGGCGCTAATCATTACGAACGACGTCAGTCAACTCAATCCCATTTCGGGCCATGATTAGAGCCATAAAGGGAATCTGAAGTGTGAGACATGGAACGACAGGAAAATGGAGCGGCGCATACAGAGGGGCTCGGAGCGGTGCAAAATCGGAATCGGAATGGAATGAAGTAATTACTTACGTGCTTCGGGTCTTTGGTCAGGCACTGCGAAACGAAGTCCTTGAACGCAGGACTAAAGGCACCCTCTAGCGTCGGAGGTTTCGCTTTCGGAATGAGAAAGAGTACTCGCATGGGATGGTACTCAGCAAGAGGCGGTTCGCCTTTTGCTAGCTCGATCGCAGTTATGCCAAGGCTCCACAAATCTGCCTTGTGATCATAGCCGGCCTGGCGAATGACCTCGGGGGCCATCCAGAAGGGCGTGCCGACGAATGTATGACGAAGCGTATGGCTAAGCTGCGCAGCGACACCGAAGTCGGCGAGTTTGACGCGGCCCGAAGCGGAAAGGAGTACATTCGCGGCCTTGATATCCCGGTGAATCTTGCATTCACTGTGTAGATAGTCAAGGCCGTATAGGAGTTCGCGGCAGATGACAGCGATGTGGGCTTCGGAGAATACACCAGGCTTGAGGAGGTCAAGGCAAGAGCCACCGGCAAGGTACTCCATGATGATCCATAGCTTGTAGCCCTTGACGAATGAGCCGTAATATCGCGTAACATACTCACTGTCGCATTGCGCGAGGTGTGCAATCTCCTGCTGTATCTCAGAGATATCGTCGTCTGTGTCCTCGAGGTCTGCCGGTTGAACGGCAAGTCAGCTGTATGCACAGAAGGACGGAGGCAGACAGATACAGGGGGTGGAGAGCGAGTTACACACCGATTTGCTTTATTGCGACGATTTGCTTCGTCTCATTGTGCATTCCCTTGTACACGGTGCCGAAGCTGCCGGTACCGAGCTTCTCGAGAATCGTGTACTGACTTGCGGGGTCGTTGCTTGGCACCATGGGGACGGCGGGGGACGGACTGCGGACGTTGTTGGTGGCAAGCTTGTCTTTGAGGATGTTGTTAGGTGCCTGCGAGGCGTTGGGTGACGAAGGTGGAGAGCGAGTGAGGACGCGTGGCTTGGGAGTTAAGAAGAAGGAATAGGAATAGGAAAGGAAGCGAAGAGGAAGAGCGAGTCAGTTGCGTGCCAGGCCCAAAGTCAATTACAAAGTAAGACACGGTATATACGGTATAGCATAGGATTAAAATCTCGATTAGAACAGAAAAAGGCAATAAATCGCCGGACATGAACTCACCATAACGGATGGCGGACAGCGTGGAACGAGGAGGAGGGAGAGGGAGGGCGTGAAGAGAGGAAGCAGCGAGGCGGGGCAGGTGTAGGACTACTACTACTAGTAACTGAATAGATTCGCCCCGCACGATCACTGCTCGGCCTAATATGGGCAACACCGGGCACGCGCCGTCAGATCCGTGTCTCCTGCTTTTCACCTCTGCGTCCTGTCTGTATCGCGTGGTGTCGTCGTGGGCAGTGACGATGGTGACGGATAGAGACAGAGAGAGGGAGAGGGAGGGTGAGAAAGCAGAGAAAGAAGGAGAAAAGAGAGAAAGAAACGCACGATAGCAACTGGCGGACTACAGGCTGAGGGATGACGTGACCCGCATGGCGTGTTATTCCTATGCTTGAATCGTGAATGCTTCTGTCCTGTGTCTATCCAAGGACTGCTAGTCACGGAGCTAGCCTCATCAGTGACGCCACGCGCGCTGGCCATATAGACTTCAATAAACTATCAATTCACTATCGCGCTATTTCGTCCTCCCCCTTTCTCACTCTCCTGGAATTCCCGTGAATTACGGCCGTCCAATCCTCTCCTTCTGCATTCTAACATACAAAAACAACAACAATGTCTGCCGTATTCTACGGGTCGCGCAAAATGAAAAGGCACCTCGGAAGTGCCAAAAGAGGATGATCTACAGGGAGTGATAGAGCCGTATGTCAGGTATGACATAGTCCGGCTCGGGTACGTCGGGAGGACTAGCCATCCCTCCAGTCAAGCGAGTCGTCCTCATGGCTTCACCTGACTCTCCTCGTCCTTCTATCTCTCACAACTGGAGCCGCATGCCCTTCCTCCATACGGCGCCACGTCTTCAAATCATATATATTTTATCCTCCATCATCCCGTCGTCTCCTTCTCAAACTTCTTCCTTCCATTGCTCTCTCTCCTTTTTCAATCTCTCCAATTGACAACGAGTTTTTGCCGACGGACGCGTGACGTCGTGATTGACGTCAGCGACACCGTCTTTCAATATCATTTCAATCATTCAAAATCAAATCAGCATCACTCTCCTTCCTTTTGCTCCGGATCCTTTCCTCCTAAATCCCGGCCGGCTTGGCTTTTTTGATCGAATGAATTATAAGATGCTGACTCACGAGGAACGTGTGTCCCTCTCTCAGACAGGAGCCAAATTCGCTGTTTAGCAAGCCTGATTTGGTACCATCTTCGCGCCTGTGGGTATGCGATTGGGAAGAGAAGCCAATGTACGTCACGTGCCTACGACGCGTCAATTAACACGCGTCGCGCAGCGCGACAGGCTACAAATCTAGAACGCCAATGTAACATTGTAAGTGTAACCGGCCGGTAATCGAAATGAGCCTCACCCGGAGGGATTCGCCATCGAACGCGTCGAACGTATTGTACCTCCGGAGATTCGGACGGGAAGTACAAAGCCTCAAGCCAGTAACCCTTTGTTCTTCCTTTTTTTTACTCACATCTCCTTCGTCTTCTTGCGAATTTGTAGTACTACCACTTTCCATAAAAGCACGTCTGTTGGAAATTGACTGAGTTGACTAATAGATGAATAAAGAAGATTAATATTCACCTTATTAGTGATTAGGGATGATCATTACCAGACATCCGAGTGAGCTTCTCGGAACGGATTCGCATGGATACCGGAAAGAAAGATGGTGCCGTATTTCAAATAGTAGTGGCACTTCTTTGAGCTTTGTCTTTCACCGTGCTTAAGAGAACGTGTTTAAGTTGTCGAGTCTCTTGCGTCTTTTCTTTCTATATCTTCACACCAATGTATTATATTATTTGTATTGTAATTTATTCATATCAGCACATCTATTGAAAAATCACCTATCATGACTGATAAATGAATAAGAAGGTCGGATTGTCTTAATATCTACTTTATTAGGAACAAATCGTTACCTAATAGAAGTATTCTTGGACCCTGAAATGAGTCCCCGGAACGGATGCACGTGGATACTAAAAAGAAAGGCAGTGTTACATTTCAAATAGTACTTCTTTGTACTTTGCTCTCTCGCTATGCTCAAGGAAGTCAATACAGACTTTCACTAATCTTGTTAGCAAGTACCAGCATCCTGTCCTTGTTCTTTGTCCATCTAAGTCTGCCATGCCCTTCAAAGACTCAAACAAATATTATCTCATCTATAGTGCCTAACATTGTAGTGTGGCAACAATAAGGTATTCAAATCCTCTCTTTCTCATTAAGCTGTAATAAACGCTTTATAGGTGCATCGAGAAATCTGCCCACGTTCCCCAGCTTTCCCGTTTAAGCATCTAAGTACCAGGATCCAAGTTTCCCGCTTCAAGGGACATGGTCCCGAAACTGATTTCACAGCTAACCTACCATCCGCCGGGTTCAACCTCTTTCACGAGCTCGGTGAACCGCTTCTTCTATTCACTTCATCTGTCAACATAGGCTCGAAGTAATGGAATGAATGCAGTTCCGCTTTTTTCTGTCCGGCTTATCGCGTAGCCAAGTGACAAAAACGGCGGCCGTAAACTCTGAGACGAGTACGACCGTTAGGCTGGTAGATTTGCCTTCTTTTCTAGCCTCGGACTTGACTGCTGCTCTGGAGGAGCAGACAGTGTACTCGTAAGGGATATGCTTCCTTTTTTCGGTTTTGGAGATGCGTTGCTGGTATCTGCAGAAGACCCGGGTTTTCAGGTGTTCCAGGTGGAGTAGCAACATCCCCCTCTACTTTCCAGAGCTGACTATATCAATGAATTGACCAAGACGTCTATTTCTTGGTAAGAAATATGGACGCTTTATAAATCCGACAAGGAACTGCTCCCTCGCTTTTAGTATTTATCCTGTCTAACTGTCTATGGATCGACATTTACTATTCCCTTGTTCCCCTCTTTACAGAACAAGATCCGGATACTGTGAGTCTGTGGCTTCACAACTTCAGTAACCCACCATCCTTCGAGTCAGCCACCTACATGGCCCACCTCCTCCACGAGCTCCGTGAATCGCTTCTTTTTTGCTATTTCCTTCTGTTAATACAGACTGGAAGTAGTGAAAGAAGTTCCGCGACCTCATTCCGAATATGCCATGCAGCCATGCCACGAGGACGGCAGCCGTGAGCTCTGAGCCAAGCGCGAATCGGACCAGTAGGTTTGCCTTCTTTCTTACTAGGCTCGGACTTAACTGCTACTGTTCCTGTTGCAGTGGTCGGCGTGCTGGTCTCAGAGGGAACGGAATTCCGTTTCTTTGGTTCTGGCAGTACACAACCTGCTCTTGCAGAAAGCATCAGGTGCCCCAGATGTTACAGATGTTGCTCCAGATTTCTTTCCGTTTCTTGGAAGGAGTAGCTGTGGCAGATGCAGGACTTGTTGCTTGACTCGCACCTGGAGAAACAGGATTTAGACTGATTGAGATGACTAATGGATGAACGAAGAAGAAATATTTTCCTCCTCATACAACTTGAATTAGGGATGATCATTATTGAGCAGCAATCCCGAAGAAAGACAGTGCTTCATTTCGATTAGTACTTCTTTGTGCTTTGCCTTTCACCATGTTTAAAAAGACAGGTTAGAGTCAGTGCACATCTTCATCTCAGGACCAGTATCCTTTCTTTATTCCGTGTCCATTCAAGTCTGCCAATCTTTGTTCAAAGACTCAATTAGTACAAACAGTGAACACCATTTCATTGCATCAACCGCATTCACATAATGCGGTGCGGTGACACTGACACGTTCAAAGCCTCTATTTTTTTAAAGCTATTATACATGGTTTATAAGTCCGTCAAGAGCTTCACCCACTTTCCCCAGCTTCCTCGTCCAGGCGTCTCAGCAACCACCCTGACCTCTCCCCTCTTTAAGGAACAAGATCCCGGTACTGGGACTTCACAACCAGCCCTCCATCTTTCAAGTTCGCAACCTCTTTCACAAGCTCTGTGAACCGCTTCTTCTTTACCTCGTCAGTCAATGCTGGTTGGAAATAATGAATGCAGTTCCGGGTTTTCGTACCCGGCTTGTCGCGTAGCCATGCTACGAGTACGGCAGCCGTGAGCTCCGTACCAGGAGCAACTTGCGGGCCAGTAGGTTTACCCTCTTTCTCAGGTTCGGACTTGACCGCTGCACCTCCTGCTGCCGTCGGAGTTGACGGGGTGCTCGTACCACCTGGGACAGCTTTCCGCTTCTTGGGCTTTGGCTGTGCACCACCAGCATTTGCAGAAGAACCAGTTGCTCCAGGCGTTGCAGCTACCTCCCCCTCTGCTTTCCGTTTCTTGGACGGACTAGCTGCAGCAGGAGCCGGACTCGTCGCACGGCTTGCTCCCGGAGAAACAGGATTAGGACTCCCTACTCGACTTCCACCAGGTCCTGCAAGTGGACTCGTTGCGCGGCTACCTCCACCAACCGGGGTCTTCATCTTCGGCGGTTTTGGTGATGTAGCACGCTTCGCTACGACGGAGTGTCCACCCATCCCTAGTCCAGGGGACGTCGGCGGCGGAATCATTGGTGAGCCCTCAGATTTGACCTTTGTGCTGCTACCCGAGCTGCTAGTGGAGCCACCTGAGCCAGGAGGCGCAGGTGAGCCAGAGCGTGAGGTCGGGCGTGAAGAAGGCTTCGAGGCAGGGCGAGAGTTAGCCTTACTCTTTGGAGTCGAGCCAGGTCGAGACGTAGACTGGTCTTGTACGGCGGGTCCCGTCGGCGTAGGCACAGGAGTTTCCTCCTCCTGCTCTTCCTCCTGTAAATAATACAAGTATGTCGTTAGTATGAATACAAATCACAACTCTTATGAACCTACCGAGCTGGCGTATGGATTTTTCTCCTCATCACTATCATACGCCGCGTTCTTCTCAATCTTCCGGACCAACTTCTTGATGTCTTTTCCGGTCCCGGTAAGGTTATCGGCATCTTCTTCGTCCTCGGACACGTATCCCTCTTGATTTTTGTTTAAATTGTGATACTCGCGCTTTAGCCGCTCCTGTAATGAATTGAAAGTTTATAAAAGTATGAATAGGAAAAATTCAGTAAGACATTTACCTCAAGCTCTTTCGCCTCTTCGTCTGCAGCAGTATCTTCAAATTCCATCTTCTCTTCATCGTCCGCAAAGTCCTCCTCGTACTCCATCTCGTCCAAGTCACCATCAGCGCCCCTCTCTCTTTCTCGACGCCTTCGCTCCTGGACACCCTCTTCATCATCTTCTTCGAATAGACCACGCGTTCCATTATCTACCCTTCGCAACCTACGTCCTCCAGGTCCTACTGAGCTCCCGCCTACATCATATACGAGAGATGGACCTCCAAGGCCGCCAGCGGTGGGAGCAGCAGCTCCATTTCTCGACCGCATAGCCCAGCGTTCCTGATCTTTATTCTTCTGCATCTTTGCCATCATTTTTTCTGCCTCTTCGAGCGTCCATTGCTGCTGTTGAGGCCTTCGCTTCTGGAACTTGTACCATCGATTCGCAGGAACGAAGCGGAATGAACTATCAGGCGTAGGCATGAGCAATGCGTATAGCTCTGCCTTGTTTGAATCTTCCATCCTCCCCTCCCAAACTTCCTTCCCTGAAGCGTCCTCCATAACCCACGGATACCTTTCCTCTTTCCGCAATTGTCGGACATGGTCTGGGACAAGAAATACCTGCTTTGTCTTCTTTTGGAATTTCTTCTTCTTTCCCTTGTCGTCTTTCGAGTTTTTCGCAGCTCCTGATCCGCTTGCATTCTTCGCCTCATGTATAGGACGCCCTTCTGCGTCCACCATGACAGTTCGACCATCCGCGCCGATAACAGGCTTTCCATCAGGGCCCAACATTGGCCCAACGGGTGTTGGCGCCTCTTCATTTCCATTTCCTTCAGCACGCCTCATTTCCTTGCGGTTGAGCTTTATTGGTCTTGCCCATGTATTCACATCAACCGGTTTTCTTGAGTCAAATTTCATGACATCGTATTTCCAGCCGAAACGATCTGTCGATATGACACGAAAGTCTTGGTAGCCTACCTCAGGCGTGGGTTCTGCGGTCGTCGCACTAGAGGAAGCTGCCCCAGCCGAGGCTTGTGGAGTAGCAGATCTGGAGCCTCCGGAAGGCGAAGCTGCATTGCTTGGAGTGGATGGACGTGGTGCCGCGATTTGAACTTGTGGCTTTGTTATAGGTGAAGCGCGTCCTGCGACGCGAGCTTGGATGGTTTGTGGGCCAGCTCCTGTCCCCGGTGTCCCTGATATACCTGCAGAAGACGTAGCAGTACCATTCACTGTACTCCCCGTTTGCATCGCCGCGAGTCCAAATGGTCGACTTGGCTTCTTGTGAAAAAGAGTCGGCTCCTTCTTAGGGCGCCTCATTTGCTTCGGAATCGCATTGCCCGCTGAATTCGAGTTCGGATTCGAAGGCTGAGATTGCGTTTGTATCCGCGTCTGCGAGCCAGAGGACGAAGGAGTCGGCGAGGGCGTCATGCTGGATGACGGTAAAGAACAAGTCACTCGTGGGCTCGAAACAAGGCCAGTCCGTCTTTCAAAGGAAGGGGTGGCCAACGAGTGGCTCGTTAGTCATCATCCCTAATCGGGATGATCGACGCGGCCTCAGTTCCGAACAAACGAACGTGACACAACCTCTGCTGCGTCCTAAGTATCCCAGTTCTGATTCATCACCTCGTATGACTCGAGCTTCGTGGCTGAGTGCTACCACAAAAGTAATCAGGCATTGTCTTGTTTTTATACATATTTTTTAGATGAGCTGTTGCTAAGTATTATGCTATCTCAAGTTGAACACACCTTCCAATGCCAATGAAAACAGGGCTCTTTCGGCTAGCTTCTGTTCAACGGTCTGACGCTGGGCTGAGCATCTCTCTCCAGGAAAGCTATTGGACAGCGCCAATTTTCGACTTTATCACTGAATCTACAAACATGTTCGTGAGTGGAAAGTTGGCATTGGATGCTGACTGAGGTACTGCCACAGACGACTAAACAAGTGATTTTACCCCTCATGGATTGCTGTGTTCGCAATCCTAGATTCCTTACAGGTAAAAGAAGAATACATCGATCAGTTTTGTCTCTTGCGGCATGCTACACCACCCTCACAAAGACAAGTTTTCTTGCATATACCTGTAATAACAGCTGTTGGCCCTGTTCTTGAGCCATCTTAAGCTGTTTCGACATTCGAGTTTCTTTCTTGCACGCTTGGTTTCGAGTCTCCGAATGACCGACTGACCAGAATATCTGCTGTTTGAGACAATCCTGTTTCCTCCACCTCGGCGTGCTGGCGTCCCTCGATCCTCACATTCCCGACATAAATTGGAAACGACTATCTTGCAGAGTACCCACACATCGGACAAAACCTGCCCCGTGTCCTCTTTCTCCGTTGTCCGCGAGGGAGACAGCATACTCTGCTCTAGCGAAAAACATATGTTCGGAAAAGGTCTCCATTTTTCACGACACATCCACGCTCAACCAATAGCTACGCGGAAAATCCCATCGGTCACTCACATCCGTTCCGTCCGTCCGTGCTTCTATATTATTCGCGCGGAAGACAACATACGCTACACTACGCGAAAAAACATATGTTCAGCCAACAACTCCATTTTTCACCGTCAATCAATAACTCCGCGCTGAATCTCACCGGCCACTCACTCCCGTCCCTTTGAGATCCTGCGGACCGAATGGCAACGACAGATCTCTTGTTTGCAATGTCGCTCCGTCACGCCGTCGTCTCACCTGCACGCTCGGCTCGTCCGACGCCATCCGTCTTCCCATCTTCCAACATCCCCGGACTTCTTTTCTTCCGGATGGACAGCCGACAGCCGGGCCGTCGGTTGCCCATCGCACTCAAAAACCTTTTCCCACCAAGTCAAGATTCCGAGATTCGAAGATTCATCCATCGTAGCAATGTCAGTGCTTCTCTTAATCTGATATTCAACACGCTTCTCAACTTCAGTGTTCTCAGAACCCCGCCGGTACTTCGATGTTTAGCACAACACGAAAGAATCTATTACAACTACATCGAATCTACAGAATCTACAAACGTACACGACCGAACTAACGGCCGTCATACACCTTTCTTCTGATGGTATCGTATCAAAAACAGGAAGCAAGAAGCAAGAAGCAGAAACCCAAAACCGAAAATACGGAACGTCCATAGTCCGAATTACAAAAATATGCGGAAATCCATCAGTCCGTCGTAACGTACATGAACAAGAAACACGTAACAAAGCACATCCGAAAATCATGAGAGTAAATCATGAGGATCATGAAAATTATCCGTACGCGTGGTTTACTAAAAGCAAGAAGCAGGGATTGGTTCTAACTGACATCATTACTAAGGACAATGCACAAAGCGAAAAGCGGAAATTAGAGGGTGGCGGTCGGAGTGAACGAATGATGCCGAAGCGATGCCTACGATGCCGTGAAGTGCTATTCTGGTACGCGTAGATGGCCATCCCGTTCTTAATCCCGTCAAAAAGAAGACAAACACCACACACCGCAACCCGCAGAACACATGTCCGAGGACAGAAGTAGCCAGAAACAGCGAGTTCAAATATAGCCCCTGAAAGCAAGAAACGAGTGGACGTCCTTCCCAATCTGAAAAGAACAGATTGCACGAGGACAGGAATAGCGGGGCTACAGGAAGTGAAGTACTACGAAAGTAAAAAGTGAAGAAAGGGAATGAAAGGTATTAAAGCATTATGGTTTCATATACAAAATCCCGGATATTGATGAGTCCCAGAACAAGAAATGCGGAAATGAGGAAAGCTACAATGCAACAATAAACTAGAAAGCGGACGAAAGAGGCAACCTGGAGGAGGCTGACCGTCTAACGTTATCAAGACGGAGAGCAAAGCGAGGAAAACAATGTGTACACGGAACTGTCTGTCTGTTCTAATGCCATGGTCGTAACGAGGAGAGATGGGAGAACGAAGGGGGATGTCGAACTTCCCTCATAGGAGAGCGAAGACACCTCCGACTAAGAGGCCGAGGCTGACAAGCGACGGGAACAAGAAGGTGGGCGAAGTTCCACTCGAGTGCGACTGGGCTGTCACACCACTGGATGGCGAACCAGACCCCGATCCCGAGGAGGCCGTGCCACTGGCCTTTGAACCAGCAGAAGTGGGCGTTGCCGAGGCGGAGGAGGTGCTGGAGGGAATCAAGCTATTGAACGCTGCGTTGGCTTCCTTCCCGTCCTGGTACGGATTGGCGTTATTGAGTTGCGCCTGTGAGATGAGTTTCCACCCATTCTGTCCAATGAGTGGGAACGCATTCATAAAGGCCTGAACGGTAGACTCATAGAGCTCGTGCTCGAGGACGATCAATCCTGGATGCTTCGGACCTGACAGCCACCCTTCGAATTGTGACTGGATCTTGTCGAGGTTCGTGCCTGGGGGATTGCTTCCCATCGCCCAGTCATCGGTATCCTGGTTCCACAAGACCGCGGTCATACCAAGGACTTCTCTTGCGATAGCACTTACACGAGCGTCGGTGTCCCCGTACGGCGGTCGCCAGAAGCGTGGGATCTTACCGCCGGTGGAGTCATGGATGATCTGTATGGTCCATGCAAGTTCTCCCAGTACTTGCTCATTCGTCATTGTCGTCATGTAGGGATGCGTCCAGGTATGTACCGCAATATCGTCGTGCAGCTGATTATACGCAATCTGGAACTCTTTCCAGTTCTGCAGAATATTCGTACCGATCATATAGTGCGTTGCCGTTACATTATTCTGCTGCAGGAACGTGTAGAGAGGCGGTGAAAACTAGAAGAACACAAAAGACGTTAGCATTCCTGAAATACAATAGGAATAGGTTCGGAAGGGTTGGTCAAGGCCGGTAGTGGTTGCCGTCTTGGGCTGACCATACCCCTTCCACTATTCAAGGACGGGTGCTTACAGTTGTAGGTCCATCGTCGAAGCCAACAGCAAAGTAGCCATCGACGCCATCCCAGATGTCCTGAGGGATCCTGCACTCACGGTCGGTGGCAGCACATATGGACGGGTCGTTCCTGTTCTCGTTGGTGCCGGCGGGATAATTGGGAACACCACCGTTCTCGGAGACGGATGGAGGGATATCAGGAATCTTGCCAGCCTTAACAGCATCGTTCAGCGCGTTAACCCATGCTTGCGGTAACTTGGATGGGTCTGCGGAGCTAGCTGGATACTGGGCAGTCCAGGCTATTGTGGTGGCAGACGGACGACACGAGAATGAGTCGACGGTCAGCCATGTTAACAAATAACAAAGATAAGAAAGGGGGCGCACCATCAGAGCCAACGGAGGGAGAGGGGTCGGCGCGTTTGCTATTCGTGGGTGCACGTCGGAAGAGAGCGTGCACAGGATGGTCCTCCTCGTGGTACCAGCGACCGGGGAGCGGGGCGGAGCGCGTCTCGCTCGCATGCGGGTGGGGGTGAGCTGCGACGAGGGCGAGGGAGGCGGAAGCGACGGCGAGGGCGGTAAGGGCGACCATAGCGGGAGACCGATTGTTGGCGGGGGGAGATGGTGGGGACTAGACAGCCGTGAGGGCCCAAGGAGAGGTTGGAGGCCATGGCTATATAGGCATTCATAGAGTGAGGCTGGCATTTCGGACTAGTTAGCCGCTGGACCTGGTCCCGTTCAGCACGGCAAGATGAAGATCGAGGGCAGCGCACGCCAATCCCACTTCCTATTTCAGAGCTATATTTGGCTTCTCATCTATTCCATATCCGGAGCCTTTCGTCGCTGATCGCCCGACGAATGCACGTGCTTCTTCGTTCTCACCGGTCATCCTCTCCCGCTTCTTCTCTGCCCCGACAGTCCTGAATGACCCGTATCCCATCCCATATCCCATGGAGAATAGGCTCAAAGAAATAGTCACGTTTCGAGCATGTACTCAAAAAGCATAGCATATCGATGTTCCTTATCAACTTTGAATGGGCGGCGTCTCTGTCATGCGTGTAACAAAGCAGCCGAAAAAGGCACATGGCAGAGACCGTACACGGCACACTAGCACAGCCCTCCGCCATGCTCTATCCTCCATCATCTTCTTTCTGGCGAGTTTGACTAGTCGCGGTTACCCACATGTTTTCCGTCGCGTCAATATAATAATGACAATCATTCCTTTCTTCCGCCAGTTTTACCATCCATTTCTCTCCCTCAAACCTGTCGGCAAACACCTATTTGCACTCACACTCAGGCGCCCAATTGTAAAAATGCCCACGCACAAATGAGAAATCATGACAGTAAAGCATGATGACAATGATGAGGATGATTGATTTTTACGGAGGGCGTAGGCATGCATAACTAGTCTACGAACCTGAAAACATGCACGGAAAATACGAGAACCCGAACGTGTTGTCCTCGCACTTGACAATCACGGTCCTGACTTTTCCTTATCCGGACTCCTAAGGACTTTTGATTTCATCTCAAGTTCATTGAATCATTCGGGTCCGCGATCCGCACAACTTTCGCACTTAGTGCACTTCACGGTTTGTTGCGTTGCATCTTTCGTTCCATCCCACATCCACATCCGTTCCTGCTCTACTCTCGAACGAAAAGGGTTCAACTATCTTGCATTCTTCCCCGCAAAGAACCACACAACTTTCTTCCCGCTGGACAACCATCTCTATCCGCCATACGCCCATTGAGAATCTTCGCATTTTGAACGGCCATCCTGGAAGGTGCGCTATGAATAAAAATAGCATGGGGCGCGATTTGAGCGGTCTTACTCAAAGTGTTCGTTCCCAATATCAAATATCAAGCGAAAGTCGCGCTCGCCGTTGGTCCACCTCGGCATCCTGCGCGTTCTCTGCGTGCCGCATACAGGCACCCGACACAACTCGGCGGCACGTACATGCATACACTAATACATTCAATAATGTCATTGTTTTGAATGAACACAATCCACTCAGCGGTTTGACAGACAGAACGTCACATCTTGGGATTTTTGCTTCCGTCATTCCATTTCAGACGGGCTAGCCTCGTTGTACATCGGCATGTCGTGCGCCGCGGATTCTATCCAATCCAAAAAAGAACTATACAAATCCTAGTATTTGTATGTTTATGGCGGCAATCACCACGATGCCTGCTGGAAGCCTGCACGCACGTATCGATAGGCTTTTTGAACTTTCTTTCTTGCTTAGGGCTCTTAAATTGGAAATACGTCGGGCGTCTATCATGGACATTCTTCAACATGCCGACTCTGCCGAGTGGTGAGCAGAGATTTCCCTTGATTCATTACTCACCTGATACCTCCCCGCAATATCAATCACAGAGTCAACACCGCCGCATTCATTTGTAGACGTGAAGCTTGGATGTTCCATGAATACCCTCGCCCTGAAATAACTACACGTATGACGTTGGTGGTGTTCCATACGCTGTAAGTATATATATTTCTTCCCTTTGGCCAATAATACCAGCTTTCGGCCTTCAATCACATTGTTATTCAAAGTATGACTCCACTCGAACATATCGACATCTATTGTCTCCCTGATGGTCAATGTTGCTCGGTAACTTACTAAATGACCACAACCTCGGCACGCAGGAGTTATCCAGCATATTATTCTGAGTCTCCGTTCCTGTCGGCGGATCTCTCGGCTTGTTGGTCGCTGAGTTCCGTCCTTTCGCCATAACATGTTGAGACGAATCAAGCCGTTGATGTTTTTAACGCGGCACGGTTCCAACGAGGCGTAGGATATGAAAAGCATGCAAGAATCTGTGAAAGAGTATACAGGGACATAGTGTGACCCATAAAGTGCGCCGCTCGTCCCAACGAGATTGGATTTCAGATTCTACTAAATCTACACGCATACGTAGTAACCACGAGAGTAGAGAAAATTCAGCATTTGGCGAACAGAAAGGAAAGTATACGGCGCAACACGCCTACTTCTCGTCTCTACTTCCACCGTAGCTAAGTGCGTAACTTTTCTCACTTCCGCTAGAAACAAGCCGAAGTTTCATACCACACTCAAAGTTCACATCGGACTCTCTCAACAAACGGTTTTGTCTCTGGAAAAAGTATTCTACCCTAACATCATTCCATGAGCGTCTAGTTACATAGGGCCTTAACTTTGAATTTGTTGGCATTGTTGCACTCGTTCCGTACCTTTCGGGCCGTACAGTTCTAAGCTTAACAGCACTGCCTCCCGGGATAGATGGAAGCTAATCTCCCACGTTAGTATACTATGTCTCATGAGTATCGAGTGGATCGTCAGCTTTGAAAGTACAGGTAAGACATCTAACGGCTGGCAGTGTTAGACCTGATTTTCATCCGTACACGGCACAATGTCGATCATGGACACACGCATGCATGTGTACCTTATTTCTATAAAATATAATAAATCCGTGCTTCGTCGAAGGAGCGCAGATCCGGGAGAACCTCGTCCATTAATGCTACTCCACAAAGTCTGTTACTTTATTTCGCGCGGAGACAATATGTGGTACAGTAGTCATAAAATACTGAAGGAATCGTCTATGCAAACAACCAAACCGTTTCGTGAAGGAGAGAATCGTTAGAAGGGTATAAATAAATTGCACATAATTCAACGTGATGGATAAAGTACATATGCGTTAATACAAATTGCGAAAAGACTCAAAAAGGATAGAATCGGAACACGCCGGGGTGAGCTAAAAATAGAACGAATAGAGACAAAGTCAGCATCCAGATACATCGCAGGCCAGATAAGAGAATCACCTCATCCGCCTTTACCCAGCCCAGGAAGGCCTCGTTTCAGTTTATTTTGTCCATGGGCCTGCGGTGTCGGGCTCTTCGGCCGGGATGCCGAGCTCTGTTGTTGGGCGAACCCGAGCAGCGCACTCGGGCTCGTCACACGCTTAGGATTCAACGGCGACAAAATCCCGCCACGACCGCTCGATGGGTTTGTTGCAGGTGTTCCGGTCCGTGATTCGGCACCACTTACAAGTCCCGAAGGAGGCAAACCTTCGTTTCCAGTGGCACGGCGCCGCATGCCCGGTCGTGACGGCGGTGCCGAGGTGGAAGGACCGTTCATGCTCGGCTTGTCTGAACGTTCAAGGTAGGCCGATGACTCCTCGCCGCGCCGTAGCTTCTCGTGTCGGAGCTGCATAGATTTGAAGTGTGTTAGAAGTTCCTGCCATTTGATCTCCTCACTGCGTCCGAGTTTTGAGCGACCAGTATAGGAATTAGCGGATCTGATGACGAAACTGGATGAGACCACATAAAAGCAAAAAGGGCATTATGAACGCACGATTTTGGAGCAATATGCAGGAAACCAGCAGAATTAACCGCATTCAACCTGTTCCGCAATGATACGAATGCCGAACTCTGCGGGAGCAGCATCAATAAACCGTATAGGCATTTGAACAGATATGGATATTTCTCGGGTTCAAGGAGTTGTAGGCGAAGGTCTACTGGAGTATTAGGCCGAGCCATGGTGCACTGAGAAGTTATAACGTACAGGTGAATACTGGGGACTCAATCAGCTGTACTAGCTTGTCAACCTGCACTAAAAGTTGGACGGTTATCTCAAGGTCCGCGCTGCAAAGCCAGTTACTCGGAGTGAACTCTCGTTGCGAACTACATATACTCACAAGATCGATAAGAGGTTCGATGCATGTTCGTATGCTTGTGCCAAAAGACACAAAGCAAACACGGCAACGGCGTTGTGACACCACGATCGGTAAAGTGTGGTGAATAAAACTTGGCCGTCTTGCTGGAGATATAGAAATAATGATTAAAAGGTACTTTTTTGGACGCGGCGATACCCCGAGAGGAATACATACCCGTGTCTCGAGGCTCTTTAATCGCCGGCGGAACTCTGCAAGTTCGGGGGACGTTATCAGAATGACGTTGAGCTTTTGGACCATTATGCTAGCAAACTCCAAGTCCTATTCCCAGGTTAGTCCAATTATAACATACATGCTTTGTTTCCCCGTACCTCTTCCTTTTCCAAAATTTCCGCCAGAGTGCGGTAGATTCGTTCGGTGTTCAAATTCAGGCAGAGTTGCCGAATGATTAGGCTCCCACGATGATCAAGAAGCCGTCGATCCGTACTAAACAGTTCAAGTAAATTGACCATGAAGGACTTAAAATAGCCCTCTTCCGAACTCGATGAAATCTGGGCGAGCAGCTGCAAATCATGCTTGATCACCTCGTCCGAAGAGTCGGAGAGGGTCTTCAACAGCGCAGGGAATGTACCGTCGTCCATGGCTAGGATCTATCGTGTCCCATGAAACGTGTGAATATTTTCATGATCAGGTTGCATGATCAGGTTGATAGAGTATAACACACACCTTTCTGGGAACTTTCTGATGTAGCATGATTAACCACTTCAGTGCCGCAACCCGAGTCTCTTCATACTCGCTGAGGAACTGCAACGTGAGCTCGTTCACGGTCTTCTGATAATCGAGTGGATCCTGATCCGTCTGGACAGGAGATTGAGTGATTGCCTGGCCTTGTCCAAGTGCTGGAGCTGAAGGCGGCTGATTGGTGGCAGATGGAGCGGCACTTGCTACAGTCGATGTTGGAGACTGTGATCGACTGGATTGCACCTGAGAGGCTGAATTGGTCTCAATAGGAGATGCCTGAGGGAAAGCCTCTCCGGGTAAAGGTACAGTTGTTGCTCGTTGTCGCGCAGGAGCCTGAACTGTACGGTCAGAAGCAGGTGACGCCGTGACATCCGAAATCGTGGGCATCTCTGGACCCATCTGTTGTGGACGCGGAGGACCTGGAGACACTGGTCCGCCCTCGCCTGTAACAGGAGGAGAAGTCGTAGGTCCACTGGTACGACCGGATGAAATAGAGGCCTTATCCCTATCCGTGCTCCCATGTTCGTTCAACGGTTGAGAAGTCGGCAAGTTTTGTATGACGCTGGCGAGAGCCTGGTTTGTGCGAATAGCTTCCTTCTGAATCATAGGCACATGATGAGCAAGGTTGGGAAGAATCGCGGGTATGAGGCGAGGAGTAAACGGTAACATGACATCTTGTGCAAAATGCAGAAATTCTGCTAGCCAATAAAGTGCAGTAGACATTTGTATCTCATCATCTGAATTATTGTTAGAAAATAAATAATCATTGTGCTGATTAGGAAACTCACGGTCTTCATCAAGTTGCTGGAGTAGGATTTCCACGATTTCCGCGTGTTTGACTTTTACATTTTGACCTGGGTGATACGCTGATCTTGAATTCAGAGTCTATATGGCATCAACAGAGGTGAATAACGAACCTCCAGTATCCTTGATATTAATATCTGTTCCGTTCTCGCCTTCGTGGGTTTGTAATCCATCACCCTCGGGTAGAAAGGCCGCTCGCTCAGGATGTGTCATTGTGATATCGGGAAGCCTGTCATCAGCTCGGCGTCCGAGCTCGTAAGTTTCTGCTTCTCGCGGATGTCTAACCTTTTCTTCCGTCTTCTTCTTGACCTCTGCAATCTCCTTCATTTCGCGAAGGAACTCGGCCAGAAGATTCTCGGTGGCGACCCGAACGTCCTCAGTGGGATCGGAAAGATACTTGCTAGAAGAGCACTTCAACCATTTAAAGCGCTCGCGTAGGGAAGTTACGACTCACAATAGACCATCTAAGAACTCTGGTAGATAGGATATGAGCTCTAGTTCAGGCACCGAATCGAGCACCGTAATCCACGACACGAGGAAACTACGAGTGAACGGGCTCACTACGTATATTCGGTCGGAAAGAAGAGGGATAAAATTGGCGAGAGAGAAGGCCTTTTTTGGTGCTCCAAATTCAGTTCCATCCTCAGTGTAAGACACCAGTATGCCTGGGTTTTGTGCCTGGTCTGCCTGGTTTCGTGTCTTTCCTGTTTCCGCATATTGAGGTACGTAGACAGAGGCTGATTCTGCTACAATATCTTTTAAGAGACGATCTAGGAGCTCCGCGCCGTTCTTCACTGAGAGCTCCGAATCTGCTGCAAGCTAAATATAAAGTATGAGATCTGCCCAGAGTCACAGGAAGAATAAATAGACAGAACCTTGCTCAATGCGTCAAATATTGAGTTGAAGTACACCAGTATCTCTCCCTTCGATACCTTGGCGATATTGTAGAGGCATTCCGCAGAAAAGTAACGAATCCTATTCTCTGGGTCGGAAAAACAGTCCAATAGAGGGTTGATGAATTTGTCCATGTAAGGTGCAACATCGATGCCGAGAGCAATAGCAGCTCCAGCCAGACCAATCAATCCTCCGTTCTTGACGTGCAGCGGATTCGACGAGTTGCTGAACATCTCGACAAGCTGGTCAATAATCTGAATTATGCGGCGTTGGTCACCTTGAGCGTGGCACTCTCGAATTTGCCTAAGGTCTCGTCAAATTTAAACAGTGTAAGTAGTAGCTGGTAACGAACTTTTCAAGGTCGAGAGCGGCGGCTTTCCGCTTCTCGTACATCTTGTCGACGAGTTGACGAGAGATAGCCGGATCTGGTGTGTTAGTTGAGATGAGCTCATTACTGTAGGAGTAGCAGCTTTGTGTCGTACCCATGGCTGTTATATTTCACAAGCGACTTCCTGTTGGATTCGGCCCTTTCTGCGCGCGAAAGTGAGCACGCGAAGTTCATATGCGTCTGTGCTGAGGACACTGGACAGTGACGAAAGCGCGGTGGACAGGAGGTTAGCGTGTCACGTGCTATAATAGACCGTGTCGGGCACGAACGTGAGTCTTGAGATCCGGACCGCAATGCAGCGCTCAAGAACCATCATGATCTTACACATGGTGGTGACGCATACTGAATTCTATGGATCACGGCGACAACATTTGGGGTTTTGTCTTGGCTCGTCATGTCCTTTGTGCTCGTCAACTTGCTGGACTCGCAGACTTGCTTAGACTTGAAGTACTTTTCGTCAAGTGAAAAATCCAACGATGCACCGCGTGTCGAGCCACTGCTTGTAGGTACGACTTGATTCCTTCTCATCACGTTGCGGTCGTACTCACTGTACTCTCGAAGAGCATCTTGACAATGTTATTACGACCATACACGCTGCGTTCAAAGAAGACCCAATGTAGATATATTTGGCCGCCGTACGTATCCCCTACGATAGCGTTCTAAGAAATTACCGAGCTTCCCAAGGGAATCAAATCATCGCCATTGCATGGAACCGTCCGGGACAAAGTCACAAAAGCGATATTCAAGCGCTAGCTGAAGCGGAACCTTGCCTACACCATCCATGCGGGAGATTCGGTCATAATGTCGTATGTTCAATTTCAAAGATTATATTTCGACCGATTCAAATCAACCCCCAGAAAGCCTCCAGAAGGCGATATCTCCAAGCCGTCACCAGTTGATCGGGTGCTTGATTCCTTTGTCCGTATTGTCACAAAAATGTTTAACAGCATTTACCCGGAACAAGCAAAGGTTGAGTAGCAAGTGCGAATAAGCCACTACTTATGCATTGATGGCGATTCGTTCTACTTCAGAGGCTAAAAGAATTTGAAAAGAAGGCCAGTGAACTAACTGAAGTCAAATTAGGGCCTGAAGCAAAGAAGATGTTCTGTGTTACCCTTCTCGCAACGAAGCCAGTACAGCAGGGCAAAAAAGGGTTTCGGATCGGCTTTGCTCAATACCATATTATTCTCTGTAGGGCGATGTTACCTCTCTTAATGCTATATACTAACATATTTTCTCGAAAGGCTGACATACGAGGCCGTTCGGTTTATTTGTTTTCGAGCAATCTTGCCAACGTCGCGTATTACGAATCATTCGGATTTGTACGAACAGCGGACGTGTCGTTGGGAGATGATAATCCAAAATGGAATGGTCCCCCAGTTATTGTCCCTTTGGTATGTGTTCCATCAGATAGTAATTATACTATTTCTGAACTGTCCCAGATGGTTCGCGAAGCGCGGAAGAATACTTAAACTTCGACAGTCTACAGGTCGGACCAGCTTTTGAATGAATTAATTATTCCATATGTCCGCGTCTCCCCATTCTGCATCAAATCATGGCACCCGTGCACTCTGTACCCGCCTGAATTTTTATTCCAGGTTCTCTTTTCACTTGCGGAGTGCACTCTAGCTCTCCGATCAAGATCATAAGGAACACAAACTGTCACTTCTTGACGTTGACGGCATTCTTGGCGCGTATAAAATGATCCAGCGTCAGAGTTTCTCGAACGCTCGCGCACTGCGGGCATGGTCAACCCAATTCACTCTGCTTGCTGCGATCTGGGAATAAAATGATCTGTCCTCAGTCTTGTCTGAGCCGACTGCCCTCTATAGTAGTCTATGCCTTTTCTGTCTACTCAAGGATCACGTGCCAATACTTGTGCCGCAGTTGCGCTCGAAATTAGTTTGATCTGCATACTTTTTCTTTGCTGCGCTCTCACCTCTATAAAGAGTGAGGACTTTTTTTACGCGTTTCCTGATCTTTTAGCAATCATGATCGCTCTTTCTCCCAACAAAAGCGACTCAGAGTCGCTCTCGGACTATGCTCTTGAGAAGGCTTGCAATACGCCACGAGTTGAGCTGTTACAACCTGGTACGGTCTCTTCCCTAGTTGTATATTCCTGGATCGTTGGTTTAATTTTATTCGTTAGAGCATCTTGATAAGCTTTTCGAGTCTCTTGAAGCTGCATTCAAAGAGGATCCAGTTGCACTGTACATCAAGGCTGTGCGTCTAATTTTCGGTAATTCTTTACTTACACTCAATGAATGCTATGCAGGGGAAGGAGCGTACACCAAACGAAGAGGCCTTTTATAAAAAAGTTTGGAAATTCCTGCATCGCCGCGCCATCAAGCGCAAAATGGCATATACTATAAATGCTGGCGACGCGGCTGTCATTGCGTATGTTGATCTGAGAATCTCAATCATTTTTATGCTTATTTATATTTAGGACACCTCCCGAGGGCGATGTGTCGAAGCCATCGCCTATTGAGCACACGATTGACTTTATAATTGGTGGCATCGTGAAACTGTTCCTATGGGCGAACAGCCATCAGGAGCAAGTTAAGGTTCGCCACAAAAAAATTTTGGTCATATCTCATAGCTTCGCTTACTAGTACTTTCTTAGAGAGTGATCGAGCTGCAAACCAAAATGAAGAAACTCGTAGAGGAAAAACTAGGAGACAAGACGAAATCAATGTATTATGTTGACTTACTTGCGACGAGGCCTGAACTACAAGGTCATGGCTACGGAACAGCCCTTCTAACCGCAGTCCTTTTTGCAGTGAGTACCTGTGCATGCGTATTGCGGTTCTCTGATAAAGCTCGTATTGTATTTGTTCCAGGCTGACTTGCGTGGTCGATCGGTTTATTTATTGGCAAGCAATACTACTAACGTCCCGTTCTACGAGTCCTTCGGATTCGCCACGATTGGCGAAGTTACACTGGGTGAGAGCAATCCCAAGTGGGACAAGCCACCTGTCATTGCTCCATTGGTAAGTTTTACTAATAGTATATAAATCTGATACACTCAACTACCTTGTCAGATGGTTCGCAAGGAAAGGGGGAAGAATTGATAAAGTGTATCTCTTGTCTGAGTATCTTCGTGAATGCAATTCGTCACCGTCTCCATCTCATGACCACAATTCGGGGGTTTACACACTGCGCCGCAGCCGCCTTCCATGTGCGACTTACTACGGTCCTGAAGACATTAGACTCATCACTGTGTGATGGCGCCTTGGAAAGACCCCTCATCTTCGGTGGCTTCCGTGCAAACGGGAAAATATAATGCGCTGAGTTCTCCATAGTCAAAAGGATCCGATTTCGGATGTCGAGTAATGCACATTGTCGTAACTCTTTGATACTCAACTCAATCCCGACCGGAGAACTGCTAAGCACGGAGGTGTATTGCCCGGTTGTACCAAGTGCGAGAACGTAAGAGCGAAATCCAAGGACTTCTCAAGCCATCCTAGATATTTTCCTGGACGAATCAAAGCAAAGAAATGGAAGAAAATCCATTTCTCATTCCTGGAACGATAACGAATTGACAGAAGCTCAAGGGCCTTGTTACACGTAACAAAAAGACAACGTAAACTTATTGATGTTTCAACTATGCTCCACAGCCGTTATCAAGTGGATAGCTTCACTTTCTCCATTCCCTCGGGGAATACATAACCTCCCTGACGACGCACTTCGTCGAAAATCGCAAGCTCAAGCAATGTGTCTGCATGAGGCATGCGAGCATTCTCGATCTTACCATCTAAATAAGTTATTTCGTCATAAAGAAAAACGTTAGTTTGTATCCTGTGGACTAGAGAATCCCGATTTCGTCGGGGCCTCACCTCGAATATCACGGGCAACAGCATCCGCTTCCCAGTTGAGCCCCATACCTTGGATCGGAATCACCTTGATTTCTTCTGTGTATTCTTGTGGGCCACGACCGACTTTTGATCGGCGAATTGTGAAACGGTCAGGACGAGCCGTTGCCCACGGTAAGAGGATCTCTCTGTATGGTTTCATTCATTAGCCAAATCAGATTCCAGTCGTATCACCGGATAGGTTCATAGAGAAAGAGTACGAACCCTTTAGTTCCCTGTATGCGCGTGACAACATCGAGTGGACTATTCACATTGATACTCGTACTGAGAACTGCCCGTGCTCCTGTCTTCCCAATACGCGGGAAATCGAGAGTCCAGTTCGTGTGAAGGTCTACACCTGTTTTATATTTCTCCATTGATGCTTTGATATTTGTAGGTGGGGTGCGTCCATTCTGCGGATGGTTGTAAAGTAACAAAAGGGCCCTAAAACCAAATGGCAGATCTAGTCAGTAGTCTACCTTGACAGTACTATCTGTGATCAGACTGACCAGACGAGAGGATATGGACCAAGGTCGAGAAGTCCGCCACCGGCGAGATTAATATTTAACATTCGATGACTTTCATTATCAAGTACTACGAAGGATTGATTTCTGTTAGTGCATGTGATCCAATCCTCAACCCAATAAAGTACTTACCATCGATGAAATCAATACTGAAATCAGACTGAAGACGCCTAATCTCACCAATCGCTTCTTGCTTGAAGAGTACGTCCTCAAGAGCAAATGTCAGTGGGAAGAAGCGTGTCCAAACGGCTTCCATAAGGAACAAGTTCTTTGACTTTGCTAGTTTGGATAATACTTCGAACTCGGCTTGATTCAGAGTGGCAGGCTGCAAAAATCATGTATCAGGGGAATTGTGCATGGCTTCCAGGTATGAAGGCGTGACTACGTAGTGAATTTATACTAACCTTCTCGAGAAGAACATGCTTTCCGGCATCCAATGCATTTTTTGCATCTTCAAACTAGACTATAACTTGAATTTCTTGTTAAGATCCATGAGAAGAGTGAACTTACATGACAGGAATGCGGGGTTCCGACGTATATGATATCGACATTCTATAATCCGTATAAACTCATTCAATAGCGTACTCCTTGATACCCAATCTAGAATACTAACCGGATCAGAATATACCTCAGCATATGACCCACGAGCAACAGATTTAGTCGAAGTCAAACCAGCTTTCTGTGCAAACCCGCCCTCAGGACAATACTTTTGAATGAACTCCTGTGCCTTATCCAGGGAGCGCGAGCCGACAGCAGCAACAGCATGAGCAACGTCCGTAGTACCCCGACCCTCGGGATGGAGGACAAGATCCTCCACAAAGCGAGACGAGATCCCGCCTGCGCCTATTATCCCCCAGTGCAGTACGAAAGGCTTTGCAGCAGACATGATGACAGTAGACGATAAAGACTACTAAAGCGTACGAGGTCGCAGTCAACTTAGGACATAGTCATGAGCACTGCGCTACCGGGCCGGAAGCTGCTATTCTTCGCCATAGGTGAAGTCATTAACGGTGACGAAGTTACGGTACAGAGCAGAGGAAGTAGTTGTGAACACGTGGGCAACAGCGGTAATATGGAATAACAAAATAATTGACTACGCGGTCTCTACGCGAAAATATGTACTATCTAATCTCAATTAACGATTCATACAGACATTATCGTTGAATAAAAGTAGGGTCGCCTGGGACGTGTCGAGAAGAAACTACTGTATGATATAATTTAATGGGAAAGAAGACTGTGGAATGATAACCGGCCCATGATGGCGCGTGCAACGCGCGGATGAATATTACGGAGACGGAACCCGATTCAATCGAGAGTGTTATGATATACGCAAGTGGAGCGTGAAGACGTAGAAATAGTAGCGAAACATCGATAACGCGTTGGTCTAGACAGCATCATCAGTTGGAAAACAGGTAGAGATAAAGAATTGTGACTAACGAGCTGGCAATTCAGATGCTTCGTCCTTTTGTAATTCCGAACGGACAATTCGAAGCGTGAGCGTTTCTATAGCCACAATGACAGCACTGCGCCGAACTACTGTCCGACATCTGAGGTTCAGTGCCTTGTGCAAAGCACATCGGAGACGATGGAGTGCATGACGTCATCATGAGGTGGAAGCTGACGTTGAGTACAAGAGATGATTGAGAGGGGGGGGGGTATCCCGAAGAGTAAGAAGGATAACTAGTTGGGGGTTTGAAGAGTAGTTGAGATGGTTGTTGGTGCTGTGGAGAAGCAAGTGCAAGTCTCCTTCCTCTTATATGGCGACAAGACAAAGAGGGACAAGAGGGACGTCAGCTACCCGTCGCCCTTGCCAGGCCAAAAAAGGTTCCACAGCCGATAAAAGAGGCACCGCCAGTTCTCTAGCGAAGCATCCGAAGTTCCGAGCACCCGCAAGCAGTCGCCTGTTAGAAGTCAACAGTCAGTCATAACTTGCATCACCTTTCTACCCAATGACGGCAAGAGGCGCCGCGCAAAACAAAGGGGAATGAATTTAGAAACGCGGCGAACGGGGAGACTAGAGAAGCTTGTTTTGATTCCGCGAGGCCAGAAGATGAGTAGGACTCGGACTGTGGAACTGAGATCAGTTTAATTCCGCACAAAGGCTGTTACTCGTATTCGTGGCGTAACACAGACACAGAGATCTAATTCAGTAGCTCTGAAAGCATCCACTCAGACATAGCCAGATAAGTTAAATCGGGGCATAGAGGCGAAGCACAACATCAGAAGAAACGTCCCGAATCAAGAGGAGAAACAAACGCTTCGGCGCGTCATGGCCATGAATCCAATAAGCGGTGACTCACGATCACGGGCTTTGGGCCACGCACTGAACACATGTATTACGCGTTGCTTCCACACCATTTGATTATTGAATTGCAATGCAGACCGTCTTGATTCTACGCTGCATTTTTTTGTTGTGCGTTCCCCGCACTCAATCCTGGGGGCTAGTTGCACTGCTTCTCGCCGTTCAACAATTATCGCCGAGGTTAAAAAAATGGAGCGCTCCCAACAGAAAATTTTCGTTGATCTGCTTAGTGACACTAATATCCTAATTGTTTCAAGGACCCAATTTTATACGGGGAATAGTTCGTCAAAGAGAAGCGCCCTTGGCGCACGGGAGAAGGGGTGCACTAGCAACGCAACTAAGGTTATTTTTACCCAAATTAATGAATTGAAATGAATCGGAAGTGTCTAAATGCTTCTCTGTAATTCAGCTGGTTCTCGGTGACCTATCTCATTTCCACTCATTGCACGACGTGCACAGCATTCCATTTCAAAAGTACTATCATTCAGATGGTAGGCCATTAATCACCAATCATGAAAGTTTATTATTCGTCGAAACAAATATGTACTGTTAAAGACTTGTTCATAAATAATCAATTAGATGTGGATACCCTCAATTTAATCGGTATTATTCCTCAGAAATATGAAACTTACAAACAAAGCTCTTTACGCATACGTTTCATTCGTCACCCCAAGCAATCAGCAAAGCTACAATATCTTTGACGTACAAAAGTTGATTAGATCAGTATTCCAGTGCACCTTCCAAGATGCCAGTAAGCGCTTCTTTCCCATCTTCTCCGACGACATCGCCGATGCCAGGTGCAAGATCAAGGACTCGGCGCTGCGGCAGCGTGCCCTGCACGAGTCGAGGAACATCAGCCTTTGAGTATCCAACCGCCTTGAGACCCCGCGGCACACCGAGAGAATCAAGGAAGCCGGCGATTGCATCGTACAGGTGTGCACCAACATCTGTATCAGGGATGCGGCTAACAGATGGGTCGTCGGGTGAGGTGTTGAGGAAGACGGCAAGAGCCTCTCGGTGCCTGTCTGGCGAAGATGGCGCAGTGAAACGGAAAACTGGAAGGAATGCCATGTAAGTACTAGACGACTTGCTATTTGTTAGATGAGTCCTCCTACCTGATGGTCCCGTGAGAGCGACACTGATTCCATGCGGGATAATCGGATGGTCAACAAGGTATCCAGGATGCTTGTATTTCGGCCCAGCCTTATTCAAGCCAGAAATCTAAAAGCGGAGTGATTCACAGATAGCGTGCAGTGCAAGGCGCCGCCCTTACTGGATAGCTCATGCCGTGACAAAGATGGACGCCGGCGTTTCCAAAACCTATACCCGCGAAGGCTGCTGCCAGGCTTAGGAACCAATAAGAAGTAAGCTATGGTGAGAGAGATAAGCAGCTTGATGGACTTACAGCATTTGCTGCTTCGCTTCTCTGTCAGTCGGATCCTTCGCGACGCGCGGGAGATTTTTGACCGTTTGTTTCAGAGCCCAGACGGAGAAAATGTCTGCAACGGGATTGCTGCCTTGATAGGCGGGTCGATTGATGGGGTTTGAAGGACGAGGCGTGCGCTCATAGTATCTGAATAAGGGTCTAAGTAAGAAGCACACGAATATATCCTAAGAACAATAAAATTTACGGAATAGCAGTGTAACTTTCAAGGCTGTGGAAGAGCGTATCGAGACCGCTAGAGATGTGTACTTCCGGTAAAAAGATTTTATTAGCAAGCCTAGTCGGCCCCACATCCCCTTTCACGGCTTACCTTCTCTCGGACATGAGTCGGTGTTACGAGTATCAACAATGCCGAGCATTGGTTTGAGTGCACGCGACGCTATACCCGTCTTGAAGGACTTCGACGTAATGTCTAGGATCGCGGTCCCAGTCGTTTCGGAGCCAGTACCAGCAGTCGTTGGAACTTGTAGGCGATATCAGAATGGTTTTGTTTCAGTAAGGTTAAGTACTGAATCACCTGCTATTAACGGCCTAAGCTTTTCCGTGATTGGAAGACCTTTGCCAATTGGCGCATTAATGAAATCCATTAAATCAGCCTCCTTATAAACAGTGAACCTAAGTAATATAAGTCTAGTCACCGGCTATGATGACCAGTTCCGAAGGTAACTTACAAGTTCGCCGCTTTTGCCGTGTCCATGACGCTCCCGCCTCCAACGCTAGAGTGGATGTCAGCTAGCTCGGCTATTTGCTTGCATCGCGCAGCTCACGCGAGGAAGTGACTGAAATCATGAGAGCGAGCCCAAGTGATGGCAGCACGCCAGCTCTCTTCGGTTGGTTCAGCGACAACTTTGTCATAAACTTCAAAAACCAGTCCAGGTTGACTTTCTAGGGATTCAAGTGCCTGCAGATAAGCATGAGCTGTTTGCATCCATGCTCCATTAATTAAGTGTACCATTCGCATAGGCGGTAACTTTGCGACATTTGGATCCGTGAAGACTCCAACCTAGAAGAGATAAGTAAACTGGACTGCCCTTACAGTATTCACCGAACCTTTCGGGGATTCATATTCTTGAGATCCATTCCAACCTCCAAGGTGACACCCTCTCCAAACCGTAGGTTTGAAGCTGCGACCTAAGATCTCGGGTCAAAAATTTCACATACACCACCAGCTCTCGGCTTACTTCGAAAGCATACTCTTTCTGCACGACATCAACAGGAGTGGCTAGTTTACGCAATTGGTTCACGACCGCCGTGTGGCCAGATGCGGCCATTGAGCGACAGCCATGGCAGGGACAAGCGGTGTGCTGGGAAGCATTTATGAGACGGTGGATGAGGCTACGCCTGGCAGTGACCGACATGTTAACGGCTGAAATACAAGACGACCCACGAGTTCCGGGATATTATTTGGTTATTTGTCATGCATACATATAATTATGTGTTTGTGTGAAATAATAGAAGCGTTCATGTGGGGACGCTCACGGGGCCAGAATAACCGAGATGCCGGTCTGGATTCAGTTTCAAGCGGGATCGGCGCCCGGATAAGCACCCGTTTTAGGCAGTTGCTATCAGCTTCGCGCAGGCCAGCGGCATCCTCTTCACAGAACCGCTAGCTAGCGGGTTCTTGTCGCCTAACGCCATCGTCCCCCCCCACGCTCTTTTTTCTCCCCGATTTTCCCTTCATTTTCGTCGCGGTCGCGCACCCTTGTTTCGCCCGACCGTTGCAAATGAAGTCCAACTCGTTGTCGATCCTTTTGATTTGCGCGCTCTCCTCGGCCGCGCTTCGCATCCCATTTCGGCAGTCGAAAACAGCCGTACAGCGCAGAAGCTTTGGGACACCCACCAAGGCTACCGTCAATGCTGCCAATGATGGGGATGGTGACACCGACATCAGGTATGCAGGCATCGTGATAAGTGTTTGATCAGACGTTTATTTGCTTATTTTCTTATTAGCACGGTTGATGGATTAATGTTATACATGGCAAATGTGGGTTCATGCCCTACAAAGTACTATCATTACAGTTGATCAATATTCTTGTCCGTAGATGACTGTTGCTGGCACGGGTGCGTTTAGATGGAGCAGAAATTCTCGCATATAATTTATTCGTTGTTTTCAAGAGTACCTTGTTCAGCTCGACACAGGATCATCCGATCTGTGGGTAAAGGATGCATCCTTTCCTATGTCAAATGCGTCGCAAACCGTAAGTGCTATCATTTCGATCCGAACTCACTGTAGTTGACCAGAATCTCATTTCCAGTCTCTGCAACTAAACTTGACTGTGAGTATTATCTGAGCACAACAATCCTATATGATATTCTTACCCTGAATAGTATGGAATTGGCTGGGCATTCGGTAACATTACCACAGCAGAAGTAGAATTTGCTGGGTAAGAAGAAATTCTATAATTGATATTATTGCTTGTATGCTTATCTATTTTATAGTGTCACGTTCCCTAAGCAAGCTTTCCTTGACGTTTCCTCTGCCAATAATCCCGCCTTATCTTACGGTGCCGAAGGAGTTCTTGGTCTCGGATTCACTTCACTCTCCAACATCGACAGCAAGGTGAATGCTAGCGGCGGGGATTGGGGTCGTAGTCTTCTTTATAACGCATTCCTTGACAAACCCGAGGAGAAAAACTATATCACTTTCGCCTTGCAGCGAAGCACGACGAACTCGAACTCAAATGACGATGTAGAGGGAGCCTTTACGATCGGTTAGTGTTATTCACGTTTAGCATGAATATTTCCTTATCCCTTGACTCGACTTATTGCGCAGGTGAATTGGACCCTAAGTACACCGCAATTGAAAACTCAAATGCCTTGTCGACCTGGCCTGTCGTACATCCGAGCCGATGGACGATCCTCCTTGACACTGTCCTTGTGGGAACAAACACCGTTTCTGTTTCGAGTAATGTGTCTGGTGCTCCATCAGGCAAAGCTGTCGTCTTATTGGATAGTGGAACCTCGTACTCGTGAGTCTGTCTACCACGTCACCCGGGATTCGCATTCTGATTGATGCGGAATAGGTATTGTCCGACCGACATCGCCGAAGCCATCTATGGAGGTGTGAATGGTGCAAAGTACGATCCAACCCAAGGCATGTGGACTGTACCATGTGATGCAGAAATCGACATGGCTCTGCAGTTCGGGTTTGTTTAATGCATTGCTTCCGTCGATCTCAACTGATTACTGATCGTGCATCTAACAGCGGCAATGTCTTCCCATTGCATCCCCTTGATGTTGTAGTTCCGAGCTCACCTTCATCGAAGGACTGCATCGGCTCCTTTATTCCTCAGGAACTCGCTATTGGGAGCGGTCAATTGTAAGTAGACTATCTTCTTCAGTTTTTATTGTGAACAACACCTCATGACTCTTATCCATTAGCGATTGGATCCTAGGGGACAACTTCCTTCGTTCTGTTTATACGATGTATGACCTTGGTGACTTTGACTCAAACGGTAACATGGGAAATCCGTACATCAAGCTTCTAAACCTCACCGACCCGAACGAGGCTTCATCCGAATTTGTGGGAGTCCGAGGAGGCACCGCACGCACGAATATCACGTACAACGCCGCAGATGGTGGTTCTTCATCTGGCTCAACGAGCATCTCCATTGCAGGGACAACTGCTGACAAACTCAACAAGCTAGTAGACTATATCCCAGCTGTGCTCGCTATTCTAGCTCTCAACGCGCTTGCGTTACTCATTATTTCGGCTGTCGGACTCATCTTCCTCTGCCGTCGCCGCCGTCGTAGGAACTCCAGAAAGGAACGAGGATTGCATGCACTCGACGTACGAGCACCGACGCCCTTCCCAGGATCAGCAGCGGCAAGTGGTTCAGGCTCGAGTGATGGGCACAAGTACGAGCGTGTTTCCAGTCACATGCCTGTTGGAGAGCAAGAGCCAGAGGACATGCCATTTACGCCGCCCGAACCTGCGTTCCATTCTTACGAAGGTGACACGCTCCGCCCGCTTCCTCCAGGTGCGCGTCCAAGATCGACCTTTGGAGGGTCCGGTTTACCACGAGACTACCGAGTCAGCGCGGCTGGTTCGGACGTCACTGCGTTTGTCCCACCTGAGCCTCCGTTTAAAATGGGAGACAGACCCAAGTCGATCGCCTAGATGACTGTTCCCATTCTGTCGTTTTCAATGTTCTATACGTGTTCCTCCTATCTCACCTGCTCCCCTTACGGTCGGACTTTGCGATGCGAAAGATATAATTCCCCGGAATTCCCCACCTCTCCATCTTTTCCTCTGCCTCCCCTCTCTATGTGAACGCCTTGTAATTCTTCATGAGCTCTTGTACCTAGCGTACTTGCACTTTTGGAATAGCCTCGGACCTCGCTTTACTTGATGTACATGCATTCCATTCCTTTTATTTTGCCTTCGTTTTCTTTCTTGTTCACCTATTTTTGGGAACGGGGCTCGTTTGTTTCGACCTTTACATACGGACGGTCTTTTGGTACCTGCATAGTACTACATTGTGCGTTGCATGTCATTTTATTATGTATGGTCTCTAAATATACGTATGCCATGTCATGCGTTTGTCAAACGAAAAATGTGTGTCCGGCAATATGTAGATATGCAAAATTACGAAGAACTGCGAGAAGCTAACTCAAAATCTATAGCCTGTTGGAGCTTGCTGATATATTTCTGGCTCCCTAACCCGTCTTCCTCACTTTCTGGTCTCTCGACCATAACGCGTTTAGATAACGCCTCTCGGCTTTCCTGTTTCAAGTACTTCCATTTCTTCTCGTCTCCAGGCTGGTCCGAAGAAGCAGCAGCGTCTAGGAGCTTCAGTATCGTCTTCGCCAGCTCAATCTTATAGAAGTTGTAATGAGTCACGAACGCTCCAGGTCCAATGCCGTAAATGTACATCATCCGTAATGCCTGTCGCATCTTGGCTTTGTCTTTGGTTGATAGTGCTATTCGTGTCAAGTAGGAGAACGCGGCAATATCCACCATTCTGCCGCTCCCAGGTATAAAGGGTTTTTCTGATTCCTTGGCAATCGGTCCGTCGTCCAGGAAATCTTCTGCTCGGAGATCCGTCGCTAATGAGAAGATCTGAGTGGCACTTTCCCAGTCTCCACATCGCCAGCATACGGCAAGTGCAAGTTTTACCGTTTCAGGTTGAAGTGTGGTATCTTCGTCCCACTCGTTGGTTCGAGTAGGAGGCTTCACGGCTTTCAATGCCGTTGTTTGCTTTAGGAAGCGAACAGCGTCGACTGCATGTGCAGCTTCATCAGTAGAGCCAACGCTGGCTAGTTGGGCGAGTGCAATAAGCTGCTCGTTTACATGACGAGTGCCAATCGTGAGGTCTGAAGAGAATTTACTATTTCTCTCAATCTGCTTCGTGGCCATGACCTCTTTGAAGAAATAAGCGCAAAGACGGAATTTCTTCGCCTTGTTGCACAATTCCAGGATGGCGTGCAGACAGTTAGAGTTCATAGTGACGCGCGGAGTTGGAGTGGGTTCCCCTGGAGCTGCTAACCCAAAGTAATCGCGAACCACCTTCAAGCCGAATTGTTGGTCGACAGGTCGTCCAGCTGCCATTAGCTTAATGAAGGGTCGTAACAGGTGTGCATCTATTTCCATCCCTCCCTCCACATCCTTCTCGAGCACACGCCAGAGAAACTTCGCGTCTGAAGCGTTCTGTTCTTGAAGCGTCAGATTACCGAGTTTATCCGTCTCCTTTCTCCACAATAACGCGTTGAAGAGCACGGTATATAATGCCTTGTCTCGTGGCAATGTTCCATCCTCTTTGTAGAAGAGGTCAAACATCTTCTGGTAGTTGCCGGACCTTCCGAGTACCTGAAAGTAGGTAGTACGCGCCGAGGTCTTCTGGGCTTCGCCTGTTTGCACCAACTTTTCAAATGCATTGTATAACTTATGACAGCGCTCAAGGTTCTCCTGATTATTGGGCCACTCTTTGGATTCAATTTGTGCCATTCCATGCAGCATTGTCGAGTACGTCGCCGCGTCCGGCTGGAATCCGCGGCGTTTCATCTGAGACGGAAAGGAAATAATTGAGCAAAGCTAGAGGAAAGATATGATTGTGACACACCTCCGTATATATGTCATACGCGCGTTTCCTTTTCCCTAGCCTCATCATCACACTAATGAGCGTGTTCCAAGTAATAGTATTGACGGTCGCTCGAGGAGAACTGATTAAATAGGAGACAGCCTCTTCCACGTTGCCCTTTTCTGCAAGCTCCTTAACACGCGCAGATTGGACTGCAGGTCGAAGTTTCTTTTGAAGAGCTACTTCTCCTTTAAACGGCCATTTCGTCTTCAGCTCTCCCTTCTTCCGAACACGTTTGACATCTGATTGCTTTGGTATCATTAACCTTGGATCCTTAAAGAATTGTCGAAACTCCTTCTTCATTAAAGGTCTTTTTATCCTGAAGAAGTCTTGAAACTCCTCCTCTGTCATAGGCTCGCGCAGCGTAGTAGACCTGTTCGTCTCCTTTTCCACCGCTTCAAATAATTTATCCCATGGTACGCGTTTCGGTTCGGGATCGCGACTGGCACCTGTAACGCTGGACGAATCGTGCAAGAGCCTAGAAGATGTATGGATGTATACTGCATTTTGCACGTTGTGAGATAAGGCTCGCGTCCCTGTCCTCGCTGTCCTGAGCATGGCGGAGAAATGAGATAAAATGGGTGTGCCACTTGAAGATGCTGCTACAGGTGGACTAGGTGCGTACGTAAGAGATCGACGCAATTGCCTACTCTAATATTTGAATCAAATATAATATGACACTGGCCATCTTATACTCCAGAGTATTGAATGCGATAAGGAGAGCAGGTGTATAATCTGAATGGTACGTTATACCCCGAAAAAAAATCGGCTGTGTCGAATTTAAACACAGCTAATTTTTATCGACGTTTCCGACCAATAAACTCGTTCGTTTAACCCAGACTTGTCTCCTCGGGCCCCAATATGATGTACAACGGTATTTGGAATAAATTTATTTATTTGAAATGGTCCTACAATGCGATATATAGAAAAGAAAGCCGTATTCATGAGACAAGGATTAAATGATCTATCAACTTCAAGTGACTTGACGGCTGCGCCGCCGAATCTTATGAACGGTACTTGAACGCTCCAACCCTCTCTTTACTCTCATCCCTCTCACCGTCGAGACAATGTCCGCTAAAAACGAAGGTCATGTCAACTCTATCGACATAGAAACAAAACTGTACTCACTTGCTAATCGAGCGCTTTCAGCCTCAAAGTCATAGCGCTTATCCCCGCCGTCACGACGGAAGATAATCTTGAAAGTCGCCGATCCCTTTCCGGACTGACTACAGTTCACCACGGATTTAATGTGATATGAGACAGTTTTGCCACTATCGAAAACGCCGCGGGCCTTGTTTGCAGAAGGCATGATCTAATCTCGTGTGTCAGTATCACGTCGTTCCCGAAACCAATGACTTAGATTTACATGGATATAATCTCCATCAATGGCAAGTGTTCGCTCCATTCGAGCGACCAGCATAGGCACTTTCCTAAATACAGTATAACGCTGTACAAAATATCAGCATTCCGCTCCCAGTCTTGATGCTGCACACATACTTTGTAAACGTCGAAGGCAGGGTCTACACCCTTCCCTTTTGGCTGAGTTTCCGATACGCCTTTGAAAATTGAGGCTAGGTGATGTTTGAGCACTTAGTTCGTCAACTGCAATAGGCAAGATTGCTTTCTTACCATTAGGGTCAATAGACCTCGTAGTTCGCTTGTCCCCGTCGATAGCGAAGCCATGTTCAGGCAAATGGACGCGCTGGATGAGCACGAGATGTGAGTTGCCCTCGAGTGACGCGACCGTGCGATCCAACGGCACAAGAATCTTTCGATCGTCCGAAAGAAGCGCCCATTCCTTCGGGTTCTCGATTCTGCGTTTACGACAAATATGTTCAAGGACCTCTTGCATGTACATAGTTGAGTAACTAAGTCGGCAAATATGATTTGTAAGATTGAGCTGTCTTCGCTAGTAACATTAAGGAACGTACACAGAAATGGTCGTCATATAATGCGTCGCCTTTTCGTCAGCGTTCGCCATGCGGATTCGAAGTAGCACTTGGGAGCCATGGCTCGAGGAAATATTGAGAGAGGTCCCTAACATCCCTACAGATGTGCCGAGAGCTGAAGCAGGCGTAGTGCTGACACTTGGCCCAAGCAATGGGGGAGCAGGCGGTGCAAGCCCTGCGGACGGGGTCTTCGAAACAATGATACGCGAAGGGCGGCGTACAATCTTTGCTTCCAATTGTGCATTTTGTGCAGCTACAACCATCATTTCTATTAGAGCACACTCGCAAGCATGAGTACAATAAAACTACCTTGGCCTTGGTTTGCTTCCAAAATAGCGTATGCATCGAAGTTGAACTTGGAAATCTTTCCCATTCTATCCGGAGCTGCAAGGACACACGTCAGTTATGGTAACACACCAGCAACAAATCACGGACCGGGAAAATCTTCATCGACTTCTCCGTCATCTTCCGCAATACGTAAAATCCAACCAACCGCACTCAGTCTTTCTTTCTTTCTTTCGTCTGACAGTCCCTCGTCGAGCTTTGGCAGCCAGCCTTCTTCCCAGTAGCTCCATAACGAAAACCCAATGACCTCTTCGATCGTTGCATCTTTACGGACAGTCAATTTCAGAGGTTTGTTTGCAGGTTTCGTCGCATGTGGGAAGAACACGGTAACCTCCATAGACGCAACCTCAGCACGGCCCGAGATTAATGCATACAACTCTGTGAACGGATTCGAGGATGTGTCTGATGCTGCCAGTTTCGCTGTGAGACCGGATGATACGGAACGAGCAGGAGGGACCTTCCGCCGCGTGAATACCAACTCCTCTGAAGAAGGAATTGCAGATTTGTCCGAAGATAGCCTCTTGTTAGAGCTCATTTCTTCGTTCGCCCGCTTTAGATGGCCTGACAAGCGCACAGCAGGTGCAGGGGGTTTGACTATTTCGAAATAATCATCAATATGCGAACCTGCATCTCGTCGTGTTGTTGCTTCAGATGCCGTCCCATCTACACTACTATCTGGTGCATTAGAGGGCCCTGAAGAATATTCGTACGGACGGGTTTCGCTAACAGGACTGAGTTTGCCCTTTCCTCGAGCACTTCCTCCAATTTGGAGCGAGTTATAAGCCGACGAGATTGAGGTGGACAACGCTGAATTGGAGGCCGAGTTGAGAAACTCAGAGCTATCTGAATTCAAGGCAATGCGTGGCGGAGCAAAATCACTAAAGGCGATTTGATAAGCTTGACTGGCTGAACATAGGTGCTCGTACACTTACGGATCAAAGCCATCGTTCTCAGCATCTAGACTTCCTTCGACCTCAACAACGTAGTCATCATCATCAGTCAAGCTTCCCGAACTGTTCCCTGCTTCCTCATCTGATGAAGACTCCTCGGGATTCAGCTTTGTTTCCGAAATGATAATTGGTCGGTTCCCATTGTCTCTCCCGGATGAAAAGTGCGCCCTTCTCCGTTGGCGTCTAGCTTGGACCGCGGCGATATGAGGCATACCCTGCAAAGCTGCGGGAAGGTTGGTCACGGATCCGGGCTCTGCCTTGTTTTCGAGTTCAGCCTTGTCAATCAAGGTTGAAGGCATCTCTTGAAGAGAGGTTCCTCCCGCGCTTCGGCGCTTGCTAACCTGTATCAAGGACTCATCATGGGTTCCAGGGGATGCAGAAGCACCTTCTCCATCATTTGTATTTATTATTGCTGCGGGTGTCGGCTCACTACCTGCTCGTACTCGCCGAGGGGTTGAGCTTGATGCCGAGATCGAGCGCCTTATGCTAGCTTCTCTGCCGTGCATTACACGCCTTCCCGATACACGCATTCCAGCCATACCAGCCCTATGACCCATTATCGTCTGTGTATATTTGAGACCCGTAGCGCCAGGAAAGCCCGTATGCATGCGCCGTCCGTTAGGCGCATTCGAAGTACCCTCGTCATCAGACACTGGAGGGCTCGAAGGCATATTGAGTTCTGGCCAACGATCCGCATCTGCCAAGCCAGATGCTACGATGTGGTTGTTGGACTGATATCGTGGATCAAAGGTGATTATCCTGGGCCCATAAGGGTCCGTGTCGACATGGCGTAAGTAATTCAGGCGCAGCGAGTGAATCAAGTAGCTAAACGATTCATGAGTAAGTATTCTTTGCTAAGTAGTATGGAACTATTTTCAACGTACTCTGGGTCGCACGTTAGTGCCATACCTCTGCCAAAACACAGCGCTCAGCGTGGCTTAGTGGTCGTATAACTCAAAGAGCATCATAGTGGTCGCGATCGACGCTCGTCGCAATCTCATGGCGCAACACGTGATTTGGGGAAATGTCTAAATTTCGATGTCTGCCATATTAGTATTATTATCGACGTCCACTAAAAACGTAATGCGTAAATTTGCACGGTGACCTTCAATGTACGGACGTAGTGACGATGCGGAGTGTCAACGTTGTTCCACGTATACAGCAAACACAACGGTACCGAGCACTAAATACTTCCTCCGCAAATTCCGCGAAGAACTAGCGAACGTCTCTTTCGCCTTCCCTATACGGATACTCGCCCTTCATTCGGTACCGTGGTACATGTTCGGACACCACATAAGCCTCGGGCAATCGGAAAATTATGTTCAAGCATGCATACGCACTGCGTCATATGCTGGCTCCTTACACGTCTAATCTTCCTTGAGATATATTCCACCTCACACATGTCTAGTCTCCGCCCTCTGACGTCCCTCGCCTTGCCTGGTACACGTTGAGCCCGCTCAATGTTAACACGCCCATACTCCTCCTTCGCATCAGACATGTTCCGCCTCTTCTGGGTCCTTACTTTCATCTTCGCACTTACACTTAAGCTCAAGCTAGCACGCGCATTACCACAATGGGACGGCGGGTGTGCCACACAACCACATAGCTCAATAGGATCTCTCGTCCCCGGCGCAACAGTTATTGAAGCTATTTCAGAGGGTATCGATTACAGGCAGTATCGTCCGAAGTATCTGAGTATACCTACGACGAAAGGTGAATATCTCCGTCGTTTATGAGGCTGAAGTTGTCAAGTTTGCTCAATGATATTGCATGTATGGATGCTGGATGTTTTCAGGAGTCGCAGGACCCGCGACAATATTCGAGAACACCTCACCCCCATTATTCTACATCCACAACGGTCAACTCTGGCAACCTACAAACCTAACCTCCATCCTCCGCGTGAACGTCCTAAACGTCACAGCAACCAACGACTCGTCAGGTTCACCCCACCCAGCACCGTTAAAAATCGAATTAGGTGAAGATGCAAAGGGATTGGACGGAACTTGGCGCTGGAGAGGGACGAAATTGTTTTTCGACTATGGGAAACGTACGAACAATGGCTTGTATTTCTCGTGCCCGACACGGAATGGAAGAGCTGTGTATACGTCGCTTGATTCGTCCGTTCATTCCCCCTTTCCTTGGTACGATGAACATGAAACCTGATAATTCTTCCTTTTGCCATCAGGATGCCTGCTCCACCGGGCTGCAAGTTCATGACATTACACAGTTTCGCGGAGAGGCCAGAAAGACTATGAAATTTAGGCTTAACCAGTTCTAATAACTTACCTTATGTATTACCATTCACACCCTTCATTCGTTTGCAACATCATTGAGTGTCAAAAATAATTCCTATTGAGCATAAATAATCATTGACAGGGAGAAGTCAATTTTTACTGCTTTCCGCCATTTCGACGAATATTCATGTCTACCCGTCGCACAGCGGAGGAAACAATGAACAGCCCGAAGAAGACAACTGCGATGGTCACCGGTTTTCTGAGATGCTCGGTGAAAGGGACTTTGTACCCGACCTACGGCAATGTCTTAAGTAATGGAAAACAACGCATACATTGGAAGGGACCCACGTAGATGAAGCCAACGTGTCTATCTGTCAGGTTCTTGTAGAAGAACGAGACAGTTGGTCGGCCTTTTGAGTCTAGATATGACTTGTGCATTGACTTCTTGACAGATAATGGAGGGAAAGGTGGATACACCTCAATGTCTCTGGTATTTAGACGAGCAGATTTAAGTAATTGCAGTGAAATCTGAACTGGAGCAACCTACATTGCGCCTTCCGGCAAGATCACCTTTATCTCCGCCTCGTCAACAACAGTATCCGGGAACAGCGTCTGCATAGGTACAGCAACTAAATGACGTCCATCACGGCTGTCGTACGCCTCCCAGTCCTGTAAAGGCGCGTCAAATCCGAGAGTGAAGCTGTAATTCCAGCCACCCATGAGTGGGTAACGCGGGCGAAGCTCAAGCCAGCTTGACTGTTTTGAGCGGGCACCCTTCGGGACGGATGGTGCCTCGCGAAGACGAGATGTCGAGACGTTGCCAACGGTGTCGATGAAATAGACATCGTGTACACCAGAAGGAAGATATAAGTTGACTGCGCGCATGATGTGTCCGGCCGGCTGGTTCGTATAAGCCTGACGCTGGTGATCCAGGCGCGAGAAATGGCCCTTGAGCCTGAAAAGATGGCGTTATTGACTGTAGTGAATAGAGCTAAGCAAAGAGACTGACTTTGGTCCAGCATTATGCAGCCAAATATCATCCTGAATATTTATGTTCGCACCCCAATGGCTAACCTCTGCCGCCCGCTTCATTTTAGTAATCTCAAGGGCAGGCTCATTATGCTTGTAGTGAACCGTAATGCGCTGCTGTGTGCTACCAATGAAATCGGCGTTCGCTGACGCTGGAATGTTGTTGTATGGACCGTAGGTAATTGTCGCGCCTGATTTGGTCACTGGAGCTTCGAACGTGAATGCGTCTAATCCTTTCGGTTCAGTATACGAATTAATCCTTGGGCTTGATGCTCTGCAAAAACGAATTGAATGTTTAAGATGCAGACTCAGATATGACGATGGTGGAATATACCTGATTTTCGTACGCTGAACGGAAGTCGCGTAAGGGCTCAGGATAAAGAGATCTGTCTCATACTTGAGGGACATCTCGGCGTTTTGACCAACTTCAGGAGGCCAAGGATACGTCGCGTGAGTTTGAACAGTCTCAAGCTCAACCGTAATAGCTTCGTCCTTCTTCAAACCGTTCGGCAATACAGCAGCATATAAGTACGTGTTTCTGAATTTACCAATGGTGTGTCACGGAAGAAAGTTAGAATACAGAAAAGGTAGCAGCTCAAAGGCACGGTACGTACGACTTCGCGTTAAGTCCAAAGCGCTGAAGCTCAAGCGGCTCCTGTTCACCCTTCAAACGCGCTTCCATGAAACTTGTCCTCTCTCCATCTTCGCGACCAAGAGCAAACGCATAAATCATCGCCCCAGTCTCAAGCGCCTTTGCGGCAAACGTGGTCTTGACATGCACGAGCGAGCCAGCAAGCTCAACAGTCCGCACAATGGCGGTATTTTCAAAGGAGTGGTCGGCGACAACATAAGTGAACACAGAACATATCAGTGAGACAAGTAAAAACAAGTGACGATATATCGCCATGGTTGAGGACGTCGTTCGCTTTGCGACGACGCGTTTAGTTGAGTGGATGGTGTAGACGTGTCACTACTCGGAATTGGTGGATGCTGCGCGTTGATGACTAATATGACTATTTATAGACACGCGAAGAAGCGTTGAAGAAATATTATTTTGAATATAAACAAATTCAGAGCTGATCCTTGGTAGACTACCAGGCCCATTGTGAGCTCGGGTTCCGGAGTGGGACGTCTTCCCGGTTCAAACCCGACGAAACAATCCTCTTCAAACGTGCCTCACGATCCCTTTGACGCTTCTCCTCAAAGGTCAATCCTTCGCGGAGCATCACGACCATCTTCGAGTTGTATCGTGTACGAATACCTATTCTACCTCGGCCCTTAATCTCCAGTCGTTTCATTTGTCTACCACCTTTTCCCTTGTTTACCCATGCTTCGGCTGAACAAGACATAAAATGATTCAGAGGTGCAAGACAAAAAGGTACTGAGGTGGAACGTACAAACGACAAGCCTCTCGGAATCCATTCCGCGAGTAACAGCAGAGCTCTTTGCTTGAGCAAGCATACTTTTGATACGCCCCGAGGCCCTCTTCTCGCTGAAGATCATTTGCAGGATGGCTGAATCAATGGGTTTTCCAGAAATCTGATGAGCCAGTTTGTTAAGTTTCCGATGCGAAATCCAGAAATTCTTCGTAGCACCGCGATGCTATAATATCATACGGAAAATTCAATAGCGAGTCAGAATGCAATATTAAAGCTGTCAAAATATGTTTTTATGATGCACCTCTACTGGCTTTTGCACCTCTCGTCCAGTCGCTTTTGCGATAGCGGCTTGTACATCAGGACTGACATCCTCATATTCAAAAAGACTCGCTTCTCCACGTTCCTTCGCTTGTTGCCGTGCCGCCTCTACTTCTTTCTCGCTATCCTTCTCTCGAATCTGTGGAGACATGGTCCTACGGATCCAGTCTGTGGGGAACCACGCCCTACACACCCGGTAATTAAGTCCATTAAAATAACAGAATAGTTGAAAAATCTCCGCACGTTCGACGTTGGTCCCATTGTATAGTTGTGCGTGAAGTTGAGGCGACAAGGCTTGGTTGGGCAGGTATCAGAGAACTGCGCGTCTTTCTGCGCGATGCTGCTCAAACAACACTTCCTTAGTGATACTCTTACAGGAAAAACAAGAAACTCACCAGTCTTTAAACCATTTATGAAAGAGGACTGCATGAAGGCAACCTCTGGAGAAATATGAGTTCACAACTTCGCAAGAGTGTAGAAAGCAAAACACCGAAAACGGAGTGCAAATCCATCACGTGCAGGACACGTCCATACTCAGATTCTGCGCGCATCTTGAAATTCACTTCTCTTTCACTCCTCCAGACGGCAACCTCGTCCTCCTTTCCTTCCAATCTGGTCTGTCAATCCAATGATGGTGTACAGCTGGTTCGGAGGGCTATTCAAAGTCACCTTACTACTCATAAATGCGATGGCAATTCTTAACGAAGAACGATTCCTAGCACGGAGTACGTGTTAATATCATTCACGGGATTGAACTGCCTCCTAATCTGTTTCGCAGTCGGTTGGACAGCACAAGCACAACAAGCACAACCAGCTTTCGCGCAGCCATACGACCCTTACACAGGCATGGGCGGGAATCCTCCGGAAATAAGCATCACAGCGAAACTCGTTAATTTAATAACTGCAGTGCGAACACTAATGCGAGGTATGTAAAAGATAAAACTACTACATGATATACAAAAGAAAATGAGTTAAATGCTGAAAAAATGCATATATATAGTGCCTTTAATATTCATCAACGTCACGGTCATCCTTTACGAGCTCGCCTTTGGAGGTCCATAATCACGTACTACCACAGCGCGCGACATTGTAAATATAGTGTAGTCCGGATTCAGGCCATGTTTAACTTGTCGTATTCGTCATTTATCTGCTTGACGAAGTCCTCAGGCGCGTGACCGTCCTGGAAGGGAGATATAAGTTGGAAATGGGAAGTAGTACAAACGATTGTTACGCACCCCGCATTCCTTCCACGCGCCGTCGTGCACGCAGACAGGCTTGTTATTTATTAAAATCGTGCAGCTTTTCCTAGTGTCCACCAATTGCATCAGTCAATGGAAGTATAGGGTCAAGGGGCAACACATACTGAATTCCAAGTTCGTCACTTTTCTGCACGCTTTCCTTTAGCAACCGTATACCTTCTTCGCCCTTGCCCGAGCCGTCCTCACCCACGCACATCCCAACGCCGCTCTCTAACCAATCGAACTTGGCCGTGTCTGCACATTTTAGGGCAATATCTGGATTCCCGACCTTGCTACGACCGTTGAAGTTTTGGCACTTGAGATATGCCCACCACGTTCGTACGTCAAGGTACTTGGAAGCACACAGTTCCTGGACGTTCCCAGCGCATTCATCCGGCCCATGCATGCATGTTACACCAAAATCCGGTTCTGAATCGTTAATTCTGCATTTACGTTACATAAGTATGTGATTAGGGGCAAGACGATGAAATGTTGAACACTTGCCTTCCAATGAAAGATAGGGACAGGTCAATTTTGTCAATCACTTGAGGGACGACCTTGTCAAATGTCGCTTCGCAAATGAGAGCGTCGGGGCAGCGCGACATGACTCCGAGCGTTACAGGGACTTTTACTTCATCGTCCAAAGATAAGGTGCTTTGCTCGGCATCATCTGGTCTGAAATTAGGAAACTGTAGCATGAGTCGCCCTTGGGCTGCCACCGCTGCAATGGCGCTCGGCACCAGCAGCAGCGGTAACGAGAACATTGCGAGAAGGACTCTTGTAGGAGGAGGCATGGTAGGCAGAGTGAGCAAGTGAATGTGACGCCACACGCGGTTTGCCAATGCAAAGAGCGGACTCAGAAGCTGAGCACACGCGAACATTCGGTTGCGTCATTTCAACGGCAATCGCCGAACCCCCACAGTCAGCTCGTTTGATGCGACAAAATAATTGCAAGTGTGGAAGATGTACAGCTACAAAAGTGCCTATGGTAGTTGCAGTGTGTTCAGATAATGATATAAACGCAAAGTTGTTGTGTGTTTAAAATCATAACTAACGTCCCTTGCTGGCCCTGTCCCACCATGTCCGAGCTTCTGCGTCTGATAGTGGCGGTTCAAAGAATCTACACCTGTTTTTGAAAGCTTAATGACACGTCAGGTACAGTACTTCGATATAATATTAACGTCAGCCCAATTACCGTCAAGCGAACGTTGTCTGATAATGGCCTCAACAGTCAGCTCGTTGTGGATTTGATTTCGCTGAAAGCACAACATTATGAAAGGAACGATAGTGGAGGGATAACACGACATGCATACCCTAACTTCCTCAGCGTAAGAAGCTTCCTTCAAACTGGATTCTGCATCGGCACTTAACCGCTCATTCTCGATAGTTTTCCTCTTGCCATCGATACTCTGGTCCACGACGTCCACGCAATATTGGATTATCTCCGTTCGTCTCTTCCAATTTGCTATATATCTTTATGAGTACATTATAAATGACAATTGCAAAGAATCGATTATACGCACAGACGAGATCTTGCCAAAAGTACGCGCATGCCTCATCCTCCGGCCGACGAGACGTGACAGAAGCAGTTGATATCCTATCGCGATCGCGGAACTGTGCAACAGTTCTATTCAGACGCATCGTCACATTGTCATCAACTTTTCGATACTCTCGCATAAGCTCTATCCAGTAATAACACCCCTTCAGTGAGTAATCGAGTTACGACATGGTAGACCAATCGGCGCCCGACCCGAAGAAATCAAACGACAAGACGCACCTTTGAAAAGCGAGATGTTGTGGCATGTCGCCGGATCGACGTGTACGCTTTTCGAGTCGGCGGAGGATGGAGAATAAACAGCCTGGCTGCCCAGTACCGGTCGTCTTCCCGTCATGTCAATCCCCCAGAATAAAAGATATAAATCTCGATGTTGTTGGGCGGTTAGCAGCAGCAACGGAGGCAGCCCTCGGAAGTTCGGCGTGTGTCGGTCAGACAGGCAACGTTCCCCGGACCCGGAACTGTCAGTCAGGTTAGGAAAGCGCCTTTCCCGGGTGCAGTCTAGCGCGAATGAATTAGAAGCCTCGGTTCGTGTCCACGGCCTTGCCGATTCGGGACGCTGACATCGGCTGTCGATCCCCTCGCCAAGCTAGTTTATTTCCAGGTCCACGACCACACCACATCTGTCTTCCGCAACGCCCACACAAATCTGGCAAATAAAAAACAAGTCTAGAAAAAACATAGATCTTAACGCCTCGATTTATTTGACCTGGCTGACTGGCTGCTGGCTATCTGCCTCGCTTTTCCCCTCGGAGCTGCTAACGAGATTCACTCAGATTGAGGGTTTTGTGTACCTTGTGACTCGTTGTAACTTTCCACAACGACTTTCGTCGAAGGGTGTCGTGTGCAGCCCTTGAATATTTTGACTACCGACACACAGACGTGATTTATTTGTTTATATTTTTTTCACATTCCACAGAGCAACAGTAATTTATACGTTTGCGTTCAATCCTTTGAATCCAAGAGGGTATCCGCGTCTTACGCCTTCTTCGTGATTCCCCATCACAAACAATATTGCTCATGTTCCGACGCTCGTCTGCCGACTTCGATTTCAAAAAAACCACGCGCGGTGGAGAAACCGGAGTACACACTCATACCGTAGCTTAGCACAGCAGCTAATAATTCCTCCGAAACTGTCTATTTGTATATACTCTGCGAAAAGCAAATATCTTCCGAAGGCTGTATCACTGTGTGTACACTATCATCAGTTATCCCCGGACCACGCGATATGCAGCATTATTGGTCATTGGATATCCAAGGAGGGAATTGTTTTGAAGATCGCACTTACGGTTGCTATATTGTCGATCACTTCTTTTAACTGTGCTGTAAAATGCATAAGGAAGAAATCAGTATTTCTCACAATTTGATGATCTGCTCTAAATTTACAGGCCAAGACGCTGGCTATGCAATCGGAGTTTCCAACGCCACGCCGCCGCTGAGATGAACTACACTATGGCGCAATTCTTCGAGACTCAAAATTGATTTGAAAAACCAGAGAGAAAAAAAGAATTTGGAAGCGTGCGGCGCCAATGTTACATTCTCGTGCCTTCCCCCTCCTTCCTCATTGTCCCCAAAACGCCCTTTGTCTCTCTACATGCAGCATCAACATGCTGAACCCTCCTTTCCAACTCCGCACGTTCGAGCAAATTCTAATTGTCCTTAATTTGACCTACTTTGCTCCAAGAAGGCCCTTCCTTCTGAAGTTTGGCTGTGTTTCCATCCAGATTCCTATGTACACATGTGTCCAGGGAAGAAATGAGCTACACGGCCAAAGGGCTGAGTATATCGAGATTTACATTGTTGTAGTGCGCCACGCCATGGTCCATCCGAGTCGCCCGCCCGCCGTGCACATCTATCTGCGCATACCATCTAAGCTCCATCCTTTTAATGTGTAAAATCGCGTATAGTACGCATCATAAGCATTTGTCCTTTGGTACAAGGATACCTAGTACTATGTGAAAATAACAGACTCCAAAGTTAACTCCATAACTACATTGAAAGGGGACGCGAAGAGACGCGACAATATGCAAATACTAGTATATCAAGATCTATCTATCTTCCCCCTTACAACAAACTTCGCATGATGCATATCCAAGAGAAAGAAAGAATCAAAGATGATACGATACCCAATCCCACTCCATTCACACTCCGCATCGTTTCTAATCTGTATTTGATAAGCTTCGCGCGAGGGGGTGGAGAAAGGAAGTTGTTTCAACCTGAACCTGAAGTACCACGCGTTGATGTAGCTAAACAACCTTTCCCAGAAGGAGTCGGAAGGCAGTACAATACATGGTGAATCAGATTCGTTCGTGCAATGCAAAACTCCGATAGAAGACAAGGTACCTCAAGGACTTTAGCTTCGAGAGTACTAGCAATAGTGTATATTTAATCTACATTCCTGATAGAAGCTGATAGTGTATACATTGGTATGAGTATCGTGAACGGCAGTCAATTCTTAAAACAGGGGCGGATTGGGGGCGTTAACTGAGAAGAGTGAGTATGTGAAATGCGATAGATATATCATATAGGAAGACCACGAGGAACATGAAACATTGGAAGAATCGAAGTTACAATGCGTTAGAGAAACCGAGCACCAATGACAGAGGTTAAATGATATATCCTGAATTTGGTGTCAAAATAAATATGGAGGAAACAGCCAGGACGATAGTGCAAGTAAACAAAGACAGAGCAGTGCATGGACGATAACAGTGTGAAAAGCTTTTGAGAATTCAGAAGAGTATAGCAGATTCCCACTAACGGTACAGCTAAAAAGACCCAATATTTAAAAGAAGGAACTGTAAGTTATCCAGAAAGCCGTGGAAGAAGAGCTGGTGGGTAAAATTGCATCAGCGTTGGGTATTGGCTGGGGCTTCGAGGCCTTCGCCTTTTGCGGTCCAAGGTGCCAGCGTTTCGAAAACTGTGTTTGAGTGATATGAATCTACGGTGCGATGACGTTTCCGAGGACCTTGTGGATTGTACCCATGGGCCTCGACCATGTGCTTGTGTCTCCTGGCGGGATCACTGAAGGTCTTGTCGCAGTCAACGTAGCGGCACGGATGAGGTTTGGCTCCGGTACTTCCGGCACGCGTTAGAATCGTATTGGGCAAGGACGGCGGGATTTTAGTACTCACTGTCTATTCACGTGGATCATTAGTGATACTCTCTGCGGGAATGCCTTGCCGCAGTACGGGCAAATATGATCCCTAGAAGCACGAGTTAGTTCAAGATAACCAACGCACTACGGCAAATACAGAATTCGTACTTGAATTGCAGATGGCGCGTTTCAATGTGGCGTTTCACTAGGTGCCGTTTGGCAGTATATCCACAATGATCAGTAGACTCTCCGGCAAAACCGACACGCCAGACGCAGCGGAACTCGGTCTGGTCGTTCGGTCCTGAGATTAACTGAGCATAGTCCTTCCAAGCATTCTTGTTTCGTGCCGGTGCCGGATTCGTTACAGCTGGGTGCGGGACGACGGGGAGAGGCATCAATGGCACATCTGGACGATGTGCCGAATAGCCCTGCGCGATCATTTTTATGTGAGGTAACAAAGGCGGGAGTGCGTTTGGCGAAGCCGTCGATGAGCGGGAATTGTCATAATGATCCGCTGAGCTCTGATAAGCGGGACTGATACGCTTTAAGTTGCGCGACTCCGCTGGTTCTCGAAACCGCCAATGCATGACACCAGGAGTGTTGCCTGTGTTCACAGGCAGCGTAGCATTAAGATGATGTATAGATGGAAGAACGGGTCGAGGACTTGACGGAGTGGAAGACGTTGCTATTGATGGCGAGTAAGCCGCGCGCACATTTCTCGATATATTGTGACGACTAGGGAGTTATGAGGCAAGGAATTTCAACGCCGATTTTACATACACTAGTAAAAAATGCGGCGACTGACCTTTCGGGACCATAGCGTTCATATCGTGAGTTATCCCTGTCCGCTCCATTTCGAAGCGATTCAGCACGCCATGAACCAACACGGTCTAGCGCATCATCTTTTGACAAAGGCTTTCTGCTCGGGCTAAGATGCAAGCCGAGCGATGTAGACGCGGAGTCGTATGAATGATCCCAGCGACATCTATTCGGTTCAGGTGAGGCATCACTCAAGACCGTAGAGAATATTGGCTCTTACGGTGTGTCACTAAGTGGTGAGGGTGTCTCAAGCTCAGTACTGTGTTGTGTGGGTGGGCTGGGACTGGCACTAGGGAAACGGCTGTCAATAATGTCCCTGTTCCCCGGAAAACTTGGTTGGCGCCTTTCCGTATCCGACGAATCCGAATAGGAGCGGGCGGAATACGTGTCCTCGCTGGTAGAAAGAGCCTTCCTGGCTGTATATGAAGGCCGTGACGGCTCGGAGGTTCTGGTAGAATGTAAGTAACCAGTGCGGTAAACAGAGTGACTCTCACTCACCCGGTTGATGGGTGACTGCATGGCGGAGGCTGCTCATCACTGATCAACAGTGGAAGTACAATAGATCAGCCATGAGTAAACTTGCATGGATTGACAGTGTCAACATACTCTGACGGTATCAACTCGTCTAGCTCGTCCATTTCCGATGGACCCGGCGAATAATTGGAACCATGGGCGTCTTCCTCTGTGCTCTTGGATAGATATTTGGTGTCTCTGACGGGAACACTCCTTTGTTGGGAATCGGTTAAACTGAACACAGCCAGGAAAACAAGGAACTCACCCCGTTTGAGACCGTCCGGTGCTCCATTGAACACGCGACGTGAGAGTGGGCGCGTTGTGGGCATGCTTGAGCGTGCATGGGTTGAAATGAGTAAGTCTGCTACTTGATATATGATCAGCCTGTAAACATGCCATAGCGTTCCAATGAAACATACGTAGTACATTCTCGAAGAGAACGCTGGAGAGCCTCCTCTCTCTTTAGGCGCTGGTCATTGTTGTCCATAACGGAGAGTGTTTGCGGGGTAGACGTCGGAGAAGTATTCCGAATATGAAGTTTTAGGCCCGTATGAGGCAAGGCACCAGCTTTAAGCTGGGCAAACTGAGGGACAAAGGGATTGGGGTTGGTGTGCTTTCTGAACGGGAGGGAGGCGCGTATTTTTAAAAGGATTGACATATAAGTGGCGTTGTAAGTGTGATAAAATCGTGGTTTGGTTATTGTCTTAATAAGGCGAATCGGCTATGCTCACGTACCTAGGAGAAGATCCAGAGGTTTGTCTTGCCGAGGCCCCCAGCTCACCGTTACCGCGAGTCACGGAGAAGACTTCCGTCGAAGGCTACAAAGTAGAACGACGGATTGGGAACAGCAAGGGTGAAATGAGGCGCAACCGATGTCCACGTTAAGTATTTGGATGAATGCGCGTCTCCAACGTGACCTTACCGCTGTAGGCCGTCAATCATTATTTAGTCGAAATGCGCAAGAGGGCGTCAGATTATCGGGCGTCCAGGTAGGTCCGTATTTGCAGGTTACTTACGTTTAGGCTAGGAACCTGCTGAGGTGAAGAGGTTTTCTATAGGGTGCGTGCGAAGCTTCTACGGTAACGAAGGGTCAATGCTACAAAGATCGGGAAAGTAAGTTCCAGTCAATCACGTAGCACATATGTGTTCCGAAATAGGCTTGCTTACCTGGGCTGAGCGAAGCAGTCCCTCAGGACGAGGTACCTGAATGTCGAAGACTAGCAAGAAAGGTCTACAAGCTCTTGAAAGGCGTTGAGCCTGGCGCAAAAGCGCTCGTGGTTATTTTCAATGCGTTATGCACGTGTATGAGTACAGAGGTTCAATATGTGCCGGTATCGATGAATAAATGGTTAAGAGTGACTCGTATGGAGTCAATGGCTAAAAAGAAACATATACTAGGAGTCTGTAGCACAGGCCACAATATTATTGCTCTCCTAGGTTGATGATTTTGGGCCTGCGCACCGACATAGGGCAGACTGGGTATCCGACATGACCGACCTCCGCTTTCTGAAATCGCTTTCCCGATTTGTCTCACGCATCTTCCCTTATATGGCTACACAGCCACTACATAAATCGCTTCGTAACCTTAGTCCGAAACGGCGTCACGCTCATGCACTTTGCTCCCCTATCAGGCTAGCCATAAACGCCCGTTCTATACAGTGTCCGCTTTCTGCCGTTCACGGTTGCCCTGCTGTCTACAGAGCACTTCCCGACCGTCGGACAGTGCATTGCTCCGCCCAGAACAGATAATTCAGTACATATTCCTGATCACCCTCTTTGCGCGCCTAGAAGACGGTTCATCTTCGGATCCCGCAAACGAGGCACAGCGGTTGGGAAACTTTAATAACATGGTTATCTCATTACGTTATGCCAGCCCAGAACCATGGCGGAGAACAAAGTGCAGTGGAAGCATGCACGGCCACGAAGGTTTCTCAATTACACCTGCCCGTCTTCTCTAACATCACACATCAAACCTCTTGAATTGGATCATTTGGTCCGTGTTCCCGGTTATCGAGGGCCGAAGAGCTTTCACGACACCTTCCTCACACTTTCCCCTCTGCTCTTTGTCAGCGTCCGATTCACTCGTATGAACATAGGTGGAGTAGATTGATGCTCAGAAGCATGCTGATAACCAAACAGAGGTACTGATCGTAACTGAATTATGGCCCATGCGTGACCTGCCAGAACTGATGCCCTGATTCCTCTATTTCCTTCAATAAGTCCTTTAATAGACCGGCGCTTATCGTTTGTGGGTCCTACTTACTTCATTCGGTAACACCGGTTTATCAACAATGCCAAGGATAGTGAACACGTTTCTTTCAGACTTTTTGTCCTTTTGGCATATATTCATACAGTAAAACAGTAATACTGCTTCAGAAATTAAAACCTGGCATAAACTGGAACTTGGTTAAATAATATGCTTCATCTCTTATCAAAGCAAAGGGTATAGCCACAAAGCTATCACTTTGTTTCCATCACAGAAATCGACTTTCTCGGGCTTCAAAGGTTGATCCTGACATTCAAAGTTCATCGGCGCTTCTGAAATAAGGTTTAACCCTGGAAAAGAGCCTTGCTGCGTTTTGTCTCGGGCGCCTATGTGCTTGACTCGTTTTGCTACCTCAAGGCAAGACAAGAGCAGTGCAAGAACACTAAGGACGACGAATTTGGTGAATCGATAGTAAACACGTTGCTTGCTTAGATTTGGTGCTGAGTCAATTGCACTCTAGCAAGAATAGCATTTCTTATGACAATTAATAGTAGATGAAGAAATTTGTGTCATGTTTTCATCGTGGGCGTCAATCAATCCTCGTCGACAAATAAAACAACAAACTATTTTACCTCACCCTCATATAAAGCGCTGCAGAGCGTACCGGCGGATTGAGTGAATATTTCCGTGTTATTCTGAAAGTTTGCTCTGGAATTGAAAGCCCCATTTTCTGTCAGACCTTTGGTTGTAGGATTCTGGTTTCAGCTATTCCTGGACTGGACAAGGTACATAATAGTACCGATAATGAGTGCCCAAAAAATTATCTAGCGAATGCCTTTGGCTGAATTAAAGTTCTTCGAGTATTTTCCGTTTTCGTGTTAGCGAGAACGCCTTCATTTAAGTCCTATACAAACTTTCAGTCCGGCAACTAACTGTCACCCTAGCGTGTAGAATTTATGGGCCCATGCGTGATGTACCCTGTGTATCGAGAACAATTGGGATTGCTTGAACGCCGGGGTGTGCTTCTTTCGGGTGCATTCAAGATCATTGTACAGTGACCCGTGATGGATGTGCGCGTGTATGACATGCACAGGTGTCTCAAAACCGAGGAATAACTGATAATCTCCATGCCTCCGGCGATGATCGTGGTGATAGCTGGAATGATGTCTCTGAAACCTTTTTTACGATGATCTTTGCTATACGGAGAACGTTCAGCACCGAGAACGAGACCGAGCGATCAGCAGTGGAGGATCAAGTTTGGAAATAACCTCGCTTCATATCCAGATGCTTCCAGAGACTCTTAGAAAACATTGTGATCCGGGCATGATAGCATCGCTTTGTCGCGTGGCATCGAAGGAGTAACTATACGATCAAACTTTCGGGAGTCTCTTGGCCATGTTCGTCGTGACGAGAGTATTTGACGACAGACGCATCAGATTTGACATGATCAACAGACAACTCACGACATCAGTAACGTTAACATCAAGGCAGGAACCAGTTGCAGACCAAGCTACGAAACTAGCGGTGCACCCGGACCCACGTAATGGCGATGACATGCTAGCACTTCTTGTCCTGCTTAGGGGCTGTGGTAGTTTCCACCTGTATGTCTATCAAGTCTTCTTTGTCCAACTGAAAAAGAGTGAAGATTCTGGGGGCGCGTTATTCCAAGTGGTCGGCGGTCAACGGACTACGTAAATACACAGTGCCTTGAAATGGAAAACGGCGTTCTGAACTTTGTTACCGAGATCGCCAGTATCGTAGTAATGCGCTATTTGGAAGACGCATATAGCGCATATCTTCGCGCCGCATATTCACAGGCGATATACGTAAAATACGGGGACTCTTCCAAAGGACGGCGCAGTGTCCGGATAATCTTCTTGTTCTCTTTGAATTTCTACAATTGCATTTTTAGTTCTTCTGCAAGAGGGGTTTCATGCTCTATTATTTAACGTGAAGCACTGTATGAGCCGGCGGCGCTCGGGACATCCCGTGAAGGTAAGAATACTCTGCAGTAGAAAAAACAATACATGGGATGAAACAAAATACAACATCTCACCTAGAACCACCATGAGGACACCCAGTGCATTTGCTCGTGAGATCCGAGGTATGGGTTCAACAGAAGCCGAGAGAGCAAAGTCCGTCCGAAATGACCGCTTGTTCCGCTTGACGGACTTGCGTACTCCTCCGAGGCTAGAGAACTTCGAACCGACCCTTGTTGCACGTTGAAGGTGGTGTCGGCCATCGAACAAGTAACTTCGGAACGGTCTTACTTGCCGACGTTTGCTTTCAACCAGTAAATCGTAAACAAGAACAGGTAGCAGCAGGACTACTACTGTACTTAGAACGCTCCGAGAATGGTCGCAAGTTTTTCAAAGCAAGCATATGAAGACTTAGTATAGCTAAGCACGGCCACATGATTTGGGTAATTCAGGAAGAACACTGCGGCAGGATAACTTTATTCTTGTAGAAATACATACGAGGGACAACAATCGAATACATCCTCGGCATAGGGATTAATACATGGTATTTCAATGCATATCCTTCAGGAAAAATAATGTCAGTGTGTTGTATATTCCATATATGGAGCGACGTCAAACACTTAATGGAGAGTCAAGAGCAGAGGGAAGGGACGATTAAGTTAGAAAGGGTGATTAAAGAGGCTCTGCCATTCTGCGGATACCGAAGTAACCCTGTCCGTGCATGGTACAGACTCGGCCGCGTCCGAGTGGGGCGGTACTGTGCGAGACGATAAGTGGCATGGAGGGGTAGAAGATCGGTACATGTGCGCCGTCTTCTTGAGCGGTCGGATAGGCCTGTTCGGGCTTCGTCCCAGGCTAGCATCTGAGATAATTGTGACATCTTCATCATGCAATGGCTCTTCTATTTCTATCATAGTTGAGTCCTCATCTTGTAAGACGCCTAGTCCGCCGGATAAACATTCCGTACTCTCTTCCCGAAAGTCGTCTTCGGCGCGTCCTCTCTTTCTCCGCGAGGATAATGGAGAAGATACACTCACGGCTGAGGCGTGGGTTGGGGAAGAGAAGACGTCGTAAAGTGTATCATTTGCCGAGCGGAAAATAGGTGAAGCCTGAGATAGAGTTGTTGCGGTAGAACACTTCACAGGAGAAGAATACGGAGTGGGAGCGGAGGAAGGTATGGTGCCAGAACGCTGAGTGGCGTACCCCTCATTTACGGCTAAAATCGCAAATAGACGTGTAAAAATGGTCGAACACTCAAAATAAGCTGCATTCACATTTTCTGACGCGTGAACCGAGGTTCTGGAGACGCGCAGTGAGGTCTTCTGAAATGCTGGTAAGCAAATTTAGTTAGTACTTGAGAGATTTAGATTGACACAAGGCGCACATGCTATTCGAAGGCGTCCGAGGCGCATTTACCGCACTATATTCATCCTCAGTAAGGACGCGTTTTGTGGGTGTTGCAGGCGCGGACATGGGTGTGTCGTGTGAGGGGACAGAGTCCGACAGACGCGAATCGATCACGCGAGAATCTTGCTTAACGACATTGCCAATTTAGGATGCGGAGTTCAAAAAGCGTGTCGACCAATAAGCGCATTCCAGTTTCACGCGAACACTGAGACGGACGAAGGAATTCTTGCAGAAGTCGGAATACCTACCTCTTCACCACCTCGAGTTAGCAGCTGAAAGAATAACAACTTGGGTGTTGCTTGAGGAGCGTCGCGATAGCATATACTTGCCACGAATGTCTAACGGTAACTTGTAATCGAACTACCGTTCACCATAGCAATTGCAGCGTCTATCCTGTCCCGCAGAGTCCGATCAATAGGACCCACCATCGTATCTCTGATCATCCATGTTAGAATCACAACAGACATGTTAGTGAATCTTGCATCTGCATTATGTTGAAGCATTCTGTTGAGGCTTGACATTGCGGAGTTGAGCTCTCACAAGACTTGTTCTTGAAGTCCTTGAGGATTATCAGGTTTGCTCAGGATTGAGGCTAATCGTTCATCGTTGAGGTGTCTGGACGGTAACAAGACCGATATGCTCGATTGCGTATTCTAGAGTTGAACAAAAATGAATTGTAATTTTAAGAATTTAATGAAGTGAAGTGCTATATAGCATATCACGTGGTGAAAACTCGTGAGAAAAACACATAACACATCCTCCACTTGAAAGTGCACGACGCCAGAGCTCAATCGCCATTCCCTCAAGACTCTATCAAAAATGCCCGGCAAAGTTAAGGCTTACGAACTCCAGTCCAAGTGAGTCTTATGAGCTTATACTATAAGAGATACTCGTGGCTTAATCATGCTCTGTAGGTCAAAGAATGACTTGTCGAAGCAACTGAAGGAGCTCAAAGACGAGCTGCTGTCGCTTCGAGTGCAGAAGATTGCGGGTGGTTCAGCGTCGAAGTTGACGAAAATGTGTGTTATGAGCTCTTTCGCCTTTGGATTAGATCTAATGTTCTTGCATCTCAGTCACTCCGTCCGTAAGTCGATCGCCAGGGTATTGACCGTTACAAATGCGAAGCAACGGCAACATCTCCGCGAATTTTACAAGGGCAAAAAGTACATTCCTTTGGACCTTCGTAAAAAGCAGACTCGTGCCATCCGCAGGCGATTGACTCCTGTGCGTGGCGATTTAATCGCATATTATGACTTTACTAACGGTCATTTTTCTGCATAGAACGAGAGGAAGAAGAAAACCCTCCGTCAGCGCAAGAAGGAAATTCACTTCCCCATTCGCAAATACGCTGTAAAGGCATAGATGATGGATGTGTAGGGTCGTTCATTATTACTTCTCATTTTTGTATGTCATTAAGCGTCGCAAAATTATGATCCAACCGCTTTCCATGCATATGGTCATGCAATCCCTACTACTCAGTTCATTTGAACAAGTTGATTGTATTCCCTTAAGCAGATCAATTCACCGCATTGATCATGCTTTTGCTGACTACTTGCTTGTCTCTGCATCGGTCTTCTGGTCTCCAGTCTCTCCAGCCTCGCTAATTGGTGGTAACTTGGTGGCTTCTAGACTTGCTAGTGGTGAGTTGCACTTCTTACCATGTTTGTTTTAATGATGTGTACTAGTAATTTGCGTTCGACCTGTCTTCCTCACACCAAAGGGGTACACTCGCCTTCGTATCCTGGGGAAGATAGCATGAGACAATTTACTCTTCTGATCCATGTTTTTAATGTTAAGAAATAATCGTGCGCTAACACCCATCTGCTTCCAGACTGCCCTAGGATCATACTTGCAAGCAAGTTATCTATTAAATTTCAGCAAGATCATAAAGCCCTCTATAAACCCAGCGAGATATGAAATAACGGTCAATGACAGTGACGCAGACCATGAGCATCCAACAGTTAGAAGACTGCGTCTTGGACAAGATTCCGGCTTATGGTTTCGACATCCCCCTCCGACAGGCCACAAAAATTTCGTATGTAGCTGTCTGCGCCACCGTATTTCTTCTGGAGCATATTCAAGAATGCAAACATCGTCTCGCGTCTGTCAAAATTCAATCACCGGATTCAAGGAAACATTTTGACCGGAGAAACTAACCTTGATGTGAGCATGTTGAGTGCAGCTTCTTTATTCTTTGCGAAGATGGGCTCCTTGGAGAGACGTTGTAATATTTTGGCTCGAGTGGGTTCCCTGCCCACACGTGTAAGCTCATAATCGTCGGCGATAACTTCATCGTTTACTCCCGCTAACTTTACCGATGTAAGAAAGATAAGACAGGTGATCATTTATTAAGAACTTACAGATAGGAGGATTGCAGCTATTACAGCCGTGCGGTCCTTTCCAGCTGTTGGGTATTATGCTCAGTTTATACGCACAAATAGATGGAGTGTACTTGCCTGTGCAGTGAAATAAACAGCCTTCTTCTGGTCTGTCTCGTACGTGTTCAAGGATTTTTGCGAACGAAGGTCCACCATTGTCAAGAATCTGAGAGTACAGTTCCATAAATGCCTTGATTCAGGCATTAAGCATGACGAATAAAGTCTTACACCAGATTAGAGAACAGACCTCCGTCTTCCCACTTGCATAGAGTTGGAATCTCCTAGATAAGGAATACGAATCTGCCTACGTTCCAGCTAACGAGTTTACATGAAAAGGGGCTAACCGGGCCATGACTTCTGGTGAATAGTCCTCCGTCTGGAATACAGGAGTGTGTATTATTTCTACACCAGGGATTTGTGGCGCAGGTGTACCATACTTTGCCATCTCTGTATCAGAGCGCAGGTCGAATACTTTTGTTATTCCAAGTTGTCTCATCTGAGCCTTTCCTAAGGAATGTTAGAGGGGACCTTAATTTTCAATACAAGTGGATTGGAACAACCTTCCTCAGTGATCCCGGAGATCTCTGCACTGCGAAAGAGCTGCCGGGGGCGCGTTGCTAGACACCTCCCGTCATGCTCTTGATTATGTTTTTGTACAGGATATGGACCCAAGGTACGAATATTTGTGACGCCATCTATGCGGACGAAAGGAAACTGAGTGAGGCGTTGTTGTACCCATTCGCTGTCAAGAGGTTCGAGAGCATTAAGATCGTGGCCGTTCACAGAAGAAGACATGGTCGGTATCGTAGCCGTTTGTCAGCTCGTAAGTCTAATGGCGAGAGTCATGAAGGAGATCAAGAAAGAAGGAGATCGTGCGCTGCTCGCCGCAGACCCGCAATCGGGAAGGAACATGACGCAAAATGGGAAGTGCACCCGCTGAGTGACTTGGCGCGTCGATCCGATCACCAACTCACGCAGTTCTGCTTATATTTCAGCTTTGCCAAACGACCACCACTAGCTCAGCGAATAGCGTTTCAACGGAGAACGTTTATGTGCTAACTTATTATTGGAGAAATGATCCGATTCATTCTTGTACAGGTGCGTTTCTTGTTGACCGCATGTCATTTGAGGCCGGATGTTCTCATTTATGTCCATTATGTTCAGAATCGTCAGGGCAAAACCCGACTCTCGAAGTGGTATGTTCCTTTCGATGATGACGAGAAGGTGTTTGTTATGCGCTACAGACTCAACTGGAATGTTAACGGCTAACATTCAATGTTCAGGTGCGTCTCCGTGGAGAGGTCCATCGCCTCGTAGCTCCCCGTGATCAGAAGTATCAATCGAACTTCGTCGAGGTGAGTACTACCCTTAAATGAGAGGCATCAGCCACTTATTGGATATTATTCCACAGTTCCGTAACTACAAGGTCGTCTACCGTCGATACGCTGGCCTGTTCTTCTGCGTCTGCGTCGACGCGAACGACAACGAGCTGGCTTATCTCGAGGCTATCCATCTTTTCGTTGAAGTGCTTGGTACGGATAATCTTGTTAAACGTATACGATTTTTATTGATGAGTGTTTCTTTAAGATGCATTTTTCGAGAATGTCTGCGAACTCGACCTTGTGTTCAATTTCTACAAAGTATGCGATTCACTGCCATTAAACTTCGGGAACTCACACCCACGTTTGTCTTCGAACAGGTATATGCTATTCTTGATGAGATATTCCTCGCTGGAGAGATTGAAGAAACTAGCAAAGAAGTGGTATTGTCACGGCTTGACGAGCTGGAGAGATTGGAATAATCTGTATGCTTAAACAGTTTACTTGTTCCATTCATTTCGATCTACTGATCATCCTTGTAGATGCTTATGTATGCCACTCTGGCAAGACTCTGGATTATCTACTATTGAAGTCCGAGGTATGGTTATCGCAGCCCTACGATAATTAGTCGATCTGTGTCGTAAGCCGAACGAAGGTTTGCTTCGATGAGTGCCAGTGTGTTTCCTTATAGTACGTGGCATCTGCAAGGCGGTAATCGGCACTGTTATTACCAGCTTTAACACTTCCGTTCGAGACATTATTTTTAATACTTGATATCTCATTCGTATGTCAGGCCGTCAACTATCTAGGATTTATACGTCTTCCTTATTTGGCTAGCTTCAGCTTTCTCGGTATAATATTCTGTGTTACCCTGTTACTGGCGTTTTTTCTCCTGCACAAACTATTTCAATATTTGTACGAGTTTGTGCCTCTCATGAGAAAATTCGAGTGAAATAAATCACCGTTGCAATCATAATCAACGTGACCTGACGTCAACGAAGTTGATTCACCGTAAGGTCTTCGCTAGTAACTAAACCGCATACAGCCACTTTCACAATGGTAGCAACCATCCTCCGTCAAAAGCTCTCTGAAACAGAACCAGACGCAGAATTCACCTTCTCCCTCCCAATAGTCACATCCTCCTCCGGCAAGCGCTACTACGCAAAATCAGGAAGCTCCTTCGAGCAAGAGCAATACCTTGGCGAAGCAGAGTCTCTTAAACATATCGGCCGTGCAGCTCCCGGGCTCGCACCTAACGTCGTTCATTCTGGTGTAGATGAAGATACGGGACAGCCGTATTTGATTTCGGATTACTTGGATATTAGACGCCATGATAGTGTTTCGTTGAATCGACTTGCTACTCGACTTGCGACGGAATTACATACGTGCAAGAGTGAACAGGGATTTGGGTTTAATGTACCTACTTTCTGCGGGGCTACTAAGCTTCAGAATGGATGGTACCAGGTGTGTATTGTGCTCTATTGTGTCCATTCAAGCAGTCTTAATAATTTTTACTGACTTTATATTTAACTAGACCTGGGAAGAATGTTATGACGCACTAATTGGAGGATTGCAAAGAGGATTAGAGGAGCGTGGTGGAAACCAGCTGCTTTGCGAGAAGATTCGGAGAGTGCGCAAGACGTGAGTCTCCCCCTTTCTCAAAACCTAAAGTAGCGTAAGGCGTAAATTTGACTGATATCCTTAACTAAACGTCACAGTGTCATTCCCTACTTGCTCCGTCCACTAAAGGTTGATCCCGTATTGTTACATGGAGATCTATGGGTAACATCTTCCTTTATACCAGTTAATTGGATGAACAAGTGATTGACTTTCCGTGACAGAGTGGAAACACAGGCGTAGACGTATCTTCAAACGAACCTGTCGTATACGACCCTTCCTCTTTCTACGGGCATAATGAAACAGAGCACGTCTGACCTTTCGTTTAAGTGCCTTATACTCGCCACTCACTAGTAGACCTTTATACTTTTGAACAGTCTCGCCATCGCACGCATATTCGGAGGGTTCACTCCCGCTTTCTTCCAAAAGTACCACGAACTCCTACCAAAGTCGGAGCCTGCTGAACAATACGAACTGCGCGTGGACCTGTATGAGCTCTTTCATTATCTTAACCATGCACTAATGTTTGGAGGTGTAAGTCAATGTCCAAACAAACAAACATCAATTACTTTCTCCACTCTGATATGATTATTCTTATGTTAGGGCGGTTATGCTTCGAGCGCATCGCAGAAGATGGATAGGCTTCTTAAGTACTGTCCAAAGGATGCGTCATAACCGGCGTAATGGAAACGAAGTTGATGAGGAGGAATTAGCGAAATCATATTATTGTATGAATAGTAGAGAGACAACGTGCTATAGGGCTACATAAAACTAGGATAACGTCCGAGGCGATCGAATCTAGGGGTTCGGTGACCTATGAACGAGCGCATCGATGAATACTACCAATGACAACGAATAAGCAAATGGCACTCACAATTCCCGACTAGAAGACATTACAGGTCCCTGAAACTCGTCATCATCGCGGAAATCACCTTCAGGCAGGTCAAGCTCGTCATCGAGCTCTGAACTATCACTACTCCACGCTGTGTCCACCTCTTGCTGTTGTTGTTGTTGCGCTTGCTGGTCCTCAGCGTTATCCTTGCCTTTATGCTGTTGCGACTTGAATGGAACTGATAGTCGAGCGAATGACCGGTCTCGTAGAGAACGTAAGACTCCAGAGGGGAGGTGACCGAAACGCATGAATCCTTGTTGCTGTTGCTGCGGAGCTGGTGGTGAAGCTGCACCTGCAGCAGCTACATTTTCTTCCGACGGATCAGGCGTAGCAAGTCCGTAATCATCTTTTACCTTCACTGCACCAGGACCTTGTTCCCCGCTCTCAAATAACTGGGACGTCCAGCGCCTCCGACGAGCAGGAGAACGCAACGGATCGGGACTATCCTTCAACTCAATAGGCGTAGAGCTCCCCGAAGCGTGTTGGTCTTTCATCCTCGGCCAGATACGTAACTTCCCATCCTTGCTATCATATCTAAATGGCATATCGGTGTCGGTATCCATTGGCCAAGGAACTTCACCATGGTCTTTCGTTGGAGACGTAACGTGCCCCATGCTTATGTCTGGCGCGTTCCCGGTGTCGACATCTGTAACGGGCATCGGCCCACGAGGGAATGTTGTCTTACGTACGGCTCGGCGGCCTCGAAGAATTTCGCGCTCAAGACGTAGGCGGTTCTCGATCATGTGTAGCTATGAAGTGTTTCAGCGTTACCCTAGTGGGAAAGTAAACTACTTCACCCACCTTTGGCCATGTCACAGCCTCGCCAACCTTCATCATCCTCTCCAGTTCAGCTCTGGAAGGATCACTCAGGATGTTTATCCAGTCCTAAGATGGACATAATTATTCCCATCTAGAAGAGGCATTGTTTTGGTTGCTTACCCGGAAACGAGTTTTTGGCCAGATCCTGTGCAAAGTCATTAATCGGCATTCGGATGTACTTTCATTTCACTTACGTTACAGTACCATCAAACCTCTGCAAGAAAACACTTGACCAATCCTGACCTAGAAGCTGCGGAAGTAAGTCTAGATCTCGAATGACCTTGAAGTTCTTCGTAAGCTCGAGCTTAAGCCACTGCTCGGCAGCCGAAAGCAAGAAGTTCCCCCGCCATCCTGAAGTATCTTAGTTAGATTTTATCGATTTATCCGATGACGCCAAATTCATTAGTTCTCGGAAGACAGAAGACATACCTTTCCCTTTCCTGTGAGCAACAGGCTTCCCTGCGGAACCTCTAGGCGCGAAGAAGAACAGGTGAACATGTGGGTTTACTTGCGACACAACGGGATGGGTGACTAGAACGCTAATCAGCGTCATTAGAAATGGACATTAAAAGACAAGTACCGTTGAAATAATGGTTTAAAGATTGGAGCGGGATGTCGACCCTCAACGAGCCATCTTTGAACTTCGAGCCCCAGTTCCAAGGAATCAGATTACCGTCTCTCGTCTTCTGCATTAGCACGACAGGGTTGAGGATTCCGGGGACCGCAGCAGAGGCCTAATCACAAAAATTTACTGAATTGACTGTCTTCGGAAGTAAAGATTGAACTAACGATGAGTGCGCTCCATATTACCGTGTCAGGCGCGGTGAGGTAGTTCAGAAGTTTCGTCGGGCTGTGACGATCGGCGGGTATGACGGAGATATTCAAGATACGTCCCGTTTTCTGATAAGCCTCACGGAATGTGAGTGAGCCTCTTGTGAAGAAACAAGCCTGCAATATTTCAGTCAATAGCTCTTTGAAGCTTCCCGGATTGGCTCACCTTTCGAGCCCAATCAACATTATCGAACCTCGCGCCTGTTCTTTGGAACCGTTTAAACCAATCCCTGAACGGCTCTTCACAAGCTGTGATCTTATCTGCTAGTTCTGGTACGAGCAAAGCTTTTAACTCGGCATCTGTTCGGGTCGCAGCTAGTGCTGCAACCAAGCCTCCTGCTGACGTGCCAGTAATTACTCGTGGAAGAAGGTCGGCTTCTACGAATGCTTTGATGACTCCGAAGTGATCTAAAGTCTCCTTGTTATAGATATACTCCATATTTTCATGCAGTAGAACTTACAATATCCGAAAGTGGCACCGCCAGAGAGGCATAGAGCAGAGATGCCAAGATTCATGTTAGCGGTCTTGAAAAAGCGTCGCTTCTCCTCGTTCGACAGGACGTTGGACTCCCGGATATAGACCAGAGCATTCTCAACTTCGGTTATGTAGGCTGAAGTTCCACGACATTAGGTGTAGCCCAGAAGAATTAATACGTATACTGCGCACCTTCAACCAAATCTTTTGATGCATAGAACGTCTTTCGGACAAACAGTCATTAGCTGGACTGGCTCGAGTAAAGGTACGCATACCTCGCTATAAAGCCTGCATGATAAAATTAGAATTCCCGTATCCATGGCATGGAACACCCGTCAATACTCACCTTGCACTTTCCACACCGGCAAAGTTCGTTCGCAGGCACGTCTCCAACACGCCAAGCACGCCCCGCACATCTTTACTCCTCCTCAAAGTTCTCAAGGACTTCAACACTTTCCGAACAAGCCGCCAGTCATAAAACGGATCCTCATCAATTCGCTTCCAGTCGTCAAATCCCAAGTAAGCATCTAATTCTAATGCAGCCCGCTTCCATTCTTCGTATGACGTTGCGGCACGCAGCTTTTTGCGAAGTTGCCCTTTGCGGCCTCGCCCTGTTACGAGATGATAAGTGATATGTTGGGGAAAATGAAACAGGGGATGCGTACATGCTGTGAACCATTCCTTCGCGTTCACACACTGTCGTACTGCCACGTACATCCCAAATTCGAAGAATATAAACAAGAAAATAAGTATCTGGGACCAATAGCACATTTAATGAACTACAAGACGCTAGAAAGTCTGAATGCTACACGTACCAACAACGGCCATCGAACGAGGACAAATAACCACTCTTGACGTCTATCATGGTACTTAACACCCTTCCTCCGTTTCTTTACGCGTAGATTTACAGGTGCAAAATCGGATAAAGCAGAGACCTTGCGTATGCGTGGGGTTCTTGGACCCTGTGAGAAGTATGACGAATGTGGAGAGTTCAGTGCAGAGTTGTGCTGTGTACTGCCAGCTAAAGAGAGCGTGCTGGGTGAGTGGCGCGGCGTCTCGAGATAATCGGTGTCTACAAAGTATTCTGCGGTGAGGGCATGAGAGAAGGCCTCGATATGACTGTATGATCAACAAAGGAGTATTATACTAGTTAGCATTCATGGCTCAATTAAAGTAAATAATCACGGACCTTTCATCTATATAGTTTGTGTTAAAGTCTTCCTGTGCTCGACTTGAAGAGGCCATTCGCTCTATGGGAAACTCAATTGGCATTGATGGGCGGCAAAAGGGAGTGGTAGATGATGGTCGGCATACAAGAACAAAGTTTGGATGGAAGAGCTCCAATAGCTATGGCTGCTACTTCTACTTTTGAGCATGGGGCCGTCCCCATGATCCGCACCGGAATAAGGCACGTGCCCTCATTTTGTTTACTTCTGGCGCTTCCATGTGCCGATGGAAAACAAAAACCAAACGTAACATAATATTACGACAGCAAATAATAAATTATGGCTACACAGAATGAACACTAATACACAATACCAAGAGATCTTTATCCTCGCGTTCGAAGATTATATGCCTCCGTTTGCTGAAAGTTTTGGATCTCTGCCTCGCTGTCAAGCATCATCTGCATGTGATAGTGCTCAGATCAATAACCGCAGCCTGCAAAGGCCAATAAACCACCTACCTCTTCGGCCATCATATAGATGTCAGAGTTTGGTCGGTTGTACATCAGTGAATTCGCGAACATGAGATAAATGTCGCGCTGGTATTCGGTCGATGTAGTGATCCTTCCGTCCCGTACACGATTCTTGATAGTCTTCAAATCCATTGGTCGTTTCACGATATCGTAATAATCCGGAGCCTCGGATGGCTTGATCGGCTGGTGGAAAATTGTACCATTTCGGTGCGCCGTAATCTGCGCGTGTAACATCATGATGATGCTTTGGAAGCGTTTTCGTTCTAAAGATTCGAAGTGACGCAACACTTGAGTTCACCAATAATTGAAGTATGGATATGCTACCGACCTTTCGAGTTTTTGATTCCCGACGGCAGTGTGGAAGGAGTCGCGGGTGAGTCCGCAGTGTCTACGGGCTCCGACTCTTCCCTTGGTCGTTTCTTATCTCTTAAAGAGTCAATTGCGTCGGCATCTGATGCTCTCCGTTTACCTTATGTCATTTTGTCAATATCTACAGAGCAAAAATATCAATCGTCACAATAGAAAACGTACCCTCTTTCTTATCTCGAGGACTGTCTTGAGGAACTGGTGTCGACTCGCGGGACACCGCATCCACGGGCTCGCCTTCTTGTACCTCCGTCGCTGCAGGAGTAGCCTCTTCTGAGGTGTCACGCTGAGTCTCGACGGCTTCATCAACCTCCTCTTTGGGCATATCCTCCTGCTCATCTTGGACCTCTGCTGATTCCGCTTCGTCTTCTTCAGTGGCTTCAGCACTGGGAGTCTTAGTGGCCTCTGGCGGTTCTTTGCGAGTCTGAGAGCGAGTCTTAGGAACTTGAACGGACTCCTGTGACTGCGCTTCAGAAATGGGAGACTCTGATGCAGGCTCGGTTACTGGCTGCTCGGCGGTTTCCTCTTCCTTAGGCGTTTCCGGGGCTGCTTGTCCTACTGGCGATGTCTCTGGTAGTGGTGAATGCTGTACGGGTGAAGATACGTCCATGGCAATTTCATCATTGGGACCTGGGAGCCGATCAACGGAACTTTCGGTTCGCTGCATGTCTGTGAGCCATTTCGCTTCCATAAACCAAAGCCGTAATTCGTACCGAACGAGACTCGTCAACCGTTTGCTCCTCCCCCTGTACCGGAGTATGTTGTTTAGCGGGCTAGAAATCAGTACTTTAGCACAACATTTATATAAAAATCGGTTAGAATATATACCATAACCTCATCAAATTCTGCACAGTGTGATTATTCTTAGTCATCTCATAATTTTGGACAGCCTGGATAGCTTACCAACTGGCTTTCCTGGTGTTGAGGCTTGCATTTTTATCGACATATCGGCTCCGTTCATTTTTGCCTTTATCCTGTCGTCCCATTTTCCAGCACGTATGTCTTCTATCTCGGTCACCACATTTCTGGACATACGTTCGTTATGTTATACAGTGACAGCCACACGACAAACTCACTTGAATCTGTCTTCTTCAGCAGCTATCTCGTCTCGAAGCTCTGCAACACGATCCCGGTAGTAGCGCTGAGCAAGCTGAGCATTTACAGGGGCTAATATTTAGGGGTATTGGTTAGCGAATACGACGTATGTGAAGCTCCCTCACTAACATTTCTTGGCTTCACACAAATCCGATCTTTTTTCTAATTTCAGTGAAACGTAATCTGAGTCAAGAATACATTGCATACCGTTCAATCGCAGCATCTTTCATCAAGTAGTTGTAAATAGTGACGCAGGACTGTGCAGTGAAAAAGTTCTTCGGCCTCGTTATGAGCGGATGTTTGGAGAGGAGTTTCGCAATTTCAGCCCACGCGGCTTGCCTTGCGCCATATTCGTAAACAGCTTGTGCGAAGATAAGGCGGTCCCGAGAGCTAAGAGAGGCAAAGTCCTCTGCCGCAGCGAGGGCACCGCGAGTGACACGGCTGGCGGCAGGCATTCTGCTCGCCTATGGACCGAGGCAGGTCATAGCGCCATTTAACCTGGGAGATCACGTGCATGACTTCAACAGTGGTGAACGAAATTATTCATTCATTCAATCATTGTCCTCCTTCTTGATTGTCATCTTTGAGTCACCGTGTCAATCTCCTTGAGCCTCAGCTTTAAATACAGTGGCGGTCGAGATGAGCAAGGTCGTGTTCGGTATGTCTTCGTTTCGGCGCAACCTTCTGTCATCAAACAGATCTAACCGGACTACCGTCGCAGTCGGGAATGTCCCGTACAATATGCAGGAAGTAAGCATCTTCATCTGATACAGTTAAACGGGAGATTTACTTATTTACTTTGTAGGAAGAGCTCATTGAGACCTTCAAGACTGTCGGACATGTAGTTGGCTTCAGGTAAGTGCCTGCAATAGTTTGCGTTCTCAAGTCCACTTCTAACAGTACCTGACTTCGGTATTGTAGACTGGTGTATGACAGGGATACAGGAAAACCCAAAGGATACGGGTTCTGCGAGTTTGCGGGTAGTTATCCTGTCTTTCAGCCTAATGCAAATAACAGATACATTTCTAACAAAAAATCTGTCCGATTTTGCCCCTATCGTCTGAAATCTTCGCCTCATCTCACCCATCTCATGTTCTAATGCTGAATGGTGTGCCACTGTACTGTCTCAAATACATCGAACTGAGCAGACCATGAGACGGCAATGTCTGCTGTGCGCAACCTCAATAACACCGATTGTGGCGGGCGGAATCTCCGGATCGACCTAGCGGATTCAGATCCATATCTCGAAGGGAAGACTACTGTGCATGGTGAAATCATCGACGCCGGAGAGACGAGAGCTCAGTGGCGACAGCGTGAAAAACGCGATCATGATGACCGACGACCCTCAGTGCAGGATCCAGGACAGTTCTTGAAATCTTTGCCGCAAGGTGTCCCGCTCGCTCCAGGCACAACGGCACTTGATGCTATCAGCCACAGGCTTGCAACGATAGACCCAGCACAGCTCACTGAGGTTCTTGCGCAGATGAAGGTGCAGCGTATTCCAATAAACTATTTTCTGAAACGTCTGATTCACCTTGAGTTTCTTCGTGTACTTGTTTTTGTGTTTAGGCTTTTGTCATAAATCACCCTGACCAAGCTCGAATGCTCCTCGTCGCACATCCACAACTCTCATATGGCCTATTCCAAGCATTACTTATGAACCGAATTGTCGATCCTGCCATCCTGCAGGTGAGTCACTGTCACGGTGCATTCTGGGCAATCTGAACTAAATGCCTCCTATTTGTTTGCAGAGAATGTTAGCAGCAACTCAGGCAGGTTCAAGTACAACACCCGCACCCGCAGCACGGCCGCCAGTACCAGCCGCACCACCTTCGCAAATGCCACCAGTACAAGCACCACCGATGCCATCCCAATACCCGCCTTTCCCTCCAACGATGCCGCCCACGATGCAACCTGCGCCATATTACCAGCAACCGACCCCACCTCAACCGCCTGTGCCTCCTACTCAGTCTGTTCCAACGCCAACACCCGCACCCTCCGTCCCCACTCCTGCACCTTCAGGAGCGGCTCCGCCACAGTTCAATTTGCCGGATAACATTGATCCAGCTCAGAGGGTACGTCTACTACCACCTATTCTATTGGATACTTGTAAAGTGACTTACTCGATGATATGCGTGATCTTTACAGGCAATGTTGACGAGCGTACTCGCCCTTCCACCCGAACAAATCCAAAATCTTCCGCCTAATGAGCGTGAAGCTATCATGTTACTGGTAAGTCCTTAAATTATCCACTTCTGTTTTTTTCGCAGTTGTCTTATGGTACTTCTTTCTCTCTTAGCGGGCCCAATTCTTAGGGCCGAATGCCAATAAGCAAAGTTAATCATTATGCAGTTCATTCTGTAATCCCTTCTCCTTCTATAATTTCTTCGACAATACCAGCCCAAATGATTTCCAAAATATTATTTGAAAACATTATACAAAGGACAACTGTTCTTTTACATGCTTGCAATTTGTAGTAGAAAAACCCCAAAATTCCGATATCCATATATCCATGAAAAGCAGATTGTTGTCTATCGAGCCGTTCGCAGCAAAGACTTTCATTCTGTCGGCACGTAATCCTCGTCGTCTTCGTCTTCATTTTCTTCTATAGTCTAGTTACGTTGACAAACAGTAAGAAAGAGCATATAAAGAGATAGCAAGGAATATCTGACCCTGTTAAGCAAAACTGCAGTGGAGACATTCTATTCCCGAGACACTTTAATACTCATAAACCTACATGTATGAAAAACTCTTACCGTGGAAACTTCTTCGCTTTCTTCCTCTTCCTCACCGTCGTCCTACATATTTCGCGCGATTGCGATCAGATACGAAATATAGGTTTCGAAGCTACTTACACTGTCAGAACTCATCTCTGCTTCTTCTTCCTCATAGTTGTCATCCTTGAACTTGAGTCCTGCAATAAGATGTGGCTTTCCCGGTTCCCTTACTATTTCGTACGGCCCGTCAGACGCATTCGTACTCTGCACCTGAGGAGTCTGCACAAGTCAGACAAATGGAACATTGCCCAGTGCACTCAGTCAAGATATTTCACTAACCTCATCGACGTCCATACCGTCACTAGCGGGCTCAGTTAGATTCGAGCATTGAGAGGACGCGAAATTCGCTTGGTTCGACGCGTATGACGCGCTATCCGAGTTCGTCATGTCACATTCCATTATGAATTGCAGTAGGCGGAGGATCTATTCAGAAACAGGAGGGTTGACGGAAATGATGGTGGTTAAGAACAAAGGACCCAAAGAGACGCGGTACCGTGTAAGCGGAACTTATATACTTCACGTGAATTAGGCGTGACTGCGGCCACCAAGCTCTGAATTTGACCGCATTCTTGAGTACGACATCATGCCCTTTGACATGCACGGGGAGAGCCTTCCGATCGACCCTGAATACGATATGAATGGAATCACACTAGAACAGTTAGGCAGAGTAGGAGTTATCTCGCTCCGTATGAAAATCAGCTCGTTTTTCAAGCACAACAGTTTGATTAGAAAACATGAGAAATGAGGTGGTCTTTAGTGTACATCCCGCAAGTGGCGTGAAGTTGTAGCAATCGACAATACATCGTATCGTAAGCTTCTCTACCGACCATACCTAAACGCAGCTCGTCAGAATGTATGCAGTGGGAAATAAGATATGTATACGTACTTCTGCAACTCCCATTCCCTATTATCCAACGGACAGACATTCCGAGTCTTTAGCCATCGCGCAATGCAATGGAAGTGGAATGCGTGCTGCAAACATTAACAATACGATCGTATCTCAGTGTTCTTCCTCGACTATCAGGCGGATGGCTCACGTTGCAAATACCCCATGCCGCATTACATTCCTCTGATGTTGCAGATACCTGATTTGCTTGACAATCGATGCCTGTACCACGACCAATGGGGGATATGTCAGCAAAAGATGCAGCACACGCGCCACACATAAGTCGAGGTGCAAGTGCTTCAATTTAAATACGCACAGAGGTCCATAATATGGTTTCTACAGATGGCACAGTTGTCGACGACGATGTCTAAAGGTCAGACGACGCATACACAGTCAGTTGATGAGAACCAGCGCAGTTATAGATAATACGCACCCCACGACCAGAGCGCCACGGCATTCCACTGAAGTACAAGCAGTACCAGCAATCCCACAATGTATAAGACAAGAGAAAGATGCAGCGAAGTAACATGAGATGTGGAGAACATATGAATGAGTTCAAAGGTGTCGAGCACATACCTTCTTAACCTCGAAACGCTTCTTGTCCTTTCCATCAGCTTTCTTTTTCGATGCTGTCGATGGGGCGGGTGCGGTCTCAACAGGAGTGTCAACTTCCATGTCGGCCATTGTAAAATACTCTCAAACTTAAGTCTGTATGATGGGAGGGAAGAAGATGATGCTGAAGGACGTCGTTGTTGGTATATAAAGAGGCGTTTCTCTTTATTAGTACCAGTATGTCTGCGTACGTAATGTCTTTCATGCACGTCAAAAGGCACGTGATATCAGATACGAAACCTTTCAAAAAGGACTTTCTCTCTCTCTCTCTCTCTCTCTCTCTCTCTCTCAGAATCTCCTTTCTTTCACAATGAAAGAGATCAAGTGTAAGTGCTTGACCAGGACTTGTTCAGTATTCTTTCCTTTATGAGGAACAGTTCCTTTCTTCTCATCATGTCATGTTTTAAACCGGAGGGTCTCGTACGGACATAATTCTGAGTGTTCTTCAAATCATGCACCCGTCCGCCCTGTAGCTCGCGATGAAGACGTTTCGTATTCCTCAGACGAGCCATCGTCCAGACCACGCTTCTTCGAAGAGGCACCAATTAGTCGAGGATGGGTCGGTCAGGTCTGAGGTGTTTGAATTAACGGATTCGAACACCCCAGACCTGATGAGCCATCGTCAGATGAACGACGCTTCTTCGAAGATAGGCTCAGAGTTCTGGACGTCGCGTGCGAATTGGTCGAGGATGAATCGGTCAGGTCCAGAACTGGACGGCGGTGGCATGTCCCCTTCTTTCGGATAAAGGTTTCCTTTGTCGACTTCCGCGTTCGTCGACGGAGGCATTTTATCATGCAGGGTTTATCGTATTGTGACCCGAGCTGCAGCTGGACAACGTGTTGTCTGACGCTTCGGACGAACGTGACTCTGTCGAGTCTGATGGGAAAAGTTATTTGAGTCCTTCGCGTTGGGATTGGTGACCTGATAAGGTTACCAGTCCCAATGCACAGGAGCACTCATTAAATCCCTGCTCCGTGGAAGCGGAATTTGAACTGGATTTTCGAGGGGAGAAACAAGAGGGAGGGTGGACAATATGGCTTGATTTGAACACCAGAAAGAACTGTGAGTACTCTCAATACATTCCATATTGTTGTGTATTGAATGAAGACTACCACCATCGCATCGTGTGGTACAGATAAACACCTTCAATCATAAGCCTAATTGGGAAACCAAGAACATCAGCATGAATGCGATTAATGGATCCCGCATGAAGACATACGAACTTATAATAGTCCCACGGCCGTATACACAGAGGACATGTGTCCTTTTTCTGCAGCCAACGCGAAATGCAATGGAAATGGAATGTATGCTACAAAGCAACGTTGAACAAACAGTGTCTTATTAGCGGTACTTCTTTCATTTCTGCAGCGGGTGACTCACGTTGCACGTTCCCCACGCTGCAGCGCATTCGTCACCCGGTTTTTGTTCTGCTTCGCATTGGACGCCTGTTTTAAAAATACATCGGGCATTAATATGCAGCAGAGTTGCACCGGGATATACCTTCGGAATTACAGAAAATACACGTACACATATCCATGACATGGCTTCTGCAAATGGAGCACTTGTCGATGGCAATGTCCAGCAGTTAGTAACGCGAATGGAGTCAGTTAATGGATCCCAGCGCTGTAAAGTGGGTACGTGCCATATGACCAGAGCGCCACGGCTTTCCACTAAATAAAAATTATAATCAGTAACTCTACTCATCCGGGAAGAATGACTTATATCTTGTTGAAACAGGAGATTCGATGAAGGGATGTGAAGGTGTAAAGCACATACCTTTATGACCTCGAAGCGCTTTGTACTTTTGCTGTCAGAGTTCTCCTGCGGCGGAGGAGATGAAGCAGCGACCATCTCATCTGGTGTGTCAATTTCCATATCAGACATTTTGCTTGATTCAGCAGAGAAGCGGGAGTTCAAATGATGATGTTAGAGGATGTGGAAGAAAGTTGAAGAGTACACTCGATAGTAGGAGGAATCTCCTAACTTGTAAGTGCTCGGGGCCACAGGCGGAATGGACCACGTTGTAGGCCAACGGCCTAGTCATATTCGACTGCACTCTTTCCCTGGACAAGGACGAACGGGCTGCTCTAATCATTTGGCAGGAACACCTTTCAGAGCGGTTCTTTGTGAGTATCTGGTAGAGCATTTTAAAAGACCCACATACATACAGTGGGCTGCACATTGGTCACTTTCATATGCAATGTGTTCCACAGCCATACAGGCATGGCTTGTGAAATATCTCATGCCGTTCGACCTTACAAGTGCACACCATTGTATAGTTGTGCCTTGGCCTGAAAACTTGGATCTTGTCGTAACCGAAAGAGGCAAGGCAAACTGAGGCTGAAGCGGAGTTTCAAAGGACGCGTCGGGAACGCGTCCAAACTGCTATCTCACCTCGTCTCATGACTTAACTCTGTATCTTCTGAATTGTCACCTGAGCTCCTGCTCAAACAGGCTTATCTCTGAATGTCCAGCCCTATTCACACGAAAAGCCCGATCAAGCCAAGCCTTACCTAAAACCGCTACACCATCCGCTTACCGACTGACCGGAGGTTTTCATTTCCGCAATACACCAAAATTAATATGCAAGCCAGGCACTTCAGCAAAGGACACTAATCCAAAGACGTAAAGGATCCTCACAACAACTTATCGAAATACTTCCGGTTTATTAACATCAAGCCACTCAAATCGTCTAATCTCCTCTCGAAGCTTTAGTATCATGCTACTGCACAGACCTGGTGACTCATCCCTGCTTCCAAGCACTCTCAGGTCGCCGTAAAGTCCAGTCATCTGCCTGTCCAAAATCCAAAGTCTACCACGCTGGATGACTACTACAGACCCAAAAGGTATATAGACACGTCACGCGCATACGTGTCGCCGCACGCGAAGCAAGGAAACAAGCTTTGAAACTCCCGAATGGCGCTGCAAAGGCGCTGCTTCCGACTTTGATTGACTATGGTGGATTCTGTTCCCCGCATACGAAGCCAACAAACGCTCAATACTTAATACCGTACCGCAAATCGCGGAGCTAGAGCGCCTATGTCCACCGATAAGTGCGCGAACGCACCTCTTCTCCGCTCGCGTGCGAACCCAACTCGCTCATGCGACCACCTCATCGCGGCTTATCGTTATCTCCCAAACTCACCTGAGCAGCTCTACGTGGATAAGAAGTGCAACAAACCGATCACTTGTTCAGCAATTTACCACCCCCAAATCTCGATAAACAATCGCAATAACGACGATCATGGAACGTATGAATACGTGCATTAATTATAGACAAGAGGACACAGTATGTATACGTACAAAATCCTAGCACCGACGTCAAAGGGCCTGTCCGCAGGTCATGGGTAGCGTCGAAGGCAAGGAAGAGAAGAGAGATGAAATAATGTGAAGGTTAAAAAGAGTTGCCAATAGGATACCAAGGCACACGAACTCGCAACGCGAGTAGCAAAATAGGCCAATAGATTATAAGAAACACAGACGAAAAGACAAGAAAGGAAATAGAAGGTCAAAAAGAAGGGAAGAAAAGAAGAAGAGAGAAGAGACGAGAACATTGCAGCTTGGGAAACAAGACAGTTGAGGATTGGTTGTGGAGTTGAGAGCAGTATTGCAGGAATTGCGGTGTGTAGATTGCGAGCGGGAGGGTATAGAACATAAAGTCATGGGATGTAGCGTAAAAGAAACTAATTGCAAGAAAAGGAGAAAAGAAAAGAGAAGGCTATTCATACGAAAGGGGAAGAAATTTGGAAGGCATGACAAAATAAATGGAGACCAGTGCCGTATAATCATGAGAGCATTTGGGACAGCATGAGCATATCGAACATAGAGGACGCGATAGCAGGGATTTGTTTGGCTGAACAAGAAGACATCTCTCCCGAATTGAGAACGAACCGCGGTCGGGAAGTAAAGCACGATCGATATCGCTCACTAACGTAGCAAGCCATCCCAGAATTTGTGTTCAAGCCTCGGATGGTCGGAGTTTGAGAACGGCCTGAGTAAGCATTGCAAGATCCAACACGGGAGTTGCTAATCCATGTCACTTGGACTGGGAAGGATGATGACGACGCCTGGCTCATAGGGGTCGTAGAATCGAAGTCTGGCAAATCAGATCTGGCAGCAGCTCCAGGAAGTCTGCTTGCTCCTCAGTGCTTTCTCCTCTTCTTCGGCTTGTGCCGCCCATGCAGGCATCGTCACGGCGGAGAGCGCAACACTATCGCGTTTCTTCGCGTCGTTTTCTTTCTCGATCAAGTCCTTTCGTTCAATTATCGCGGAAATCAGGGTGTCGAACAGGTTCTTGACCCCTATAAGCGGTAGGTATAGATGCAGGGACAACGATAACGTTGAGCAAGAGTTGACGTCACGACGGATAAATTAGACGGAAAACTTACCGTAGTCATCCTTCGCAGATACTTCGAAGAGGCTCATACCTTTCTCCAGCCCCCATTCCTGGTCGTCGAAGGTTTCGTCCTCTTCTTCTTCCTCAGGGACACTGTTGCTAGAACCATCTAGGCCATCGACTAGTGCATTCGTCGCGGTCTTAAGCCCAAAATGGCTTGCGAAGCGAGACGAAAGCATAGGTTGAACCGATCTGTCTCGATCGCGATCAAGTAGCTTCTGTCGGACTGGAGAACCAGCGGCATTGGATGACTTTGCGCGTTTGAGAGGCCCGCTCTCCGCCGCATGGCCATTTCCAATAATATTGCTTGAGGTCTGACGAGCGAGGGCAGTTGTAGAACGCCGGAGCTCGGAGGGTCGGGATAAACTATTGTCATCGAGAGCCTTCGGCGCGAGCTGGTTTGGGGGTACAGATCTGGAAGTAGTGAAGGACGTAAACCGCGGCCGGATGTAGGATAAAGTGGATTGTTGTGGAGCGGGTTGCGGGGTTGGGGCAGGAGGACAAGGAGGAGGAAACCATGTAGCCAGCGACAAGCGGACCCTGTCAGAGGTCACTTGACGGGTTCGATGAAGATCCGCTTTTGAACCCACGATATAGATTATCAGGTCGGATGGGCAATTTTTCTTGAGCTCTACATGGAAAATGTCAGTCATTGTCGCATATAGCATGATGATTAGAATTGTGGAGCGGAAATAAATTGGCCGGATGATAATCTCTGGGTGATAGCACGGGTATCTGTCACGCACCTTCAAGCCACCCGCGAACGGCTTCGAATGTGGCAGCATTCGTGATGTCGTAAAGAAGCAAGGCGGCATTGGCACCGCGGTAGTACATGGGAGCCTGAGTAATGTAGGATGAGGATCAGTCACTTGGTGAAAGGCCGGAGTGACCAAAGTGCTCTGAATGGCACAACAATTGGTAGTTGTTGGAGAAGTGTTGCACGTACCATGCTCCGGAATCGCTCCTGCCCGGCGGTATCCCACAGCTGCAACCGTACCTTGAGTCCATTGACGTATACTTTCTTCGTGACGAAGAATGCACCAGTGGTGGAGGTGGTGTTTCGCGGGTCAAACTTGTTCTGTGTGTATCGCTGAAGGAGACTCGTTTTGCCCACGCCTAGATACGCAGTCAGCCCACGATGCAGAATACAACATGCGGTATGCATGAGAGAAGTAGTACGAGTGCTCACCGGTGTTGCCCATAACGACTATCTTCGCGTCAACGGAACGGGTGTCATAGTTGTATTTGCCATAGCTGCCAAGTGGGGCATAGTCTGAGGGGGTCATGGGGGCCGTCGTGTCTGGCAGCGACGCGCACAATTAGCAAGGGCGAGGAGTTGAAGAGGGGACGTGGTAAGGAAGGAACGGGCTTAAAGGAGGGGGCAGAGAACAAGTCGGCTCTGAGAGCAAGTGAAGCTCAAGTTAGGAGTCTCTCTCTAATCGAAGGACCAGGCACTCGGACAGTCAACGAGCCTGAGTCACGTGGACTCATCCACCATTTCCGGCCGGGTACATTGCCCGGTTTCAGAGTGTCCCCGCCGTTAATAAGTCTACGTTAGCTGACAAGAGGAATGCAACTTGGATAAATGTCTTATTCGTTTCAGCGCACACAGCAAACTATAGCGCGCAGCTCTCCACGCACTAGTTGCGCGCCCGACGTGACGGGAAGGACCACATAAACGAAGAGATGTACATAAAAGGCATAACCTTTATTTTTTGGGACGATTGCATGGACATGGATGATGATAATGAAAATCGACTACACTGCATACATAATCCATCTATTCTGCCTGAGCTGCAGGGAACTCAAACACAACATCCTTCCCAGTCAGCCGGCGATAGACGGACGAGAACGAGTCCAACTTGTACTCCAACGACGTCGCATCCTTCGAGTCAAGGAAGCTGCATAATTCGATGTGTCAGTATTCGTACAGGAGAAAATTAGTTAGTCGGCACGCACACTTTGAGAAGTTTCGAGCCGTCTACGGCAAAACGCGTGCGCTTGCCAACAATCTCAGTCGGGAAGACGAGATCCTCCAACAACTTCTCGTGTACGTGCGTCAAGGTCCTGGTGCGCGGACGTTTTTGCTTTGTACGGGAGTTACGGGTTGGCTTGCGGAGGATACGGCGTTGCCCAATAAACACAACATGGCGGTCTGCGAACTTCTTCTCAAGTTCACGAGTGAGTCTATATAGAGAGGACGCTGTATCAACACCTCTTATTTGCGCTATATTCATCTCATCGAGTCCACGCACCTGGCCTGAACTTTGTGGAAGGCCTTCAATTGAGGAACGGGAACGAACACAACAATCGCCTTCTTGCCTCCACGAACGTCTACTTCGCGTGCAGCTGATATTTGAAGAGGGCGTAACTCCGTCTTCAGTTCAGGAACGTTATTCTCTAGATCGATGAGTGCCTGCGCAACGGATGTCTCAGTTTCATCAGGGGGAGTCGTTGGGGCATTTGCAATGCGCAGGAATTTGTGTTGAACGGACATGGTGTGGACTGCAAAAAGGTGTAGATTATTATCGTCAGTGTCATCCAGTTCCTCAGTCCATCATCCACTCCACGCCAGCCGTTCTGCCACATTCGAACACCGCAGATACATCCCAGCATGTCCATTTTCATGCACGCACATCAAATACAGAATAAAAGGGACTAACCTGCTCACCAAGGACGGGATCTTGACGTCGTGAGGCCTGTGTTGAGTACAATCCTTTGTGCAGAGGCTGGATTGGCGGCACACGTGTGGTCGCCCTTTCGATTCGGCCTCCGGGAAAACTTTATTTTTTCTCACGCTTTTCTGAAACTAAAATGGGACTGTTATTTCATCCCCCGATATCCGATACTCTTCCATTCCACTGGTGAATAGATTCGCACTTCTACGCGTCTAATAATAATTTTTATTTGAGGCGGATGCAAAGGAGGAATGGCGGAACGGTGTCTATTGTTCTTGGGTCGGATCTTCGACGAGGGAAAGATGGGAGGCGGTTGCCATAACCTAAATTATCGACGGAGCTGAGCGCGTCAGTGCATCAAGGCGAACATCACCGAGAAGCACAGTCCATCACGTTCTTTTCTCAACAGACCTTTGCTCCGTGTGTATTAGCCTTCAATATGTAGTCGTCCTATGGCCTCTCGTCAGGCCATCTCCAGTATCCACTTATTAGGTTGAGGCACGGGCGCAATGAGGGACCCGACTAGATATCCGTAGTCTTGGTCTGATTGCGTTCCCGGACGAGAGCCATTAGAAATTAGTATGCGAGTCTTCGATTAGAAGCACCTGGTCTCATTCAGCCGGGCCTCCCGACCCTTGCCTCGTCCGATGGTGGAATTGTCCTGAAGAGCAACTCTAACTTGTACCTCTTCCTTCATCAACCCCATCAGCCTTCTTCTCTTCCCTCCAGTCGCCCCCGCGCGGGCGAGAGCCGCATAACCATGCCATACATCGACTTCGTGGCCAAGGACGATCGCCTTTCGTTATGGTACACCACTAATACTCGCAATGGCGCAGTCGGCGACTTCGACCCAGAAAAGCCTGTTGTTGTCATGTACGAAGGGCTCATGTATATTTCATTCCCTTTGTCTATACTAAGTTTACCTTGAATGCCACCAGGCTGCACCCTCTTTTCCTGGACTCCACTTGGCTTATTAACCAGTTCGAAGACCCTCGACTCACCGAACGTTACAACTTGCTCGCTGTCGACTTGCGCTGCTCGGGCCGGAGCCATGCTCGTCCGAGCCCCGCACACGACACCTGGGTTGACGCCGCGGACCTGGCCTTAGCGCTCATGGTGCGTTTTCTGCGCATTGGCTACCCATTTACTTGAGCGCGCCGGCGTGTGCTGATTGACGCATGTTTCTGTTACTTTTGCTTTGATTTATTTTTGTAGGCTCTGGGACTTCCACCGGCCCACATCCTGGCCATTGAGAATATTTCGGTGAATGCGGCCCTTCGGTTAGCAGCCTTGTGAGTAGACTGTGCCGGTTACGTCTCATTTGCGGAGAATTCGGGCATATATGGAGACCGACGTGATTCTTATTGTGCTTGACCTAGGTTTCCGGAGTTGTGCCAAAGCCTGACGCTGGTCAATGTTCCTCCGCCTACCGAGTGAGTTCGAATGATTCTATGCGCTGCGTTTACCTCATCCATATACTATCGCAGGCTTGAATGGGTGTTTGAAACGTATGGTGAACTCCTCAGCTTATGGTGTCATCCTCAAGACCTGGATGAATACGAACATGCATTGCTGGAAATGACTACATACTTCTTAGAGAAGGTATTTGTATTATGATTCTTGCCAAGCGTCGTTTATTGTGCCTCTAACCTTTCTGGTAGGATCCATCCGCAGATCTCAAGGACGAGCTCATTGCCTACTGGACATCACAATATCCTCCATGGCGACGTTCTCGGGTCTACGAATTGTTTCACTGTGTCCTCAACGTTAGTTTGCTTCCTATCAACGCGACAAGCTCGCACCTGAACACTGACTTCGAAACAGCGAACGCCATTATCGGAGACCGTCCTTGCATGTATCACGCAACCAACCTTGATTATCCAGGTATTCATTGCATTTATCAGTGATTCGAGATGACGTTCTAAACTTTGTTACCTCTTCTCTTCTTCTTTCCTTGATGGTTTCACTTTAATAGTCCGACAAAACGGATATCAACCCAATCAAGTATGCAGATAGATTAGCATCATACTTGGTGAATGTTGAGGGGAAGGCTCGGGTTCACACTATTAAAGGTAAGTATACACCTTGGCACACGTCGAAAGTATTGGATTGATTTCCCACAATCCAATACCGGACATCCTTGCTTCTCATCTTCCTTTATGTATCCTAACTGACTACACGTCCCATAGGCTCACCCGAATACGTGACGGTGGTCCCTACTTGTGCTACGATTGTGAACCGTGTCTTCGCCGAGTTTCTCTCACGACAACCGAGACCACATAGCCCGATCAGATTGAACAGTGTCACTGCCGCGGATAGACGTGCGCGGCTACAAGAGGCGCTGATAAAACTTGCAGACCTCGTGGATGATACATCTATCGCTGTGCGAGATCCGATGAGCTCGCTCAGTTTTTCGTGTGTCAGTCCGGAGGTGCTGCAAAATCAGCACGATGTCCTTCGAAGGCAAATGTTAGATGAACACTTGGCATTCTCGCCACTTGGGATGGACGGACGACCATGTCGGAGGTGAGTATATTGTTTGCCGGACTTTCAGAATGATGATGGTTGACGCTTCTCTATATTTTTTATTCCAGATTCTCTGAACGTTACAATGATCACTGGTTCCAGGCCGAAAAGGATGAGGACCACTATAAGCGTAAGTCTAATATCCGTTCGTCGTCTGGTTCACATATTCACAAGTCTTCAGCGATGCATCTCAACAAGGAAGAAAAACTCAAGGCATTGGAGAATCTCGTCACGCAGACAGAGAATCAGTCACATACATCCGGCAAGGACGGCGGATACCTCTCTGCGCAGGAACCTGTCTCGAGCGAGATTGCACGCACCGGCCGCCTGCGACGTTCAACTATTTCAAAACACGTCGTCGAGAAGGCAACAATTGGCGGCTCTGGCGGAGGCTTCGCACCCACGATTATTTCGAATACCCTCCATATGAGCAAGCTACGGTTCTAGTCCCTGTGGATTCTGAGGCCTGTTTACTTATATCTCGGAGGCTTTGCCTGCATCAGGGTCTGTTTTCCTTTCGCTATGGCGTCCGCAGCATGCTTTGTCCTTCGTGTTTTGCTCAATACCTTTAATCCTTCCTGCCCACTTCATCAGGCACCTCCAACTAACCTTTCTCACACACGCCAGGTGTCGTCTGTTTATGTGACATTGGGCCTTGTTCACTTATTCATTTTATCTGCTTGCTACCTGTATCCTCTTTTTTCCTCGTCTTTCCCGGAACTTTCTCCTCTACACTCCCTATTTTATAGCAGAACGATACCACTTCTCTTATCTTCCTCGCTATGGGACGCTGGTCCGAAAGCTTCCTTGCCTACAACGGTCGTATATTCTTCTTACACCTCGCACTATTCGATCACACATCTCTGCCCCCGCTCACCCGACTTATTCACGACATCAGGCCTAGGCTATGGCCATTCGACGACTTATGTTGTTTCTCAGGTTTCCCAAGCTATCCCCGTTACTTCGCATCATGTACACACCAAGGTTCTGGACAGGCTCTGGATTCGTCTATTTTCGTTCTGTCGTGTAGGCATTAAATGTATATACTAGATGTGCCATAATACCGAGTCAATGCAGACTGTCGAGTTATATCCTTTGCTTTCTTGTCTGATTGGTGGTATGCTTAGATCAATGCGAACTCTGATTTGTTGGCTTACGTGAGCGTGCTGTGAAGACGCGGAAAGTGGATTTCTTTACGACGGTACGCCAGGACGCGACGTTTGTGTATCCCGCTTTGAAGGCTTGTTTTCTGGATGCGTAGCGGTATTTCTAGCTTGTGGACGCGTCGCAGGCACTAATAGGTACACTGCACGAGCAGTCTAATCTGTGGTGCGTTTCCGTGCTAATTACTAGCCAGCTGGCGTACTCAGTCTTCGACTAATTTTCCTGTTGTCTATATTTTATAGGATGACCAGAACACGAGGAGTTGATGCTGAAGGCGTCCTCATCGGGCATCGGCATCGTCCTCACGCTCCGTCGTCGTCTCGCACTTACGCCAACAACGATAATAACAGATTCATGTCGTGGTTTTCTTCAGGTTCAGTCTCGAAACAGCAGCGATTTTGCTGCTCGATTTGCTGGACAGCTTGGGAAGAGGCGAATATTGGGCGATGGTCCGAGTTCTTCAATCAGTCGCGAAGTGCAAGGGAGGAAAAAGGTGAAGGGTTACGCGCCGTTGGTTCGTGCGGCTCCAAAATATGGACCCGTTGGCTCACGTACGCTAGAGGAAGGAGGAGAAGAGGTACGAAAAGCCGAACAGTCTGGGAAGCCCAAAGGAAAGCACATGAGTGGTGCTTCAAAGATCAAACGGCACGTCAGGTCCTCGCGATCTTCACCCAGGCGCGGTCGAGCGAAAAGAGCCAAGAAAGCTGTTTACGTGCAGTCCGAAAATCTCGAAGTCGTGCCGGACTCAGAATTGCAGACTCTTCCAGAATTACCGATGTTAGACGACTCTGTGCTGAACTTACAAACTCAATCTCATTCCAAACTGGACGTATATTCATTACTAGACGATCGTCAAATAGAGGACCTCTCAGTACCCGAGCTACGTGCTCTAATATTCCACAAGGGAACAGACCTGATGCAAGTTGCATGGGATGCATACCAACGACTTGTCTCCATCGAAATGGACGAAAACATCCTCCGCGAGCGTTCCGACAACAAAGATACAGATACACACGACGACCCACTTACTACTGTCCGGCTACTTGCCACTCTAGCCAATCGACTAATAGCAGAACGCAAAAACCACCGAAAGAACTCGAGAGAGATCTTCCTCCGACTTTTATCTGTCTACGCTCGTCTACGTCGAGAACGGGGTCAAGCAGAGGGAGTGCCGTACTTGATGACGGCAGAATGGAACGCACTGATCCATTGTGCGGGAACGGGATTGCGCGGTAGGCTTTCTCTTGAGGCGTATAATGCTGCCTTGGATGTCCACGATGATATGCTACGCGGAGTGGGCGACGCCAAACTTGCAGGCTACGAAACTCTCGTGAAAGAGGTTGAGCCGGACATTTATACGTATACCACGCTACTCAACATTGCCTTGCGATCTGAGCATCAGCCCGCTATTGACCATGCTATGAAGCTCCTGGAAGACTCGAAGAAGGAGCCGACGCGTATTACTCATTTGTGTATGATGCGTTATCGGTATAGGCTTGAAGGTCTTTCGGGAGCGAGAGCTGTACTCGCCCAGCTTCATCCTGAGGAGATTGGTTCGGATGGGATTACGGCGTATTTGACATGCGCTGGGAACGAGGGAGACTTGAATGTTATTGAGAAGATATACAACGCCCTTCGACGGAATATACAAGAACCGGAACATAACAACGGGACGTCTAGCACTATTCAAGTTCAAGATGACGCCTCCAATGCATCCGAATCTAGTGACGATGTTGATAAATACGTCTCCGTCGAGGGTATCCGTTTTCCACGTACGCTCGGTCCTTCTGAGGCTGTATACAACTACGTAATCCAAATTTTCGCGTACCACGGCCGTCTCCTAGAAGCACTCCAAATCTTCACCGAGATGCTCGAAACGCGTCACCCATCCCCATCCTCATCCTCATCCCCAGATAAAGGGGGGTTCTTCCAACCAAACTACGCCGTCTTCCGAGCTCTTTTCCTCGGATTCGCGAGACACAGTCATATGGTCGAAAAACGGCGAGTCCTGGCGAAACGGCTCATTGAAGGACAAACAACGGAATGGACTTGGGATAGGTTTTGTGTCCTTTTGGATACGTTCTTGGGATTGGGTGAGACGATCACACCGAGTGAGAGGATGGTGTTTTGGATTATGATTGCTGTTAAGAGGTTGACTGGGGATGAGCAGTTGCTGAGGCAGACTTGGCATAAGTTAACTTCGCGGTGGCATATTCGAAAGGGCGGGAGGTTAAAAGTACTTGACCTTAAGTATGGAAGTCCGGTAGAAGAGGCAGTGGGGGAACACGGGAAAGAGAAAAGCATTGTATAGAATTTAATTCACTGCAACAAGTTGATTTGATTTGCTCTCATCTAGTACATTGTTTGATAATACAATCGTCTTCTTGCTTCATGTCCAATCAAAGGAACTAAACAATGTCGTTCCTAAATGGATTTGGCCGCCGGACTATACAATTGTACAGCGCGCCATGCATCACACTTCACCACCATTCTCTGTCCTCCAAGCTATGAACTCCTCGTAGCTAACAGTGCATTTACTACTCTGATATCTCCGCAGTTTGATACTGCGCCGCAAGTCCTCAGTGATACGGCCCTCCCAGCCTGCCTTGCGGATTGCACTGTCGATGGCATCTAGCTGGTCCCAGCCCTGTTCGGGCATGACGTCTGGGAGATATGTCGCAGTTAACGGGCGCCGAGTGAAACGTGTGCTGGATCGCATGCCCTGAGCTGATGGCGTCGGCGACGGTGTGGCGGATGAGTCGGCGAGAACACCAGATAACGCTGGGTGTGTGAAGGAGATGTAGATACCGTGTATGCCGACGGTCCAGTCGAGGTAGGACGAGGCGTCCTCGAAGTCTGTTAGGAGCGAGATACTATTTATTCATCGTATTGTATTATATCGTGTTGAATAAATATTCCGATTGTAGAACGTTGTCCTACATGTAGTAGTCAATCCAGACGATAAAGATGATATGAATGAAGGACATACGCGCACTCGAGTGTGGGGAGTTCAGTGGCTACGATAGGAGCGAAACGCGTGTCCTTGAAGGCACTGTAGATCGCATAGTCTAGTATTCCCTCATGCACGGGTTGCGCGTCGAACGTCCCGATACATCCACGTAAGCGCGGTGCGCGTCCCGGACGCGTAGAGCGGGTATTCCATGTCACGAACAGCGGGCTGTAAGGAAGGATCTCATTAGATCGCAATCCTCCCCTGTCTTCGTAGGGAGAGACCGAGACATGGAAAGAGTCTTACTATTTCTCATCTGGGAACGTGGGCTTGACGCGTTCGCGGCCAGTGAGTTCGCAGTAGAGAGTGTCGAACGCGAAATAACAGTGTTCTGGAGTGGCTGCCTTGTTCTCTGGTACCGCTCCCTCCTCAGCTGCCGGGGGGGACTCAAGGAGCGACATCAACGCAGGAGGGAAACGAACCGAGCACTGGCAACTCGCGGTCTCACAAGACGTCGATCATATCACAGGAACAACACAGGTCACCTGTATTACTATATCCTTATTTATGTTATTGCCTCTTACGGCCCCTTTTAGCATCCTCTCGTCACTCAGCTCATTTGCGTCATTTCACTGTTATCTCTTATCGATTTGCATTGGCATGGGACATAGGGTGTGAACAGGAGATCATAGTGAACAATATGCTCGGATGAAATGAAAAGACAAAAGAGAAGAGACGCGATTACTCCCGTGCCTTGAGAGGACCAAGGAACGCCGCCTTCTCCTCGGCTGTCTGGAACGAACCATGCTATAAACAGACGTGTTTAGTTGAACTTGCCTTACAAAAATCAAAAATACATAGCAGATACTCACGCCGAATTTCGACGAAGTGTCGATGAATTTAAGAGTGACTTTCTCGAGGTCCCGACGGGAAGTGTGGACCATGAGGGATTTGCGGAGCGTGATGACTCGCTTTTTGGTACCAGGGATAGAGCCCTTGAGCATTAAGAAATCGTTCTTGACGATACCATAATGCGGGAAACCACCCATGGGCGTGATCTGCTTCTTGGTAGCGTCTGCATCCGTCGTTGCGTTGTTCTCGTCGTCGCCCTTGCCAACGCGGTAGATCTTCTTGTTAAGCTCGGTACGGTGGTGGTATCCGTCTATATGCGAAAATAAATATGAATTTTAAAAAAGGATACAATTTGACACGTACTTTGACCGGCACGCGCAACGGAGAACATGACCTTGGACGGATGCCAGGCACCAATACAAGCGACCTTGCGGAGACCCTTGTGCGTCTTGCGAGGAAGCTTCTTCGTCCCCCAACGGTGCGTAACACCCTCGAAACCATGACCCTTCGTAACAGCAATGACGTCGATAACTTCATCCTGTTCGAAGATGGAGCTGACATCGACGGGTTTCTCGAACAGGCCATGTGCAAATTCAACCTTGTCCGCAACTGAACCACCGTTGACCTGGATCTCCATCAAATGCGCCTTCTTCTGTTTGAGACCAGTCTGTCGGATTTGAGTGTGTGCAAGGACACGGACGACAGTGCAGTATTTGCGAATACGCTCAAGCTCTCGCGCAACGGACTTTCCACCATCCTCGGCAGCCTTCTTTGCGTAGCGAGTGAAGGCCTTCTTCTTCGAGCGGTACCAGTTCTTGTAGAAGCGTCGCTTGAGCTCGTCCGAAAGGTGGGAAGCCCAGACGGTAGTGAGTGTACGAAGACCACGGGGTGTCTCGACGTAACCAACAACACCAACAACCATCATTGGCGGAGTCTCGACGACAGTCACGGCCTCGACAACTTCACGCTTGTTCATCTCTGCAAACACTAGCATTCAACAAGCGTAACAAGAATAATTGCAAGTAACACGCACTCGATCCAGGACGGTCAAGGTCACGAACAACGTGGGTCATACCAGCCTTGTAACCCATAATCGCCGTGAGGTGAACAGGCTTCTTGGGGTCATCCTTAGGGAACGACTTGACCTTTCCCCGGTGACGCGCCGCACGCTTGCGCGGAAGGAAACCAAGAGAGCCGTGTCGGGGAGCCTCGTACTAACACCAGAAATTAAGCAATATGAGTACTTGTTCTAGTTCATGCTGGTCAAACTTGCTACAGACCTTACGGTGACTAGATAGCGTTCGATCAGTCAAAGCTAATGGAAACGATATACTGGATATCCATACCTCATTTTTGATGTCTTGAAGATACTTGAGGTTACTGCCGCTTCGACTTCAGAAAAGTTGAGGTCGTCGAGGACTGTCTGTCCAAATATGGTAACGTGCTGTATAGCTGCTTGTTTCCACCTAATCGGACTTTGCCGAATTAACTTCGTTCTGCTCGTATACTCAAATTGCCATGGATTTTACGAATATCAATGCAAGTTGCACTGGTTTACTTCGAGTTACAGCAGAGTCTTATGTGCGGTGCTCTCTCAGGACCCAGCAGGTGTATCTGCTCTACTGGAACGACTTCGAACCTCTCAAGCTTGGAATGATCTACAGACTCAAGAACAATCTTCCTCGGCTGTAGTACCACCTGAGCCTCAAGCACAACCAGAGCCTACTCATCTCAAAGCGCCGTTAAATAATGCAGAAACAAATCCCTCTGTTTCCAGCCTTCTCTCTCAGCTCAAGTCCTCGTCTGGTCCTGCCTTAAGCGCGAATACCTCCCTTCAAATGAGCAACTCGTCTTCTACCCCTTCCATTACACCTCCAGTCGTATCATCAGCTAGACCTGCGAAAGACGCCCGGAACCTAACGTTCCAGCAGGCTCTACCACACCTTGCTCAACTCTCTGATGATCCTGCCTTTGTTGAAGCAGTCACCAAAGTATGCTATCGCTGTTTTTTTCTTCCTGCTTGCTCTTATTGAACGATTCTGCACTTTCTGAAAGATGCGTCGTGAACAGAATGACTTAGAGAAACAGCTCTGGGAAGAAAGACAGGCTTTGCATGCTAAACAAGAGGAGAAGGTTAAAATTGCTGTGAACAAGTAAGCTTCCTGATAAATTTGCTATCACCGGCGAATTATTTATTCATACATGTTCTTTTCATAGAGCTAGCATCACAGGGGGACTTTCTGAGCGCGATGCAAATGTTAGAACAGCAGCTTTATACTAATATTCTTATTAATCATGGTTATTTTATTATTCTACTGTTAGGCAATGCGTCAAGTATTCGAAGTCGAGCTGAGTAAATTTGACCGCGAGCGAGTATTACTTGCATGGGATGGGTTAATTTCGCGCCAACAAGCTGCACTTGAGAAGCTTGGTGTTCCGGCAATGTTTGTATCCAGTGAGGGTTCTGATAGGGAGGTGAGAGTTTCTATTCTATTCTTTGATGAAAGAAGATGATGGCGAATGACGACTTCCTTCTTCTCAAATGAAGCGCCAACAACGAGTAATCCAGGTTCTAGAAGGCATTTTGGGCTCAAGTGAGTCGAAGGGGGCACCGTGAAGGCGAGCAGTGGGAGATTTTGTACTGCAACTCTTGTAATTTAAGTCTCGGTTCTTAAGCTTTTCGTGCTGCGTGACTTCTCCCGCGTATCTGTTCTTGTGTTATGAATGTCTGGTGACACATGGTCTTGGCGCGGAAACATGTATTAGAGGGGTTATGTCGGACGTCATTGTTTGATGGAGCACAATGAAGGTGGGCTATAGAAGTAGGTGGTTGCGTGGCGTCCTACACAATTGATTTCATGCCCCTTGAATGACTTGTTAAGTGTGGCTTCTCCCGTATACGTGTTTGCTTGCTGGACGCAAGTCAGCACATTGCTTTTGTCTGGAAACCTCCTGCCTGAAACAAATGGTGTCGGACGGCGTTTACATGACTCACCCATAACAAACAGTAAGACGTTCCTCGGTTTGATCACTCACGGTCGTACTTATTTTCGCCTTCGCATAACAAATTGATTGATAAGAAAACGTATTCTTAGCTCAGATCGTGTTTGATGCGATGCTATCTTTATGCAGATAACACACGTATGTCAGACAGACGCCACCAGTGACTGTAAATGCTCGACAAGTCTCTGGGCATTGAGCTTGGCTCAAATGAAAAGGGACTTGGACACGTTGAATAAGGAAATTAGACGAGCGTGAGGACTGAAATCGAAGTTCTTCTATCCCCGAATGAGTCCTTGATCAACGTAAACGCGCCGTTCAACAAGTGTCTTGTCCTAATACGGAAGTGGGGTGCCTGATCTATCCGGGCTTTAAAATTCTGCTTGGCTCGTCCATTTTAAAGACCAGCTCCCCTTTCTCCCCTTCACCTCCATCTTCATCCGTTTGCAGGTAATAGGGGCAGCATGGGCGAGTTCTCTGGCCAGCTCATTTCCCTTATGAAGAGGGCTGCCGCTGAGCAGGTAAGTCGCATACCAGACCGATCCCGGAACCAGTCAGAACGGCCCTGCAAGGCGGTCGCATTAACATCTTCAACAGGGCGGCATTATATCCGGTGACAATCCTGCCAGATACAATGACCAGGATCCGCTCAGGCTATGGGTCATTCAAGTCGCTATTATCGTCATCTTCACTCAGCTGCTTTCGTTGGTTCTTGGGCGCATCCGCCAGCCGCGGGTCATCGCCGAGGTCATTGGTGGTGTCTTGCTTGGACCGACGGTGATGGGCCGTATTCCCAACTTCTCGAACAGCATATTCCCTACCCAATCCATCCCACTTCTGACGCTTACGGCCAACATTGGACTTGTGTTCTTCCTCTTCTTAATTGGCCTTGAAGTCGACACTGGTGTTATGCGCCATAACGCTCGTGCAGCGTTTTTCATCAGTACCGCTGGTCTTATTCTCCCGCTCGGGCTGGGTGCAGCTCTTGCTGTTCCTCTTTACCACGCATTCGTCGCTGTAAGTAGTTTGCAAACATCTAAATACCTTAATTTCATACTAAATTATTGCACTTTGCGTGTAGGATACCGTGAATTTTGGATACTTCATCCTGTTCGTGGCGGTGGCGATAGGCATTACTGCATTCCCTGTGCTGTGCCGTATTCTCACGGAAACGCACTTGCTTGACACACCCGTTGGTGTAGTAACGCTTGCTGCGGGAGTCGGAAATGACGTTGTCGGCTGGATTCTTCTCGCACTCGCCGTCGCTCTTGTGAATGCGTCAACTGGACTAACTGCTCTCTATGTCCTACTAACTGGTATAGGGTGGGTGCTCTTCATGCTCTTCCCGGTCAAGTGGGCATTCCGGTGGCTTGTGCGCAAGACAGGGAGCATGGAACGCAGCCAACCAAGCATGTTCATGATGACTGTCACGTTTCTAATGGTTCTCATATCTGCCTTTTTCACCGATATAATCGGGATCCACGCTATTTTTGGTTTGTTACGTCTCGTTTTCTTCGAAGTTGTGAATATTAATTGTTCTCGGCATTACTGCAACAATTTAGGTGGCTTCCTTGCTGGACTAGTTGTCCCGCATGAAGGTGGTTTTGCGATCGCACTAGTTGAAAAACTTGAAGACATTATCTCACTTGTGTTCTTGCCTTTGGTATGTATTTTCTTTCTTTCCTTTATCATACCTTAGAAGAAAGTTCACCTGCTGCACATAGTATTTCGCCTTGTCTGGTTTGAGGACCAATCTAGGCCTGCTTGACAATGGAAAAACTTGGGGTTATGTTGTCTTCATATGTGTCATTGCCTTTGTTGGCAAATTCTCTGGCTGCTTCGTAGCCGCAAAACTCAACAGATTCAGCCTTCGCGAGTCTGGAGCAATCGGGACTTTAATGAGTTGCAAAGGACTTGTCGAGCTCATCGTACTGAACGTCGGTCTGCAAGCAGGCATCCTCGACACGAGGACGTTCTCCATGTTTGTTTTGCATGCTATCGTTCTGACGTTCATTACAACGCCTCTTACTCTATTGTGGTATCCTGTATCTAAGCGAACATTTGTTGGGAAAGGAGCCGTTGGCAAGGACAAACATGGTAAAGATGGAGGAGGGGCCCTACCACCCTCAGAGGACGGACTAAAGACCAAATTCGCTGTCGTCCTAAACAGGGTTGAGCACCTTCCTGCGTTGATGACTCTTGCGCAGCTCCTCAAGCGACCCACCCCCTATAGACGCATTTCGTCGGATACTGCGACTGGGAGTATTCAAAACGAAAAGCCTGTTTCATTACCTCCCGTTCAGCTCTCCGCGCTCCGATTGGTCGAACTCACAGAGCGTACATCTGCGGTGCTTCGTTCCCAAGAGTCAACCGCACTTGCTTCAGCGGATGCACTGCTCGGCGTTGTTCGGGCATGTGGACGCTTAAATCAGCTGCCTGTCTCGGCTGAACTGGCTGTTGTGTCGTCAGATGAATTTGCTCGTCGAGTTGCTGGTTTCGCGAGCGAGCATGCCGCGCATATAGTTGTCATACCATGGTCACTTACGCTCTCTTCTCGCACGAGTATTGCTAGTACCCCTGGTATAGAAGAGCAACACGTCTCGTTCACTACACCTTTCCCGGCTGCTTTATACAATCCATTTGAAGGAATGTTTGCTGCAGCGTCCAGTGTTGGCTCGGGATCCGTCGTTTACACCGCGTTCATTCGGAAAGTCTTTATGGATTCACCTTGCGATGTAGCACTCTTTGTTGACCGTGCTGCTTCGTCGCCTGACGTATCGGTTGCAAGCGCTGTGGCTGACATTGACGGTCATCATCTGTTCCTGCCGTTCTTCGGTGGACCGGATGATCGGCTTGCCCTCGAGCTGCTTGTGCAACTGTGCACGAATCCAAATGTAACAGCAACGGTCATCCGCATTCACATATCTGAAGAACCCACTGCAGAGGATGCTACTATAGAGCGACTTGATACTGTTGAGCAAGAAAAGGCCGCTGCACTTACGAACTTCACAGTTGCTGGTCCAGCTCCTAATGCTGATACAGTATATGGTGCGCAGACGACGGCTACGCGCTTGCAATCCGAGACAGCGGACGATATCGTTTGGAGTCGATATGCCTCGCCTTCAAATGCTTCGCCTCCTCTTCCACCCGCTACAATAGACGCGCTGAAGCGCATTACGTTCGCCACCGTATCCTCTTCGCAGCCATTGCGTGTCGCACTCACGCGTGCAGCTCAACAACCCTGGACTATTGCTATTGTCGGACGTGGACGACGAATGGCGCGCACGACGCATCGTGCGGAGCTCAAAAAGCTGTTACTCCACGCGGGTCATGGACACAAAGACGCAGGTGCTGCAGGTGGTGAGATGAGCCGTACCGTTGGAGATGTTGCTGCTGCTTTGCTACTTGCTCCCCATGGTGGCGTTGCGACTGCTGCTGCTATGCAGGGATCTGTCATTGTTGTGCAGGCTGCTCTTCCTCGTGGACAGAGTGCTTAGATGTGCTGGATTGGATTTATTACGACGTATATATTTCATGTCATGGTTGTGCCTGTATTTTTATATGTATATACTTATCGACCGTTCATTAGTATTACAATTTTGTGCATGCTTCCCTGCACTATACCCTGTAAACCCGGAGACTGCTTGGTCGATCATGGTTCTTCTAGTTGTTTGTTCAAATTTGCATGCACGTTGCTTGCTTTTACGAGCTTGTCGAATTTTACGAGTGCGCCGCCGAAAATGTCCAGTGAGCTAGTTCGCCAAATTGATTATCAGCAGCGGAGTGTGATAAAGTTAAATGGAAAGTAAGGTTAAACTAACAAACCTTCCATACGTAAGGTCCACACGGCCATTAGAGAGACGATCTACCAATGCAAGGTCTGAAATGTCTTTCGCACCACCGGCGTATGTGGTTGGTATTGTTGTCCATTCGCCTAGTTCTTCCGAAATCGTGAGTACAAGGAAGGGGACTAGGGAAAGAAGGGGTACTTACTTGTTACGAGCTCTTCGTCGATGCCTTTACAGAGGCCTTCGACGTCGGCTGCATGGATGAGGAATTCACTGAGGTGGATAAATGCGTCGATATTTTGTGTTATTCGGATTGAGGATATCGAAAATGATAAGGATCTCGATAGTGTGGGGAACAAAGAGAATATATTATACCTGCAATATTCTGCGAGGAGGTCTAGAGTATCTTTACAGACTTCCATATCTGTGATATCTTGCCATTTGTTCATGGCTACGAGCCATTTATCGTCTCGTCTTCGACAACTGTATTTAACAGCACGAACGTTTGATGATTACGATAAGTTTCCAAACAGAACTGTGAGAAAAGCGCACCTGATATCAACGACCAATTTGTCATTCCCTATAGTACGTGATAGCGATTGAAGACGTTCGAGGGAGAAGCGCGCTGAGGGGAATAGGAAGGACGTAACAATGACCTTTCAGGGTGATGATGAGATTGGAAAGCAATAGAGACGGATGTTCCCTGGGTATACCTTGCTGGCCCCATGGCTCAGCCATTCTGAAGCATTCTGATCGGTTATACCGCCACCAATCTGCAGGCCTCCTTCGCTTCCCAGTAAATGCGTCAATGAATAAGTCTCCCAGCAGTTCTCAAGAACTACTACATACCGGGCCAAGCCGCAAGTGCTTCTTTCGCTGCATCATCATTTCCAGGACCAAGTTTGATGACATGCCCACCAGTCAGCGCGTGTTCTTTGTACAAGTGGGCGAAATGGGCGGGTGATTCACTACGATAGTGAGTTTAGTATAATTAAGTTATATGCTATTCCCGCCCACTGATAGATAAACGCACGTGCCTTGCTACGAAATTTGTTTTTAGAGAAGCAGCATCGTTTGAGAGGGTTCCGCCGACTATTTGTTTTACTTTACCGTCGTGCAGGTCAATACATGGACGGAATACGCTGTGCCGACGTTTGTTCCCGGTGCAGGACATATTCTGTACCGAAGGCAAGCAACGAGGAAGATCGACGCCAACTCAGAAGTTGAGTGAGTTTGATCGAATTCCCGATGTCGTCATTTTTCCAGATCCGAAAGGCTCGCTGATGACGCAGACATGCTTGCGAGAGAGAGAAGCCCTTCGAGCGTGCGACGGTTCGCACATTCCCCATTGCTGCCGTTCCAGGCTGTGTTCCGCTGTGCCGTAACACCCTGTCCGGCCACATCTTTATTATATAAACCTAGGTTTACCCCAATGCTTTCACGACGCGTTCGATAAGGTCCACCCCTTTCTTAATGCCTCCAGCACTCAGGAGCAGAGAGCCAATTGAAATTAGGAGAGCTCGAGGGGAGGTTGCTTGTGCCGAATGTCGAAGGTATGTACGCTTGCTTTTGTCTCTGGGAAATCAGTGACCTCATGAAATGAAGTTCTTAGGCACAAGCTGAAATGCGATCGATCAGTATGTGCTCCCTTGTTGTCGAGATGGACTATGCACAACAGAAATCTCATGCATACAGATCCCTTGCAGCACATGCATACGAAAGGGGTGCCAGGAGATCTGTCCGAATGGTACGCTGTCATTTTGCATGTTTATTCGTGGAATTGACAACTTTATATTCACTTAGGGACCTTGGCTGGCGTTCAACAACCGCGCCGGACTCAAACGCCCACGGATGAAGAGACACGTCAACGCAAGCTCACTCAAATGAGCAAAAGAATTCGGCAGCTAGAAGACGCACTGCAGATATCTCATAGCTCTGTGTCGACAGTCTCGCACCCGTTGCTCTCTGAAGACCTCTTAGACATCAAAAGCCTAGGAGAAGAACCCGCAGAAGTCAAGAAGGAAAGCGATGACGAGGACACTATTGGCTCATTCGGCACCTTGGCGGTGTTGGGTACAGGAATAGAATCCTACGTTGGCACGGACGTGGGTACTTCCATGTGTTTTGGATATAATAACGAATTCTTGCTTACAGTTTGATATAGGCATTGGTCATTGTACGTTCGTGATTCGTTATCCTGAATTATTTGGGGCTGATGTTGCGAAAGGATCGGCTTAGCTCTGCTGAGACGATTCATCTGAAAGTGAATCCAATCATCCCACCATCTATTTCCCGTGCCAGTGGCACGTTTCCATTTACGCCTCTTTACCTCCCCACTGAAGAAATCCAAGCGTCAATCGAGCAAAGATTGCCATCCTTCGAACGAGCGTCTGCACTGATTGAAGCCTATCTCGAAAATATCTCATGGTTCTCTCGAGCAGCTGATCGAGAGCAGATTATGGAAGAGCTCATACCTGAAGTTTATCGAAGGCGCCGAAGCGCAAACACCAATAGTAGTAATACAGCAGAGCCAACACACCCACATGTACTCTCGCTGCTACTTGCAGTGTTTGCTTGTGGCGCAGTAGCAGATCTAACCCTTTCGCCGTGGAGTGAAGAGGCCGACGTATACTATAATCTGGCTTGGACGGCTATTAGTCTGAAGCCTGTTTTTGACGGTGCTGGCATACACGTAGTGCAAACTATCGCGCTACTCGGATCCTACGATATTTTCTCGTGCCAGAAGAATTCGCTTGAAGGGACATGGAAAATCATCAGCTTTTGCATGTCGCTGGCCTCGAGCGTGAGTTTCTATTTTAAATTTTCCCTTTTGCAAGAATAGCACGTAACTTGAGGCCATTGACAGATTGGCTTACGTGGGTATCGACTATATCCATTCGTGATCTTTTTCTAACCCGTATTTATAGATCGGGATCCAGCACATTTCAAACTTCCGCCCAAGCAAGTTCAACGTAGGCGAAATTTATTTTGGGAACTTTACTCCCTGGACATGTGGAGGGTACGGCAGATTCTTTCTTGGGATAAAGAATTTATGATGAAAACTTTGAGCAGAGCATTGGCTCTGGACGACCGATAGCGTTCACCATGTCAGTCGTTGACTGTGAATTTCCGGAAGATAAGGATGCCACGCTCAACGAAGATGGTACAAGGGTTCCTAGTTGTACGTACTCCACTACCTTTAATTAACGCGCAGCTTACTCTTTGTTTGAAAAAGTGTGGCACATTCGATACCGCTTTGCAAGTGAAGTCATGGCCGGAATCGTAGAGAAACTTAGCTCCGCACGTCCCTTGAAGTACTCCGAAATTCTTGTCTTTGACCAGCAGATCCGTGACTTCGGTCCTCAACATGTCGTCAACCTGGCCGCAGCAAACGCCAGTGCATCACACGCAGAGAACGCAAGTATGACGAGTCTTCTGAAGAAGTGTTTATTGACTTTACTGAAAGATGCATGTGAGCCATTGTGACCTTTTGAAAAGCGCGCTGGGTTTTTTCTAACTTCAAAACGATTTTATTTAGCATTACTTTTGTTGCATCGGAATTTCTTTGTTCGAGCACTGGCCGAGAACCCATTGAATCCAATGAGGAGCCACTTTGCACCATCGTTCCTAGCAACATACCGCAGCGCAGCAAATATCTTACGTGTTATACGCGAGCAATTTGACTCTTGTGGACATTATTTGACGAGGGTCTGGCCAATTTGGGCGCATGCGCTTTCTGCGACTGTTATGCTTGGTTCTGTGGCAGCGGGTGGGATTACATCCGTTCTTGCGCCTCAAGCGTATCTGGAGTTCAACCTGGCTTTTGAAATGTTGACCAAGGTGCAAACGCATCCTCTTGTCAAGGAAGTGATGGTGCGTTTTTTTCTCTCCCAGTTGTTTTTTGTGGTCGGACTGACTGACTAATTTGTGTAACTCATAGCCGATGTTGTTACGCCTGCGCGATCAAGCAGTCCAAGCGCTGATGAAGAGCTCGGACGTCGTGCCAGAAAGTCGGCCGTTGATGGTCAACCTACCACCCACGAGAGAAGCAGAGAAGGAGTTCAACGTCGTCAGTGGGATGGGACGATTGATTAGGAAAGGTCTTGAGGAAGGAAGACTTGGCCATAATGCGATATCCCGACTCATTGACGAGTTGGGCCCGCCAGCGAGTGGGTCGAGGAGATCCATTTGCGCTCAGACAACGTCTGATTCTTCAAGGGGATTATACGACGGAATTGCTATTGATTGCCTTCCTAGTAGGACGGCCTTTGCAACTCCTGAAAGAGAATCGCGCAGAAGTGGCTCGGAAGGCCTGGATAGCCCTTTTGTTACTCGAGAAGGGAGCCAGGTTCCAAATTCAGCGATTCAAGCAGCAAACGGGACCGAGAGTGCACAAGTGATGGATCATACATCAGCGTCATTGCCACCATCCAGTTCATCGCGCGGCTCTTCTGAAGGCGGACGTCATGAACCCGTAGAGCAGCAAATCCTTCACGGTGGGCACGGAATGGACGTTGACTACAGTTCGATTTCTCAGGCTGATGACTTGACGGCGAATACACAAGGCGAAGTCGAGCAGATCCAGCAAAGTACGAGCCGCTCAACGCCCGATACACCTCTTAACTTCGATACACTGTCGACGCTTTCGCCAAATGGGGTGTTTAACACGGATTTCGACGTGAGCTATAATATGCGTGCTTCGACGGGTGAAGAAAGCGTCCTGCCGCTGTTATCTGATGACATGGACGTATGGCGCACTATCCTTCAGGATTCACGCTTTTTCGGTATTCCTGCTGAAATGCCGAATAGAGCTCAAGAAGAGTGATAGCAGTATTAGCTTGGTGTACCTTTCTTTTCATCGTATAGACTATTTATTGTACTACATAGAAAAGAACATTAAACTGTAGCAGTTAGTTGTCCGTTAAATTTATGTCCGATAGTGTTTCCAAAAGTGGAATGCTAGTTTATGTAATGATAAATGTGCATAGCCAAACTTTTTTTGTGTGAGTATGTCCTCATACCCCGACCGCTCACATGGATCCCCACTCACGGCTTTCGCAGTATAATAATCAACAGGGGCGGCCGAAGTCAGGTCCACACCTACAAAATATACGACAAATGGAAGTTAAGACGATGAATGTCTTTGAACACTTTCGGAAATCACCATCTGAGTCGTTCTCTTCGTCGAGGTCGGCTTCCTTGAAAGACCTAAAGGATTTAGCTACTCGTCCTATTGCATCGAATTCGCGAGTACGGAGGGATGAGAAATATAGAAGGGATATGTACCTTGCTTTCATTGATAATGCGCTGAATCAGAAGGCTCGGGTGCGTCTTTCTTTCATCTGGTAATAAGGACTGCTTTGTTGACTCTTGGTCTCGGGTTAGGGGATAAACGAACATTATGATGACCTCGTACGACAATTTAGCCCGACTTCTTTATCAGCTGCTGGACAGGCACCGCAATCGGCGGACCAGCAACAGCTGCGCGGGTATCTCACTGCACTTACACATGTTGTGTCGAAACTCGACCGCGCGCATTTTTCACTTGTGGATGCGATTGTGAGTATGCCTTGGACGACGATGGACTCGGCATTTGTCAAGACGTATATATCATTTGTTGGGATGCTTGTCAGTGCTAGACCGGAGTATCTTACGCTCGTATTGGAGAGAGCTGCGCAGAGTTTGACATACTGTAAGTCTTTGTTTCCGTGCATGGTTACTAGGCCGCAGTATATCTCGGAAAGGCTCATGACATGCCATTTATCCTTACCCAGACTCTGCTCGCAAAGCACTTGATTCCGGTTTTGCTGAAAGTTCATCTTCACCTTTGACTCGGCGTATTGTGTACGACCGAGTACACAGTCTTGTCGCACAGCTACTTGAGCTCATCCCAACCCTACCATCGGCTTTGTATCCTCTCCTCGCGCGTAACTTTCCTCACAAGCGGCAGCGCGAGGCAGAACATGTGACATATATTCGCAACCTCCTTCGATTATCGGATTATTGCCCAGAATTGTGGGATCGCATATTGGGTCTCGTCGTTGATAGGACTCTGCAAATCGACGTGAGTTCGGTATTGCATTTAATTTGCAGTTGTATGTTGATTCATGCATAGGTTGAGATTCAAGTTGAGCTTGAAGAACTTGAAGCAGAAGGCGCAGATGAAGAACCAGAGGAGATTTTTCATTTGGACTTGTTCGATACAATTATCGGACAGGAAGCCAATGACTCGGACTCTGAGTCGGAGGATGAAGACGATGGTGGGATTAGTGACTTGTCAACCGATGCGGGAAGTGATAGTGACGCCGACGCGCAGGAAGAACAGATGAACGTGAAACATGTCCGGGACATGGTGTCTAAACTCGATAGTATACTTGAAGTTATTTTCAAACATCTTGACCGCTTACATTCAGCGATCGTTGCGCCTTCGGAGACGCTAGAGACTACCAGGTCCTCGCCGGCCTCGAATGATGTACCTTCTGAAGGGCCCAACGATGTTCCTGTGCCAAGCGCCAACCCACTCTCAGCATCAACCACAAAACGTCAAGCACTTGCCGAATCACACTTCCACGCACTTCTTTCCATCTTTGAACGCACGATCCTTCGCACGTTCAAGTCCCGCTACACCCAGTTCCTCATTTTCTGGTACTCATCTCTCGACACGCAGTTTCGAGACCGGTTCCTAGGGACAATCGTCTCTGCGGCGTTGCTCGAACCTTCACAACCAGTCGTCACACGAGCGGCAGCTGCAAGTTATGTCGCAAGCTACGTAAGTCGAGCTGCATTCGTTGCGCGTGGAGAAACACAGATGGTCGTACGTGTGCTGTGCCAGTTCCTCGAGACGCATCTGGATGAGTTCGAGGCGTATGCGAAACAGGCGGCAAATGCTAGGAGTTCTGGCTATGAGGTCCTGAATCAGCAGAGTGCGGAGCAGCATGCTGTCTTCTACGCCGCAGCACAGGCGATGTTCTTGATCTTCTGCTTCCGCTGGCGTGATCTTACACAGCGGGACGAGAACGACGCAGATATTGAGGAGTTTGAGGACGTAGCAACCATCAATGGTGGTGTCGCTCATCGTGCGTGGATGCCAGAGCTCAAGGCCATGCAGCGGGTTGTAAATTCGGCGCTTAATCCTTTGAAGGTAAAATAAACTAAACCGCATGTCTAAACGAATAGCATATTAACCTGATTTCTTCTCATAGGTGTGTTCCTCGAACGTCGTACAACAATTTGCACGAGTCGCACAACGGGTGGGGTTTATCTATTGTTTCTCCATTCTCGAAGCAAACCGACGTTCCGAATATGCGTCAGACTCAAAGAATGTCTCTGCTTCTGACTCTAATCCAGCATTATGGGTTCAGTCCTTTGATGCAGACCTCACGACGTTCTTCCCGTTCGATCCGTTCAAGCTATCGCGTTCTTCTGCATACATAGAGGGTATTTATCGGGAATGGGCGTCTGTTGCTATAGATGACAGTGAGGACGAGGATGAGGATGATGAAGACCATGAAGACGAAGTAGAAGAGGGTGAAGGAGGTGAAGTTGACGGTACTTTGCCTGTCGACGAGGACCTGCATATGCATGGTCCGGCGAGCTTCGTTAGTGATGCTGGAGGGCTAGGCGAATCTTTTGGAGGGATGAGCATTAGTCCTGCTCAGCCTCAGGGAATTGCAGCAGCGTAATAGAGAGGATCTTCTTACTAGCATAGTTTTTTTCCTTCCTTTCCTTCAGTGTTTGTTTGCTTTGCTTGTAAGTTATGGTTTTCACGCTGTTTTCATCTGGCTTTTTTTTTTCGTTTACACTGCCTTCCCTGTTTGTCCGATGAGGATAATATATTCATGTATCATAGATGAGTTTATTGTGACCCAACGAGATATGACGCAATGTTGTAAACTTAGTTTGAGTATGCATGAGCATGTCGATCCCGTTTTAGGACGATGATCCAAACGGGATACTCAGGTACATAGCCATCCGAATGTCCTAGTACTCCTTCACCTATAACAACACAACTCGCTTACTATTCTCTAACCTATCAATCTATCATCCCCCCCAAACCTCTTAAACAGATCAGTCAATGGCATCCTCTCGAGCTAGACATACAGATCTGCGCGACGAGCTGCTCCAAGCAGCAGAGCTCCGCGCTCAACAGGACCCTCCGCCAATGAACATCAAGCAGCTCGCACATATACATGATCTGAAACAACAATTCCGACGGCTCATCGATCCGGGCATTATGCGTCCCAATAACAAGGAGACTGCGCTCATGGCTTTGAAAGTAAGTGTGGCGTGTACCTTATTTCCGTGTCATGAATACATGCATAGTGAGTGAGTCTTGACTTACTCGGGATTGTTTTTGGTCTGTGGGCTAGACTTTGGAGACGCTCTCGGATAACCTCCTCCGAGAACATGACAACGAGAAGTTTAGGAGCTTCAAACCGACGAATAACGCTATTAAAAAGCGGCTAGTAGACGTAAAAGGGGCTTTGGAATATGCTGTTGCAGTCAGTAATCCAGTTCCTTTTTCCGGATATTAATAGTAACCTTATTAAATTATTCAACGTCTCTGTAGCTCGGGTTCCATCTCAAAGTACGCGTTTCCACCTTAATTTAAAATATTTGGACTAGAGTTTGAGCTCTGGTATCCACTTCAGGTAGAGCAATTCCAACCTATATACATATTCAACGATCGCCACCTCGAGGAATTACAAATTGGGAATGAAATCCTAAAAGAAACCCTCATTCGCGAAGCTGAGAAACAAGAGAAGGCTTCACAGGTCAAATTAACGGAGAAGGAGTTACGGGAAATCGCTCGTCGTAAAGTTCGTAATCTTTATTTTCGTGTCACTCATCATTATTCGCGTTGTTTGTCCGTTCATGCATTTATGTATGTAGGTTCAGCTGAATTTCCATGAAGACCGATTGGAGAAACAGTTAAAGGATAAACGCGAGGCTGATTCTCGAGCTGCGCGGGAAGCTGCAGGGGCCGCGCCGGCGAGTCCTACGAGTCCTACTACTTCGATTATCCCTCCTGGAGGTGTAACCCTTAGTGGGCAAACTGAGTCCGGCGCGGAAGGTTCAAGCACTAGGCAGAGGGTATCGTACGAAGATGACGAAAGCGAATAATGAAGGAACACAATTCCTTACCTCGCATGTACTATATTTTCCTCGCTGGATCATTGCACATGAATTTGTCACTCCTCACCATCTCATTTGTTGACTTTGCAGAATGTATTTGATGTATTGGGATGCATAACATGACGATGTAACTGAGTCTTAAAAATGCATGTACTATAATATACGAAATGAATGAAAAAACCAAGATGGGTTTCCAGTGGAAATCTACACTCGAGAACCATACCATGCTATCCTTCACCGGAATGGAAACTTCGTCTTGTCAAGCTTCGCTATAGGTCGATTCACACTTGACGCAGGGCGGCCGTTTGGGACATTCGGAAGAGGCGGGAGAGGTGGCATCGGGAATTCTGCGAGATCATTCATCGTCACGTGTGGGGAATCGTTAGTTGGGACTAGAGGTTTTGAACCTGCGCCGACACCAATTCCGTTAGTGAATGCGTTGGAAAAATAAAGCAACTGATATGAAAGCTCACCAGCAGGTGCGCCCCAATGTCTTGCCCTCTCGAGTACGATGCTATCCCGCTTCATGTGTTTTCGTTCCGGAATTTGCGTTAAACGTTCCGTTAAAGGACGGTTTGCCGGGTTCTCCTCTCGAACAGACGCTAAAGTCCTTAACGAGAAGGATCGCGAGACGCCTGAAACACCGGACGGTCGGAACGAAGATGACATCGTTGATCGTCCAAGGGAATTCGTCCTCCTGATCTCTGAAGGACGAGTTGGGATACCTGATGGACGAGCACTTTGTGGTAAAATGCGACTTGCGTCTCGTGGCGACGTAGGGAGCATGCTCGTTCGAATACGAGGTTTTTCTGGATTGGACTGCGGTGGAAAGACGAGCCCGACAAGTTCTTTGTGTGACCTTCGTGGACGTCGACGCATTGAATGCGAAGATATGGAGATCCGAGGAATTCTTAGGACACGAGATGCTGATCGCTGAGCTTGTGCGTGGACGAGCTCGACTAGTTCTTGATGAGACCTTCGTGCCCGGCGGCGAGGGGAAGATAGTGTCGCGGCTTGCACCGATGGGTAGAGCTCAAGATGCGGGTACACAGCGGGGTCTACTTATCGTATCAGTCCTTGGTTCCACTCCACAATCCTGGAAAAGTGTACATACAGATGTCAAAGGCTGGATATTTCGCTTCCAACTTCGTTGACAGCTTGGTCGTCAGAGGTGTTGGATCCGAGGTTTGACCCGACTTGTAGATATCGAAAAATGGGTAGACGAGAGCATCTAGCACGGAGTAATGTCAGGAACGCAATACTAACAGTTGATGAAAGGAATGCATACAAGTATCAATCACCGGATACTTTGCGTTCAACTCAACTCGAGGCGCTTCGCGCCAGTATTCAGATGTCGAAGCGCTGCCTGAACGGTAGATGTCGAAATACGGATAGACTGCCGGATCTGGGAAAAATACGATTAATATCATGCATATATGAAGGAAAGCATTCCGATGCTTACAGATGTCGAAGTTGGGATACCGAGCCTCGCAGATGTTCGAGACGTCCTTTTCAAGCGAAAGTGATGAAAGTGAAGGATATACGCGTAGGTTAGGATAGACAGGAGAGTCTAAGATACAAGCCGGTGAGCGGGGTAGAAAAGACAGAGGATCATAAAGATGAGAACCCACAGATCTCGAGATGCGGATATGACGGCTTCAATGTTACTGATACCGATCGTTTTGCAACTATTGCCGGCTTTGCCGGTCCTCGAACTTCGTTCGGTACGTTCGGGGAATGAGATGACCCAGAGCGCTTTCCAGAATCACCATACTCAGGATAAATCACGAGGTGAGGGTACGCAGGCGAATCTGAGCGGTATTGTAAGTAACGCGAATCAAGGAAGATGTACGTATACTAACAAATCTCAAATGAAGGGTATGAAGCCGGTAGTTTCACAGACAGCAGCTCTTGCGGGTTTCTCTGAGCCTCGACGACATATCCCGGATAGATCTCAAAGGCCGGGTAGACGGCCGGATCTAAATCACGCTCGTTAGCACTCAATCCAGCAAGGATACATAGACGGCGTACATATGCTAAATGCAGGATATCTTGTCGAGAGTTTGACGTCGATTTCCTTGCTCGAGCCATTCACACACGGTCTTGAGGGATACAAGTCGAAGTAAGGATAGACTGCAGGGTCTGAAAAGCATTCATAAGTTTCGTTAAAGAGTGATGATGGACAAAGACTTACAAAGACTGATCGTAGGGTAGCCTGGCTCTAACCGTGTTTGTATCGGCCGCGTAATATCCCCGGTGCGCTGGTAAGGCCATACGTGCTTCCATGGCGAAGCTGGGCGCTTCACGGCAACCTCGGCGTGTGAATGGGGAGCTTGCTTCCTAGGTGGTTGCCTGCTCCCACTGATAAGTACTCCTACTGAGACTTCGGGATACAAGTCAAAGTACGGATACACTGCCGAGTCTAGAGCAGGTTTCAGACATGCTATTCGATTAAATGGGTAGCATACACTTACAGGGTTGAATGCAAGGATATGAGGGCTTCAAATGAACGGAGGTCGTTTCAAGTGGATTTGGCTGAGCCTCAACGACATGCCCAGGGTAGATTTCGAAGCTCGGATAGAGAGCAGGATCTTTAATTATTTCCAATTAGATGCAACAGAAGGAAGAAAGTAACAATCACTTACAAATACTGAAAGTCGGATACTTCGACTCAAGCTTTATGACGACCTCCCGACTAGTACCGCAAGCAGGCGGCTTTGCAGGATATAAATCAAAGTGCGGGTAGACCGTTGGATCTGTGGGAAGCCTTATCAATGACAATTACTATTGGGTTTGTGTCACAGACGTACAGATATCGAACGAAGGATACTTCGCTTCTAAACGAATTGTTATCGGGCGAACGACATTGTTGGTTACCTTCTGGTATGGCCATACATGCTGCCACGGTGACACATTACGTGACCTTGCAGATGCTACACTGGCGTGCGATACATGTTTATGGGGAGGCTGCTCGTCAGCGACATTATGAGACGCGGCTGGTGCTGGGTACAGATCGAAGTGCGGATACACAGCGGGGTCTGAGATACAATTAGCAGAAATTCTATATACTTCCTGAGGCCATTCGAACTTACAGATGGATAAGCAAGGATATGTCGGCTCTATGCGTGTTGAGACTCCTTGCACGGAGCCAGGCGCCGAAGCTTTGCAATAAGGCCAAACGAATTTCCAGGGCCTTGAGACTTGCCTAGAATTGGAATCATCATCGAGTGAAGCTCGGGGTTCATCGTCACCCGCACCGTAAGACCGAAGAGCACGCCCTCGATCCAATAGTGTATTCTCTTCGTGTTCGTTATCAAAGAACATGTTCCCAACTCCGGGAGTGTGCACACGGAAAGGCGAAACTGGACTTGGAGGCCATTCCAACGGTGCACCCCAACTTGTCGCTGTGCTCGGTGTGGCAGGTCTGCTGCCAAACTGACGGGCACCAAGGTCAACGGAAGGTGCACGGAAGCTCGACGCTGGGCTGTCTGGCCATTCCAGGGGTGCACCCCAGCTTGTAGCAGTACTGGGTGTCGCCGGCCTGCTTTCGAAATGACGTGCTGCGATATCAACTGATGGTGCACGGAAGCTGTATGCCGGGCTCTCGGGCCATTCCAAGGGTGCGCCCCAGCTAGTTGCGGTTGATGGAGTTGGCGGTGCGTCCTCCCACTGGCGCGCAGCGAGGTCTGGCGATGGTAATCGCGAAATGAGGCTTGCAACTGGAGAGAATACATCGTAATCAGGCGGACCAAAGGAAGTGCAAGTGGTCGGTGTCAAGCACACGGAGCCTTCCAAACGACCGTCAAGATGCACAGATGGTGCTCGAAGCGAGTCAGCATAAAGCGGATTTGCATCAATTAAGTCTGCAGAAAATGGTCCTGCAGACGAGATGCTCCATGTGAAGTCGTCGAGATTGAGAGGCTCGAGACCATCAGCAGCAGCAATTGTAGGTGTATCGTCCAACGGTTGGTTGTTCGGCATGTTCGCCGGATCCAGAGAAATCTGTCCCGTACTAGCTACGAGAGGTGATTTCGCAAATGAGGACGATGCGCGCCATTTCTCCACCTTCTTTTCGACATCAACACGTTGCGTCGCTGTCTCCGGTTCCTCATCTTCAACAGCGACAGGAACTGCGGTTGGGGTTTGCACGACGGGAGAAAGGACCAAACGCGGTTGATCAGCATCGGTCGGGGACAGCGCGGCCCGTGACGCCGGTCTAGAAGACGCCTTCGGAGTTGCAATGTCAATCCGGTCGAGAAGAGACAGCTTTCGCGGAACGTGTCGGATAGCAGGCACCTTCCTTTGAATGGTGACCGAGATATCGTCCACGGCTGAGTCCTCGGTTTGATCAAAAGTCGTCCGGCTTTCTTCACGCCGGTGACCGGGAGCAAGCGAAGCGGGAACTGAGGGAACCGCATCGGCTGTGTTTTTGAGCGATGACAACCACATGTCAAACCATCGAGCCTTTCGCAGGTCTAGATCAAATTCAATGCGTCCAGCGATGGGCAGGCCTCCCATGGTAGTCATCGACTGTTTTTCGTCGAACGCGCTTCCCCATAGGATCGGCCATGACTCATCAGAAATGCGAGAAGTGAATTGCATGCCTCCTTCCAATATTTGGAGATAAACGCAGATACCAGTCGTGCTTGGGAAAGAGAACTCGCGGGCAATGGCAGTTAGTTGGCCGGAGAGCTACATTATATAGGGGTAGTGATAATCGAAATGAACAGCATTCATCAGCATCTCGACCCTTTCCGCATCGAGGAAGACACTTACACTTGGCAAAAGAGGTAATAGAACGCCATGCGAGGCGCGAGCGGGTGCATTTAGAAATATTCCACTTCCGTGCTCGCGCGATATAGGTGGAGGTGGAATAACCATCACAAGCCATCTCGTCGCTGAACGAGGCAAGCGCAGATCACCACGCAAAGATCCTGAGTGAAGATACGCGAGATTCGAGGGTCGACGAAATCGTCCATTGGGCGTTTGCAATTCTACACCTGCAACCTGGTAGTTATCCGTTGAATCTACTCTTGTGTGTGACGACGATGCACCAACGTCAGCATATGATCCCATGTCTCGAGGGACGATGTTCATTGGAGGTAGGGAGTCAGCTGTAACTTCTGTTTCTGGAGGACTAAGCGGATGTACTGGACGAGGAATGTCGAAAGGTGACGGTTTGTAGAAAGGAGGGCGGGTGAAGCGAGACATGGTTGAAAGGTAGGTCGGTCTCCAAATTCAAGCGAGCGGCTGTTTGACGGAAGCTAGATCTGCTCACGTCGGCCAAAAGTCGATTTCGTGAGTTCAAGAAGGTTGCTCTCCAGGAGACTAGTAAAAGGTTGTCCGTCTGTCGTGAATCACAGAGGAGTACTCGTCAAGAGACACGTAGAAATGACGGGTCCGAGCAGCCTGAGAGCCTTATTAATGACAGTTTCAGCGGTGAGAACGAACAGAATGAGCGCGAATCTGCGTTGTTTGATTTGATCACGTATGTGTACGACGAGAGCCTGGTTACACAGTCTGTGCCTGTCTTTATAAAGCTGTCTCGAATAGGGCCTGCCTTCAGGATTAGTTTGAGAAAGCAAGGAGCGGAAAGGAAGAATGAAGGGGGTTTGACGCTATCGAGAGAGAGCTCAGCTCGCTGGAGCGTTCGGTGACGGAAGGGAAGTTTATGATATATGTTGGCACAGCATCACCCAGGCAACCATGCCGACAGTGTTCAACAGCCGGAATTGCGATGTTCACACACAAACTTGACATGTAGGACCGCTGATGCGCTCCAGAAACTGTGTCTGTTATTCCGAGCTCGGGGGAAAGATGAAAGATCGTCTATCTCACAGTCACACGATGTCCCAAGAGATGGATTCGACGAAACAAGACAGGTAGGGTTGCTCATGATTATTATTACGTAACAACTGAAGCATCAATATCGATCAGGAAGACGGAAACCAAAGCATGAGCGTTTGGGATGCAAAGAATGCTCGGAGATTTTCTTCACTGGGTTCTCAGCAAGCTGCTCAAGGAGCTCCGTGTGTATAAATCCGACAACCAGCCGAGTAGGATACGAAAAAGGGTAGCAGGGAAGAACAGTCGTCCAACGTTGGGAGTTGAAATTACGTCAGCGCACATGACGCGTCCGCAGGCTGCCTCAAGTAGCTCGCGTTGCTCGATGCGCTGCTCCTTTCCAACCACCACCGCCATGATTTTCTCAGTCTTTGCGCCCCTCCTTCTCCTTCCGTTTGCCACCGCTGCCGGTGTGCACAAGCTCAAGCTCCATAAGATTCAGCGTGAAAATGCTAATCCATACTTGGAGACCGCTTATTTGTCCGAGAAGTATGGTGGCGATTCTCAACTGCCGTTGATGGGTGCAGGTGGCGCAGGTCGTCAGCTTAGATTGGCCAGACCTTCGGTTAACGAGGAAGGTGAAAATCTCCTTTGGACGCAGGAGATGATCAATGGTGGTCATAATGTCCCGCTCACCAGTAAGTCGAAGGATCAGCTCGTTCGGTATCTGTTTCCAAGCAATGACGGCCCCTTTTACATAGACTTCATGAACGCACAATACTTCACGACCATTACCCTCGGTACCCCTCCTCAGGAATTCAAGGTCATCCTGGACACGGGTAGCTCGAATCTGTGGGTCCCAAGTACCAAGTGCACTTCAATTGCATGTTTCCTGCATGCGAAGTACGATTCTTCTGCTTCGTCGACCCACAAGAAGAACGGTACTTCGTTCAAGATCGAATACGGCTCTGGTTCCATGGAAGGTTTCGTCTCAAATGATGTGCTAAGTATTGGCGACCTCAAGATCCATGACCAGGACTTCGCGGAAGCAACGAAGGAGCCAGGTTTAGCATTTGCGTTCGGAAAGTAAGCGTCAATCTAAATGGGTTCTCCTCGCTTATATTTATAAACTTTTGACTAGGTTCGACGGCATCCTTGGTCTTGGCTATGACACCATCTCCGTGAACCACATTACACCACCGTTCTACAGTATGGTCAATAAGGGCTTGCTCGATGCCCCCGTCTTCTCTTTCCGCCTCGGCTCTTCAGAGGAAGATGGTGGTGAGGCGGTCTTCGGCGGCATTGATGAGTCTGCATACTCGGGCAAGATTAACTATGCTCCTGTCCGTCGCAAGGCGTATTGGGAGGTTGAGCTTCCTAAGGTTGCGTTTGGTGACGACGTGCTGGAACTTGAGAACACCGGTGCGGCAATCGACACCGGCACTTCTCTTATCGCCTTGCCCTCGGATGTCGCAGAGATGCTGAATGCCCAGTTCGTTGTCCTGTAGACGCCATATATTCTCTGGCCTGAGCTGATGGATTTCCCTACTGTAGGATCGGTGCGACAAAGTCCTGGAACGGGCAATACACAGTTGACTGCAAGAAAGTCCCCGACCTTCCCGATTTCACTCTCTGGTTCAATGGACAGGCATATCCTCTCAAGGGAAGTGACTATATACTTGAGGTTCAGGGAACGTGTATAAGCTCTTTCACTGGGCTGGACATCAACGTTCCTGGCGGATCGCTCTGGATCATTGGTACGCGAATCAGTCAATTGCATGTGATTATTCACTAAGACTCGGATCGTAGGCGATGTCTTCCTCCGCCGCTATTTCACAGTATACGACCATGGAAGGGATGCTGTCGGTTTTGCGAACTCGAATTGAGATGTTTGGGGTTGAATTCGTTATCTATGGTTACCCTTCGTCAGCTCTTTTGCCCGAAAGGAAGATTTGATTTTTGTCCAGCACGGACGTAATTTCTATTTGCGACCTGTACAATACATTCGTAATGACGTTGTTGCTCTTCTCGCTTGGTTATTGACTTGCATCGCTAAAATAGATGCATATCTGACCAATTAGTTGTTTCGCAAGGCAATAGTCTTGCTTTTCTATCAACCGAGTGCAACGTGCCAGCATGCATTCCTGATTTCACCCGGCACACGCAACTGTGATTGAGCTTCTTTTTTGTGATTCTAAGACCTGCTCGTGAACTTTGTTTGGCGTGCAGGAACAGAGAACATCACTGGCCAGCGCCATGCATAAAACCACCATGTCGTGCTTGTCTCTCAAAACGCCAAATTAATCACCACCCATCATGACTCTAACAACTTTTTCCATGCTGTCCTTGCGCGACACGCTGGTCCTGGATTTCGTTGGAGCACTCGTAAGACACTCCTTACTGATAAATGAAGTGCGGCGGTGTACTTTACTTATAACTCTCTTTCACTTTCTAGCTAGTGCATGCTATCTATAAGAGATATGAGATTGACCCGTCTCGCCCTGTTGTCACCTCTCTTCTGCTTGGAGGAGTGCCTTCAATATGTGCTTTCCTCCTGAAGGCACACCTAGGCTCAATGATTTATGCCGTCCCAATCGCATGCACTGTGTTCTATACGACGTTGATAACGTCTGTGGTGCTGTATCGCATATCACCTTTCCACCCTCTTGCGGGGTATCCGGGGCCCCTCTTGGCTAGGATAACCAAGCTGTATGGTCTTGCTAAGATGGCAAGCGGAAAGAACCACGAGTGGTATAAGAAGTAAGCGCTTTTCGAAATATTCTGTTCCGACGAGGACGGAAGTTAACTTCTCGCAGACTTCATGAGAAATATGGCCCATATGTTCGTGTAGGTATGTATATAGGAAGCCTGAGTTGAAGGTTTCGTTGTTGAACTGGGAATTTGATTAGGTCCTAACGAAGTGTCTGTCGTTGATGCAGACGCGATATCGTCTATTCTTGGATCAAATGGTCTTCCCAAGGGACCCAGTTAGTAAACTCTCTCCTCAGTTGAGATCATTGTTGAGCGCGTAATGATTAGTGTGGGATGCACGACGAAATCCATACGGAGTGCGAGCTCTAATTGCCATACGTGATCCTCAGGAACACGCACGGCGCAGGAAAACATGGAATCGCGCGTTTAGCACCACTTCCGTAAAAGGCTATGAACAGATTCTTATCCGACGTGCTCTGCAGCTTGTCGGAGAGCTTGAGAAACGAGCTCAAGTAAAAGGCGGTCCCCAGAAATCTTCTGTTGATTTAGCGGAATGGATGAGATTCTTCACGTTAGTTCACAATTTGAATTTCCTTGGTCTTCACGCTTATCACTAATTTGGTCTAAATTTAAAAAAAGGTTTGATTTCATGGGTGATATGGCGTTTGGTGGCGGCTTTGAAACAATGCGCGACGGTCCCGAGGATGTACCCATCTGGCACGCCATGGAAGGCGGAGTGAAGTATGTTTATGGTATTTTATAAAATGAGTTTCATGAATAAACTCATTAATTTTGTGCAGGGGTCTAGCTCTACTTCAGCACCTTCCATGGGCTCTCTATCTCATGTACAAGCTCCCAGGAGCCACTAAGAATGTCAACCTTTTACGAGAACATTCAATAGCGGCTGTCAGGAGACGTAAGCGGGAAGGCTCACTCTCAAAAGACCTATTTCATCACCTTGTGCGTTTAGTTTCCTTCATTCCGTCATAATTCAATGTATTTATTGTTGTGCATAAGATTGATGAAGATGGAGTGGAGAAAGAGAAGCCGGCTGATGGAGAAGTCACGTCTGACGGAATTCTGGCCATTGTTGCTGGTTCCGATACGACAGCCACCGTGTTGGGTGGACTGTTCTATAATTTACTCGTACACCCAGAAGACTTCCAGAGACTGCAGAATGAAGTGGACCAGGTCTTTCCTCCCGGTGAAGGTGACCCAACTGATATGTCAAAGCTCAATGATATGGAATACCTCAATGCGGTTATGTCAGTCTTTCCTTTAATAAAATTTAGGCCCATCCATTAACTGAGGTTGCAGAAATGAGGCGTTACGATTCTGTCCACCTGCAAACGTCATGCAACGAGGAACGACAACTGAGACTGGAGGCAGGTACTTAGGAAACAAGTACGCATACGTTGTTGTTTCTTCATTCTGGTTTGAAGCTTATCGAGAATTTCAATCTACCAGGTTCATTCCAGAGAAGACGGCCGTCGACGTCCCACTCTACGTCATCTTCCGCGATCCACGCTATTTCTCTCCTGCGCCAGAGGAATTCTGGCCCGATAGGTGGCTCAACTCGGAAATGAAGAAACGCACTCCGAAGCAAATGGAATACTCCGCCGAAAAGGCGGAGACGGAAACAGAGACGATGACCTCAGCTGCGTTCATACCATTCTCCTACGGCCCAGCGAACTGTGCTGGACGGGCTCTTGCAATGGCGGAACTTCGGATGGTCGTGGCGTTATTGGTGCAACGCTTTGATATGCGCCTTGAAGAAGGGTATGATCCGAAAGAGTGGAATGATAAGCTTGAGGATTGGTTTGTTATGCTTACTGGGAAGTTACCTGTCGTGTTGACTGTCAGAAACTGAGTACAGGAGTACAGGATATTAAATGTTAGTGACGTTTAGTTATGTATGCCCGCTCCACGGCGAAGTTCCTTTGTTATGTCGAAATTCTTTACTATTGCTGTGAAATATTAGTATTTATAATATAACATACCAAAGATTGTGAAATATCGAGAGGAGTTATGCCATCGTATCTAAATAAATTTCCATTTCTGTATTGACTGGACCTACACACATTCCAAATTAGGAGCGTCGATCTTGGCATTTGCGTTGATCGACGTCAAATTACATGACGAAAATTCGACTACTTAACGAGACTCCTCAACTGGTGCAAACCCCATCATCCACACCGAGTTCATATTGCCAGTGTTTCACTTAATATCAGATGGACTGTGCATGACCAGAAAGGATATTTCCAATTGAGATAAGAGGTATTGTTATTTCGTTTGACAGCCCCCATGGGGTAGACCTCTCTGGTAAATCAGTGGTGATTGCCTCTTGCTCGGTTATCTGGTAAGTTTCTCCGTCCACACTTTTCTACTTCACAATATTTTTGTGTATGCTTAAAAATACGAAATGTCATTTGTATATATGTAGGAATAGAGTCGAAGGCATTACTGCCCATGTTACGCAAGAGATGTATGGGCGGAATCGGTTACGAATCCTACGATTGCCTTTTGTCAGCTCTTTCGCCTCCTGAAAGGAAGCTTTGAGTTTGTCCAGCACGGACGTAATTTGTATTTACAACCTAAGTTATACATCCTAATAACGTCGCGGGTAATGTCGCCCGATTATTTGAATTGCATCGCTAATATAGATGCATATTTTGACTAATTTTCCGTAGCGAAAGGTGGTAAGCTCGTCCAACTGACTGCTACACGCTCGGAAAGCATTTTGATTTCACTCCGCTTCATGTGGCTGGAGTCGCCAGTGGCCTTTTCGGTGACTCCGTGATCAGCTGGGCGCGTTTCGGCTATATTACTTGGCGAGGGGCACATATAAAATTACCATGTCGTGTTTATCCCTCAAAATGCCCAATTAAACACCGCCCGTCACTACTCAAACAACTTTTTCCATGCCGTCCTTGCGCGACACTCTGGTCCTGGATTTTGTCGGCGCACTTGTAAGTATGCCTTAAATGGAGTGAGAGGTGGCGTGCCTTACTTATGAATCTCTTTCAATTTCAAGCTGGTGCATGCTATCTATAAGAGATATGAGATTAATCCATCCCGCTCTATCGTTACCTTCCTTCTGCTCGGCGGAGTGCCCTCGATATGCGCTTTTCTCCTGAAGGCGCACATTGGCTCAGTGATTTATGCCGTCCCGATCGCATTCGCCGTATTTTACACGACGCTTACAACGTCTGTGGTGCTGTATCGCATCTCACCATTCCACCCTCTTGCGGGGTATCCAGGTCCTCTCTTGGCGAGGATATCTAAACTGTACTGCCTCGTTAAGATGGTAAGTGGGAAGAATCACGAGTGGTACAAGGAGTGAGTGCCTTTCGAAGTATTCTATTCCGACGGGGACGGAAGTTAACCTTTTTTACAGACTTCATAACAAATATGGCCCCTATGTTCGAGTTGGCGCGTATTCAGGAAGTCTGATTAGAAAATGTCGTTGACCTAGGACACTGATTAGGTCCTAACGAAGTGTCTGTCGTCGATGCAGACGCAATATCATCCATTCTTGGTTCAAATGGTCTTCCCAAGGGACCCAGTTAGTGAATTCACTTCTCAGCTGAGATCATTGCTTATAGAATAATAATCAGTGTGGGATGCACGACGGAATCCGAATGGAGTTTGCACTCTGATTGCCATCCGCGATCCTCAAGAACATGCACGGCGCAGGAAACCATGGAATCGCGCGTTCAACACCACTTCCGTGAAAGGCTATGAACAGATACTCATCCGACGTGCTCTGCAACTTGTCGGGGAGCTTGAAAAACGAGCCCAGGTGAAAGGTGGACTTCTGAAATCTGCTGTCGACTTAGCGGAATGGATGAAATTCTTCACGTCAGCTCCTCCAACTTTAGAATTTTCACCCCCACGCTTATCATTAATTTGACCTAAATTTAAAAGATTCGATTTAATGGGTGATATGGCATTTGGTGGCGGCTTTGAAACAATGCGCGACGGTCCCGAGGATGTACCTATTTGGCACGCCATAGAAGGTGGAGTGAAGTACGTTTGTGGCATTTAATGACGCTTGTTTCATGGGCAATCTTATTAATCCTTGAGCAGGGGCCTGGGGCTACTTCAGCACCTTCCATGGGCTCTTCACCTCATGTACATGCTTCCAGGAGCCACTAAGAATCTCATCGTCTTACGAAAACATGCAATTGCAGCTGTCAGGAGGCGCAAACGGGAAGGCTCGCTTTCTAAAGACCTTTTTCACCACCTTGTGCGTCTTGATTTCTTCGCTCCATCACAAGTTAATGTACCGACTGGTGTGCACAAGATCGATGAAGACGGGGTGGAGAAAGAGAAGCCAACTGATGCAGTAGTCACGTCTGACGCAGTTCTGGCAGTTCTCGCTGGTACCGACACGACGGCGACCGTGCTCGGCGGACTGTTCTACAACTTACTCACACATGCAGAAGATCTCCAACGTCTGCGGAATGAAGTTGATCAGGTCTTTCCTCCTGGTGAAGGTGATGCAACCGATATATCAAAGCTAAATGGGATGGAATATCTCAATGCGGTAATGTTAGTATTCTCTTCTTTTTATATTGGTCTTGCTAATCAGCTTGGCGTACAGAAATGAGGCGTTACGGATCTGCCCACCTGCGAATGTGATGCAACGAGGAACGACAGCTGAGACCGGAGGCAGGTACCTAGGAAATAAGTATGCTCATCCCGTTATTTCCGCCGTCTGGTTTGAAGCTTATCAGGCGTCTAAATCTACCAGTTTTATTCCAGAAGGAACGGCCGTCGACGTCCCACTCTACGCCCTGTTCCGCGATCCACGTTATTTCTCTCCTGAGCCAGAGGAGTTCTGGCCCGATAGGTGGCTCAATTCGAACATGAAGAAACGTACTCCAAAGCAAATGGAATACTCCACCGAAAAGTCAGAGACAGAGACAATGGCCTTGGCTGCGTTCATTCCATTTTCTTATGGACCAGAGAACTGTGCTGGACGGGCTCTTGCAATGGCTGAACTTCGGATGGCCGTTGCGTTGTTGGTACAGCGGTTCGACATGCGTTTTGAGGAAGGGTATGATCCGAGGGAGTGGAACGATAAGCTTGAGGATTGGTTTATTATGCTTACAGGGAAGCTGCCAGTCGTGCTGACTGTCAGAAATTGAGGTTGGGGCATAAGTTTTAATGACGTTTAGTTATGTATGCCAATTCCATGTCGAAATCCCTTTACTATTTCGACATTCGTTACTTACTCATGTGAAGTAAGTAGTTATAATATAACTTGCGAAAGGTGTGAGATATTCAACGCCCTTGGGAGGAGTTATGCCACTGTCACCTAAACACTAAAACAGATTTCCATTTATGAATCGACTGGACCTACACAAATTCTGAATTAGGAGCGTCGATCTCGGTATTTGTGCGATCAACGTCAACTACATGAGTCCATGACCAAAAATTCGACTGGGAAGCCTCCTTAACTCGTACAGACCTTATCATCTAAACTGAGCTCATAATTTCAGTATCCTGTTTTTAAATACTTAGATGGACTATGCACGACCAGACGGAAGGCTTCCAAATGAGCTAAGAGATGTTGTCATCTCGTTCGACGGACTGTCTGGTGTGGACGGTTCGGCGCGATTTGGTTTCGGTGAGTAGACAGTGCTCAGTAATGCAGCGCCAACGGTGGAATCTCATTTTGTCTGACACAATTATATGCTTTATGTTTCGGGCTTAGGTCAAACGAAAGCACTTGCATCTGTATCAGGTCCAATCGAGGTGCGGTTGGCTGTTGAGCAAGCGTCGAAGGCGACGTTTGAAGTGATTGCTAGGCCTCTTGCTGGGTTACCTGGTAAGCCCTCCATTCACTTTCCCGTCTCATACCACTTTTTCGTGTTTTAATGATATGATATAATATATATGTACGTGTAGGAACGGAATCGAAAGCATTAGCATCCGCATTACGAAGTGCACTCCTCCCGAGTATGATCCTGACGAACAACCCTCGTACGCTGGTACAGCTCGTCGCGCAGTCGCTCACTCCCTCCACTACAACAACAAGTAATAGGAGTGGCCAACTCGGCAGTGTAAATTCTAAGTCCTTCCGAACCAGCCCCGCACTAGTCGCAGCACACATAAACGCAGCCTCTCTCGCACTTCTCAACGCGTCCTCAATCCCACTTCGCGGAGTCGTATGCGCCGCGTCTGTCGGTCGCGTACGTCGTAATCCAGATAACGACAGCGATAGTGCTCTACTCGTCGTTGACCCGTCAGAGGATGAACTTCATTCACTCGACGGTATAGGGGCATTCGCATTTCTCATTAGCGAGGAGAGTAAACAAGCACGACCTGACCCGTTAGAACAATCGAACGGGATAGTGCTGAAAGCAGAGTTAGCCTGGTCAAATTGGACCGCAACGCCCTTTGACGAGGACGAGTTGGCGCGCGCGACAGAGCTTGCGCGTGTAGGTGCTTTACGCGTACGGGAACATTTCAAGGAAGCTATTGCGCAGAGTCTTCTTGGAACTAGAACAGATAAAGCCAAAGTTAAGGGTGAACATGTTGATTTGAGGACGGAAACGTTGGACGATGAGAAGATGGAGATTTCGTGATGAACATGGGCGTGTTGGGATTGATTGCTTCTCATACAGCGGCAAAGCCCACTTCGCTGACGGCGCATGTCATATGCGCGTGAACATAAATCGATTGCCAGTACCTTGAAGGTTTAAAGGCCTCATGAACCTACTGTGAGAGGGGCACTAAACAAGCTTGGACACAGTATGGTTGACCTCACCGTGCTGCCTACTCTGCGATGCACGGTGCGGCGGCATGGACGTTGGACAGTAGCAGACTAGATGGAGCTATAACCAACAGATGAATGAGATGCGATGCAATGTAATGTAAACAGGTAGAGGCATGGCTTTAATACATCAAACGAGGTGAAACCATGCATGGCCAAGGCACTTCAATACTTAGGAAGTGACATTTGAATGCATCAGCGGTGTACATATTGACGACCATTAGCACTATCAGGACCTAGTCCGATCAATAGAAGAAGGAACTATCTCTAGCCTTCTTTCTGCAAACCTGTGCGAAAGGCAGGAGGCAGGTTGCATGCGCAGTATCATTAACTCTATTGACGAATATCATGCGTTCTAGCCACTATCTCGGTGCAGGGCGCTTGTAACGTAAGGCCGAGCGAGATACAAAGTTTGTCTTTATCTTCTACTGAGATAGGAAAGCAAAAGACCGACGGCGGTGTTATACGAGTGCCTTTTGTAACGGGGAACCCAAACATCCGAAACTAACTAGTAAATTATAACTGGACTTTGTAACCAGCGGAACTGCAAGGATCAGCCTACGTTCGGGCAGCTAGTTTACCCAGCCCAATCCGAAGGAGTCAACGAGCATCTATAGTCTAGGCCTCCAGAAATCACTGTGTTTGAGAGAAGTCCGTCGAGGTGTATTTCTTTACGTGTTATTAGTTGGGTGTGCCTCGACACCGACGTCAAGTGCCAAAGGACTACGCTGCAACAGGCCCGAGGTGCCAATACAAGTGTCTCCATATAGAACGAAGAGAAGTGTTGACGAAGGCTGACGCACTTATGCATAATAAGCAGAAGGACGCTGAGCCGTATTTGATGGACAGAAAAGAGTAGTTGAGGTACTCTTCATGTCCAGCGTCCCCTTACAGATGCAATCCCGAGGAGGCCAGCTTTTACTGCTTTCAAAGCCTCCTCGCATCAGGCGTATACCAATGATTCTGTAGTACGGATCCTCGGGCATAGCAGAGCACGGAAATACTGTAGCATGTATAAGGGACTGCCTAAATTGAGGTGGGCGTCAACAGTGAACATCATGCATTCCGATGTCCAGGGGAAGAAAGCTATGAGGCCGGACAGAACATGAAAGAACACGAATCAGAGGGCATACGAATCAGCTCGTCGGAGGACAGGTTAAGTACAGCTATTGGAGGATGTCCGGAATGGAAGGCCGTCCAGCAAAGGAGGATGCGCGCGCACGAAACAGTGTATGCGCTATTACAATGGTGGGTGTATGAGGATCACTGCTTCCGAGTTGAGCTAAACTTATAGAACTTGAAGACAACTTGAAGACAAGCGACGTCCTGATTTCATTTGTTCGGCCGAAAATTGGATGGGAAGTAGGGAATCCCGGCGGAGGCGGGGCATGCGTTGGTGAACCTGTGATCCCTTGAAGACTACAAGCGCGGCCGTGTAGAAGTGTTTTAGAAGAGAACGAGGTGACTACGAAGGAATCAATGATACATGGAAGAACTAGCAAACAGCGAATTGGCGCTTTGACTGTGTTGTACGATTTCTAACTTTCATTGTGCAGAACCACCTAGCCAACGAGTGAATAGAACGAGGGATAACTTGTGAACGAGTCACATCCGTTTTGCGACACTCTTCCGCATCGCGTCTCTAGACCAGCTTGAGTCTTATCTACAAAACCGAAATCAAGGGTGAGAAGGGGTAAGAGAATTGAAGGCAACTGAGGATAATCGCGCCGACCACCGAAGACATGGCAAGCCAATAAGCTTACATGTCCTAGGCGACAGAGGATGAGCGTTTGACGGCTAAGCTGCCATGCACATTTGTACATCCCGCACGATCGGCCTCGTGACTGGGGAAATTCGATATCTTAAAAAATTGGGGAGGGAATTACGGTGGGTTTGGAAGGTAATTTGAGGCATCTGACCGCTGAGTGGTGAGAAGGACAAGAGGGCACGAGGACGCCGCAGAAGAGGGTGTCACGGTGACGGCGTTGAATAGGTCGAAGCGGACTGGGCGGACGTCATTGCGCGCAAAAGGATTGAGAGAGTCCGAGCGTTGCTGGGCTCTGTACGCTGCACTGAAGTAGGTGCTGGAGATAACATGCGGACAGTTGCTAAAGTCAGGGTGGCGGACTTATGAGTGTGAACGCGCCGAGAAAACCAAGCCTAGATTGCTGAAAATAACATGTAAATCCGTGAATAGATGACATCAGATAGAAGCATCGGGAACGATCCGAGGGAGCACCGTTGGTATTTGCCCTGCGCTGAGCAGCACCTAATCCCACTCTCTTCCTCTTTCGTCCACCACCCTCGAAGCAATAGTACATATACCCTCCGTGCCCGTCCCTTGCGGCTCTGGCCCGAGAGTACCATCACTGGTCTCGCTGAGTGTTCCCTCTCTAATCTCTGCTCTCGCTGTACTACCGTCTCCCTATAGTTTCCCGAGAGTTGCAAAGATGCTCATAGATTTGCCCCCACTTCAGGAGTACTCCATGGCTGATTGCCAGGACCTCTTCATGTCCAGGATGGATGACGACTACGACATGGATCCTTGTTCCGGCTCCAAGGCATTCGAGTCTGGCCTGAGGGCCCCACAGCCATCTGGCGTGCTCAGTGACGCAGAACCCTTCTTATATACCTCTTCCTCAGAAAGTGACATGGACGCCTGCTTCAGCGACATAGAACCGGCCTTACGCGCAGTGACCCGCGACGTATGTCGTTTTCTCCTATTCACTCGCTTCTTAGGGCTAACACGCATATACAGGACGCTCAGTTACATTCCCAGACTACTATGCCACCCTCAGACAAGCGAATAGATCGCGACATCGTACTTCATTCTCCCGGCCAGCTGCTTGGCACACCGCGCGACTCTTCTCGACGCTATGAATATCCTTTCCCCGCGCATTTACGAGTAGACGATGCAGTCCTTGCAGAGGACTCCGCATCGTCCGCATCGTCCACTTCCACGACTCCCGGTCTTACTCCGGGCGAGGGATTCTCGCTGGGGCTGGTCCCTTTTGCTGGTTCTAGTAGCGCTATGTCTTCGTCGACGAGCATGCCAATCTATATGCAAGCTCCCACTCCCTCGCCTATACCAGTTCCAGTCCCAATCTCGTCCCCGCACGCCATCCCAAAATCAAGCAGTACAGGAGCCAATCTATCTCGAACGTCTCTCTCTCCACTAGCACAGGCTCCTGCTGTAGTTGGTCCTTCTTCTGCGCCTGCTTTAGGCGTGAGCTCCATTGCAGCGCATCCAAAGCTGTCTCGATTCAACCCGGCAGACGCTCCTGTTCCGCCTGGCCTGAGAGGGCGAACACGCAAATCGGCATCTGTCTCTGTGCCGCAAGCACTGCAGCCTGTGCCCAATACGGTTGCTCCGGTTCCGGTTTCCGCAGCGACTGTGGGGAGTTCATAACATTTAGAGCGTGATCTGCAAAATTAGCACGCTTCGCAGTGCATTTTCATTGGCTGTCTCGCCGTATCTTCGCCCCAGGATTCATCCGTTCTTTCTTGTGACAGCTCTTCTTCACCTTTATGCTTCAGTGATAGATTCAGGCCGCCATCCGACCACGTCAATCGCACGCATCGGTACAGTCAGCCTGCTTGCTTCCTCAAAGTTTGAGGGATGGTTCATTTTGTTCTACTTTCTTCTGAGTTTGGGATGTGGTTAAAATTTCTTCCTTCGGGCTTAATCTTATACTCTTCCTCCTCACGCACGTTGTTCTTTAGTTGACTCTTCATACACTGCCTCGTTTTCCTTCTCCATTCATTCAGTTCATCTCGCTGTTCATTTATCCATCTTCCATCTATCTGTATTTGATGGTGCCTTCTGTGTTATTTGCTTTCCGTCCTGCTTTATCGCCATATCTATCCATCAGGCCGCCCACAATCTCCTTTTCCAGTTGAACTGGATCCTCCTTTCTCACTCATACACGATTTGTCCTTTGCTGTCGTTGCTGTCCGTATCGCACCCGTGAAATTCTGTCCCCGTCTTTCCTCTTACTACTCATACATACCCAAATACGCTGCCATTCTCCATCTCCGCAATATTCATCTCCACCAAACACGCACGATTTCATGACACATTTCATTTTCATATATGTATGCGTATATGCTCTCTATCTTTCAAATCTCCCTCTCCCACAGATAGGGAAGTAATGTACGATTCCCCCCTTCCCTCACCTCTCGAACGTACGATGGGGTTATATAATTATAGGTCTATGTTATGTATTGGAGCTGTTGTATTAAGCCATTTTCTTGATTAAAATGTTGAATATACACGGATTGGATGATTCAACGTCGCGAACCGGCTAGATAACGTTCTTTTTCTTGACTGAGCGGGCGGTGGCATAAGCAAGGAAGTATCATAGCGCTAGCGTTATCTCTCAAAGGAACGCTGCACTGCCTGATTCCCTTTCTTGTGAAGTCGTTCGAGTTCTTGGAACTTTATGGTAGCCCAAGTCCCGGGACGGGTATAAACGGGTGGACTGGAAGGAGTGCTACTAGCAATCGGACTCAGAAATGAGGAATCAAGGATGGGATTCGTTGGGAAAAGGAAGAGAGAACTGCGGAAGACGGGAAGGACCTTAGGAAGCACGGGAAATTAATTGGGATCGGGAGAAGGAGAAGGGTAGGAAGGAAGGTTGATGCACGAGGATGAGTTGTATTACGGGAATGGGTAGTAGGATGAGTGTGTGGACAGATAATCTACCGAGCTTCTCCCTTGCTCAAGCCCTTCGGGCTTTCGTTATCGACCTCGGCAAGGTGGGCAGCTGGACTAGTTGTGTTCCTTGAAATTCCTTGAAGGATTCAGGAAGGCTAAGGAATCTTCTGGCGTTCTTTGAAGTCCAGGCCGGTCTTTTTCTTTGAGTTGGAAGGGAAGGAAGGGAAGGGTACTTCCGTGGTTGAGTGGTCAAGTGGTTATTCAATTGTGCTATCGTCGGCGGTAGTCGTTAGTAGTATTCTTACTATTAGGACATGCGATCCTGATATTCATTTCACCTTGAGGCAGGGAAGAGAAGAGGTGCATGGGACTTACTCAGCGATGGGCACGTATCAATGTATCGACGTATCATTCATTGTATGCGTCTTGCTAAGCCTGACTTCGAGGTAGTGTATCCGATGCGGAGGTTGTTTACTAGAAAGGTAGGAGAGAATGTTGAACGGAAGAGCGGGATACCGCTTACTGCTCAGTATTCAAATGAGTCTGCTGATAGTACTAGTGATGCAGGGTGGTCTGATTCGCAAATTGCGCAATGCAGGGCATACAGCGCACAGCATACAGCGAGGCAGACATGACTGCTCTCCGTCGTCATAATACTCACTTCGAAGTCACCCTTCTCTTGAGCTTGAGCTTGAGCTTGCTCGAAAACGGAGCCTGATGACGTGCCAAACGAGTCATCAGGCGCGTACTCAACGGTGATACTCGGTAGCAGAACCTGAAAGCATGCATGCCATGCAAGACTGGGGTACACGCATGTATACCACGCGTGCAGTCCGAGGCTTCATCCATATCTCGACACGGGCCCAGACCGAGTTGGAAGAGTAAGATTCTGAGAAGTAAAGTAGAATTTAGAAAGAGACCCGTCTAGCCTAGATCTTTGTGAGTTATGTAGCGGGGATGACGTGTGCACGAGTCATCAGGCGCCGCTCTTGTGTGAAGTAGAAGTGGAAGAGTGAAATCAAATTAACGTGGATGAAGCGTGCTTCGCGTTTCTTATCCCCTAGTCCGACGTGATGGTAAAGTACTAGACCCATGAAATGGGCGAGATGACGGGGGGGCGGGAGGTGAATTATTTGGATGACGTAGACGTGAGTCATCATTGCGGGAGGACAGAAGTCGAGAAGATAGCATAACAATTCTTCTGAAGATTAGGCTTGTAAAAGTTAATAAAGATAGGCACAAATATAAATATGTGCCTTGTATTGTGATTGTACCGGGACCGGGAAGTGTCTTTGTGAATAGGTCATCCATTGTGAACAAAAATTTCCATCTCTTCCTCACTTTTGATGGTGCAGAACAGTAGGTTCACAGATAGCCATTTGATTTCTTTGATTGTCAATCCGTGAACCGGGTTCATCAGATTCTTTGTAGAACGATTTAGATATTCAAGAAAGCTGGCAGTTTGCTTCGTCGCACACAAAGAGATCATGGTGTATATGGTAATACCATTGAATTTCCTACAAAATACACATCTAAAGCTTAGCAACACAATAAGTTGAATAACACGGAGAAAAATTATTCGGATCAAAGCATCTGGACATCACCCTCTACATCAGGTCGAGGTTCACCGCGAACCGTCGAGTTGACGAGTTCGCGTCGGACTTCAGGGCTAATCTGTGCATGGGGAGTTGCGCGTACGACGTCGAGTAGTGCATCTTTTTGGTCGGGAGTTAAGTCCGCTGCGTATCTATAACAGATCGTAATTAATATAAGACTGATGAATTGCGGGTATGAGTAGTAAACAAGAATGTACCGTTGAACAAAAACAAGCAAGCTCTGGTGCCATAACACCGGTAACTTCTCACTCTCTCCTCTCTTCGCCTTGTACGTGTTCGAAAGCCGGATGAAGTGGAATACAAGCGCGTCGACGACTTTATACGGTAATGCGTACTTCTTATCCACAAGCACACGTATGAAAAGTGAGTTCGGTCCGGAGTAGTCCATATTCGCTAGACGGAGGATCGCAGCAGCAGAATGTACCAAGGGCACTTTGACTTTCGCTAGTATACTCGCGATGATAGCACTCTCTTTGAGCGTAGCGCCGCTTTCGAGTAACGGGAAAATAATTCCCTTGAAGAACGCTCCTGGTTTGTATAACGATCTTTTTAATGCTTCATAGTAATGTACGTTGAGCTTCCCATGTTCAGCGATGTCCGCTCGTACAGCGTCGAGTACGACACCTTGGAGGTAAACGCGTGCTTGAGGAGGTTTCATGTTCGAGATGAAGATACGTGTTGCTGCGCGGCAGGCTTGGGGAGACCAGTTTTCGGGATGGGTGAGTGCGAGGATGCGAGCCCAGGCGGGGAGGGAAGGGATGATTTTGAAGGCTTTTGGGAGAGGACCGGATTTGTATTTGCCCTTTTGTAGGAGGTGGCCGACTCTGCGAATATAAATTTAGATACAAAGTGCTTAGGGTGTAAATGGGAGACATACTTTGTATAGACTTCGACGACTTTTGGGTTGAGGCCTTCTGCAGGGTCGGGTGCACGATCCGGGTCTTGTATCCGTACTATTGGGGAAGGAACTGTAAGCAGCCGTCTTGGTAACGTTCTTAGGAGAGAGAAGATGTTACCTTTTGATATTTTATGTACAGTATTTGGGTCTGCCTGATCATGTTCTTCTAGCTTTGCAAATATCATGTCCGCTAGTGTTTTTCGTTCTGTTGCATTGTGCGGTCGAAGTGCATCAAGAGTCTCCAAGTCTTCTGCGTCTATTTGCTATGACATAGTTAAAGTTGTTAGGTAAAAGGACCCGACGGGCAACGGCAAACTCACTAGCTCTGGATATTCTTCTTCCTCTAGTATCTCGTCTCCAGATTGGCCACCCATATCATCTTCCTCATCGTCTGTGTCGCTCGTCGATCGGGTTTGCATGAAAGTCGCCCGACTAGTGTCCTTGTCCTCATCTTCTTCATCGTCTGGCTGTTCCAGTTCGTCCTGCTGCACCTTCGCAAGCTCGAAGATACGTTGAGATGTCTTGGGGTCAAGTATTACCTGTTTCCAGCCGCATATAATGAGCCTAACGTCGAACGAGGGATTGGACTGGACAGCGTACCTCCCCGCCTTCTTCATCCTCATCTGTCCTGTGTGCTTTCTTTCGCTTTCCAGGACGAGATACAGTCCCATATTTCTCATGGAGCTCGTCCTCCTTCAGTTGAACATGAAGAGGATCATGTCTTGTTTTACCGGTGGCCTTTGTAGCTCGTGGCATGTCGTTCTCAGAGTAGCCTGTAGGACGGCGCGTGGTCCAGGCGCGGTACGAGAAAAATTCAGATCATTTGCGCGTTTTTCGGCTCATTTACCGGCGGGACTACCGGATATGGCAATCCCGTGCTAATTTTATCTACTGCATTCACTCACGATGGCGAACAACTCCAGTGCAACAGACACCGCTCTTTTGTACTCAATGACCGCCAGTTCACGGAAAATATTACAAACTGCAGTGAGTTTCTCCGTTTATTCTACGTCTGAGGCTGTCAAACGTGGGAGAACTGGCGGGTTAAGACGGCCATGGCATGCCGGGACGAGGTTAAAAACGTTTGATCGACCGGACTAGGGCTGTGTGCGCCCTGTCCGCTTTCCATCCGCCGTCCCGACTCGTCCGCTCAATTTCTATTTAAAAAATTCGAGCCAAAAGCGCCTCTGTGCCACCATCTGCCTCGTCTTTCCCTCTTTCCCCCTCTTTCATGTCTTCAATGGCTGCCAGTAGCAAGCAATCTTCTAACCGCTCACTGTTCACCCCACAGTCCTCGACCCTCGACAAGGAGGGAAAGGAAATCAGCACTGTCGGCTTCTCGCGCTTCGGCTTCGACTGCGAGGTCCAACTTAGCGCTCTACGTGCTCTATACCTTCGCCCCCACTATGTAAATACTTCGCATACCAAGCCTGCTGCCAATGGCTCCGCCGATGTTGAGCAAGACATCGTCAAGATTGACGATGATCATGGCTGGTTCACTGGTGGAGACGTGGACATGTATCAGTCAAAGTCTATTTTCCATCCTGATACGCATTCTATCTCGTACACTACTCTCAGCCGATTCCCGCCTGTGAAGCTCCTTACACCGTCTCATCGCAAGCGGATTCTTGTTACTGGCGGTGCCGGTTTTGTCGGCTCTCATCTGGTGGATCGACTCATGCTCCTTGGCCATGAAGTCACTGTCCTCGACAATTTCTTCACTGGTTCACGCACGAACGTGAGTCATTGGATCGGCCATCCTAACTTTGAGATGGTCCGTCATGATGTGGTTGAGCCGTTCATGATTGAGTGCGACCGTAAGCTATCATACCGTTCTTACATGATGATGTCTCCTGGCATGGTTAACTTCGCACTTTAGAAATTTACCACCTGGCATGTCCTGCCTCGCCACCTCACTATCAGTCGAACCCAGTGAAGACAATCAAGACCTCGTTCATTGGCACTCTCAACATGCTGGGACTCGCCAAGCGAACAAAGGCACGCTTCTTGATTAGCAGTACATCAGGTGGGACAAGTGCTCTATTGGAACACAACATATGCCGGATCTAACTTACCTTGTTCGTGTAAAAGAGGTGTACGGTGACCCAGAAGTTCACCCACAGCCGGAGACTTAGTAAGGATTATTTTCGTCTTGTGGATAAAAATAGCACCTAAAGCCGATCTAGCTGGGGGAACGTAAACCCGATCGGTGTACGGGCTTGCTACGACGAGGGAAAGCGAGTTGCTGAGACTTTGACATATGGATTCCACCACCAGGACGGTGTGGACGTCCGAGTAGCTAGGATTTTCAATACTTACGGTACGCCCTGACCGCGTTTCGTCCACTTATCTGTATTGAGGCTATTTTTATCTGCACAGGTCCGCGAAGTGAGTGGCTTTAAGGCGGGAAGTAAGACACCTGGGTGTGCTCACGAATACTTCATCACAGTGAATCCTGCGGATGGACGCGTTGTGTCGAACTTTATTGTCCAGGCACTTCGGGGCGAAGACCTTACCGTCTACGGCGGTGGGAAGCAAACGCGCTCGTTCCAGTATATTCACGATCTGATCGACGGGTTGATCGCGTGCATGAACTCGGACTTTAACGAACCTATTAACATTGGTAACAGTGAAGAATTCACGATTGCTCAGTTTGCGGACGTCGTGCGCGAGGTTGTCGAGAAGGTACAAAAAGAGGATGGTGTGGAGAACGCAAAGCGCGTCGGAGTACGTAACTTGGCTATGCCAAAGGACGACCCTCAGCAGCGCAAGCCGGATACGACGCGTGCGAAAGAGGTGCTTGGATGGCAGCCACGCTGGACTGTTCGGATGGGCCTTGAGGAGATGGTGCGCTACTATAAGGCAAAGATGGCTGAAGGCAGCCTCTGATATTGAGCATTGAAACGTATTGTTGTTCTCTGGTTTGGGACTTATGAAGACGATGACTTTTATTTGGTATAGATTTGCGAACTGTTGTTGTTGTTCTTTTCCTTGGTATTTTTGATACATTGTTAGAGAGATACGGACATGGACAGTACCGTTTTGTTGTAACAGAGTGGTTTCACTACTCAGCATTTCAATATTTAGTGTCGGCACGGCAAGTCCCGTACTATAATAAAGTAATCGACGCGCAGCCCGACTCACGATAATTTAGACACGCGTCTCATCCTCGCGCATATCACCAAGTCTTACATCTACGATGGAGGCAAAACTCACTCAACTACAAAGCATAAGCCAAAAAGACAAAGCACAAGGTTACCTCTCTCTGCTCTCCGAAGCGTTCGCTCAGCAAGATGGCGAAGGCGTGGCGCGCGACGTGCATACAATCCTACGAAACGCGCTCACTCAGGAACATGTTGGACAGGTGGTCCAGAGGCAGGTACTTAGCGCGTTGGCTGAGAGATTGGCGAATGGAGCTGTGAAGGATGGGGTGTTGAAGAAGAGGATTGTGGAGGATGCGATTGCGGTTGCGCAGCCTTCTGGTGGACATGTTGCCGTTCAGCAGTTTGAGGAGCAGGTGTGTTTTGCGCTATCTTTGCTGCAGGGAACGTGGAATCTCATTCGGAATCGACGTTAACTGAATAACTAGGTCAATAGTCTACGTTTCCAATTAGCTGACTTGCTTGAGGAAGAGGAAGACTGGAGTGGCGCCGCTCGCGTCCTCATGGGTATCAAGCTCGAGTAAGTACGCCCTTCTGGTCCTCAATCTCATTCTCTACCCACGTCTTGTCACTCATTCACTCACGCATATTACCACTAGCTCCTCATCAGATGACACCAAACGAAAAGTCTACATCCGAATCATCCGACTCCTTCTCGAAGAAGAAGACAGCGTCCAAGCAGAGACATACTACAATCGCGTATTACCACTTATGCATTCCGCTGTTGACGCCGAGACGCAATTGCATTTTAAGTTGTGTCAAGCGAGGTTGAGTGATTATGCGAGGAAGTTCCTTGAGGCTGCTATGAAATATCATGATATTAGTTGGATGGGGATCGTTGATGAGGAAGAGAGGATGTTGGCGCTGTTAGTCGTTCATTTCGCATATATCTGGACTGTTGTCTTGGTTTATTCTGACTCTCGAATTTTCTTTTGGTATCCTGTATAGGTCGGCAGCGGTGACTTGCGCTGTCCTAGCACCAGCAGGGCCAAACCGCTCCCGCGTCCTCGCATCTCTATGTCGAGACGAACGAACAGCCTCACTCCCCTCATACAACATCCTCACCAAGATGTTCCTCGATCGGATCTTACGACCAGCAGAAGTCAAAGAATTCGAAGCAACGCTCAAACCACACCAACTTGCAAAGATCGCACAGTCGTCGAATGACCGATTGGCTGCTTCTCGTGCTGGTGACGCGGACGATGCGAACGTGGCTCCTGGAGAAGTAGCATCGACTCGTACGGGACCGAGTACCGTATTGGATCGTGCGGTACTCGAGCACAACTTACTCGCATCATCAAAAGTGTACAATAACATCACCTTCCGCGGACTCGGTGCATTACTCGACTTAACACCAGGCGCAGCTGAGACGATGGCGCGCCGAATGATTGAGCAAGGGAGGTTAAAAGCCTCGATTGACCAGGTTGAGCGATTAATCTGGTTTGAGGATAATAAAGAAGAGGACGACGCACAGGGCAAGGCGGGTGGACTTGGTGAGGTCGATATGCAGACGGAAGATACTGGAGCGCCGTTCACGAAGAAGTGGGATAGACAGATTCGGATGACTGCTGCTAGCGTGAGCTTTCGAAAATTTTCGTCCCCACGTGTTAATCATGCTAATAAATGATATAATACCACACCTAGGTCGAATCAATCGTACAACATTTAGCTGACAAGAATCTCGTGTCCTTCCCCGCGTAGCATTCTTCAAGCCGTTGAGAACATTTGACGAAGTTATCACTGTAGTAAACCTTGCTGTACCGCCTTGCTTTCCCACACGCCAAGTCTCGATCATCCAACGCACAATATAACTAACTAGATAAGCATTAAAAATGCAATTTGCATACTTTACACATGATAGGGTCCTTGAGCACCACATAAAAAACCAAAGACAATTGTGCAGTCGAAGGCGAAGGGCGCAGGATATTTGAAAGCTAATTCGGTAGAACAAGATGTGACAGCAATATAGGGTTCAGCATTGAAAATAAGTATAACTGGGTAGTAAGATTATTATTGAGGAGGGAGGCTTGAAGGGTCTGGAGGGCCACCTGAAGCAACAGCTTCGACTCTCCGCCGCTTCTTGGCGCGTTCGCGTTTTGATTCGAATTCGTGCCATTCACCTTCTAGGGAAGCCAGTCTAGAAAGACAAGAAGTCAGAATGTTGGTTTGGTTGTTGTCATAACAATAATAAAGGGAAAACATACCCGACGGGTAGAACAGGTGGTGGTTCCTCCTGGCTAAAGTAAGCAGCTTCAAGAGCCTGATCCGCACTTGCGCGTTGTGTGGGGTCGTATGACAAAAGACGTTCAGCAAGGTCAAGTCCAGCAGGTGATAGCCATCTAATGTGCATCATCAAAGTCAAAAATCAATTTAACATCCGCCTAGAAACTAACGGTAAACCCACTTGTTAAAAAGCTCTCTGAACCGGTTCCGAAGTGCATCTTTCGGCTTGACGAGTTCGTACCAAGGCATGTCTGCTACGCTGGGCCAGTCCTCTGGTGTTGGTGTCCCAAGTATTTTGTAGATGACGTCAAGCTGATGAATCTCGTCGTTGCCCTGGAAGACAGGCTTTTTACAAAACAGCTCGAGCATGATGCAGCTAAGGAGATACATTAGTCGTGGATGGAACATTGAACAACCGAATCCTTACCCCGCGCTCCACATATCTACTTCTGGTCCGTAGACTGTAGTGCCGAGCAGTAGTTCAGGGGGACGATACCACAGCGTTATTACCCGGTTAGTATAATCCGCACGTCGACGCTTCTGATAAAATCGAGCAAGACCGAAGTCCGCAAGCTTTAGCTCGCCACGGTTGTTGAGGAGGATATTTGATCCCTTTATATCCCTGTGGATCACTCCTTTCCGATGCAAGTAAGAAAGGCCTTGCAACATTTGTTGACACAAGGACTTTAGGTGGGCATCGGTAAACGAAAATTGCGTTTGTGAGAGCACGCCTGTTAGATCGTGATCCATATATTCAAAGACCATGTAGACCGAGCCTGTAAGGATTTTGAGTAATTCAAAACGAGTGAGCGTGGAGAAAGAGAATAACACACCGTGGTGAACCATCATCTCTACCAACTGGACAATATTAACATGGCGCAGCGACTGTAAAAGTTTGATTTCACGCATTGCAGTAACCGGAAAACCATCCCGTTCTGTCTCCATTCGGATTCGCTTAAGCGCAACATGGACACCTGTGATATTATTACGAGCTTTGTAGACCTTGCCGAAGGTGCCTTCGCCAACTTGGCTGACAATTGCATATACCTGATCCCTTGGACCTTCTCGCATTTGCTCAGTTGATTGAATATCTTCAGGTTGTCTTGTTGCTGGCGAAGGAAGTGCGCTACCTGCACGACTGGGGAGTTCAGTTGGTGGCCTCGAATCCTCTCGAGCTATCCTTCCGTTAGGAAACGCCTCTGCGCCGACTGATGGGGCTCGTTCGTTTCTAGGCGTGTGCGTCGGAGGCTCATCATGATATGCACCTGCCTTCACCGTGGGTTGACGGCTGATTGGTACACGAGAGTTTTTCTCGCCCCATCTCCGGTTCGGTTCCTCGGCATCATCGCGGAAATCATCACTCCATGCAGGAGGTTGAGCAGAACGCTCCCGCTTACGATGAGTTTCCGGCTCTCTGTCGACACGACGGGGTGAAGGCATATCCACTTCTCGTCGCTGACGAACGTCAGCATCGTTCTCTTCGTGGCGTACAGGCTGAGAGACATCACGGTTAGATGGTCGGTTGTCTACTGGAGGCACATTTGAGTCCGATTCATCGTCTTCATCAGGAAAGAACTGTTTCATCGCAGCACTGGTTGCAGCTCCAATTGGCCTAAATCCGGCATTGCGTTTCGTTCCTCTCGGTTGTGCCTCTACAACGACGGTCGACGCATGCACTGATAACGGTATACCATTAGCAGATGCGGACGCGGGATGCGCGGGTGGCGGCATGGTTTCCTGTTCGGCACGTTGTGTCCGAGTTCTGTCTGTCTCTCGGGAACCTGACCCTGCACTGACAACCTACAACATAATATGAGTACAGATTCAAGAAGATTTTAAACATTACAAACCGGGTGCTCCTCAGCCTTAAGCCCTGCCTGTCCAGATGGTACATTCCTGGGTTCGCCTATTGTTCGCGTCGTATTGGAAGACACGCGCAATGTTTTTGCTTGAATCTCAATATCGCGAAGCGATGTTGTTGTAGGAAGTCGATGCTTTGGTTTCGGCTTGGTATCAGGAGTTACGCTACTGCTTCTACTCCCGCTATGCGTCGGGCTTGATTGAGACGAAATGCTTTCCTGGCGTGCTCGAGTTCTGCTCTCGTCTAAGCGCTTCAACTTAGTGAATGAACTCTGTGAATACGCTGGCGAACGGCTGCGCCGACTACTGGCTTTCCTTCCTACAGGACTAGCACCAACTCGGGCGGGTTGCTCTTCTCGTCGTTTTCGTCGTTTTGGGGATAAAGATCTTGACCTCGAGCGGTTCGAGGAGCGCCGGGAATAAATGGATCGAGCAGGTGAACGCGACCGAGATTCCGGAGAATGATCATGCCGCCGCTTCCCATATGAGGGTCTTGCTGTGTCCTTGTCCTTTTGCGTAGATGAGAAATCTCTTTTTTGCCAGCTGTGATCGAATAATTAGAATTAGTAAGACAACGAGTGAAGGCGTGGACTCACTTGTTCATAGTATCGTCCCTTCTGGTATCTCGCTTTTGGAACGCCTGATGTCCTTTCTTCTTATTCTTTCCAGGTTTCTTATTAGGCCTGGCAAATGCGTGTTGTGATTCCGGACGTTCGTATCGCGCTGGAAATGTCTCGTCTCGTTCCCTGGACTTCCAGGAGGGTGCAGGCTCCCATTTTCGTTCCACGTCATCGACTATAGGATCTTGTTCTTGAGCAATATCCCGTTCCCTTTCCCGACCTCTTTCGCGGTCACCTCCTCGCCATCGTTGTCGGTCGTCTGGTTGCTCAGCCCAGCGATCTCGAGATGGTTCAATAGCTACGACCTCATCTCGAGTTCGGAAGCTCCTGTCCCTAGATGTAAAAGCTTCATCCCTATTGTACCTATCCCGTTCCCTCTCAGGTCGAACGTCATCGCGAACCCACTCATCGTGCCCGTTTGTACTTCGACTTGGTTCCTCATACCTTGAAGTCCTTCCCCACGCACGACTCTCAGAATATGAAGTCGAACCATATCCGTGGTCATCACGCTTTGTCCACTCGCGTTGGACAGAAGAATATTGCGAGTGCCCAGAAGCCCTTCCGTTCCAGCTCTCAGAGCGGTCAAGGTAATCGTCTCGGCGAGTGTGAGTGACAGCATCATCGCGATATCTGTCATGTGCCGACGGCACATAAGCAGACTCAGTTACTCTCCAGTCATCAGAACGACGATTATGAGGAGAATCAGTGTAGCCGCGATGAGCTACCGAGGAGCTACCATAAGGTTCTGCTCGACTTGAGTGATGATGTGAGCGACTGTAAGATTCTGGACGTCTGTCGCTTCCCCTAGCAGCAACGAAGTGTTCATCCTCGTCATGCCGCTCATGACGTCTTGGCCGTGTTTGGGAAGCGTGCATGGGCAACTAAAAGGAAGAGAGTAGGAGTGTGAAGAGTAATAGAGAGAGAGGCGCTTCTTCCAGCAATGGTAGTGGCCAAACACGACGCCGTAATAAAAAAGAAAAACAACCGCAATGAAGGGTCCGAGTTACCTTCCCGTCACAGCTTCAAAGATGAAGCCGCGACTGAAATCTCTACCCCACAGTCGACCCCTCTGAATACGTCGCAGCCTGTTTAGATCCAGCTGGAGTACGATGCCGAAGGAAATATCTTGAGACACGTATAGACGAAGGGTGGAAAAACGACGAAAACCTGACGCGCTTGTACCAAGCCAAGCTTACTCAGAACTTCAAAGGTATCGTTGAGAACTCCATGACCAACTCAACCTCAACAATGGGAATCGGGGAAACTTACAATGCGATTATTGCAGATAACACAGTTCAGTCGAACAAGATTTCCACAGCAATGTGGTATAATGCGTACGCAGGAAAGTCGTCGCGTATTCGGCGGAATTCGTGTCGTGACTCGTGAGGTAGACAAACTTAGAATGAACATTATCATAAGCATATTCTCAGCGTCATATTGTTTTGTTGTCCAGACGATAAATGTGCATAGTTCAGAACTTACCGAGGGATGGAGGATCAAATTGAGTTGTGACTGGAAATCGGTGTAAAGAGACGCGCGCTAGATTTGGAAGTGCAACAAGCATCCGACTTCCGCAAACGCGTCGCGATCCGTCTCAAAAACTTGATGCAAACAATTGAATTCACAGCAATGAGTTAGGATACAGATTCATGTATATGCAGTTTTACAAACAAACAAAAACCAATTTTTGATCCGATTAAATGTACAATGAAGATTTAGTCCTCCTCTGCCGCTCGTCGTAGCGCTAACCTATAATGCCACAGCAACCGCGCGAAGCCACTGGCTTGCGCCCTCGCCGACATACGTGACTGGGCCATATTTCTCTTCCCTATATCCTCAGCATTGTGAGTCCGGGAATACACAGCGGTTGTCTCCGTTGGAGCGAATAGCTAAAGAAAGAATAGTGCCTGAGTTATTTTCTTTGGTCGAGTTCTTAGGCTGCAATACTGACCTTTATAGTGGTGTCGATACCGCTGCACGCAATCAGAGGTAATCGAGGGTGAGACTCAATAACGTTGACAACAGCTTGGTCCCCTTCATATATGCCATGTATCCGGCCACTATCCTTCCTCCAGAGGAAGAAGTTTCCATCATCAGAGCCAGAAGCAACGAATTCGTCCTCCACTCCAATAAAATTCACTAAATCAGCCAGTCAACTTAAAATCTATTCACTCAGGGGTGCAGATAGCTTACCGTCTTTGACAGTTTCAACATTACAATGTCCGGTAAAGCGCCTTCGAGGCATGATAATCGGAGCCTTGAATTTCTGATCAAGCTCGAGTGTAGCAAAGTCCTCGTCATCTTCGTCTTCATCTTCTTCGTCACTGCTAGAGTCTTCATTGGTACCTTCATTAGAAACAGTTGTCGGTTCGCTAGAGACTGACATTGAATGTAGCGAACTCGAGTTCGACCCCGAGTCAGAATCCAGAACCATTAGATCCTCCAAATCAATTCCTTCCGAGTCCCTCTTCTCGTTTGACTCATTCTCTGGGACGGAAGACTCTTTCTTGTCCCTGCTATTTGGACTTAATATAGAGGATGAACGAACTTGATCTTGCGGTTCATCGCGAGTTGAATACAAATATACTGCGTCTGCGCTATATGCTACAATAAGATAGAAAGAACAGAAATTAATCACTTCAAAAGAATTGAGCGTAAAAGACAACGCACAGAGCAAAACCTATGAAGCTACTTGTCAGAAAAAAAAAAAAATTAATAAAGTCCTGGTACTAACCTCATCTCCGTTTGTTTGCGCCATTCGAGCACCAGTAATGTGTTCAACTCCCCGTCCAATACCCTCAAGCTCTGGTCTGCCGAATCTCCGCACACAGGTCACGTAGTGTTCATCAGTACACGACATGCCCCATTCTGCTCTCAGCGTTCTTCCGACCTGACGTCGGTCAAATAGATAACCCTGGTGGAGACGTCAAAAAAGACCGCCAAGCGATAGTTATAGAAACTCACATATGGTGACTCTCCGGCCACCACGAACATGAAGGGAGAAAGAGGAGATAGTGCGAGAGCAGATAAATCATGGGGTAGCGCAACTAAGGGCGCTGGGCAGCTTTCACGTAGCCTATTGCATTGATGCGGAGTACGTAGATCATGTTGCCTAACCGTTCCATCCTTCATTACGGATATCAAAAGAGCTGAACAGATATGTCAGTCCAGGAGCTTCTCTGGCTCACCTCAGCAACTGTTAAAAACACATCAGAGCTTTCTTCCGTTACGATGCGTTTCGTCCGCCCACTGTGGCATTTGAGGACTCGGGTACATGTTTCCCGCTCACTATACTCTGGAGCTTTCCCATTACTTGAGTTAGACAGAGCGCGTTCGACGTCGAAGATGCGCACTTGACGGTCACCAGCAACTGTTGCTCTGGAATACGATAAAGAGAGATGACAATGTTGTCAGTTCAATCACTCTAGAAAGAAGAAGATGCGGACGCACATACGAGAGGAAGACGGCAGCAGACGGGCGTTGAAAATATTACCAGTATGACCTGTTCGTACAATGGCCGTCTCCTTATACGGATACGGAGTGGAATAATCATCCGTATCTTGTCTCCATAACCGAAGGCTAGTTGTAAGGTGTAAGCGATAGTTCCAAGTGCAAAGGCATGCAGAGACAATACTTACGTCGTGTCATCACCACCACTAACGAGCACATTACCATCGAGCTCCCAACTGAGCGCATTCACACAACTAGGACATGGTAGGCCGTTAACCAGACTCTCAACTCTGCGTGAGTATTACGCACCCCGTATGTCCATAGTCATTATCATTGCCAAGCACGTTTACTTTATCAAGTTGCCCCGCATACACTTGCTTTAGTGACTTGTTTCGATATTCGTGTGTCGCTGTCGATGTCGACGGCGAACACGCAACGTTGTGCAGTAGTCTATGCATGTTCACCCTGTGATCGATATGGGACGCAGTCCAAAGGTAGCGAGCAGGCTGCAGTATTCAGTGTTGCATCCAAGAAAGTATGTGCTGAACAGTGATGGTAGTCAGTGGAATACGTGTGCCCAGGGGATCGCGAATGTTCTGGTGATGAGTGTCTATGCAGGACCCGGAGCTGGAATCCGAATCCGGCTTTAACGAAGCACTGATCGGCGTCGTCATGTCAAGATCGACATAAGGGACGCTCCTTGCCTAACTTCTTAAAAGAGTGCAATTCTATTAATGAATCTAATGATACATACATGGCGAGTGGAGAAATACACATGCAAGTAGCACAAAAGACAGCTTAAAGACAAAGCAAAATCTACTTTTTACACCGGCAATTAATACCATGGCTGATAAGCATCTGACATGTTTGCCAGTCTAGTCGGGTTCGTACAATTGGAAATCAAGTTCGCAGCACTCTGCATAGATTGCGTTACTTTATCGTCCTTCGGATCCTGCAGAGTAGGCTTCATGAGCAAGAGAAAGACTGATGAAGGTAAAGTAAACCTCATTACCTGGTTCTTTTCGATCTTGCAACCCATCGTTTCTGCTCTACTCACAATCCCGTTGATGTTGTCTGTAACACGCGCGCGGAACATGGCTTCTTGATTCGTGTCACGCTTGCCCTTGATGTTTGAGTGGGTCAACACCTCATCCCGGATAAACAAACAGAGATGTTGATCCAGTTCGTACTGTGGATCAGGTCAACGGTATGTTTTTCATGCAGTTCGTCTTCCTTACCTCTGGTTTCGTCAAAGCCCGTGCAATCGCGACTATTCCGGGACAGAACAGCGCCTCTGTACCCACAGGATTTACGAAATTCTGTAGATTAGGCGTGAAACGGAAAAAGACGGCTTCGCTTTGAGTGATCAAGCAAGTTTGGGAGTTGACACCTGAGAATCTTTGCTGAGTAACAGCTCAACAAAAGATAGAGATAGTACTGATACACACCGCTCAGTAGCTCCGACATGAAGATCTGACCTGTCGATCGAGAAATTTGGAAACGAGACGGGTGCCGTTGCGTTATACAAACTACGTAAGTCATGAAGCTGACAGCAGCCAACTGAAGCGTGAAGGTCTTGCGCATTCTCCAGAGCTCTTGCGGTCCACACATAGTGCGGGTCATGTACTACATTAAGACATCAGTTTTCCATTGAAACACGATGGAACGTTCACAGAGATTGAACTCACACGACTGAGAATATCCTCTGGTACCATCTTTCTGCAGACCTCATCCATGACAGCCTTTCGAAGAGAATTAAGCTCTGTCGGCGTCGGCTGGCGAAAACAGTAGATAGATATGTCAGCAAGGGACCTAGGCGACGAAAACAATACCCACTGGACGACCCAGTTCACGAGCGATTTGTTTGGTTTTATGTGAAACAAGAATGGCTGGCTCCTCTCGAGTAATACCCATGTCTTTACAATGTCGATCGTAGATATCTTGCAGTGACACATAAGAAGAGTCATTCGTGATAAGTCGGACGCTTGGGCTCAGTGATACTGCCCAAGGGAGGTGGAACTGTAAATTACGTTTCCTGCTCTCTTTTCTGCGGGTGAGGGCGCTACGAACAGTCATGATAAATATGACACGATTATAAAGAGAACATTCCACTTACTGATTGAATGTGCGGAACAGCTGCATGACACGCTCTTCCCGTCGTATCCAACGAGCTGCAGGCTGCTGGACAGCGAAATTATACTTCATGCCATCGTGTCCATGAATAACGAAGCGCTTGAAGCAGAATCCTTGACCACGGCTCATTTCGAATTTGGAACCAAATTGCCGGATACGGCTGAACTGCTGAGGGCCATCCGTAAGCTGAAGGTACTAGACGTTAGTCATTGTTTTATTGTAGAATTATTTAGTAAGGTCACCTCAAGGTATTGGCCTGGTACTTCTACTTCATCGAATTTTGCATACTGGAACTCAATTAGCCAGTGGCTGATGAGATCAAGCGGCTGCATGCGAGGACGGGCATCCAAAAATGTCTCATATCGGTCTCGCCATTGCTGCAGCTTGGTGATGTACTCTCCCATGAGCGGTTTACTGTGCACGAATTCGTCCTCGTAGTCTTTCTATAGATTGAAGAACCAGCAATCAGTTAATGCTCTGTGAAAAGTGGTGTAGACATACTCTAGCAGGACCCGCGAGATGGATGGCCATTTTGGCAATGTTCCTCTGGTTATGTTCCGATAGCCTTCCGTCGTCATTCGGATCTCTTGCACGAGAGCTTGCATTCTAGGGAATACGATTATTCGTGAGTAATAAATGATGGAAAAAGATGACTTACCTGCACGGCGTCTTGCAAGAGCATGAAGGTGAACCTATAGATTTCTTCCTCTGGGGTCGATTTGAATTTCATAATGAATTGATCAACCATAGTCTCCAGAGTAAGGGCGAGTAACGGGTTATTCGTTTTCAACAACGCCGCGACTTCCTCGACCAGCATCCAATCCTCCTTCCTGCTGCCTTCCCCTGCAGGTCGTCCTGCTGCATTTGACGCTCCGTCAATAGCTATATCAGAGTTCGACGCGTTCTGATCTCCATGCGAAGCGTTCTGGGCTGCCTGCGCTGCTGCTTTCTGTTGAGCGGCTTTCCGTATCTGCTGCATCTCTTCCCTCAACGATCTCAATGGGAAGAACAATGCCTAATAATAATCGTCAACTTAGGAAGCAAAACCATAGGATCTCTGTACACACCTGTGGATATGCCTTGGCCAGATCAATGAGTATGCCCTGTGCTTGTGGGGCTTCAGCATACGACAATGAAAAAAGCAATTGCGGAATTAGCGTTATCCAGTACCAGAGGGCCTTGTCTCCAGAATAAGTATCATAGGCTCGGGCAATATTACTCGAAGCATCATCGACGCTCAAAAGCCACAACACTCTGGTCAAGAGCGGGCGGCTCTTTGCATTCTTATACAGACCCGCAGCCTGAAGGTAACATGAAACAGCATGCGCGCCGTGCTTTGCATCAGAGCCGACGTTCGTGAAGTTGGCGTTGAACATCTTGTCATTAAATCGACCCCATTCAGCCCACGCCTTCGCAACGTTCATGTCCATGCTGACCGCCTGACTGAAACAGTTCTCCGCTTCATCATTGTCGTTCAGAGCGGAATAGAACATGCCCTTCAACGTGTAGAATTCCGCTTTTTGTGGAGTAGAGAAATACACCAGGTTCGTGTTGTTGATCAAGTTCAGACCGTCCACCATTCGTTCGGGCACCTGAAGGCGGCAGCGAGCCTCCTCGCGCAACTTGAGGAAGGCTTCAGAGATTTCGATGTTCGGCAATTCATAGATTCTGGTCAGAGACTGTTGAGCAACGTCGAACAAATCATGCTTGCGAGCAACATGCGCAAAGCGATTGATGATCCAAGCTGTCTCATGGTATCCGCGGTAACCGTATGTATTCGCAGCACTGGCCTGGCCTCCATTCTGACTGTTAGACTGGATCAAAGGAATGTAGTGCTTGTTGATGGAACTAAAAACGTTCTGCCGCCAAGCAACGAGGTCACTCCAGACACTAATATCGTCATGTAAGTTCGGTAGACGTTCTCTCCACGCCTGAAGTACCAGTTTCAAGTCAGCTGACTTCTTTTCAAGGTTCACTGTGGTCGTGGTAGCCAATGAGCCGAATATCTGCACAGCTTCCTGAAGCTCAACGAACTGTTGGAAGTGCTGAAGAAGAGGAATATGACACGCAGACATCTTCGGAGGGAAGGCGATCCACTTCCGCAGTGACAGCTGCATTGCATCTTCAAGGATTCGAGTAAATTCGATGTTTCTGTCAACCGCTCCGGGAGATTTCACCAGAGCAATGAACGCTTCGAATACACGTCGGCGTGGTGTCGCAACATCAGACATCCCCTGTACCTGTTCCTCGATCACTTGAAGGCTGTCTTTGTCTGCCCAATCCTTGTTTCGCCAAGCAGCTTCGAGGAGCAGTTCGTTGTTGCCATCGTTTCGGGCGAGCTCGTATAAAATATCCCATTGCTGCATTTTCTCCGTAGCAATGATCCAGTGATCCTCCCAAAGGCAAAACTCGGACTCTGTAAAGGGAACAATTCCATTTCTCGCCTTAATCATAGCCTGCTCGTACGAAATTTGTGCTTCCGGCCACATGCCGTTTTGCTCGTAAGTGACAGCGACATTCGTTTCGTTATGCAACGACCGCCGCCTCCAAAGACCGTAGAACATATCTTCCTCGGCCAGTTCTGCATACACCTCGGCGAGAGCGTCATAGACGCTATCCAAGCCTACTCCGTCATCATCTCGGGTAGACTCCAGTGACTTCTGGAGGTGTTCTAAGGCGACATGCCACGCACCAAAAGTCTTTGCCAGGTACTTGAGTAAGTGAGCGGGTAAATTCATGGGAGGAGAGCAAGCATGAATGCCCTCTAGCAGGGCTTGTACGACATTAGGACGTGCCTCACATTGGCGAATATGATGCTCGCGGCTGAGAAGGATTATCATATGCTGCGTGACCTCGCCCTGTTCCTTACGCGAGAGAAGCGACCAGATGGACGAGAAGACGGACACCCATGTTTCGTGGGCTGATTCTGCATCATAAAAGAGGAGTCGTCTCATTGGGCGAATGACGTCTCGAATCGTACTGTTGGCCAACGTTAAGGCCAATGGAGACGATGTTTGCGTGAACACGACACTCGGAGAAGACGCCAACGGCATCTCACTGTCAACTGAACTCAAAAGAAGATCCAACGCAAGATAAATCCAGTTGTGATCGGCCAATGCCTCCCAGGTCTGAGAACCTAAAATGTATGTCATGCGACTCATCAGAGAACGAGGAATGCTAGTGTCCAGAAGATCGACAAATCGTTCTCGGAGCGAGGTGTCATGGGAGCGGCAGCCTAGGAGGAAAGCCTGCTCGAGTCTGGACGTTAAGTCACTGCGACGCAAGGTTGGCTCCGTGTATATGTCGTAGATGAGCTCAAGATATTGGTTGAAAAGGTCCGTGCCACGAGACTCAAAGCTGGCCATTTTCTGAAGTAAACTGGCCTTCTCCTTCATCGTCGGATAAGCATCACGTCGATGCAACGCCCAATCTCGGCCTGTGTCGAGAAGGAATTGACATAGAATTGGGCTGGAGGACTTCTCAACCAGGATGATCAAGTTGCCTAAATGGAGCTTCCTCTGCTCGGGCGGTAATTGCGAAGAGTTCTGGCATATCTTCAGGATAGAGATGAGCATTCGAACGATGGCATCGTAGTTCTCAGCTCCTGGCAGTAAACCGATGTGCTCCTTCGCAAGTTTCCCTAGAAGTCTCATCAAAGCCGCAGCAAATGGTTCGATCCGTTCCGGAACGATCTCCACAACCGATTTGAGCATCAATAAAGCACCGCGTAGACCAGTCATGCTCTTCAAACCCTCTGATATAGCATTCTGAACGAAGGTATGGAATTCAGCCGCATCTGTGTTGTCTTCTTCGTCTTCTTTAGGAAGGGGATACAGTTTCAGGATGCGGTCGACAATTGGATGGAGAGTTTCGTGAAGTATGACTTCGTCCAGAAGCATGCCCTTCTGGACGAGTTTCTGCAAAGCTTTGACATTCTGGATGAACCACTCGTCCGGTCGATCAGCGCAAACTACACTGAGCACTCTGGCGTTCGCAACGATCACAGGTGCGGTTTCCTGAGTGAATTCCACCTGTGCTGCGTCAGTGATTGTACGATCTATATGACAACACACTTACTTCACAGAGTGACTTGCGGAAGTAATCTAGCTTGAAATTGACGCTCGCCCAGGCTGGCAAACGTAAAAGGTCTTTCAATAGACTTAATGAACGTGCAACAACAGTGGTCCTTGTCACAACATCCTGAGGTCCGCATGCCGCTCGAGTTAGATAACTAATGACTCCTTCTCGGAACACGAGGGGAGTAATCCATCCCGACTCGTCACCACTATCCGCCGATTTCTTCTCCCACTTGTATATAACCTCTAGGACATCTAAAGCAAGTATCCGTCCTTCGTTGTTTGCATTCATCTGGAACCCTAGCCGCTGCAGCGAGTTAATGATGTGTGGGATGAAAAGTGCTCGGCATGAATAGAATAGGTCTGGTTGACGCGCGATGAGTTGATAAATCATGATAACGTGCAAGTTGCCGTTGCTCTCTTCAGCGAGCAGACGTCGAGTTGTCCTTGCCCAGTGAGGCATCGATGGGTCATTTGGCATTTTCTGAAGAACAGGAGCAAGAATATCAAGGGTCTGCTGGGTCAGCGCTCGGTTGCCGTCAACGTGAGGAGGCTGGAGGAGACCGGTCCACGTCCTCATGATGAATTTCGGGGGGGAGTCGAACGCAGCAAAGAACCGCGCAGTGAGAAGGTACGCCATCTGCCTAACTGTCTGATCATCGCTGGATATATAAGGCCATCCAAACTTGATTATGTCCTTCTTGGCGCTTACGAGAAGTTGCGGGCATTTATGAAGCAGAACAGTAGTTAAGTGCAGAATTTCGACCTTGAACAAATCGTCCGCATCCGAAAACGCATCGGTGTCACCCGCCTTCCAAATTTTGGTATGCAGGCGCTCAATAATCGACCTGTCAACGATACTATCTTCCGAAGCTCGGCTCGCGTGCACCGATATTAAGGGGCTGATAATATATCGCAGACAATACATTTTCCTTGAGTATGAAACTGAGGGGTCGTCAAACCAGACGAGGAATCTCAGCAGTATGTTACGCCGGAAGGCGAAAGACCCATGAAGAGCAACGTGTTCGTAAAGAAAGTGCGTTAGGTCGCCGAGATCCGTGACTACATCCATGGAATACGCAGACACTATGTCAAAAAGGATATCAATACGTGGTGATTCCTGCAGCGCCTTCCTGAAAATCGAGATCATTGAAGAATGCTTGTGATACGTTGGTTGAGACAGGGGTGCCCAATCAGGTGGATGCTCCGGTTCCAGCTTCCATAGGCCAAGTACAGTGTCTATAATATCGTTTCCCTTGGTCCATCCTTGAACAAGATTGGCAAGGTCTTCGCATACGAGAAGACCGGGCAGTATGGTGTCTGCGTTGCCACTCAAAAAGCATACGCGGGCGATATCCCAAGAACGGGCTGACAGTTCCCTGAGAAGCATTGGGGCCGTACCAGCATTTAGAAGGTTTCTGAGGGTGCGTACGTGTCGAGGTGAGGACATGTTCTTCAAAAAGTAGTCCATGGCGTCAGGCGCGTAGCGATCAACGTATTTGCCGAGAGGCTCAGAGAATGGACTCTTGGCGCATGAGAATAATCGCGCCTCTGTCTGAACCACAGCATCGATAAGATCCTTGAGATACATGATTGCCGTCGCTGGAAGGAGGTGGAAAACATTGATGAGGCTAACAAGTTTGTTGATGGAATCATTCTCAGACAACGGCGTCCGTGCTGAAGCTTGAAGCATTTGTGGGTCTGCAATGGCTCGGAAGTGGTCGAGAAGTTTTATGCCGATCTCAACCTTGAAATAGTTCGCCAAAAGTCTGAGAAGCCTTGACAGACCTTCAAGATCTTGGATCGTCAACTTCCTGGTGTCGGATAAATTCATCAAGATAGGCCGCAAGCCAGACTGAAGAAGATCTTTTTGGAACCGTGACTGATCCCCCAACACAATCCGTAGACCAGCATGGGCAGCATCTGCGACATCCCTGGAGCTATTGTAAAGTGATTTGAAATATACTGATGTAACCCTGAAGAAGCTGTTGTTAGTCTCTGGTTCGACACACGAAAATAATTCTTATACTTTTGTCGCGTAGTGGGTACACGCGAGAAGCAGTCCGTAAGAGGCAGGGCAGCTGTCAAGAGGTTCAAGCATGCAACACGCAGCTGTGTTACTTCTCGTGTGCTCTTTCGTATATCCGTTTTAGCGATAAGGGCCTGATCGCTATTGTCGGCTAATGCCAACGCTTCATGGAGTAGGCGAATAAGCTCGTCATTGACTTCCAGCAAAGATGTCTCTAAGCTTATGCAGTATCGCACTGCTTCTACTTGGCCAATTATGATAGGGTGAGGAAGGGACCTCAATGGCTTGACGAAGATGGATGTCATGACACGGTCACGATGCGGCATTAACAGTTCGCCAATCGGCTTTCCACAGAGATCAGAAAGCAACTTGATGCACGACTGCGCTGTCTTCCGAACGACAGGATGCGGGGATGTAATGTCGTTGAAGAAAATCCCAATCAAAAATGGTATCCTATTAGCCTGTGCTGGAGGCTGCCCGTCAACTTCCATTTGGTTTGGACGCTTGGTGTTCGTCATGCGCAGAATCTTTTCTAGATCCTCAATTATGCCATTGACGTTTCGCGGAGGGTCGTGCGGCGAATCTTTCAGCACGTGAAGAAGCGTCCGAACGATATCGATCTCCCGAGCGAACAGCCACTTGTCACCAATCTCAGGCGTAGAGGACATGATCATGATCCCTGCAACACCAGCACTCTTCCTGACCCAAGCATCTTCGAAGCAGAACGTGCTGAAGCGGGTCGCAACCATGTGCAGTATCGGAAGTATATCCAAATGCTTCAAGCCATTGGTATATCCAATTGGCACGAGATCGTGAACAATTGATTTTACCACTTCTGCAGCTTTTTGAGCCTCCTTCTCGTCCGATCGGGCAAGTGCCAGGGGGAAGGCATCGAGGTAGAGACCAAACATATGACTGGGAAATCTCCTACTGGTGACATCCTTGGAGAGGGCTTTGCGTGCCTCCAAAGTGAAAACATGACGAGAAAGGGTCCGCAGATACTCTTGTGCACGATCCTGGACTTCTGGAACATGAATAGCATCGAAGAGCCCTTTAACACCTTCAACGAAAATGCTTTCTCTGTCCGAGCCAGTTAGCCCCTAGATTGTCTGCTGTTAGCGTTGTAACTTAAAGACGGGAGGACAACCATACCTCGTTTAGTAAATACGTCAATGTGTGCTCCAAGTAGTTATACGCGTGAATCCTGTCTGTAGTATTAGTCTTCGCTAAGAGACGTGCGGATAAACCAGCAACAGGTCCGAGTCGAACTGCCTCTTGTCTACCGCTGAATGACACTGTGATAGTCGCCGGGTCCGAGTATGGCTTGTAAACCAGATTCGGCTTTTCATCAAGAAGACGGCGGTTCCGACCTCCCAGTTTCCCCAAAATGCGAATCGTGGTATGAGCATGGTGATGGTTTCCTGGCAATGGCTTCAAATGGCTGTGGAGCGCCTCCATAAGCTCCCGTAATACAGGTCGTAAGATTGGGTCCAGGAAATCGCCTATGAGGTTGTCAATGCACAGTTCGAGAGTGCGGAGGCCCTGTGAAACGAGCTCAGATCCGCCTTGAAGGGCGAGGACTAGCGGTTTCATGAGGTAATGTAGATGGGGTAATAAGTGCGTCAACCGCAATGGGACAGTGAGACAGAGCTCGACTAGTAGATCCCTGGTTTGAGCATCTGCCGCCATCAGCTGTCGATTGAGGCAATCGAGCATCTCTGGCAACAAGGGAAGGACCTCTTTGTACAATTGTTCATATCGACCTCCGCCACTGCCTATCGCTCGAAAGAGTGCACGCATGAGGTGGAAGTAATAAAGTGGTCGTGTTGCCTTCGCAGCAAGTGGGAAGGAATCCATGATAAGCCGGCCGAGATGAGTAGCTAGGACAGGCTCATTCGCATCAGGATGTATTCCGACAACACTGAAGGTCATCTTGAAAAACCTGAGTACCGTGGAGGCGGTAACGTCGTCGTATTCTCCCAGTTCGTTTAACCCGTCAGACAAATGCCTCAGAGTTGTCGATACGACTGTCTGAGACACCGTTTTCTGCTGGAACAATACTTGTGATAAGTGAAGGAGACTGGGCTTTTTCACACAAGCACGGAAATAAAATTCCAGACGCTGTGTCCATAACTCCTGGAAAACATGTAGATTGATGTCCTGCAGAATGATGGCCAATAGATCCATTGAATCCCTTTCTTCCTTGAAATCCGCACTCTCGATGGACAGTAAAATGCCAATGCTGTGCTCAAAAACAGGAATTACTATTTCTCCGTCTGGCAACGTCGCACCAAGCTTCTTGAGGATAGTGATCGACACTCTGCAAGCGTGGAGCAATGTGCGGAATAGGTATCGAAGGTCTAAAGAATGTGTTATTTGACTATCAGACACGTCATTAAGTCAGCGACAAACCTGCTGATATGCCTTCAGAGCTTTCATTCTTAGTATTAGAAGGCAACAATGGACGTTCCTTCTCAATGTAGGAAATGTCCAATTGTGAATCTTCATCTGACCCTTCCTTCTGCTTCTTGATGCGAGTGTTCACCTCTTTAAAGGTCAGGTCCAGCGCCTTCATCTTCTCGACAACCGCCTGAAGCGCAATCATGGTAAGACCTGCCATCTCTTCGCTTGGCGATTTGGTGACAGCCGGTTCAATCATCCCGGTGAGCATTCTTGCACAAACCGACTGAGCCTGTGCATTCATCGGCGCATTGAGCAACCATCGAGAATACACATTAATGATATGAGTGACTTGTGTCGTGGAAAATTCGGAGCGTAGTCCAGCTGATAACTCAAAGACGGTGAAGAATGGTCCAAATCTGAGCAAATGCTGTTAACAACAATGTCGCTACTATGACCATACATTGCCACACCTTGACGTGTCAACTGGTGCTGCGGGAGAACCCAAGATGATGCGCTCCGATAATAGTTTCTCAAAGATCGGGACGAAGGCACGCCGGAATGGTGTCACCATTTGATGTCGAAGGACAGATATAAGCTCCTGGACTCCAAGTCAGTTACTATATCGGTTAAAGCAATTGTGATCCTACTCTTCTGGCATTAGTCAGGTAATTCGGGCAATCCTGAAGGATTCGGACGCATTGAACAGATATGGCTTCGCCTCGCGGGTCCCGACCAAGAGCCTCGTGATTCGATCGAAAGATGTACGAACAGAAATTCATTAGCTAAAGTAGAAGACATTAGTTGATTAATATAACAGTGGAACTCTTGCAAACTTGCCTTAATCTGTGCAGCCACCAAGTTCTCATAAAGCTTTGGATTCTTCATGTTGGGAGCCTGACCGGCCCAAATGCCCCCCATAGCTTCGTAATTCTCCCTAGCAGCTTTCTGTATCGGAGATTCGACAGAACCAGCCTACATTCGGGAAGAAAATAGCGAGAAGTAGTTAGAAATCAGCGATCGATACAGAAAGATACTAAATACGGACTTCTAAAGCAGCACCTATGAGTTCGGGAAGTAAAGGGAGTAGAGCCGTGCGACTTGGTGTTTGGAACAAGAATATCAGCACGAACGGCATCTCTGTGATAACTTTGAGACTACGATTGCTGGTTACCACTGAGTTGGCATCCGTGGGTGGCGAATTCTCAGACAAGAATTCGGCAACGAGACTGGGTACACTGCGGAGCATTTGAAGGAATATCTGCAGCAATTCCACGGCTTGTTCGTCGGATATCTGCTTCATAACTCGTAGTAAATCATGAAACGCCTTTAAAGAAGTGACTGCGTTATCCTCGGTATCGTTCTTTAGAATGCCCAGAATTCCAGCGACTATGTTGTTGAGTTGAGGTCGCATCGTCTCGGATGGCGGAATGCGGTGAATAATTTCGACAAGCGCTCGACGAAACTGAAACTCCAGTGAGTCTCGTTTGAAGGATGGCTCCGTGTTGCGAAGAGTGTCGAAGAGTACAGTAAGCATGTGCGGGAATGTCCTTGAGGCCTCCATATCGCGAACGGAGTCAACCATATCCCGCAGCTCTTGAGCAACATCATGTTTAAGTTTTAAAGCTAGCATACGGTCAGCTTGTTGCTTGACTAGTCATGTCAATGAATTTAATACGAACGTGCAGCCGGGTCTGCAATACGAGCCGCTCGGACTTCGAGGTCTGACGCCGACGCGAGCTGCGGCAGGCCATCCATCATCTTTAATTGAATCACTAGATGAGGCGTATGGGCGAAGAATGGGCACGCAAATCAGTGCGCAGGAACAGTCCCGTACTGTCACACTTCAGTCCTCTTGCCGAGCACCTTGCTCGACAGCCACGCGTCTCTCCAGGAAGCAGGAAGAAGTGTAGTCTCGGAAGTGTATAGTGAGGTGTAGCCCACAGGTGGGCGATGAGAATGAAGGATGAAGTGGATGATGAAGTTTGAGGCTTAGCCAGTATAACGTACTGGCACAAGCCGTGCGTGCAGAAGTCAGTCACAGTCGCGGTGGGTGGACCAGTACTTGTGACAAAAACTCGATCTGTCACAATATGCGTGACTAACGTCACCAAATGATCGTCCTTCGCTTCGGCTCCTGCTGCCGAATTTGGCTGCCGTCCGAGCTCAGTCCAATCTTTACACCACCTGTGCTTAATTCGTGACAACGAACAGAACACTGAGTTTTTGAAATCTGTTTGCACTACTTTTCTTGTCTGCTGGGGTTGACTCGATCACACTCGCATGACCTTTCTCATGAGTCTTGTCTGACCTCAATCTACTCCTGGAATGATTGATGGTCTACTTTGAAATATACTATCACACCATGCATCATCGTTATTTTCAACTTAGCATCTATCTCCGCAAGCAGCTTAAGATAGTATCAGAGCCACATAGATACGGTCACCCCTGCTTCTTGATCTCCAGCTCTCGCCTCAGAGCACCGCAAACCATGGCCCTCTTATACAACGATCTTCGACGGTCGAGGCGTCAACCTCTTACCGTCATGATGTCCCACTAGGCCACCGCTCCTTGGCTCTTTCACAGTCATTTCCCTCTGTTTCCTCGGCTGGTCTGAATCTACAGCTTGCAAGCGAGCACATTCTGGGTAATGGCAAGTGCATCCTACTTTGATAGAGCCTTTGCTGTGCATAGGACTCGGAGCGATGATGTATCCGAGTTCACAAGGCATCCAAACTTGTTCGTCAATTTGACTTCAAATCCCTCTCGTGCTTTGCCTTGATTCATATGTTTTTGCAGCCATATTACATCTGCTTTCTTTGCTGGCTTTGTCTTCTGGGAAAGCCTTTGGCACCTTTTACGATCCCCTTTATTTCATTACATCAGACTTCGTATAGTTCGAAAGATTTCCGCATGGATCGCAAGTCGTCGACTCCGAGGAGCTGCGCCATCCGAATCTGACAAAGAAGCCCAAAATCTGTTTGTAGCAGGCGCTAGTGATCGGGCTTTCGGTGTTAGAGCCTCAACCAGTGACCCCTACCTTCGGCGAAGGGGAAATGCTTCCTTAATTTTCGCCCTGACGTTGTTCTTCTTTATGGGTAGCATAACGCAGCTTGTGTCCTCTCTAGTGGTCGGGATAGTCATAGAAAGACTTTCCGACAGTGATCGGGTATTATGCGGTAAGGAGAGACGCACTTTATCCAAAAGACCTCTATTCACGAATTTATAGCATTTGTGATTGCATGGGACTCTATGTCCTTCCAGTCGGCACGACTTATCGGACTGGTTGTACTTGGACTTGACCTAGGTTCGCTGGGTGTGAAGCGGATTGAGAGGATCGCTTTCTGGGCCGTCGTAGGCGTAATTGCAAGTAAGCTCTATCTTACTAATTTTGGAATTTACTTAACCTTTACCTAACCTTTCTCCTTATTACCAGTCCTAGTCATACTTACAAATGCGCTTGAACCTGGCGATATCAAGCAGAGGTGAGAGGGTGCTTTCCGATCTTGATCGTTGCTCTGATTTCTTTGATGTAGTTATCTGGTCACGCAGTCAATGCAACAAGGCAACGGTCAAAATCCTGTGCTGGAGGCCATGGGAATATGCTATCGACAACAGTGAGTGAGATAATCATGCATGTCAAGCAAGCCCGCCCGCTAACCTGTAAGCTGTTGCAGTAAACTGGCACCTTCCTTGCCACTTTCAATAATAACAATACTTCTTGAGGTCTATGTCATCTATAGATTTCTCGACATAATCGCACCGGCCCATTTTCCGCTACGACGCCGACTCGACGCCTTATTTCGAGATTTTCGTATCATTAGAGGCTTTTCGTTGCTGCTTTTCGACTTAATTACGATGGTTCCTGCTAGTGTCAAGACGACTTATGTGGGAGACTCTGTGCCCTTCAGCATTGCAGCCTTGATTGTATTGAGTGCGTATTATCAGCAGGATTCAGATCCCGTGAACTCATTCATTCTCGTTCAGTTGCTTTCAATGATTATCACCCGCCGCTTCGGGTATACGGAGATATTGCGCCGCAAATCGACAACAAGTTATCACAGAGACCTGAATCCCAGCATCTAGTTCGCTACAGGTCACTGATGCCTGCACCACATCCATTTTCAGCAGCGGCGCTCTCTATGGTTGCTAGACAAGCGGAACGTCCCCGTATAGGAGGATATTCTGGGCTCATGACCACTTCAAGTTCGGACGCGACGCTGTTCGGTCGCCCGGTCAGTTTGAGCAGGACTGACGCTCTTTTATATGAGGTACCAAGGACGCCTCCTTTGCCTCCTATACCTACGACAAGACCTACGAAGAAACCAGAGTCGAAGAGGCCTTCACGCTCTCCTTCTAAATCTAGATCACGAGCGGGATCCCACAAGACGAGAACCTCAAGTCGTTCCCGTAAATCGCAGAAGTCTCAGAGGTCGCATCTTGTCCGTCCGATTGTGCCGAAGGCGGAGCTCGCACGACAATTCGAGGACAGTGAGCGTTCAGCCAGTTCGGAAAATACAGGCGTCCTTTTCCCCCGGCCGCACCAGCGTATGCCTAATAGAACTACTTCTCTGCCCCTCCAAATACCACCGCAAGCGGCAGTTCGTTCAAGGCGACCCAGCGCGACAGAATCAATGGTGCAGACACTTGCTTCGGAGAGCGTCCGTTACGGGTCCGACATCCTTCGGCCGGAGTTAGGACATGCCGCTCGGGATAAGATGAAGTCGTCAGCCAGCACACGAACACAGACCCCACGGACGTCGACGCCAAGATCTCATAGAACGCACCATTCGGAGTCTGATGGGTCAATTCCTGAATTTGTGAAGCGTCAATCGGACGATTCATGGATGTCTGACCGTACGATCGATACATACAAGATCTCGCGACTGGTTCCCCCTGTCCCAATGATGCCTACCTTCAACGGTGGCTGGCCAGTTCCTCCATCATCAATTCCAGCTCCAAAGACTAACGTTAGTCAGTACACGCGTCTGGGTCTGCCTTCGGGCCCTCGTAGTTTAAAGCAAACCACGCCTCCTCCTCCTGCGAAAGTATCGACTCCATCGAATCCTGTAGATAACATCCAATTATCCACCACAAGTAGATCTACTAGTGTTGGAGTGATTAAGCGGGTAAGTTCTGTACGCGGACCACGAATGCAATTCCCTCCGCCTCGTAGCAGGGCACATCGGATATGATTTATTATTAGAGGACCAATATTATTTACTTGAAATTAATTTGACAACGCTCCTTTGATATAAACATACATATTCTGGACGTTTTTAAATTTTGTAATGGTAATTGACTTTCATTTTGGGTCTTTGTAACTTTTGTGGTGTAATGATGTTTCGGTTTGGGAAATAGCCTGGAGCGTGGCAGCACTGCTTGAACAAGGACTGCCATAGCCATCGGACGCGCAGTCCCTGCGTCCACGCTCTCCTCTACCCTCATCGACGCTTGTTCCCTCCCACCATGGCGTCTTCGGCTCTTTTGGCGCAGATTCAAGCAGGAAAGGCTCTCAAAAAGACTGCGACGCATGACAGGAGTGCTCCTGTTATTGATGGCACAAAGAAAGGACCGTCTGCAGGCGGTGGGGGGTTCGCAGCACCACCAGTCATGCCATCGGCGTCGAGTGCATCCTCAGCAAGTGCAGGTCCACCTCAACTAGGAGCTCTGTTTGCTGGCGGGGTACCAAAACTAAAGCCTACGCAAAACAGCCAAGGTCGATTATTACTCTTTATCCGATTGTGTCATTGATATTGATTAACATCCTACATAAATGCAGCGAAATCTTTGAATCTTGGGAAACCGCCCTCGATACCAAAGCGCGAGCCATCTTCTAATGGTGTACCGACGCCACCTGCGCCTCCTTCGAGACCTTCGCCGGCGCCCCCTCCACCCGGTCGTCCGCCTCCATCCTCTGCATCAGCACCTCCTCCAGCACCGCCTAGTAGACCTGTACCAACACTGAGTGCTGCACCACCGGCACCTCCTAGTCGACCTGTTCCGTCTCCGAGGCCTTCTTCACCTCCCGTACGCCCAGCAGCTCCTCAGATTCCCAGCCGACTAGTCCCTTCACCGACGGTGGTGCGCACACCACCACCACGTCCTGTACCGGCCTCTCAGATTAGCAGGATAAATGCGGAAGAAGCGGCGACGCTGCGCAAGACCCCATCGCCTCCTCCCCGCCCTTCGTCTGCTGGTCCTCCAAGCCGTTCCGTCCCAGCACCGCCGGCGTTACCTTCAAGACCGCATCATGCACCCCCAGCTCCGCCACCACGCAAAGCAGCTCTATCGACAACTGGGTCAGGCAGACCTGCACCTCCTAAACCTCCGCCTCGACCTGCGTCTGTAGCGTTAGAACTGACGGCGTCAGCACCTGTGACGCCGGCTCGTCCGCCCCCGAAGTTACCTTCTAGAAAACCGGTAAACAGTTCGCCGAGCTTTAGGAGCCCAAGCCCTGCTACGCTTCCTCCGCGACCGCGTGGTCATTCGCACAGTAGTGAGGCGCCTCCGCCTCCTCGCGGTCCTTCACCTGCTGCAAGATTTAACGGACCGTCCTCTGTGCCTCCTCCCCCACCTCCTGGACCGTCTCCTGCTGCGCGCAATGTCCCGCCTCCACCGCCTCCACCTGGTGGTGCACGAAACAGAGTAGCATCTGGTCCCAGTACTTTATCGGTTCCGACGCCGCCAGCGCTTCCACCTGGGCGCCGGTCTCCCTCTCTTGGCAATATTGTCGCCGGAAGTCCGATCCCTAATGGCGGAACCCCGGCTTTTCGATCGAATGCTAAAAGTAAGTGTATTTTAATGTTTTACACGTTACAGATTGCTAAGTACAACTTCATGAAGTTCCTCCACCGCCAGCGGAATCTGGTGCTCACAAGTTCGCAATTACCGGCTTCCCCGTGCCACGCACGATGGAGAAGGGCGAAAAGAAGTACGGGAGTGGGAGACAACGAGGGTGCGACTTCGACCTAGACTCATTGTGATTTTTCTTCTGTTCCTAGCCTAGTGCTGCCGTTCCTCAATATTATTTACTCTGCACTACCGTACTTGATTGTCACTCTGGACTTTATGCGTCTATAAGAATTTATTATACAAAGTTTTTATCCATACAACAAATGCTCGACCGACGTGGCGAAGTGTGGGGGGGGGGGGGGGTTTT